CTCTCTCTCTCTCTCTCTCTCTTCCTTCCTGTCAGTCACAGGTCAGTGGGGACTTACCACTGACGCGTCCTGCCTTTGGCCCCAGCCTCCCCCACGGAAATCGACGATATCCGAGAAGGACGGTGACGGTGACGAGCGGCCCCGAGGAGAACGTGCTCAACACTCCACTCCTCACGCCGTTTTCAACTCCGGCGTAACCGAGATACGTCTGGCGTCCACGCGCATGTCATGGATTCGCCCTTGGAAGCCGCCGCCGCTGCCTTGGACGATGCTCTTCACAACCGCCTTCATCATCAATCCCACAGACGTGTGCAACGATATCTCGAGCCGGCCTGCGGGCTCCTCTCGAATGTTTGGTAAATCCTTTCTCCGAGCGCGCAGGCCGTCTGTGCCGTTGCTGGACTAGAGGTGTGATGGGGGTAGGTATATATATATATATATATATATACATTACCCTAGGCACTTAGGTAATGAGTCAGTGCCGTGTGATTGGATGGGTGCGAACCGTTTTACATAGCTTGCAAGTGGGTTTGAATTGTGCACATATATACCGGGTTTTTGGTTTGGGAGATCTTGCATGCTGTGTCTGTGACCACACTTCAGACTCTCAAAACGTCAAAACTTCATTGGAACATGGTCGTTCTCTATATCTATTCATCGATCGATCCAGGTATATATATATATATGAAATGTGATATCGTCGTTTGTGACTTTGTTGTACAATTCCTTCTATCCTATCCTGCCGCAGATATCTCAAGTAAGCATCATCAAAACTCGCTTGTCTAAAAGTCAATGAAGAGTAAATCCACACCCGAAACACACGGGCATCCATCCCCCTTGATGGCGGGCAGTGGATGAACAGCACAGCACAGCAATCAAACCAGGTGAAGTAAGAATAAGAGTTAGTGCTGAGGTAAAGAGCAGCTCATAAGGATTTGAGCATACAAGTTCTGGAGGTAGGCACTTTTCGAGTCCCGCATGCAACATGCTTTCATGTGTGGGTGAGAGCTGGCATGCTTGCATCGTTTCCCTCACTCCAGTTGGTTCCACCATAGCTTGTCTTTTTTTTTCATGATCAGGAGGATTATCTGTCGTCGTGGTTCCGCGTTCGATGGAGTAGCCGTTTTCGTTCTTCTCTTGGATTGAGTCTCACAAGTGAAGGCACCATGGCGGTGGTGCTTCCAAGGAGGTCGAGGTTCTTGAGGTCGTTGACGAGCGAAAGACGGCCCGAGTGTTGTGTGTCGTGGTACACGGTACGGGAGGACGATGATATGAAAGCGCTCTTGTGGAACTCCGTTGCAATTCGATCCATCCTGGTGATTCCAATTTCTTTTCTAAAAACAAAGAAAGAGGTGGGTTTCCCACAAAAAGCTTCATCATGGCGTAAACTTTCAGGCCTCTTCTCGGACATCCTTCTCTCTTTCAATCTCAACGGACTCGGCAGGAGGTGTGGGAGCCATGCTCGACGGGTTGTACTGGAACTCTTTGGGAGCCGTGGACACGGTCGACGCCGGTCGAGGTGGGATGTATCCGCTTGACAGACGGGGGAAGCAGAATCCTGGGTGGCAGACCGTCTGCACCAGGGTGGCGATCACGACCATACTATAAATACAAGATTAGCCTGGGATTCATAAAATGGTCTGCTGGGACGGTGTGATGGTGTGAAAAAAGTGTCGGGGTTCATGGACGTGAGAGCAGGAGGTGATACGTACCATCCGTCAAGAGCAATGAAAGCAGGCTCAAACTGCATGACCGGGTTCGCCCATCCACCAGCCATCTCAACGAGACGATAGATACATCGGATCATGATCGCGACATAGGCGATGATGAATCCGTACACAAATAGCTGGAATTTCCTGTCGTTCAGGAAACGGGTGGCCTCGGTGGAAAACGGCACGTCATGTGCTCGCCAGCGCCGGACGACGTACCACGCTGCAGCTCCGCCGAAGAAGAACAGGGTGACCACTTGCCAGGCGATACCGGCCATCATCAAGTCATCACCGGTGTTTTGCTGGGACTGGTTGCTGTTGGCGGTCGCAGCCATGCCGCCACCGATGGCCTGGATCACCAGTGATATGAGGTCGCCGGTGATGAAGATCCAGGTGTACCAGTTGGGTTTGATCTTTGAGTACTCTGGCCCGAAGGTCAGGGTGATGTGCTTGAGGACCAGGTAGATGGCGGCAGAGTTGAACGCAGGACCCAGGATCAGGCAGCAAATCTGGATCTCGAATCCAACCGAGTTGAAAGGGTTCGAGTGCAAAATCACACGGCCAATGTACCCGAGCGACTGGTCGACGCAGGCCAGCAACATGGCGATCAGATACGTCCAGGTCTTGTAGCGGATGCCGAAGAGGAGTTGGAGGGCGCCGCACATGGCGAAAAAGGCCACGAAGAAGGCATTGGCACCGATAGAAGGGTAGTAGCCGTAGATCGAGTGCTCGACCGGGCACCGTGGAGTGACTTCGGTACAGTTGGCAAGGGGCAGGTAAAAGGTTGAGTTGTTGATGTTGGCCATTGTCTAGGAACAGTTGGAGGAAGGGAGTGGAAGAAGACAATGAACAGTGTAGCTAGAGTGGTAGCAAGGGATACCAATGGGACTGTGTTTGCAAAAGTCAAAGAAGAAGAGACCCATACAGGGAGACGCCTATATGTATTCAAGGGAATGTACGTGACGGATACTCAGGCACCCGCGAAACCAAGCGCAACGACACGAGAGAGCAGCAGAACAAGGCTCTCGGATTACCAGAGACAGGAATACGAAGGATTCGAATATGGTAACCGTCCATGTCGGAAGGTGCACAAGGGGCATCGGAGACGGGATGATAGGACCGCTGTGGTGGACACACAAGGGCTGTTTCGAGAACCAGAAAAGTCTTGGTGACCCAACTCGTATGGTTCGTCGAGGCGTCTGCCATATGGTTGGGTACCTACTTAGGTAGGTAGGTGGTCGATGGTCGATGACGAGCATTGACCCAATCGCAGAGCAAAAACACGAGCAAGGCTCTGCAGCTGAGAAGTCTGCTCGTCCAGGGTATTGGGTGCTGTGGTGTGATCTCGCAAGCTGAGCCCCAAAGTGGTAAAGGGGGGAAGCAGGAGCGGGACAAGGCTGTATCCACCCGGCCAGTGGCCAGGAATCCAGGCATCCGTGTTCTTGTCAAAGACTTCATCCCCAAGTCACAGCGCTCCGAGTATGATCCGAGGGAGTTAGGCGAATCCTGTTCTGCGGAGACTCGTAAGAAGGACCCCCTTGCGATATCAAAGTTGGGAGAGCGAGATGAGGACGTCGGGCATCGCGTGCCGGAAGAATAATTCCTCCGTGCCGAGGATCCTTATATTCGGCGCAAATTCCCACCGCACGCAGCATCCATGCATTCTATCCCCTGCGCTCTCTCTTTCTGCAGCCTTGAACCCCTTGAGGAGGAGAACCCTCGTCGCTGAGCTGGGGACGGAATTTCCGATTCTTTCAGACAACTTCCTGCGTCTTACCGCCTCTCTGGCTTCTATCCCCACTAGGTACCCAGCACTGTACTGACGATCTGAAACAGTTAGATGCCGTCCCCGCATGCTGCATGCGCGTATTTCGTGTCAGAACCCGAGATACGACCAAAGCGAGCCCCTCCTCGAACGGGTCGGAGACGGAGATATAGTCTCTTCCACTCGGTCATCAAAGCCAAAACATGGGATACTCCTTGAGCCACAAGACCTGGACGATCCAGATCACACACCCTGGTAGAAGTGTCTTTTTGCCGACTGGACAAACGATGATCGTGCGCAGATCGTGGCCTCTGCGTTGATCTAAACGGTGACTAATCGAAATGACGTTGTGACTTCATTTTAGCCTCCAACTTGACACCAAATCCGAGAATGAATACCCAGCGAGCCAGGTATTGATGCCAAATACAGTAGGAGCAGGGGTCACAGCCGCTTCGTCTCCCCCTGGTAGCCATGGTCAAACCTGGCAGCTGTCAAGAGCCCTTTGACACACAACTGACAGCAGGTAGCAAAAGTTCAGAGCATGCTTCTCTGCCTGCAAAGGACGACCTCCTTGTTCGCCTGCACCTCATCACGCGTCATGACGTCTAGCAACTTCTCCAAACTACGGCATCTTCGTCAACTTCGCCTTCTACTAGGTAGGCTGCAGGTGAAAAGAATGACGCACACGATTGACAAGGGGCACTGGAATACACGGTCCGCTACCAAGCTAATTTTGTCCTGACTGGTGGGCCACCCCGAGTTTGCGAGACCCTTCGACGCGTTGCACCATCTCAGCAAGGGAGGGGACTGCAAAAATGTCTTGAATGCTGTCCGAGTCCTCGGCGGCGGCTCACCATGTGGCCCAAGAGGTCCCTGCTTCACAGGGCTGTCACTCGGAATGCGGTCCCAGCGCGGACCGCGGGAATTTTACGCTTTCCACTTGGTGTCTCTAACACTGTGTGAGACTCGAAGTTCAGTTCACTGTGATTGGCTCTCCGGGCCGACATGAACCGGTATATGCCACTTCGTACCGAGAGTCGTACGAGTGATCACAGGGATCATTGTAAGCTATCAGGTATCGACCTCGAAAAGATTTATGAACAGACCCCACCTGAGTGGTCTCGATTGCCCGGCTGGAGGATATCAACGAGATGGGGGGTATCATCAACTTGGAGTCCCTGGTCAACAGATGACTTATCCAACCCAAAGACCACCTCGCCTCTCATCCTCGCCGCATCCTGGCTGCACTCCCACGCTTCCTACGACCGAAGGGGTCGGGGAGAAAGCATAAGCTACATCCGATTGCTTACCTTGATGGTTGGAGAGGCCGGGCGGCACTTCTCGTCTTCCGATTTCATATGTACGATAACAAAACGCGGTTTCTTGAGCTGCCAGTTATCCGCGGTCTCCTCAACGGTCGCGCCACGGTTGAAGTTTTCTTCGTTATCTCCGTCTACGCTCTCAGTTACCGATCTCTTGATCTACGAGAGGTCGGAAGATTTGCTATGGTAGCATTACACTCTCTGTTACTACTGGCGGACCATTTTCGCCTCCCTGCTTCTGATCGGTGTGATGATAGGGGATCTTTCCTTTGATCGCCACCAAGAACGCCTGCAGCCCGTGCTTCTTCCACAGCAACACGACATCAAAACCTCATCAGTCCGCAAAACTAATAGCCAAATCCATAACACGGTCCGGTGTAGTCTCTCTCTAATCGTGGCACTATTTCTCTTCAGACAGCCGCAGGACGGATTGAGCTATCAAGGACCCTTCCCATTCGACTATCTCAGCAAAGTCATACCGTGGTTGTATCCTCTCCATCCCAGTGAATACGTCTGGCCCAGTATTGAAGCCGCTTTCTGGCTTTCGCATTGGATATTTGTCCGTGCTTCAGATTCCTTTCGAGTTTGACGTCTCTCAATATCTGGGAGAAATCTCCTTTGGCGTCTATGTCATGCATGATATTGTCAATTCGTGCTTTTATGAGCCTCCTGCACATCTTGGCGAAGGTTACTGGTCAGGCTTCCGGGGTATCTGATCACCACACTTGTGGTTCTTTGGACCGCGGATTATTTCTCCAGGATTGATGCCTGAGTTGTGTGGTTGGGCAGGTGGCTAGAGTCGAAGGCCTTTGTCAAGTTGAGAAGTTAAGGGGATGCCGGAACACCCCAGGTTCCCATGGATTTAGTGTTGCACAATTGCGGTTGTCGGTCTGTAGACCACCCGTCACAATACACTTTCTTCTATGTCCCGGCATTGAGTTTAATAATTGAACCTCAGCAGAAGTAGGAATGTTTGATATCTAACGATGTTGCTTCTCGTCAAGTAGGAGAATGGCCGCCCCTGCCAAGCCTCAGCCTCGCCATTCTTGATTTCGCTGTATCTTCTTTCCATATGCTCGAGGCCAAGTCAATATGAACTGCAGATGCGGTTCAATGACACCATCCATATCGGTAATGTGGAAGCTAGATCACCATATTATAGCAAGTGCGCGTGTCTATCTAGTGACACAGCAGGCCGAGATGTTTGAAGGGAGGGGGTCTGAGCAGACAACAGACAAGCAGCTCAAAGAAGCAGACAGAAGGGGACCACGCAAAAGACAAGCAGGATGAAACGGTCAAGAAGACTGCTGAGGGATGAACTGATACCAAATCAAGTTCATAATGGAAGACGATTTACCTCCCAGATTCCTGTCTACCAGCCACCACAGCCGGGAAGTGCGCCCACTACTTTATTCGACAACCATCTCCAATATCTCCATGACCTGTTCCTTCTCCGTTATAGGCTTCGCATTCGTCTGGATCCAATGGTCCTTGAGACTGTTCTTCGCCAACCCATCCAGCTTGTCCCTGCCCACACCCACCTCCTTCAACGTCCGCGGCATGCCGATCTCGCGGAAGACCACGTCCAAAATATCCCCCAGGTCGGCCTTCTCGAGACTCTGCGGATACTTGGCCTCCAACAACTCCTTTACAACAGGCGAGCGGAGCAAGACCTGTTTGCAATAAGCCTGTCTCTCGACGTTGGCCCCGACCTTCTCGTTCCACTTGCACACGGCCGGCAACATGATACAGCTGGTCTCGCCGTGACCGACACCCAAGGGCCCCAGTTGATGGCCAATGGCGTGGCTCGCTCCCAGAGGCACGCCGCTGCCCACGGCGCTCATGGCCTGGATGACGCCCCGCATCGTCTCAAACCTGGCATCCAGATCGCGGGGATCCTTGTGCGTGCGGATCAAGGCCGGAACCAGCCTCAGCAGTCCCTTTTCGGCCTCGGCGTCGCCTTTCTCGTTCGACAGGAGGCTGCACAGCGTCTCGACGCAGTGGTCGACGGCCCTGACGCCCGTGCTCAGCCAGATGCGCTCCGGGGTGGTCGTGGTCAGCTCCGGGTCGAGCACGACGATGCTGGGGTTCCGGGTGGGCGGCTCGAAGAGGCATTTCTGCTGGCTGCCGTCGTCCCGCGTCACGCCCGCGATCGACTGGTACTCGCCGCCCGACAGACTCGTGGGGATGGCGATGTGGCGGATCACGGGGTCCTTGAACGTCTTCCTGCCCTCGGACAACAACTTCTCCATCCCCTCGGCACTGGTGATGTCATTGGCGAGCATCCACGCGATCACCTTGGCCGCATCTGTGAGCGATCCTGCCCCCAAGGTGACGATGCAGTCCGGGCGCTTGGGGGCAGCATCCCGCGCGATCTCGAGCACTTCGTTCCAGTGCGTGTGTGGCGTCATTCCGACCCGGACGCCCACCACTTGCTCCTCGCCCAGCGCGGTCTGCAGCCGTTTCAGCGCATTGGTGTTCTTCGACAGCGAGTTGGACGCGATGATGTACACCCTGCTGGCTTTGACCGTGTTGGCGATGTGGTACGCGCAGGCTTCGTCGAAGCGCAGACCCCAGCTGATGTAGGGGATGTCGCGGTCGTCAAAGGCCGGCTCCAGGTGGTCAATCCCGTACGAGAATGTCATCTTCCGGAGCCTGTGGATTGGTCCGTTTGGTTTGTGTTTGTCAGACAAGCAGCGACGTTCCGCGAGGTGCTAGTGTGTCTCTGCTCGTGGATTCTACACTATTGACTTGCTTTGGGCGTAAGAATATTGAAAGATTGAAGCGACCAAGACTAAATGCCGCGTTGGAGAAGTGTGGAGATTCGAAACGAGTGGGGTATCAACGAGGCTGTTGGAGGCAGAGAGGATCTATATAATTACGAGGAGCTTCACCAACAGAGCAGAAAGGATTGAATAAAGGTCACACAGGGAAAAGAAGAGCATAAACGTGAAAGAAGAGCGACCAGGAGCGCGAAGTCGAGTTGAAGGTCACAGACTCCCCACATGGCGTAAATGTCACGGTCTTTCGATGGAGGATGGTGCGGCAAGAGTTGTTCCCCCCGATCACATTCAATCCTGGCATTTTGTGGGCGCATCTAATTGCTGGTCCATGTGCGGAGTGAAAATCATTTTGAAACGAGTTATTGACATTGGTGTATCAATTCTCTCAATGTGCTGTCTGGCTCGGATAAGTCCGCATGAGTCTTAGCTGGCCATCGCTCGTCCCGGACCGGTGTTCTCGACTTTGATTCCCTTGAATTTGATACTCCATAAAATGTCAATGCTCTTTGGTCTTGTCTTGACGTTTCCCTGCCTCATGGGCATTTCACCAGCATAGCAAAGCGAAGCAATGTGCATCGGTGTGCATGCCATGGAAAAAACTTTTCGATTGACCTCGGAGAAGTCGTGGTAGAGGAAAGGCGGCGTGTGAGAACAAACTCGAGGCGAACGAGACGTTTAATCGAAGAGACCGAAGCCCATATCCTCGTCGGACTCTTCCTTCTCTGAAGGGGGCATTGTCAGCATGAGTCCCTATTCTGAGGGAGAAATCGGTGGTCTCGAGACTTACCCTCTTCCTTCTTTTCCTCTTCCTTGGGTGCTTCCTCAGCGGCACCAGCGCCACCGGCGCCGGCAGCACCACCAGCAGGTGCAGCGGCCGCGGCACCACCGCCCGAGCCGACGTTGAGAAGCATGTCCTTTACATCCTTTCCTTCCAGAGCCTTTGCAAACAGGGTAGCCCAGATGGGTTCGACGTCGACGACACCGGCGGCTTTGATAAGAGTGTTGAGCTTATCGGCCTGCAAGCAGAACACAAGGTGTTAGTCTTTTTGATTCTCCCTCCCGTCAATCGGTTCTCGAAACATTCAGAAGGGGGGGTTTTCGTACGGTGATTTCAATGCCGTCGTCGGCAAGAATGAGAGCGGCGTAGGCGCTGGCGAGCTCTGCGGTGGACATCTTGACGATTTTGTCGAGCGAACTTGTCTAATTGAAGTCGGAAAGTTGATGTCGAGAAGTTGAAGTTGCGGGCGCAATTTCTCGAAATCGCAGGGCCAAAAGACCCAGAATTTGGTTGTGGGAGCAAAAATGCCAAGGCCCAAGTTTGCCGAGTTTTAACTAGTTCCTTTTCGGGATTGATGATGCCGCTTTACGCCCCTCTCCGCTCGCGTGGAGCTGGGCAGCTGAACCCACGTCTTGGCGCCAGCCTCGGCGGTTGGCTGAATGAGTGTGTCAAGCCTTATCTTGAGCCTCCTGCGCAATTTTGTGTAATTCTGCTGTCTGCCTATATTGTGACAGTCTCTCGCATTCCCGAGCTTGTTATCCACCAAAATATAGGAGCCGTTGTGAAAGGCAACCACAATACGAATCCAGCAATTGAGCTCAAGCACCACCCCCAGTGGGTGGGTCTACGTTGCCGCATGAGATTTCCTTTTTCAGCCTTGCCTGTCTTGACAAGAGACGCACCTTCTCGGCATCCAGAATGGACATACTCCGTTCTTTGCGTCGAGGTCAAGGCAGGGAAGACCATGAATTTGACAACGCATGTCAGAAGTGGCTTTACAAGTTGTTTCTAAAGGCCCAACCTCCTGTCGTCAATGACCCTCTCAGCAGGGATCCTCGTCCTCTGCCTCTTGGAAGGCTCATGGAACTGGAGCCAAAGCTGTTTTTCCCCCGGTCGGCGATCCTTGAGCTTGTGACCAGAGACATGATGAATGAATTAACAGAATGCGCATGTCGGAGCTGTGCGTTCGAAAGACCTACTCAAGGGGAGGGTTATAGTGGCGTTCAAAGGCCCCAACTCATCAACGAAGTCATGGGTGCAAGAGACGAACCCAAAATTATCGTTGCGGTCCTTCTCTACACGGATCAGATATCTCAACTTTGGCGACTACAGCGCACATTACTCTCTGACGAAGGTATTGACGCCCTGGCCGATAGAGAAGTTCTTGCCGAGGATGTCAGGGAGAGAATTCGACACGCGAAAGCCATGTTTAAACCAGTACGAATTTCTCTGGATCACCCTGCTCGAAATTACCCCTCAGGGACTCGTCTACCATTCTTGAGTGAAGGTTCGCCCAAGAGCGGATCATTCGGGACGGTGTCAAAGGTAGAAGTGCACCCAGAGTACCTGGGCGACGACGTCAAAGCGCTGATCAGGGAGTACGCCGGAACACAATCGGCATCACCCGCAACAGATCAAAAAGTGAGTTAATCTGATCGTGCATGGGTCTGGATCAGGAGACCTCTAAACTAAGGTGGCATAGTTCTTCATTGCACGAAAAATGATCCAAGGGACGAGGGGGCAGGCACTTGAGCATTCTGTTCAGATGGAGCGGGACTTTCTCGACGTCATCCGTCAGCAAAGAGAAGGCAAAGAGAATCTGATAGATTTGATTGCCTTCTACACGTTTGGAGACGAGATCAACATGCTTTTCCCTTACGTGGAATTGAACCTCCATGATTTACTCTATCAGGGTCAATTCCCACGAGAATATACCCGCAATCAGTTTCCTGACGACTGGATCAGCTCGGGGATTAGAGGTATGGCTCAAGGTCTATGCACGATTCACCATCCGCTGGTGCTGGATAATGACAGGGAGGTTGTCGGATTCCACTTCGACCTCAAACCTAGGAACGTGCTCATTACTTGCGACGGAACCTTTAAGATTACTGACTTTGGCCAAGCACTCATCAAAGTCGTCCACATTGGCACCGAGCAGTACGGTGGAGAGGGCTATCGTGGGGGGGATCCAGAATATGCTCCTCCTGAGTCGATGCCTTCTCGTCAACTCGTTGAATCTCGACATGTGAGCTATACCGCTTCCACCTCCAACGGCCATGCAGGCGCTCGTGACCTCTTCAAGTACGACATCTGGTCTCTAGCTTGTATCATGGTCCAATTATATACCTATGTATGCCTGGGCGAAGTCGATGCGGTGACAAAGTTCGACGAGGATCGCAGCATGCACGCCCCCGGAAGCGAAGTTGCCCCGTATCACGTCGACGGGGGGGAAGGACCAGCCCTCAATCCCGCGGTTGCGACGCAACTTGGCAAGATTCTGGCTTACAGCTTGACCGTCGAATCACCAGCTTTGCACACATATATGAAAGAGGTTGTGACGACCATGTCGCAGATGCTGGATATCAATCCCCCCGACCGTCCTACATCCGGTGAAGTCGCAGACCGTCTTACCGTGCTTTTGAATGATTATCTGGCTACGAGTAGAGACCCCAGCGGTGTGCTTCTGGCCGCTAACAATGACGACCTCCGGGATATCCCTGAGGGGTATGTCGAGGTTGCTATGGATACGAATGGTACCTCTTTCGTGTGGCTGGAAGGAGTCCACATTGCGACCCCAGATTCCCTTCCGCATGCGGGACCCCCATGCAGGTTGAGGCTGTTTCACCAGAGGGGTGGATTTTGGATAAAAATCTGGTTTGAACGCGTCCCAGGCGCCGCCAGACCGGATACTCTCTCCAAAAGGCTACCTGAAGGGGAAGTTCGCTTGCTCCATTCAGCGCTCCTCGATGGCGGAAATCGCGGCCACTGTCGAATTAAGAGGCTGGGCGCTGACGGGATCGAGACAGATTTGTCCTTTGAAAACGGACTGCTGGATTTTCGCGCCGCCATCATCCAGTATACTCCGCGATCCTTCGGAATCATCGGCGGTGGCGGCGGGCCCGACGACGAGATGCGGCAGTGTTACAGCCTGAGACACCCTGTCACCGTCTCGGCGCGACGTGATTTCCCGGAAGGGCTTTCGCAAATCCGGAATGGTATCGTGGCGACTTCGGTTCAGAAATGGAAAGGACGGCGCTTTACGTACGTCGACGGAAGATATGGCCCTCAGCGTGACGTGGGGCTCCGACTCATGATCTTCTTCCAAGACCCGCCTGCGGTCCTGCAAATCCCGCTGAGGTCGCGCCTGGGCAGAGTCGAGGTTGAACGCCACGGTGCCACCACCGTGATCACCTTCCGCGGTCTCTCGAATCAGAGGTTCTTCACACATGTGGAAAAGCTCGAGACCGCGGATGATGGTCGTCATCTACTGTTGCCGATCGGATCGGCACATTACCCGCTGGGCAATGCCTACAGGCAGGGTGACAATAATACTGTGAACGTGAAACTTGTGACCGAACACGAAGAAGGTGAAAATCCCGCTCCATGTCGAGGATGTTTCTATAGATATACATATGTTCCCAGGCTGACTGAAAAGCTCTACAGTCGTGTCAGACATTGCAGCCCTCATCCAAGAGGCCCGGGATAGCGGGGAGATGATATCCTGGAGCGATCCCAATGTTGGCCCACGACGTGTCTCGAACCGAAGCCGCAGTTCCACAAGCCACAGCTAGACGCTGCTTGTCCTGTCTATCTGTTCCTGGGACAAAATGGTTCAGACGATATTTGTGAAGACGGGTGTGCTCGGACTCGCTGCTGCCCTGCTGACTCTCCTCCTCCCCAAGATCTCGCAGACAAGCAGGACTGAGAGCGCGAGCAAGATCAAGGGGAAGGCTATGATGACCCACAGCCAAACGTCCATGCTTGCCACGATGTGGAAGTTTCTGTCTTGGTCCACCGAGACGTAACCCATCTGCAGAAAGTCCTGGGCTCACGAGTTAGCGAAGTGGGGACGCCCGAAAGATTGGTACCGTCCGTACCGCAGCGAATGAGGCCGGCACGTATATTAGGGCCACGATTGTGAGCACCTTGACTATACGGGCTTCGTGAGAGCTCTTTGATGTCAGTTCAACTACTGCTGCAGTGCTAGCGCTTGTCACGTTTGCTATCCTGTTGTTGAGCTCGGAGTTTCGGAAAGCAATGATATCGCCCAACTTTCTGGTCATCAGCGGTGCACAATGCAGAAGCGAAACTTGACCGGGGTGTCAACTGACCTGGCGGGACAAGTTATTTCCGCGGGCCAACAACGACCCTACCAGATGTCGGAGGAAGGAATACTCGAGCTGGATGGTCTCGGCGAAGACCAGAAAGGCATCACGGCGGTCTTCGCTTTCGAACCTGCGTGCGGCGTTCATCATGCAGGCTATGATGTTGAAGTTCAGACTCAGCACGTGCGATATCCTCAACAACTGGTCGACGAGGTGTGTGAGTTCCTTCATGGAACTTATGCATTGCTGGACCTTTTTGGAGTCGCCGGCTGTCTCGGTCTCGATTGAAAACATGACGAGGACGTCGAACTAGCAACCACTCGTCAACGCGACAGAGCCCCTACAGAGGGCATGGGAAACTCACCAGCTTGGTGATCTGCTCGTCGTAATAGTTCAGAGCCTGCCGCCAGTCCTCTGTCCCGCACGACATCCAGACCCTTTGCACCCCCAGCCACTCTGCGACCGTTGAAGCCCGAGACTCTGAGGAGGCAGTGAAATTGTGTTTCAGATGATTCGTCACCTGGGAAGGCGCTCTGATGAATATATTCGTGCTCGTCCGCGTTAGGCACGAGAATTTCTGATAAACGAGGGCCTGACGGATGGTCCATGGGTGTTGGGCATTTCCGTCATCGCGCTGCATGTACTTCCACAGAAAGCAAGTTTCTAGGGTAGGACAAGGCGATCAGCGCTTGACCACTCTATACCTCGTGGGTCTGTGGTCGAATCAGTTGGCTTACCTATGCCCTGACGTTGCGGGAGTCCGTGGAAATGCTCCCGGATGTCATATGCGGCGAAACCCTCGTCGCAGGCGAATTCCTTCTCGCCGAACGCGGTCAGATGCTTCAAAAAGGGAGGAAAGACGTGGACATGACGCAGAATCGATCGCATGCTCGCCTCTGACAGCATCAGACGGCCCCAGCCGAACGTGGGATTCAGTAGACTACACATATATATCAAGGATTGGTCAGGAGAATTCTCCACTTCTCGTACTGCTGGATACATCTCCGGCGGTAGCGGTGAGAGATGGAAGGATGCATGGATGGACATACAAGAAGGTAGATTTAGGCGAAGGGACCGCTCCAGTCAATGGGTCCCGGCCCGTGTCGATCTCGCGGGAAGCCTTTTCGCATTGGTTATGAGTCTCTGTGCACCAATACCACCAGGATACAGGGCTGGGCAGGGGACAACTCACATTGAGATACTCTGTGACTGCACGGTCGTTCTCGAGCACGCACGTTCTGAGACCTTTTGGCACGAACAAGTCGTCAGTTTCTGTACTTCCACAGGCAATTCAGACGAGCAAGCTGGAATCTAATTCCAACGGCACTCCATAATTTCCCCCGTACGGACGTAATTGGTCTAGACGTACCCGTGTCGTCGACTTCTCCCACCTGCACGCGAAAAGGCCCCGAGCCAGCTGGAGAGCAGATGCGCGGGCAAGCCTCGTCAAAGGCCCGCTGGGTTTCCTCGATCGAAGCGCCGAAAAACACGTCGGGGACGACGGAGGAATCTGCTTCGGGCCAGGGGAGGAGTTTCTCGTCCATATTCTCTCTGTTCTTTCTAGCCCGACCAAATAATATGACCGTGGTTTGAGGAGAGTGGGCGATAATGTGGAGGGTCTCTAGATGCACAGATACGAGTCCAGTGCAAGAGAGAAAATGAGAAAACCTGGAGGAGAAGAGGGGGGAGATGATCGCGGGTGGACATCAGGCTGGTGGTGAGGCTGAGTTTGGTAGGCGTTTGGGCATTTTGGCGGGTGGGCGCCGGGGGAGAATTGGGATGCAGGGCTGCGGATCGAGCACGGGGCTGAGGCTACCAGGCTGAATCCCATTTACTGCAGTGTTCACGGTTGGTGTTTGTGCTGCGTTCATCGTCGTGTACTACCTGGCATACGACAGAGTATTTACTGTACCTCATAATCCATAAATACATATATATTGGCGCACCATCTATGCCGCTCGATAGGTGGTTACTTTACCTAGATCGATCCTCTTGATTCGAGAATCCCATATCCTCGCTCCCGATATCGATCGGTTGACCCCACTATGTAACAGCCGGCGCCTTGTTACCTGTCACGTACATCCTCGTAGGTGTCTACGTTAAAAGTACAAGAAGCTGCGAGGTCCAACATGGACGTCCACAGTCTAGCTTCAGCACCGGTACCATATTGTATGTATATAGCCAAGCGGCAATGGACTTCAAATTCATCCCATTTCCTAAAAGGCGCCTTCGCCCTCCTCCCTCGCCGTCCTCGCTATAGTCCAATTCACAACTCCTCCACGCCAGACGTCCAACAACCCTTTCCTTTCTTCATTGCCAAAGGTGATTTACCAGGCATCCACAAGCGTGACCCCCGAGCGCTGTTTAATCTCGCCATGTTCCGTGACGGACAACTTCCTCGCCGCCGTCACCTCGTACATTGTGCTTGCTCCGACCTTGATAGGCTTTAGAGATTGTTAGAAGATCGTCGAAAAAAGGGATTCCGGACCCTGTGCGGTTGCCCGATGATGGGTGTGGGGGGGTGGAAAAGCAAAAAAGCACAGAAAGGAGAGGAAACCTACTTTCCAACGGTATTTGTTCCTTCCAAAGATGCTGTCCAGATACGTCACCAGCGCCGACGCGCTGATGTTGTACTTGACCAGGCTGACTTGGTCCATTTTTTTCAGGACCAGCTCATGAGGCTGCCCTGCAGGGTAGTGGAGGTTGTGTTCGAGTCGTTTGGTTGGGACGCTTATGGAGTATGGATGTTGGATGCTTGTAATGCTAATTGCGGCAGAAGAAAGATCTGGGGTGATTGCAATGGGGTGAGATAAAGATGGAGAAGACTCGTAGATGGATAGGTACGGTACGAGTAAATAATCTGGTGTCCCGGTTCGAAGATATCATTCCAGACCTCTAATATCTATGTACCCATCCATCCATTATTACTCATTCATTGACTCACTGATCCATCCAAACCAGGCACTTCTCTTAATAATGTGCCAAAGGTGTGACGAGGCCCAGGGGGGTGCCACCGGTGGGTGTCCTGGAGATGCCAGCACATCCCCGACATATCCCCTCAACCGTTCAAGCGCCATCGTTGGGTCTAGGCTCGCCCTGCAACTAATAACTGAGGCAGTGTGACTGGCTTCGCTGGGCTAGTAGGTAGGCGACAGGTGGTGGTTCGCACGCGACTCGGTCATGGGGTTACACTAGCACTCCCGGGACTATTGACGCCAGGACTCTGGGCAGGGGGGCGGAAGGGGAGGGCTGGTGATGCCAATAATCGATTGAGGCTCAGCGGAAGGTTCTGTGTCTCACGACCGTCGACGCCATGAATGCCTTCTGCGAACTGATCTTGGTGTGTCAGGCTGAGTACTCGGTACTTAAGCGTGGAGCAGAGCCTCGATCCCCCCCGCCCGACTTCCCAACTCAACGGTCAGTCATTCACTCGATATGACCGGGCGGTTAGCGAGATGATTGTACTCGTACGGAGCAAGGAAAGAGGGAATGGCCAGCCAGGCTACTCGTAAGTGGGATAATTAGATGACATTCATTACTCATCTCCTCAAACTTGGACGGTAGGTGCCTCCCTACCTCGTATTCATACAAACCCCCTTCCGCCACAACCCTTTTCAGTCACTGCGCCTCCTCCGTCTCAGATATCGTTTCTTAAACTCGTGCCACGCCTCCCCCCTTCTATGCCAGAAATCGTCCCAGCGCTCCACCGGGTGGCTTCTGCTGTTGTTGACAAACAGGCTCGACCCGCCTCCGAGCCAGTACAAGATCCCCACCTGGGCATTGCCGTTTCTCTTGTCGAATGCAATGTCGCGCCTCCTCCCGAACCGGCGGACTTGTTCCAGCCGCCAATCGTACCCTTCCCATTTGCTGATGACCGGTCGGACGCCGGCCCATTGAGTCAGGCACCACCGCCAGAACGGCGGCTCTTGGCTGGAGCCAAAGACTGCTAGATAGTAGCAAGTGGCGAAGAACATGACCCCGAACGTCGTGGCCGGAAGGATCCAGCCTTGCAGCGCGTCCTCCTCGTCGAGGGCGACTGGGTAGGGAAATGTCAGGTTCACGCTGGAACCCGAGTCCTTGCAGGTCAAGGTCTTGCCATCAGTCGAGTTGCTCCACGAGGTGCCAGTGATGGGAAATCCATCTTGGTCGCGGTAGGGAGGTATGATGCTGAGGATGACAACCCACAGATTCGCCAGTCCATACACAACGCAGAAGGATGCTGGGACATATCGCCACCATCCCTCGCAGTACCTCAACTTCAGGTCCCATTCCCACCCGCTGCCTTCTCCCTGACCATCCATTCCCGTGTCACTGTTATGGTCCCCACGACCGACTTGATCGAGATGCTTTGTCCTCGACGGAAGTCTGAGGACGGCAAAGCCCATGATAGTCAGAATGATGCAGTGCGCATAAGTCTGGATCAACCCAGGCATACTGACTGATTCCAGGACAGTTCTGATGGATGCCGATGCGGCTATGAAGACCGTCGTCATGATCCCGTGGAGCACAAGGCCTCCTCGCGGCGCAAGATACTGGTCCAGAGCTTCCACATGCCCAGCGGAAGGCGAGTCGCTCTTCCAGAAGTCGGACCACGGAAGAATATTGCCTGATCCTATGCTTTGCTTGATGCGCGAGAAGGTGTAGATGATCGAGTTGAGGCTGCCCAGAGAAGAAATGGCAATGAACACAGACCATGCCTTGTATGCCGCCTCATTGTTACCAAAGAGCATCGGTGTGTAGTTGATCGCGATAGGAACATATGGGATGGTCTTAAGAAAAGTTGCGACAATAGCGATGTACAAGATGCTGACGACCGTGACTGCAAAGATGAACCCTTTGCGCAGGGTCACAGGGCTCTGTGGATCAATCTCACCGGCCACAAATGTCGCATTCTCCCAACCTTCGTAAGAAAATATCACCAGGAGGAATGCTTTCGCCACCTGGATTTTCGACATGCTTGCCGCTGGCGGGTCACATTGTTGAAACCCTGCCCCTGGGTACGTCCCAACCTGTATCGCGTGCCAGCCAGCGCAGAGCACAACCAGCAGCAAAAAGATCTTGACGGCGGCAAAGATTTGGTTGAGCACGCGTCCCGATTGGGGAGAGAAGTATTGCAAAAGGCACAAAAGAAGGAGGACCAGAAAGGCAATGGTCCGCAAGAAGTCGCGGTCGGGATCCTCTTCTGGGTTTCTCGCAAATAGCAACAAGCGCCCGATCTGCAGGCAGTTTGCGGCGGAATTGAAGAACGCGACGAATATGAATGCATACGTGCAGTATGCATACAAGCCGTCTCCTAGCAACCGTTTGATCCATGAGCGCCCTCGGCCGGATCGGCCTGACGTCAATTCATCAAGCTATACATTCTTTTCGTCAGCCAGGGCACAAAAGGATCAGGAATAAGACTTTCACTTACGTATACAAGTTCTCCGCCATTGTATGGCATGACTGTGGAGCACTCCAAGTAAATCAACATGCTGCTCACGAGTTAGCATTCACACCTTGGTTATTCTTTCCTAGCCTATCACAAGTCTACTCACCTGATCAATGTGTAGATCGAGCCTATCGCCCACAGCGTCATCGTCAGCCCCTTGTCGCCAGTGAGCACGAGTACGGTGGACACGTTGGTATATATGCCAGTGCCGATCATTTTGTTGACGATTAGACTGAACACATCATAAGTCCCGAGCAGAGGGGCGTGTGCAACCGGTCTCGTCTGTGGCGGTTCGTCGCCGTCCTGCGACGGGCTGCGAGATGGTAGGTTCGTCATTTCTATGCCACTGGGGCCGTGTGGCGCCATGGTGATGGAAGGGCTCAATGGCCCGAATGCGTGGGACACACAGCCTCAGACCGTTATGAAGGTGAGTCGCTGTCACCGCAAAAGTGTCCAAGATGACTTTGCGTAACTACAGACAAGAATGTAGGATACACGGCAAATGGAATAGGCAAATACAGATCGCCAGGCAGAAAAGAGCCTGAAGACGAATAAGGATGGGCAGAGACCTGTGTTATAGGGGAACCGGCTCAAAGCAAAATGGGAATGGGGCGCGTCAATAGACTAAGGTTAAAGGAAGAGTGTCAAAGTGAGGCGTAGGCCATCGTTTCGTGTCGTCAGGCTGAGCCAGAACGTCTCTGGCCCGTCGCCATGGCTTGGGATGAGCCCTGTTTCGCCCTGCTGGACTCGAGGTTTGCGGGAGGGCTGGCCCGCCGGTAGACGCCCACGACCGCCACCTTGTGTGCCTTGCCAAGAGCTTGCATGTTCGGGGTCAGGGAGCAAGGTAGGAAATAATTAATATGGCGTCTTCTTCTAGAACGGTGACTCGTGGTCGGCTGGCCAGGAGCATGGACTAGTGACCTGGCGGACCAGAAGTGGATCAGCTACACCGGTTTGGCGGATCCCAGCTTCGACGCTCGTCATTGGACTGTTGTTTGGCCCAGTTCAACAAGCCGTCCTGAAGCTTGAGATCTGGGCAAGTCATCTGCGCCCTAAATTATGAGAGTTGCAGGACGGGTTAGCACAGCACTTGCGGCTCGTGGCAGTGTTGCTTAGCGAAGTAGGCAAAGGGTAGGTGAACGGGAGGATCAAGTTGAGATACTCTGTGCTCTGAGCGCTCAGACAAACCTCTTCCGCAGGCAAAAGGCACGGCGCAGCCATCAAGAGCATCCGGGGCATGAGCTTGGGCATGGCATTCTCTGTCTTTGAACAGACAGCACGCGACATGTATTAGAAGGTGGCCAAATGACTCTCGGGGGCAAGCATCGTGTAGGAGCTTGTAAGGAGAGATTCGTCGGTCAAGGACAGGGGCTGGCGAGGCTGGTGAGGCTTGACTGCGGCTGAGTTCAGGTGAAACCGCCAAGTCACCCGAAGTTCAATACTAGTATCTCCACGTGATGTTCGGCGCCGGCCGGAGCTGCAGGCCCGCCGCGAGCCGAGTCCCGAGTCCCGACGAGGCTGAAAAGCCAAACCATGGCGTCATTGGGGGCCGGAGAGGGTTGTTCTCCGGACTTCTCAGAATATTTGACGCTCTATCAATCGGGCAAATTTTCAACATTCGAGAAAGAGCACCCCGTTTCAGATTCTTGAAGAAGGCATATGACCATCCTGAAGATGAGATAAGTCTGAGCTTGTCAGAGGCGCCATTTTAGGACAACCCGGCTGAGCCAGCACCGCGGAAACCCTCCCAACAAACCACAGTCAGAAATCCAAAATATTGGGTTCCCACAACAGGAGACTAATAGATCATGTCCTCGCCAGAACTGGACATGCAGGCCCTCCAGCAACTCAGAGGCCAATTCTCCCAAGCACTAAAGGACTTTGCTTCTTCGTCGTCGTCTTCGTTTCGAATCTTACACTCGATCCCACCCGCCACGACGGCCCCGACACCATCAAGCCCGATCGTCACAAAGACGGTCTACGTTCTCGACTCGAGCTTCAACCCGCCTTCCAAGGCCCATTCAAGTCTGGTGAAGACGGCACTGAAGTCGCAGACCAAGAATTCGACTCCGAGGGTCCTATTCTTGCTGGCCTCCGTGAACGCAGACAAGAAGCCCAAGCCGGCCGACTTTGAGGATCGGCTGGTCATGATGACTTTGGCGGCCGAGGATCTACGGTCCGCCTTTAATACACCAGCTCCGATAATCGACATCGGCATCACGAAGGAGCCATATTTCGTCGACAAGGCCACCGCGATCGACGCAAGTGGCCTCTACCGTCCTCCAGGCCACGACCCTTCCAGCCCAACGGAAGACGACGACGGTGTCGTCGAACAAATCCACCTCACAGGCTTCGACACGCTCCTCCGGATCTTCACGCCGAAATACTACCCAAACAGCCATCCGCCGCTGTCAGCTTTGGAGCCTTTCCTGAGGAGACACCGCCTACGGGCGACGATCCGCGTCGACGCCAACAGTCCCTCGCAAAACCTCAAGGACGCGCAGAAGACGCAACCAGAGTCAAGTCTGAGTGCTGGATCCCAAGCACCACCCGACCTGACGACGATCGCCGGTCAAGAGGCGTACTTAGATAGCATCAAGAACGGGTCGCTGGAGAAGGACGGGCTCAAGCGGGAGTGGGCCGAGAGGGTGGAATTGGTGGTGGATGATTCGGGAGAAACGGAAGGTGTGAGCAGTACGAAGATACGAAATGCCATGAAGGACGGGGATTGGGACGAAGTCAAAGGGCTGGTAGGCCAGAAGGTAGGAGAGTGGATCAGGCATCGGGGTCTGTATCTAGAAGGGGGGAAAATGTGACGAGAACAAAAAAAAACCAATTAAAAAAGTCCCAAAAATTCTTTCTGCCTCATCTTCTGTTTTGATTACCGGAAGCTCTACACAGGCACGGCTAGATCGGCGGTGCAATTGTTTGGGACACTCCACGTCCGGCGCAAGAGATAATACTCTCTGTACATAACGAAGAATCTCATCATATGGCCAAAGAGCAACTCTGGTCACAGCCATGGCAACTGCTTCTGGTCGTTTGCGCCAACGGGTTCCACCTGCAGGATGGGTTTCCCCTACATCATGGGTTTTCCCTACAGGATGGGTTTTCCCTACAGGACGGGCTCCCCCTACGCCATTGGTTCCCCCTATAGTACGGGCTCACCATTGGTTCCTCCTATAGCATGGATTTTCCTGCCGGATGGGCTCCCCCTACACCATGAGTTTGCCCTAGGTACACCATGGGGGGTAACCCATGGGTTACCCCCCCTGCACCATGGGTTTCCCCTACACCATTAGTTCCCCGTACACCATTGGCTTCCCCTACGCCATGGGTTTCCCCTACCATAAGGTCCCCCTACAGCATGGGTTTTCCCTACATCATTAGCTTCCCCTACATCATAAGGTCCCCCTAAAGCATGGCTTTTCCCTGCAGGATGGGTTCCACCTGCAGGATGATGAGATTGACGCACACTACACGTACCTGTGGTTCTATGAGCGAGACTGGTCCGACTCTAAAGTGCCTGGGGAAAATGGGATATGCTCCAATCATTACAAGCATGGGAAGAAGAGGGGGAGACAAGAAAGAAGGAGGCTGGAACGGTGGAATCAAGGACAGGCTAGATTCAGTTTCTGGGGAGGAGAGAGGGACAGTAATCGTGATGGTTTGTTGTAGCAATCTACCTCGCCTTAGACTCCCTACCTACTGGGTGACAACCGGCCTTCCGGTGTCCATCACATCCTTTAGGTGGACCGTATCCAAGATGGCCAGAATACTCAAGATAATTAGGTAGCTCGGACAGAGAGGGTGGGAAAAGCAGACAATCGTGGCGACATGAACTCCACCGTACAATCGACTTCTTCGACGCACAAAAGTCTCGAAACGCAAAAAAGGTGACATGACCAGATTCAGGGCCAATGAAGTGGTGCCACATATGGCCCTATATGCTGATGAAAGGGGAGTCCGTAAGAAGTCCTGAGTGAATTCAGACACTGCCAAATTTGAAATAGGCCGAGCTACCTCTACCAATTACCACTCTCGCTCCCTCGCGCCCTCTCTCTCTCTCTCTCTCTCGCGCCGTCACGCTCTGACGCCTCCCTCTTCCACAGCCTGACTCACTCAGACCTTGCCTACCTAGGTAAAGTTGAGGCAAACACTGGGTCCCCTTCTCGATTTCTAGAGATAAGTAAGGTAGGTACCTAGGTATCCAAGCTGTCTCATTGGCAGCCGCCCTGGTCGGGCCAACAAGGACGGAAATTCCTCCCTCAAGCCCATATTAGCCACATGTTATTGACAACCGACACTCCAATTGAGGGTATGCATACCGCTAGCTTCCCCACTCCATCTCTCGTATCCGCACTAACCAGAGACTCTGTGGATGACTTCGTCTTCCAGATCAACATGTTTGCCCGCATGGGAGTCCGTATGTTTCGTGCACCGAGTGTGAAATCTGCCTCACCAAGGAGCAGAGGATGGCATGATTAGGGGGTCGGGTTCATACCCACGACTGCCGCTGATGCTCTTGCTGGAACATAGGCCAAATGCGCAGCGAGTCAGGCGCCATGGCACCGAACGATGAGCATACATAGACCAGTCTTGCTCCCCAGAAATCTTGCAGTCTATACCTCTCGTTTCGGAGCCCTAATCGTCAGCCTCACAATAGATCTCAGAAAGAACCCAGACATTGTTTCTCTAGCATGGCAGCTGAGCTCATTTGGACAATCGTCTTCGGACTTACTGCAACGGCCATTGGCCTCGTTACCATCTGGCAGAACTTCTGGGGCGTGCATGTCGAGGCTGAGGGTATGTCGCCCAACCCGCTGGCGTACCATCCAAAGCTGACGCCGTCAAAGTTTCACAGAGACCACCGTATCGTACGTGGTATGGGTGGGGAGCATAGGTCAGGCCTTGATTGTTGCTTGAAGTAGGTAAATACCTCGCCGATACCCATGGACTGAGGTTGCTGACCCTTCGGCCAGGAACTGAATGTTGGCGGAAGAGCAGCACCACCCCAAAGGCCACCGGAAATCTCACACAGAACCCAGAACAGAACGGGGATCTTGAGCGTACATTGCAGAGTTGTGAGAAGAAAGATTGATGTCGTCAATGCCGGTCAGGAAAGAGCTGTCAAGCATTCGAACTTTCGAGCATGATCCAAGTGCAAGCCATCACATCTCAGGGAAGAAGGTGCAAGTGTGTCCTCAGGTGCACCCAACATTTGAACTTGGCCAGGTTGTGTCAGGGATGAAATCTTGGGACAGGGATACATCAAGTCATCTCTTTCTTATATACTCTTTGAATGGCCCGGAGCAAGTCCAGGCATATTGCTGCGCGTATGTCTTCTCACCTCCCAAGTCAGAACCTGAAACCCCAGAAAAATCGACATAACTTGGAATTCTCTTCCCTTTTCACTTAACAGGCTCAAACCTTTCCGCTGCCCTGCTGCAAGCCCGTAGCACCTGCCCCTGGCTTACCGTCACTGCCAGCAGGTTGTGGGGCGGGGTCCGTCCTCTGCAAACCCTTTTCACCTTGATCCGCCTCGGCCTTCTGCATCTGCTCACCCACCTCTCCACTAGCCGTGTTACGAGAGCTGGTGTCACCGCCTTCTTCTTTCTTGCCGCCTCCCTGGGCGCTGTCATCGCTGCCATGTGCAGGCTTTGGGGCCGAGGTGCCGTGAGACGTATCCGTGGACTTCTTGCCGTCCGGGGTCAGGCCGAACACGGCGCTGTGGCTACCCGGGGCGGCATTGCCAGACAGCTTTTCTGTGGGGTTGGGTTCGCCGACGAGGGCCGGATCAGGACCTTTGTCGGAGGATTGGTCTTGGTCTTGGTCCTCGGGGTTGCCTTGGTGGTCGTTGCTGCCGCTGTTCCCTGCCGAGACGGGCTTGGAAGGTGTCTCGGTTGCGGCTGAACCCGAGTCGTTGTCAGTGGACGCCTCGTTCTTGTGATGACCGGGGAGATGATGGCTGGAGAACAAGAGTCAGCTTTCTGGGTCTGCAGCGATATGGCACAAGAGCTCTCTCATACTGAGTGTGGTGATTGTTGTTGTCTCCTGATGACTAGATGAATGTCAACTGAAGCCCTGCCTGTCAGTGGGAGAATGAAGGGCTGTGAACTCACCTCCTCCTTGTCATACCCCATAACGTGGTTGAAGGCGTTCTTTGCAGCTTCCATCGTGGGCCAACTTCTACTACTTGGAGCTTATGGTGGTAGTGTGCGGTGCAGGGTTTACAAGATAACTTTGTGTTGCGTTGTGGTTGTGAGACTTGGATTGCAAGACGATCCTATATCAGAGGTAAAGTGTATCCCGGGAGGAGGAAGGGAGAATCAGGGACGATATATGAACTTGGCCTCTCTCGCTTCACTTCAAGGGTCCTTGTGTAGAAGCATGGCGAGGTGACAGTAGGGAGCAGTGACATGCCCTGGGGCCGATCCATGTTGCTGGGAAGATCTGACGACATCGGTTTGCGTGGGTGTGCGTCATAGCTTCAACACCCCCGAAAGACCGAAAGAGAGAGTAGAGTGAAGTGTGCCAGGTGTGTAACGCAGATTGCAAGCACGTTCGCCATCTGACGCTGGTGACGCTGGTGACGCTGTTTTGGGGCTGCATCATCAATGCGGGGCAAAAAGTGGCGCACCAGCACCTCTACTACTAGCGAGGGGTTGCTACCTGGGAAGCCTTCCTAGGTACCTAGCTCGCTACCTAGGTACCTAGGTAGGTAGATCCGCTGCCACGCTGCGTACATTCTTTGCCCCTCTCCCAACTCGTCAGCCTCCCCCCCGGCAGCTTTGCGAGCGAACCAGTAGTTGCTGCACGGCACCAGCGGATACGACGGGAATGGGCTTGTTGAAATGTGCATATCCTTGGTTCCGTTCAGCCAGTAGAGCCAATAGTACCTCGCAATGGTGATTACTAGTAGTAGGGATGTCCGAAAACTTGGCAGGGCCGATTCCCACAGGCAAAGCCTCATCGGCAAAAGATATCGTTGGAATAGAATAGGGTTGGAGAACTACTACTACTAGTACTACTCCTGCAAGGCAGAAAAGTCACTAACCACAATCAACACTCGTCATCACGCAATGTTTTACAAAACATGGGATAAATTTCATTTCAATTGTCATGGGTGAATCTTACAGCAAAGAAAACGAACCCCATCTCGTGCAGGTCGTGGTAAACAAGGCGTCTCTCTACATACATACATCGTCTTCTTCCTTCCATCTTCTAATCCCCCCTGGGTGCTCCCTTCAGGAAAAAGCAATAGCGAACGTCCCTCTTTTTTTTGGTACAAGAATCAAAAATACACGGATGGCTCTCTCCAACTATGGCCCGCACATGGTCTTTCCATCCTCGTCTGCACGATCCCGCGGTCGAAGCATCTCATGGCTTCAAGCCCACTGGAGCGGCATGCTTGGACATGGTCAGAAACCCTGAGCTCGCTCGGGCATGTCGTGTCTCGGTGCCATTACCAAACCCATAGACTGCCGACGTCGTCATGGTGGTGGTTGTGCTTGGAGTCGAGCTTGTCGTCGCCGAAGTCGACACCTCAAACGCCTCCACCGGTGCCCCGGACGGCCTGACGATGGCTTCAACCGAAGAAGGTGTGGCCGTGACAGTGACGGTGCTTTGCGAAACCTCGGTGACGGTGACGTACGCAATGCTGCAAGGAGGTGGGCGGCCATGTCCAGCCGGGCCAGCACCAGTCTCTACGGGGGCCACAGTGACTGTCTCGGTAACTGTAGACTGTAACGTGATGGTGGTGGTACCTTCGGGGCTTGTGGGAGTTTCTGTGCTAGCCGCAGCGACGTCCTTGTTGTCGTCCCCAACTCCGGGCCCTTGGTTATCTGAAGCTCCCACTGGGCTAGGGGATGGTCGAGTGATGGTAGCATAAATGGTGCTCGTCAAGGTCAAAGTCCTGGTCAGATGCATCGTGGTCGTGACGACAGAAGCCGACTCTCCAGAGCCCATGGTCAACGTAAAGGTAGTATCCTCGACAGTGGTGCTGACGGCAACTTCTTCACCAGATGAAACGGTAGTGGTTGTCATCGACCACTCGGCCCACTCCGACCAGGCTATTGGCGCGTTTGTGGTCGTCGGTGCTGCATTGACGGGTGAGCTATCACTAGAAGTGGGATCGACCGTCTCGGCAGCCACGGTGGAGCCGGTAGGAGTAGTTGAAGTCGAGGTCGGGATGTCTTCAACAAGCGTGTCGACGGAAAAGGTGGTCGAGCTCGTGGTCGTGGTCGAAGTCGAAGTCGTAACGGCCTCAACATCCGGGCTGCTAGATGTAGTTGTCGAAGTGGACGTTACTGAAGTCGTCGTGGATGATGAAATTGTCGGAATCTCGACATCTGGGCTGATGGAAAGAGTAGTCGAAGACGTTCCTACTGTCGTGGTAGAGGACGAAGTTATGGCGGGGTCAATAAGCGTGCTGACAGAGGTAGTTGTCGAAGTGGTTGTTAGTGAAGTCGTGGTAGAGGAAGAAGTTGTGACGGGGTCAGATGTTGTTGTCAAAGTGGACGTTGTTGAAGTTGTGGTAGACGTCGAAGTCGTGACCACATCAATAAACGGGCTGACGGATGTGGTTGTCGAAGAAGACACCACCGAAGTCGTTGTGGAGGACGAGGTCGTGCTTGAGGTTGTCGGATCTGACAGGCTACTTGATGTGGTGGTGGAGCTGGTACCGGGTGTGCTCGTTGTAGGGACTTCGAACCTCGGGCTAGTTGTAGCGGTCAATGAGCTGGTCACCGGGAGTCTGACAATCGCTTTGGACGTGGTCGTTTCGGACTCTGACCAGTCTGCCCAGTCTGACCCGGCGTCTTCATTCGAGCTTGACCCGGCGCCTTCATTAGAGCTTGATCCGGCGGTGTCATCAGAGCTTGATCCGATCGATATAATCGCGTTCACTAGAGCTCGTTTTGGAAGTCGATAAGGAAACCACCCGTCAGGGTGAGCCTGCGCCAACGTCAAGCAAGCCACCAGTGCCAGAGTGTGGAAATGCATTTTGGGGAGGAGTTTCGTGATTCTCGTTCAAGACTCTGGTTTTCTTTTTTGCGTCTCTTGGAAAGATGCCAACACTTCTTCGGCCTCGGGTTGTAGTGTGGTCTTCTACGTCGAGATCAACCCGCTTTGGAACAAAATGAATGTGGTTTGGGGCAAAGGAGTGACGGGATGGGAGTCGAATCGAAAAAAAGAGTGACTGACGTCTCTAGGACGTCTGAAGGCAAGGCTCAAAGGAGTGACGGCGAGATGATGAGAACACAGAGAAGCAAAAAGTAGACAGGACCTGCTGTTGAAGAGAAGGAAAAGGCATGTAAATGCTTGCGGCGAGCGCGGAGTTTCCATTTTGAGGTGCCACATGGCCTGTGGTGCCAGGAAATTGTAGGGTCATCGGGAGGTTGCGAATCAAGCAGGCCAACCCAGACATTTGCCCCAGGACTAGAAAAGAGAGCGCAGATCCAGGATGAAACGCAAAACGATGACCGGCCAAAGAATCGTGGTTGGTTGAGCAGGAGGGGTCGAATAGAGTGTCGCACGATGCGCGAAGAAATACAGGAGGCGGGTGGGGCGGAGAGAAGCGGAGGGCGGAGGCCGATTTCTACACATGATTGGCCCATTACCGCAAGGCTAGAGATCCACTTGTCCATTTAAGGGGTTAGCACCATCGAATATCCGACTCCTGAACAAGGCTGTGGGTGGCACTGTGGCACCAAGTGGCTGTCTGCTTCCTTCGTCGTCATATCGACCAGGCCCTCAAACACTTCAGTACCCCAGCCAAGCTCCTTCTCCTCGAGCTGGCCACATAGAAACCCTGCCAAGCTTGTCACATATTAGCAAACCCCCAGCGCATAAGCCGAAAGCACTTTCTTCCAGGAACAAGACCCCTACAGATCTCGTCGGAGAATTACCGCGTATCCAACCTACTCGCGTAGGCGATCAAGCTGGTACGTAATTAGCCTGCAAGCGGATATAGACGAAGCTCAAACTATCAGTCACTATGTGACACATCCGATCGCTAATCGGGGCAAATGTGTAGCGCGAGTAATATGCATATCATTTCGGATGAGCGCGGTTGGCGTTCGTCAAGATACACGAACATTGGCCGCATCTGAGACGCGTTGCTCAAGGTTTCTCTCTCGTGGCACATTATCGCGCGACTCAAGCCATGTTAATTAAGCGATGATGATCTTTCTTAATCCCCATTCTCCTTTTATGGTTCTCTCTGCATCTCAGAGAGAGAGAGGACAAGCTCATCTGCGATTAGCTTGGACGCCATTTTAGCGGAAAGCCTTGTCTCTGGCCCCCCTGGGGCTCGGTGCTCTACTTTCGGATCATTGAGCAGTGCCTCGTCCGTTGTCCGACTGTATCCAGCATCCACGAGACCAATTCTTCCCCTATAGCGGACCAACATACACTCCGATCATCACGAACGCGCTCAGAATGCAATTTCATGAATTCACGATAATAGTCCACAGAGTAAAAGATCCTCAGGGGTAGGTTCGAAAGGAAATTGATACCAAGGAAATGCCGGCGCCAGCATTATCGTCGTCGACTGTGAGCGAGAATCAAAGAAATCCGAGGACCATCCATTCTGGACCATACTCTATCACGTCTCGGAGGTCTGACTATATCGAAGAAGCTTGCGCCAAGGATTCAAAAAGGAGCGGCCAGTTCGACTGGGGTGAAGGCAAGGGAAATATCCGGGAAATTAGTCATTTCAGTCCCTGTATAGGACAGGGTAGATGGGATCTGGGCACAGTAGTTATGCCTGTCTTCCTCATATCTATTGCTCTAGCATTGATGGGGCTCGCCTTCGTCTGAGAAAGCCTAGTCAGCAATATGAAACTTGAACGTGCCGAGTGAGTACTTACTTTTGATAATCTTCTTCATGGCCAGCACCAAACTCACAGTCATAACAGCAAATCCAAATACAATACATGCCACTGCTGGTATTGTCTTCCAGCTTCTAGTACTGAGCTTGATATAACACAATGGAGGTAAAATGTATGCCAGTGCACACGCACTGGTGGCTCCGATCAGTTCGAAAACGGCCCCGAGGTCGCATGTAATCAAGCTGATCGACATGGCGCTGACCACCAGAGCACTGCTGAAGATCAAATGTCGGTTGGGCTGGTAGGGTTCGTCAGGGAACCAGTAGTTGTTCATGACTTCTCTGCAGACAAAGCACTCAAGAGGAAGGGTGGTGAGCATGTTAAGCCCAAAACATAAGCGAGCGATCTGGACTACCACATGTCCCTGTGACGGGAAATTGTTCAGGACGTTGCCCTTGGTCTTGTCTCCGAACGTGAGGAAACCTGCCAAGGCCATGACAAGGCAGGCAATCAGGGAGATGAAGGTGCTATAATGGGTCACGGTCGAAAATCGGTCTAATGTAGGCGTCTTAAGAGAGCCGTAGATCAGTAAGGAGTTATGATGGCAGACGAAAGCTAGACAGATTAGTTTGCGGCAACCACATGTAGAGGGTCCATACCAAATGATATCACTCCGACGGCCTGAAAGAATCCGTCGTTGACGAAGAGCAGGCCTCTCAGATTCCCCCGCAGTTCTGAGTCGACAACAGCTCCCTGAGTGACGACCGTCACAATGATGATCAGCATGCTGATCAATGCCAACGTAGATGCCTTTGCGAGCTGCGGCCGTTAGCTTTGCCCGGAGCTCCTGAATGGGAAGAGGCACACCTTTGCGATATCCCTGTACAGACTCAGTGGCCAGCTGATACCCAGTATGAAAAGAACAATGACAGCACGTCGATCGGTCAGCAGCCATAGAAATGGGACATCTCTCAACCCGGGGATTAGAGCCTCGATAACATGCGGAATAGTATCTCCGACAATTATACAAAATGCAATCATCCCGCCAAATGCGAACGCCCACTGTGCGATTGAAATGGCGACCAAGCCGCTGGACCCAAAGCAATGCTGCATGGTGGCCTGAAAGGAGTCTGCTCCCGAGAGTTTGCTGTTGATGACAATCAGGCGGATGGTCCAGTCTACCGTGACTGTCAGAGTCACCAGTAGAATTATTCCCATGGTCATGCCAGCTTGCCGAAAAGCATATGGCTGACCAATGATGCCAGCCCCAATGATGGAATTAGCCATGTTCATAAACGCACTGCGCATCCCACTCTTAGGTCTTGCGTCGGGTAGGTGGTCTTCTGGCTGGAAGGAATCGGAGAGAAAGGGAGACTGAGCCGGGGGAGTGATGTCTGTCAACAGGGGAGCATGCTGGCTGGGCGAAGTAAGGTAATCCTCGTCGTCGACCCAGTCTTCTGGAGCTTGGATAGTGGCGGGCTCGATATCGAACCGCACTCGGTTCGTCGTTCGGGGGGTGCCATCGGGGCGAGGATAGGAGAGAGAGGACTGCCTCAGCGAAGGAGGTCGAGTGTCATTGTTGACTGAGCCGGTCGGAGAGTGAACACTGCCATTGGGCGTGTGCTCTGCGGATGCGAGGAGATGCCTGTAACCCTCGATCTTGCCGTTGGCGAGGTCTTGAACAGATCCATTAGAATCTTCGTCATCTGCGGTCATCTCGCAGGAATTTCATCGCGGCTGCCGGGCAATCCAAAGAATGTTGACGAGTGGTGCTCTGGGAGAGTGAAGTGGACTAGCTGTCATCCTCGAAGGGTTACGAGGCATACGAGGCATATCCCACGCACACGTGCTTGTGTGCGCAACCACGCAACCACAAACCAACCCGCTACGGACGAGCATTGGGACAAGACAAGCGAGTTTTCCCACTGCTCTGTCGTTGTCTGTTTGTCGCTACGCTCTCTCTCCTCTCTCTTCTCAACCTGACTCGTATGTTGCCTGTCATTGGCACTCCACCAGAGTCAACCAACTGTCGCTGCACACTCGTTGAGGATCGAAACTTACGCGGCTCGCCTTTGCACCTCATGACTTTTATGCAAATGACCCCTCAATCCCCATGGCCCAAAGGCACTTCCGAGTCCAAATGGAGGGCCTGAAATGCTCATCGGGCCTCACGCCATTCGGATATGCTGTTCACTGCCGCATTCTGCTCCTCACAGGCTTAGTGTTAATTGCTGACTCGCCGTACCCTAGGTGTGAAGAGGTAAAGAACACGATTTGAAGATTGCCAAACGTCGGACAGACCATTGAGCTTTCTTCAATTTGATCCTTCCGAGGGGCTGCATACCTAGAGAACGAGGGACTCGGTTTCTTTTATAAAGGCTGCCTCCGGATTCGCTTTTTGAACGACATCGTCCAATGCCAGTCTCTCACGATGGCAGATTTTAAGGATAAAGTATGCTAACCTCTCCCTTTCCGAGGCCTATATTGATATCTCAGAAAGACTAATCCACTCTTCATTTGATCAGGTCGTTGTTCTAACAGGGGCGTCTAATGGAATCGGTGCGGCAACCGCTCAATTATTTTTGGAGCAGGGCGCAAAAGTCGCAGCTTTGGATATTGTTGACGCTGCAGCCTCGCCTGACGGAGAACGGCTCAATGTTAAATGCGACGTCTCTTCTGAGGAATCCGTGAACGCAGCAATCAAGCAAGTCCTGGACAAATGGTCCACCATTGACGTCCTTGTTAATGTCGCCGGGGTTATGGATCAATTTGGTGAGAAGGACTCACCCCCTCCAGACCGAACAGTGATCCCTCCCGACCAAGCTTCCAATTCTGCTGCCGACACTGGAAAACTAACGCACCCTGTGCCCCATGCCTAGAACGAGTCGGCGACGTGTCCAACGAAATCTGGAACCGCGTCATGAACATCAACCTCAACGGACCCTTCAACACGATGCGCGCCTGCATCAACCACTTCCAGACCAAGACGACCGAACAAAAGGGCCGCATCGTCAACGTGGGATCCCTGGCTTCCATCAAGGGCGGCACCGCAGGGGTCGCCTACACGACCTCCAAGCACGCCTTGCTCGGCCTCTCGCGCAACACGGCCTGGATGTACGCCAAGGAGGGCATCCAGTGCAACATCCTGCTCCCCGGCGGCGTGAGCACGGATATCCTGAAGAACAGCAATGCCATCCCAAACAAGGTCGGAATGGATGCGGTGATGCCGACCATGGCGACGGCGGTGGGGACCTGTGCACCGGAAGACATGGCGAGGGCGATTCTGTTCTTGGCCGGCGCCCCCGGCGTCAATGGGGCTGAGTTGAAGGTTGATAAGGGCTGGTCGACCGCTTGAGGGGTAAAACAAGGCATTGAGCGAGCGAGAGCCGCCTGGTGACCCGAAGACGCTGGTCGCGGCCAAACAGCTTGAGACAAGCTCGGAGAATACGCAACGATCCCAAGGCCGTGTTTGACCAAACAGTCAGCTCGGCGAAATGCAGCTTCGGGGGCGCAGGGCCGAACGTACACGAAAAATTACCTATGACTTGTTCGCTTCGTGTCTAGGACCAGTTTATTCAAGAACAGATCATATTGACTCGGGAAGAATCGAACCTGTGAACCAGGAACAAACCCCACAATTGGGATTTTCTGTCTCTCTACAGAACTGTAGGACTGGTAGCCTATCTTCCGCATTCGCCTGGGGGGGCGGTAGAAACTAAACAATAAAACTAAAAAGAATAATGCTGTACAATGCTCTGGTCTGTCTCTCTCTTTTTCTGGAGGATGCTGAGTTTTCGCAAGGCAAAAGTGAAGTCGCCGCTTTCGTGTTTTTCCTGGTCCGGTCTCGTCTGGTCCGACTCCCTCCAATCTCATCAACCTGGAGGGAGGTGGCCATACAAGACTAACATGAAAAGAAGAGGAAAAGGAGGATCTTATTATTATAAAATGAATCCCGCCATGAATGCAAATGCCATCAGCGATACTAAAAGGAGGTTGGACCGCGTGTCTCTCACGGCGGAGGATGATGAAGACGAAGAAGAGGAAGACGAACCCGAGCCGCTCGATTCTCCAAAGGGGCTGCTGTCGCCGGCTCCTGTGGACGACGTGGCTGGCGCACCAGCACTGGCTGTGGAAGTGGGGTTGTTTGGTTTTGACGTTATTGATGTCGACATGGTGGTTTGGGGCTTTGAAGCCGTGGCGGCGCCGCTGGAGGTCGGTGCGGGTGACACGGTCGACGCAGACGGACTTGACAAGTGAGCGCTGCTTGTTGCCGCCGCCGCCGCCGACGACACGGAAGAGGTGGTTGCAGTGTTATCGTCACCGCCGGCAGAAACAGCTCCTGATTTCGTGCCAAACCCGATCCTCGCATTGTCAAAGTCCAAGACCGTGTAGACGTTTTTGAGAAACACATCCCCCAGGATCCAGTCGTTCGGCCCAAACGCCTGGTGGCCGATTATGTTACTCTGGCAGCTTCCACTGCTGCTGCCGCTTGCTGGCTTGCCGACATAGTCCTTGGGAGACACCGAGTACTTCACGCCAGAGAGCGTGAAAAAGACATCAGCCGAAGAGGAACAAGGGATCGTGTAGGTCTCTCCGTCGGCCGAACTGCCAGGAATAAGCTGGTGCAGAGCATCGGCGTCAGAGGGAGGTAGCAGGATGTATGATGTCCCCGTGTCGATCATGGCGGTTTTGGACTGGAAGCCCACCGACTTGCCATCCACGCCCGCGTCACCGGCGGCAATTTGCCAGCTGTTGGTATTGATCGTTTTGGAATATGACAATTTGCCGCTGAATTTGGACGAGTCGATCCCGCCAAACGTGATCTGTCCGTCATTCGTCCCGTCCGAGCTTCGTTGTAGGTGGATGCCCAGAACATTTGCCGCCAATTGGCCATTGTTGTTCAACACCTGCATGATAGTCGGCGACCCCAACGCATCCGAGGCGGGCCGTCCAAGTCCCAAGATGCCGTCCATGGGATAGTTGTCGAAGTCATCAGATGCCGAAGAGGCGAGGCCAAACCCCAGCTCAACCGTGTAGTTTGCCAACTGCACCGTGTCTTTGACCACCACGCCCTCAACCTCTCCAGTGCCATAAGTCATACTCCAAGTTTGAGTGGTTGTCTGGAGCGTGGTCGAATCCTCACTGCCATATGTATTGTGTATCTGGCAGGCATTCGATTTGCAATTTGTGCCCATGACCCAGGTATTAGCTGAACCACTGTCGATCAACATGTACATCTCTTGGCTCGTGGACCCGAATTTCACAGTGGAGAAGTAGGTATAGTCGTCGCCGTCTTCGTTGATTGCCATGGCGTTTGGGACGTTGGGAGCTGAGGAGTTGACGACCGGGAACACATTGTTCCTTTTTACCTATGATCTTGATTAGAGACTCTCCATGCGGCACCCAATGAAGCCTTGGACTTACCACTGCTCTCTTGATTTCAATGGTCACCACCGCCGAGTCGTCGTCGTGCGGACGCTCAGTACCCAAAGGGATGAACCTCTTGCTCTTCTCACTTCCTCCATCGCCAGTATGGTAGGGATAGAATGCAGAAACACAGGTAGATAGCAAGGGCAGGGATAACCAGCGACGATGCATGGTTTATCTGCGCTCATAAAAACACAAAATCAATCCATTTGCGTATGTCGAATACTTTTTCTTTATGGTTTCAAGCCAAAGGAGCCTGTCCAGATTAAGTGATTGCAATAAGTTGTAGCCTCGATTTGGTATCCTGCCCAAGTTCAATCAAGGAATAAAAGAGTGCAATAGACAATACAGTAGTAGCCAAAGAGAGAGCTCGAAGGATTCTCAATCAAGAGATCCCACAATGCAGCTCTGAGATAGAAGCACAGTGATAATACTCAGGTAGTGAATGGTGAATGTTGATGCAAGAACGAGGGAATATTCAAAAAGGCATGTCACTGAAGTTCTTGCAAGAGGTTGAACACCTAGATCCCACCACATACCTAACTGAAGCCACAGCGTCGCCATGCCAAGTGCATCCAAGTGCATCAGTGCGGGTCGTCATCTAGGGGGCGAACCCCCCGAATGGAGCAGAGGAGCCCGTTCGCGTACCTGACGATCTTTTTCGTGCTCACTCCATTGGTCCTGAAGAATGCGTTCCGAAACCACGGCAGGGCTATCTGGGGTCAGTCATGGCTCGGGCTTGGGGCCAACCCCTTTGTGGCTGGATCGAGAACTGCGGGCTTGTCCTCAGGGCCAGATGTTTCGTTTTGAGCGGTTGGAGAGAAGGTAAGACAGAGCGGGGGATAGCGAGATCTTTTCTCTAGATCAGATTTCTCGTTACAGTGGCAGATCGTTAAAGAAACCCTCAGACACCTCAGCGACAAGAGACTTCAATTTGACACGGGCCAAGGGCCAAGCAAGACGAAAAACGACTCGGAGGACTCGAGTGTCTGCGAAAGGGGGGGCAACAGGATGGAATGGCCGGATGCTGGGAGGAGTGGAGGTTTGGTGGAGTCCAAGAGCGGGTATCATCTGCTCATGTGGAGTTACATCAGAAACACTCGGCCGCTGGCACTGCCACCACCAAACGACAACTCAGTAATGGAAAGATGCGCTGAGCGCTTGATTAAAAGGAAATATACGTCGTCATCCCCGACCAACGTGAGATAACGTGGTATAGGTCACAAAGGGAGAGAAAGGCACACTGACGCTCGTGCTACAACGCTGTCATGACAGTCGCAACAGTCGGCAACGGCCGGGCCATTGCTTCGACGCCCATCAACCAGTTATGGCTTGGCTGTCTTGCCCTGTTGGCCGAACAGATCGTCCAGGAACCCAGTCCAGATCTTGCGGATCGTCGCCTCATCCTTGTCTTTGACCATATCCACAAATTGGCGGGCACTCTTGCCAACGGTCTCTGTGAGAGCTGTGAGCATTTCGACCGACAGTTCGGTAGGATGATGGCCATCGTGCACATCGCTCATGGCACTGGCCGAGCCACCCGCGACATCCCCAACACTGAAGATTTGTGGCTTCATAATCGTCTCATAGCCTTGGGTATCTTGGTAGCCGCCGGCAGCTGCGTCAAGCTCCGGGTGCCTCTCCAAAATGGCTTCGGCATGCTCGGATTGGATGTAAGGTAGAATGGGTACTCTGATTGAGGGCGGGGTCGGTCCCCATGCCTCTTCGTGAAGCTTGGGAAGGTAGGCAAAGTCAATGGTAGACGTGTCACCCACCGCCTTGAGGGAGCGAGAGGTGTTGAAGTGTCGCTGGGGTGCAGTTTCAGAGGGACTAATGAGTGGTCAGTTTCAACCTAACACACAAACAGGAATGTGCTGGAACTAACCCCGAGACCGGCTTCTTTGTCTGTTCGACGGCAATTCGCTTCATGGCAATAGAAAATGCCCTAGCCTGCAGGCTGTCATGACCAGCGAGTCGGTCAATGAGCTCGTGCTTGGTACCCGAAGCCGAAAGTGTTCGTTTCTGGCACTCTTGACGAAGGTCTTGCAGAGACCATGGCACATAGGTACTCTTGTGATTGGGATCAATGGGTCTCGGAGAGGCATGGACACCAGTAATGTGCAGACTCCGTTTGGCCGGGGCCGAGCCGGAGGTGCGCTGAAGGTTACGCAGGGCTTTGAAGGAGGATGCTCGAGGAGCTGCCATGGTGATGGAGACAATTGTAGATTTATAGATTAGGACGGGTATAGAGATGGCGGAGGGTCGGGGATGTTAATGAATCGTGTGGAAGATGTTGTGGTCGATGTAGTCCTGAGGAGGGTTCATATGCAGGGTTGAAGGTGTGGAATGGTATTTGAAGAGGGTGGTTGACCTGTACAAAATATCGGTGAATCGGAGTGAAATGGCGGTCACGGTTGAGTGTTGGTGATATGCAAGAGGAGGGGTATCGTCGGTGTACGAAGGGAGGCGAGAGAGCAACAGAAGCAGCAGGATGATGAGATGTAGCTGCGGCCGGGGGAGATGGTCATGGCCTTATGAAGCACAGCTCTGCGCCTATCTCATTCATCATTCGGCGTTCAATGGAGAGGGTTCGCTAATGGCGGGCCAGTGGCTCCGGTGGCTGTTACTGGCTGTCCGCGGCCACTAGGCGACGGGATTGGGGCAGCTTTGGGGGGGCACTGGGGGATTGGGCCTGCAGCCACCAGGGCCACCCAGGGGCCTTTAAGCGTTGAGCTCAGCCAAGGTGCAGCTTCGGTCTCCGCATTCCCGCCCTCTTGACCGATTTGGGGAGCGAGTGGAGTTCTCAACACGGGCTAACCCTTCCCACCCACGGCAAAGTACCATGCCTCGCATGCATGTTTACTCTTTTCTGCAGCTTTGTTGTAAGAGCGGTGTACAGATTGCACTCACAAACAACGGCACACGGTGCCGACGACAAATGGCAGAGCAGCAATAATAAACAAACATGCTCTGGCTCTTTTTGCTCCAGTCATATGATCCTTTTCCAATGGCGGTTTCCGCCGGCAATAGTCGTCCGGGGTATCTAGCTGGAAAGTATCGAACTGGAAAGTATGGAACACTGTTCCTTGGATGCCGGTAAAACATATAGCCATTCTGCAGGCTGAAGATTGTTGGACAAGTAAAGTCACCCCTCACAAGTCATTCTCGCATCTTCCCACTCTCCGTCTAGGTAGACACGGAGTAGGTAACAACATTGTGATTATAGTTCGCATTGCGGACGGAGTCGTATCTCGCTTTGCGGTCCACAGGTCCGAATGCTAGCCAAATCCTGGCCTCTCAATCAATATATGAGGCTGACCAGTTGCTAAAAATGGTCGGGGGATTCGGGTTTATCGAAGCTATCGACTCCACCACTCTTCCAATGGATCAAAAAGGTTCCTGAGTCCCGAACCCCTGGAGGCTCGGTGCGTGCCCGGCGCAATGCTTGCCAATTTTTTGTTGTTCGTCGCATTGTTTTCTCAACATGCTTCATTTTCGACTTTGTGAAGTCCGCCATCCTAATTGCATTGTCCGATGCCCAAGTTGTTTGCCGCTATTAGACTAGCTCGTGGGCTGCCCGCGGGGATGAATTGGGGTATTGTGGCTTCCTCGGTGAGCAGGTAACTCTGGTAAGGAACAGATCGCGTGCTCTTCAACACCCTTGATGCTGTCGTCGGATAATGTGGTGTGTGCTTTAAGGCGTCCTTGTAGGTGCTATACCATTTGCAAGAGGAGGGAGACGTCGGTTTTATCAGGATAAAATACCCCAGAATTGGGTCGAGGTTTGATGATTGACGGTGCTCTTGTTCGTCTTGACTCTTCAGAATGGAAAGCCCTGGTATTCCGCCTCTGAAGGAATGACCTCGAGCAACCTATCGCCCTATACAGAGCCGGGACGTTGCTATTGAGATCAGATCAAATGCTCCCCCTGCTGCGACGACATGGCTTGTCAATCAATTGTCCCGCCAGGTGCAAAGGAGATCCCTTTATATCGATTGAAAGCAGGCGATGGATGATGTCTTGCTTCTCTCCCTGAAACTTACCACTCGGCCGAAACCTTTGTCACTGGCTCTACTTTGTCCTCTAGCCACTGCCACAGTCGATGTTTGCTTGTATCCCTTCAAACGTTGTCTCGAAAGCTCTGTCGGTGTGCAGAGTTGCTTGTCGTGGGCCAGTCCTGTACGGCTGGCGGTGCCTCCTCTCTGAGACCACCGGCGCCCTAACCCGTCGACATCACTCTTCCACGACGATACCACGCGCCTCCGTTGTCTTCTCCTCGTTTCCCCTCGTCCAAGATTCCGGAAACCTTTGGAATTGAATCCGTCACTCGCCGTCACTCGTTGCCAAGCTCCTCACACGTTCTCCTCTCAAATTCGGCTTGAGATTGCGTCCTGCTCTCGCTTTCTTCTCTTTCCTCGCCACCTCCCCAACTCCTCTTCCCTCTTCATCCTCATCCTCTCGGTTGTTCTGCAAAGCTTCGAGCTGTCCTGCATCTTTCTAGCAAAACACAATTATCCTTGCACTCCAGCAGCCCGGGTCCTGCTCTGAGAGGATCCCGGGTCAACTTTTGTGAGTTAGTTCTGTCCCTCACACGCGGCATGATCGATTGTCGCAGGCTAACACTGTCGAAAGACTTTGAGCAGCGTGCCAATTTGCCTACTTCCACATAACATAGCTCCATCAAGGCCCTTTTGATACACTTCGAAGTTCACCATGGCACGCGGACGACGTCGTCATGTAAAGAGCGAAGATGATGAGTCGGAGGAAGAGGTCCTGGAACCAATGTCTCCGACTACACAGAAGGAGCATGATTTGAAAAAGATTATGCGAGTATGTCCATCTAAAAGCACTACGCGAAAGCTCCTGACTGACCTTGCTTCTCAGATGGACTTGTCTGAGAAAGTCGCAGATGCGATCAAAACCAGCGACTATGGAAACCGTTCTCGTCTCTTTACTGGACCCTCCATTACTCCAGAGTGCAATGTCGAGGGCACAGAAGCGGCCCGCGTCGCGAAAGAAAATAAAGAGCCGACTACTAGATGGCAGAGTGAGATTGCCTCCTGACATTGTATCTACGTGGTCTGACCCTTTATTAGCATTCGGACAGAGCGATGAAGCCGTTGACGCCCTCTTTACCCAGAAACAAATCGGTACTGGCAATACTCATCGGCACACGGTCGAAGAACTCAAGAGAGAAGAGGAGTCACGTCTCGGGCACAAACTTAGCCTCCAAGACACGTACAATGATCATGGTGGCACTCGACGAGCTGGAAAGCGAGTCGCATCTCTTCCAACTCGTCCTGCAGCAGCGTGAGCACCCTATTTAATGCTTCTCCGAGACCTGGCTAACCTGCACAAAGGCCTCTTGCTCCATCAGGTGGCAGCGAGCATCCATTTTCTGCTGCGCCAAAGGAATCAGCGTATGCGAAACGTGGTAAAGCAGTCGAGGCCGCTCAACTCACTACGGCCAAGATGTCCCTCATGCCCATGCCTGCACGTCCTCAAGTTGCTGTGACCACAGTTGAATCCAAGCGACGCGGGGCCACTTTGCCGGTCAAGTCGCATGGTTACACTCTGGTAGAAGATCCATCGGTGTTCATGTCATCTATCAAGGGCAAATTAGGAGGTTGGCCGCAGGACAAGCAGACAGAAGCCCTCGGGACGTCTAATTCCGCTGCAAATACAGCTCAAGCGACATTAGCAGGCCCTTCTATCGAACCGGCTGCTCAGTCCAAACAGACTTCTACTGATCATCTTCACGACTCTTCCATTCGCCGAGTCCCGGTCGCTGAACTGTCTTTCCCGGTGGCGCATGCTCTGGCTCCAGGCAAAGTGTCAACTCATACAGACGGTGCACCGAGCCCTGCGGCTCTATCTGGTTTCTCGACCTCAACCACGGACGGTGGAGAGTCTTCAAGTCGAATTCAAGGCGTTACTAATGATTTGATTGGCCTTGGTATCCAGGATGCTCCTTTGTCCGACACTCGTCACCTGCTAAAAGTGGATAGCGGACGCGGTCTTGCTGCCACTGCTAGTCCACTATCTCCCAGTGGGAGCATTTTGGACTCACCTATCCTCGAACAGGTCAGCAGCGAGGTCCTTCCCGCCGAAGCTGCTCAAGTTGTCGACAACACTCCAGCCGACGCTGCTCAAGTTGTCGACAACACTCCAGCCGACGCTGCTCAAGTTGTCGACACCACTCCAGCCGACGCTGCTAAAGTTGTCGACATCGGCGGCCATCGATATGTCCTGGAGTCGGAGGTATTGATTCTCAAGCAAGCGTTTGAAAACCTATTGGGGAGTGCCACCACCGGCCTTGTCAGCAACTCTCTAGCTTCTGGACCTGCTCGCAATGCTGTTTCTGCACCACAACCGCCTTTGGTCTCTTCAATTGTCGCTTCCCCTAGCGCTTCCACCGCTGTTCGCTGCCCGCATCCTGTCAATCCGTTCGCACCTCGCGAACCATTGGCTTCAAACGACACCAATATTGCGGCGACACAAGTCTCCTCTTCCACGGCCAACAAAGGCTCAAGCAAGCCATCTACCACAGCGAAGCCAGCCACTCGACCTTCTTCGGTTGTGACAAGCAATACGACCATCATTTCGAAGTGGGCTGACGGCCAATCATCTCGTCCTCTTCCACGTCCTATTGCTCCTGTGGTCCGTCCTTCATCGCCGATCATTGGTGATCGGAAGGTGTTTGGTCGCATCTCGAAGGCAGCTGCCGAGGGCGACAAATACGAACCTCCTCCGCCACGATCCAAGCGCAATGCAAACATCAAGTCTCGATCTGAGCGATATGAGCCTGAGGGCTTGCAGTGGTTGCTGGCGGATATTGCCGAGGGCAAACAGAAGAATCCTGCTGCAGATGGTGGTGAAGAAGAGTTGTGATTTTGCATCTGTGTGGGGACATGGTGCATCGCGGTGCATGGCTGCAGCAACATTGCTGAGCAGCAAACCATGTCCATTTTTGGATGGAAAGTGCACAGTAGTCCACAATCAGCTGCGGTAGAAAGGAAGAAAGTGCTGGAAGAAAGAAATTGGAGCTGAGAGAGACTGATTGACTTGGTAGAAGCAGCTTTAGATAGCAGCCTCCCATCAAATACCCCAAAAGTTGTGTCCTATTCAGTCAACACGCCTTGTTTTTCATTCCCCTCTTTTTGTAGGTCTTCTCCCCAGTTCTTGTATCTATTGCTCACGACGACCGTTCGATCAGCAAGCCACATCTTCCTTGTCGTCCCCGACGAAAGTTCATAAAGACGACCCGCGAAACATTTGCCCAAGTTACGGGGGCTGGCAGAGCTCTTGGGGCTGGCTGTAGCCGAACGCTTGATCAATGTTTTCGCCCCATTTGATAGAACCATTCGATCTTACGGTGGCAGGTGGTGCTATGGCCAGCAGATACGAGTAGGGAATCACCGCCGCTGTGCTAGCTGCTGATGAGAGTATACACAGCTACGGTGCCGAGCAGATAGAGAATGATGTAGCGGGACGGACGTCGCAATGGACTAGGTAGAGATTCAGGTAGGTTTTGCATGTGTCAGTAGCTCGTGCGTGGTTCGAGTGTGGGCATACTCCACGGGGAAACCAAGTCAGCGGTGAAGGGCTTGTCCAGCAGACGCAATGCGTCCCAGCATTTTGTGATCTGTTAGAGTACTTGGTACTCAGTACGAGATACTTGATACTTGGTTACCAATGAATATCCAGACGAGGATTGGTGACTGTTTCCATCCACAAAATACCAAATCGAGCCGATCACCACTTACTATGTGGCAGCTGGCCATTACACTGCGGGCAACATCATCAACTACCAGTCAGCTTCCAAGGATGCTTGCAAGGTCGCATTCACCGATCTGAACGTGGACTCGGTCAAAATCGTCCACAAGGCCGATGGGACGTTCGTCATTGACAATGAGTGAAAAGCCTCTAGGTGGTTTGGGTTACGTATGAAAACAGATAGACCTCTGGCGTCGAGGTATAAGTGGTTTTGTTGGAAAGTCAAAGATAGCAGAGTCTCAAATAGAAAAATCTCAGATTGTTCGACAAGAGCAGGTCACCGTGTGGGGCAAACAGATTTGTATCTCCTTTAATCCCCGTCTAGAATGAACGAGCAGCCGCGTACCCTGATCAACAGCGACGACGCGGTGTGATATTCCCTCGCCGGGTCATCAGGACCTCAACCCCTCTTTCACGAGTGAGAAGAAAACAGTCAAGATTTTGAGTTGCTTCGACTGTTAAGAAAAGGAAGGTCAGGCTTGCCGTTGCCTCAAACTTTGGCCCATGTGGGGGCCTGCTGTGGCACAAGGGCACGGGGAATAAATCGACGGCTTGCATATCCTCTCGTCTTACTTCTCTTAGTACTCGTACGCCGCCGTCGACTGCCGCGAACTTGTAGACTACTGACCTCGCGAAAAACTGCTCTACTCGTGTGCGCCGAGAGAGAATCTGAGGTTTCCAAACGGCTTTCTGCTCAAAAAAGTGAAGTGGGTATATAGAATGAAGAATCGAAAAATGAGTCGCCAGTGACTGCAAAGTGAAAATCCTCGAGGAGAAGGCTAAAGGCCGCTAGTACTACCTACACCTACCTAGGGTAGGTATATATAAAACTGGCAATCTCTTCCTCACTCAACTCAGATCCACATACCCAGGGCCGCGAAGCGTCAAGGAGGTCGTGAAGGTGAACATTGGGCCCTCCTCTCACCGACATCACCTGAGCTGCGTAGCCCTTGCTCGCCGACTTTATGTCTGAAGAACTCCTGAGAGAGAATTCAAATAATGTCTGTGACCATAGATCGAACGTCCTCAACAGCGTGTCTACCCCCTAGTACCTGTGGACGTCCACTGCGGGACGAACGTACTCGCCAACTGCAGACTGTGATGGAGTGAGGAGCGGAAGCTCTGGTCAACGTAGTATCCTATATCCAAGGTTGGGTATTGCACGTCCCCAACAAGGTCTCACCCCCTTACTACATCTGGACGTCCGCTATCGTGCGAACGCACCCGCGGCTAGTGTTGCTGGGAGGTAGATAGACTTCATGTGGTTTCTGTACGCGGCTGTTACAGGTAATGTTGCTTGGAGTATGATAACCGGTGGCCCCGTCTTCGAGAAGGATATTATGGGAAGAGAGCATCGAGGGAACTTGAATTCGCCAGACTGTGATGGAGGAGGTAGGAAACGACCACCTTGGTCTGCGTAGTACAGCATTCTGTGTCCCCGTTGAAGGCCTCTCACCCCACTCCATCACCAGAGACCAGCAGATAGCCTGAACAAGTTAGAGCTCCTTAAATATCTACCTTCACTATGCTGTCCTACAAGGATTCTCTTCAAGCAATCCGAGACTCCGAAAGAACAACTGCAGTGGTTGCCAGGGTCCAATCCCACCAAGATGGTATCGCAGGTTGGACGGCGGACGTTCTTAACAAGGTCTCTTTACCTAGTGTGTATGTAGACGGTCGCTGTCGCTGTCACATCAACGAATGTGATGCTGCGTCTGTTATGATGCAGTCGAAACGCCCGCCCTTGTCACTGATTAATGCGGGCGCTTGCTTTGGCGTGGTATCCTTCAACAAGGCATGCCTGCTGGAGGACCTTTGAGGAGGACTTGCCGTTCTATGACTGTGGGTGATTCTGGCTGCTGGAATATTTCTGCAGATGCATGTCGTGCTTGCTGGAAGCCCCTTTTAAGGAGAGACTGGCTCTTGGGCTGCTGCCAAGAGTTTCACCTTTTCTGGCGTGTGCCTTGCCATTGAACGCACTATCCTTTTTCAGCAGGAGAGGAGAAACAAGCAAAGATGGAAATAGAGGCTACCGGCACATAAAAAGTCTCGTCGTGAGGGAGTCAGTCTTAATCTATCAAGCAGTGCTTTGTATAGCATCCACTCATAGCTTTTGTCTTTGTCCTATCCAGGGTATCTCAGCAAACGGACTCCTGCTTCACGCTCCTTCATTGCTCCATCGATTCCCGGACCCGTCTTTCGACCGCCTCTCCGGCCCGTTGTCTAACCATCCTTACAATCCAGTCCTGTTGTTTCGTTCCCAGTAATCTCAGTCTGTTCAGATACGTTTGCAACGTCTCAGGATTGGCTGGGTTGGACTGGAGATCAGTAAGGCCGTTGGTGAGCAGCCAGCGTTGGACACGCTGAGGGTCTGAGAATTCTTCATCTTGTCCTGAGGAAGCCGAGGGAGGGTTGGCCGAAGCAGAGCCATTTGCAGTTTGTGACGATGACTGCGGTTCTTGAGGTCGGGAGGTTTGGACAGGGCGAGTTTGTCTTGGTTGAAGGTCCTCTGCTTCCTCTTCAGCGTCTGAATCAACGTGCCGTAGCACCGCATGACCACTGGTTAAGACACGCTGGGATGTTCTTGCCTGATCACCCTCGTCTTCTTCGTCGGCGTCTTCGACCATAGCTGAGTGTGGAGGATGTGACTGTCCCGTTTGAGCCGTCATGGCTTCCGTGTCGGGGATACTCTCCAGTTCCGGCATACTGTCACTGTCGTCATCATCTTCATGGCTCGGATTATTCTCGTCGGCTTCCACATAGTAGTCCCATCCACCCGCCATCCCCAGCCCTTCAGGCGTAACACCTTCGCCAAGTTCCTCCGCGTCATCCAGATGAATCCTCAGAAACTCCTCAACCATTTCTGGAGGGACATTGCCCCCGAGCTGTTCTTGCAGTTGGCGAAGTGCAGCCTGGCCTTCCGACTCACCTGCTGTGTTTGCGTCTTCTGCGGCTGCGGGCTGCTGGAACCAATTCATGATCCGCGTAAGGAGGCTGCCGGCTGTGCCAGCAGTTGCCCCGGCGGCGTTGAATATGACTTGCATAGTTCCATCGGCTCCTCGCGAAGGAGCGGCGCCCGGTGCTCGAGCTACAAAGTCGGACAGTGAGTCCGGGGGAGGGAGGACATCGGAGGATGAAGTGGGCATGGTAGTAAACCGACGTGGAAGCAGGGCAATTAGCGAGGGGATTTCGAGGAGCATGATATGCCTGGCTTCTTCGAGGGAAATCTCCAACTTTGGTGCTTCTGGAGCGGCAGAAATGGCGTCGCTATAGTGAGAAAGGGTTTCCGCAACTTCGGCAAGGATGCTGATGGTCTCCGGGGTGTTCCACAAGTCCTTTGCCCGACTGACGTAAAGTTGAGTGTAGAGCTTTTCCGCGTCAGTGGAAGGTAGTTTTGCCCAGAGGGACTTGGGAAGCGGCGAGATGTCGAGTGCAGAGGCGAGAGCGGATAGAATGTAAGGGTATTTGTGCATTGCAACCGCGAGACGAACACGGGCGTCTCGCGGTTTGCCCGCCCGTTGATAGGCGAGCGCCAGAGAGATCTGGATGTTGGGCAGGAAATCCCACGCTTGGCCGTACGCCTCGTCCGAGCAGAGGGCAATGAGTTGCGCGTGTTGCCGGCCTCTCAAAGCAAGTTGATCGATCATTAAAGTCACTCCATAAGGATCTGTGAGCGGGTTGAGCTGAAGAAGGACTTTAGCCCATTCAAATGCGGTCCGCCACGTTCCTCGCATCTCGAGATTTCTGATATACCGCCAGATTGCGAGATATAGTTCTCGGTTGGCGGGTTTATTGAACGGTAAACGAGCGACGCCATTTCTCAGGGAAGCTGGAAAGCTGCTGTGCACAGACTTGCCGAAGGAGAACAATGCACGCTCAACAAGATCTCCCGAGACAGCATGGTCACCTTGATGCTTCGCAATTTCGGAGACTTGCAAAAGAGTGGCAATGTGGTACGGGTACATGGATAGCAGGCCTACCATCCGTTGAGGATCCATGGATTCGACAGCCATGCGGAAATGGACTTGTGTCTCGCGATAAGCGTTGTTGTGCATGATGTTGTATCGCTTCTCGGGGGAGTCCTTGGGATCAAAGTCCGGTTTGACTAGTTCCATGCTCAACCCTCCACTCGTGGCCAGGGGCCACTCTTCTTTCCCCTGTACAAAGACGTTCCGCCTATGTGCGAGAGACCCTAGCTCTTTGCCTCTGCTGGCGACACAGTATCTTCCCGTAAGCGCAGTCGCTAGGTCGACGCCACCCTGCAGGTTCACGTCCCGACGGCGTTGATTGCGGGGTGAAGCACGAGATTCTTGCCCTTCCAGTGCAATGTTACCAAAGAGGCTTTTCATTTCGTTGACAGGGTTGAGGTTGTGTGAATCGACAGCCAGAAGTCTTGTTGCTCTTGACTCCCAGGTTGGTGACTCTTGTTTCTCGGTCCACGCGGCCTGCGCTCGCCCTTCTTTTGCAGCCAACTCTTTCAGTGCCCGGTCAACTTCATCCCCAGATTCTTCGGTGTGTTCCTTCTGTACTTCTACTTTACCCTTGCCTTTCTTCTTGGGTTTCTTCTTTTTCTTCTTCGACTTGGCTGGAGGGGTGGACGTTGAGCCTTGCGGTAGGTTGGTGTTGGGCGTTCCTGTAGCTTCTGCGCGTGAAATGGACTCGTATTCATGTTCATCAGACTCGTCATTATCTTCGACTTCTTCAAGCATGTCAAAAGCATTCATAGGCCGCGAGGGCGGTTCTGGGACATCATCCTCTTCTTCTGACTCTTCGGCCTCCTCGTAGGCCCTTTTGGCAGCCTCGACTTGTCTCTGTAATTCCTGCTCCCGCTGCAACTTGCGAAGAGCTCGCGAAGACATGTTGATCGTGTCCTGCAATTATAACACATAAAATGAGTAGCGAGTGTGGGATGAGGGATGGGCAAATGCGACTGCGAATGATTCACAAGTAAAAACGCCCGCCGCATGAGAGCGACGAGTGACGTTTGCGAGGGATTTAGTGGAGCAGGTCAAATTAATCTCCGATTGGCTCATTCAAGATCCGCGTATCGCGCAGTCACAGCCTCATCGACTCGTAACTGCGCAGACGAACAAATCGAGTATCTACTCAGGTGTGCATCTCAGGATTACTTGTCGCTATCATTTCATCTTTCTGCCTCTTTACTCCTTCTCTAGATGCTCTCATCCTCAAGTCCATTCTCTCCTCCTCCTTGACCTCGCCTCCAATGCGTCGCGCTGCCCTTTTCGCCCTCCGCTCGGCCCGACGCTCTGCCTCTCGAAAGCTCGTCTCCAAATCCTCCCCCTTTGCACCTCCGAACCATGTCGTAGCCTCGGCCAATGCTCATTCATCCTCCCTCCTCCGCAGATACAGTACGTCTCGAACACCGTTTCAGTCCTCTATGCGTATACCCAAGATACCAATCCTCTTCGTTGGATCCCTTGGAGCGATTGGAGCATGGTATGCTTACAGAGGTGATGGGCCAGAGCATCTTCTAAAAGGTCAACCATTGTCAATATCAGCACAGCCCAGCAGGGCTCTGAGCACTGGTGCAGATAGTGCGCAGCCTACTCCAGAACCTGCTGACCCAGTGCCGGTGACTGCGGGCCCCGAACCGTATCGAAAAGCATTGGTGGTTGACAACGATCAATTCTTCACCGGCTCCATAGTCGGGGACGGTCCGTTAGCCAAGGACACAGATGATTACGGCAGGAAGGTGCTCGAGATGATGACCCCCGAGCAAGCGTCAGAAAGATTACGGAAGAATGAACAGTCATTCCTCGTCGGTAGAGGACGCGGCGTGGTGAGATATGATATGGTCCAGCTTCCCAGCAACGACCCCATTGAGGATGACCACGCCGAGAAGATTGTTGAAGTTCCGAACACAGTCGCTGCAACGGAGGGCGCAGCGTCTTCGGATTGGATGTTCTGGGGTGTTTTCGACGGCCATTCAGGATGGACAACCTCCGCCAAGCTGCGCCAGGTCTTGATCTCCTTCGCGGCCCGCGAGCTCAATCGCACCTACAAAGCGGCTCTATCAGACGTAAAATCCCCTTTCCCTTCGCCCGCAGCTGTTGACCAAGCTCTCAAATCCGCCTTCGTCAAACTGGACAACGAAATCTGTTTGGACAGCGTCAATAAACTCAGCAAAAACCCCAGCAAACGACTTGCTGCTGAAATCCTTGCCCCTGCTTTGTCAGGCTCCTGCGCCCTGCTCTCCTTCTACGACTCCCAATCAAAGACCCTCCGCGTCGCATGTACAGGCGATTCCCGTGCGGTACTGGGCCGCCGCAACCCGCAAACGGGTAAATGGTTCGCCACGCCGCTTTCAGAAGATCAAACAGGCTCCAATCCAAACGAAGAAGCGCGTATGCGTGCCGAACATCCCGGCGAGGAACACGTTATTCGAGCCGGCCGAGTGTTGGGGAATCTGGAACCAACCCGTGCGTTCGGAGATGCATTTTACAAATGGTCGCGTGAGACGCAGGACCGCATTAAGAAGAACTTTTTCGGAAGGACGCCACACCAGTTACTGAAGACGCCGCCGTATGTCACTGCGGAGCCTGTGGTGACGAGCACAAAGATCAACCCCTCGGATGGCGATTTTCTCGTGATGGCCACGGACGGGCTGTGGGAGATGCTGACAAACGAAGAAGTTGTTGGACTCGTGGGTCAGTGGATTGAGCATCAGAACAGACTTGCCAGTAGCAAGGCTTCCGGCGGGTCGAATACCGCTGCGTGGTTGACGAGTTGGTTCAAATCATCAACGCCCAGTGGGCTGCCGGTTGAGAAAGGCGGCAATATGGATAAGACCGGCCGTATCGACACATCCCACAACCAGAAGGACGCCAAGGATGGCAAAGACTCGTCCAGCGCCAACAATGTCGAAAAGCCCATCCGACAGCAACAATGGGACATTCCTGCCTCGCCTCCTTCGACGTCGAATCGTTTCGTCGTCGAGGACAAGAATTGCGCAACTCATCTTATCCGAAACGCACTGGGAGGCAAAGATAGGGATATGGTGTGTGCGCTGCTCACGTTGCCGAGCCCTTATAGTCGGAGGTACAGAGATGACTTGACGGTGCAGGTCATCTTTTTCGGCGAGGCGGGCGAAGCTGATGGTAAAGTTGTGATCAACGACGAGGCAACGGCGCGGCAGGTCCAGAAAACCGCCGAGGACGGGCAGTTAAAGGCGAAGTTATAAACCGCCTCTTTCGAACAGAGAGGTGTGAAGCAGGTCGGACCTCGGAATTCCGATCAAATTTCAGATCCTTACCTTTACAAGGGATGGTCAGCGTCCGGTGTGGTATTCTCTTTCGTCCATGTCCACAGTTGTGCGACGGTCAAGCGAAGGGGGGGTTTGGGCGCTAAATGTCATGCTTTATCATGTCACATTGCCTGCGTGCTATAGAGCTTCCATGGAGGGGATGGCACGTCGCAGGAACCTGGAGTGGTATGCGATGAAGCGGATTGAAAGACTGCCTCTCAACCATCTGTTTTTGTACGAGGATTCACAAGAGCCACTATCTCCGATAGTTCTTGTTCAACGTGCAGCAGTGCCGGGGTCGGAGTGACAACAAGACTCGGGCCGACTGGAAGGTCTGAACTGTGTGATTTCAAGTTGTATGGTAGACAGAAACACCTACCTACCGTCAATGAATACCATTGATCTATCAACGGAAGTACTTTTGTTTCACTCCCAATTGACCGCTAGATATGTAGACACCATGCAATGCCGCGATTTCTCAAATCGGCTCTCGAAAATAACTTTGAAATCGTGGTTTGGCTTCTCCATGTGAAGGCTTAGGAAGGGATATCCTGATTCCTGACCCGGAAGCAATTGTTTGTTGTACATATATTGATGCCGCCCATGCTTTTCAGAATTCTAGTCATCCAAGATCCTTTTTCGCCCGTTTCCAAAATTGTCATGAGGGTATATAATTCATTCCTCCACCTGTCCTTTTGTTTTGGCCTGTTTTGCTTTCAAAAGCGGAAACCGCTTACTAGTTCCGAGGACGCGGGCGAGCAGAGGCCGTTGAACAAGCTGAGTCGTCGTGGTCCCGATGAGGTACAACACCACCGCTGTGGATAGGTCGCTCCGGATGATCAAATAGGTGAAGACGGTGGGCATCGCCGTCAAGACATAGGACAGACCCCTATTGAACTTTGCAGCAGCCGCCTTTAACATTTCGTCACGGCCAGTTCGGAGGGGTGGATGGTTGTCGTCCGGCTGTAATCTGGCAGCTTCCCTCACCCTGAGCCACACACTCACGGTGGCCAGTGCGCCGTACGTGATGGGCAGAATCCAGAGGTGGTCGGGCGCGGCCAGGTCGGGTATCCACCATAGACTTTCGGTCTGGAAGCCTGGTTCCATGGGCACAATGTTTGGGTCGATGGTGCTACCGTCCGAAGACTTGAAGAAGAGGGAGGTCACCGTCCGCTTGTCGCCTGCCATGCGCCTTATGCAATCCATGCTGAACACCCATACGGGGATGAAGGATATAGCAAGCAATGGTTCCGTCCAGACCGGAAGATATGAGATGTGTTTTTGAATGGCTTTTCTCCGGGCCTTGAGCTGGCTTGAGACCCATCTCTCAGCCCTTTTTGCGTCTGTTTCTTGCCCTCCGGGGAATTTTATCCTCGCCGTGTCTTGGTAGGCTATGCGCCAAGCAGATGCCAGCTGCATTGCGGTCTCTCTCCGTTTTCGAGTTCGGTGCGTCAACAGCTGGACGGGAATCCAGGTCATGCGAAGGAGTGAAGCCGTCAGCGGAATCGACAGGTACCATGGTAGGCCGGTCAAGGTGTGCACTCCCTGAAAGATGGTTCCGGAGAGCTGGAGGCATTCGGCTGCGAAGTATTTGTGGTTCGTGGAGTGAAATGAGCGTGACAATAACTGGGGATATAGGCGAGTCTGATTCTTGCATGGTGCTTCTAACTTGGCCCATTGTCGAAGGGCTCTGCGGCAGAGCATTGCTGAGCGTTGGCTTTGGCTGGGAGAGGGAGCATATGGCAACTGGTCTCGTGGTGCGTTTGGTCGATGAAGCCAAAGTGACAATCGACGAACAATCCGACTCGCCGACGCGCATAGATCGTTCGTACCTAGTAGCGACTGGCGGGGCGGCGCGTGGCCCGAGGCTGCGTCATTGTTGGTTGGTGCAAAGCAAGAGGCCACACTGGCGACCTGATATTGCGCATCTCAGCCCGTTTGGCCGTATCTTACCCCTTACTACCTCGTACTAACTAGACTGTCCTCCTCCCCCTCCTCCTCTCCTCCCGACCAACGGTTTTGGAAGCATGAGTCTCGTTGACTATTGGTGTCGTCCGCAGCATTGGCAATGGCTGCCTCATCGAGCGTCGTGGCAACTTTGGCGGTAGTGCCGCTTTTGCCCCTCGTATTCCTCTTGCTTATACGGTTATCACTGCGCGCCCTTGGTTGGTATCTACGGTCACAGACTGGGGATCGAAAGGCCGCAATTATCGAAAGGATCAGACGTGAGAGAGCCGTGTTCTCGGATACTCGGCCTGCATCCCAGGAAGCCGAAGATGGGTGGGAGAAGGTCGAGAAGGAAGGCACCGCTGAGAATGGCAAGCCTCATGAGGATGAATGGGGCGGAGTCTTTGGCTTCTTCCATCCCTTTTGGTTGGTTCTCTTCTCTTGTCTCAATCATTTCTGACTCCGAGTAGCAATGCTGGTGGTGGCGGTGAGAGAGTGTTATGGGCTGCCATAGCCGCAACTCAGCGACGATGGCCCAACGCCACATGCGCCGTTTACACCGGTGACCACGACATTGACCGAGCGATGGTCGTCGCAACGGTCAGGAATCGCTTTGGAATCGCCCTTCAAGAACACTCCCTGGTCTTTCTGTACCTTTCGAGGCGTCGTTTTGTTCTTGCGAGCTCTTATCCTTACTTTACACTGTTGGGGCAGTCACTCGGCTCCGTGGTCCTAGCTTATGACGCCTTTCAGCTGCTCGTGCCCGACATCTTTGTCGACACCATGGGTTACGCATTCGCAGTGGCGCTTTGCAGATACCTCTTCCCCAATGTGCCTAATGCGGCATATGTGCATTATCCGACTATTTCTACCGACATGCTGGACAGCCTTGAGGACACGACAGGTCAAAAGGGGATCCATGCCGGTGCCGGGAAAGGGCTGAAGGGTAAGGGAAAGAAATATTATTGGCGTGCCTTTGCATGGCTCTACGGATTTGTTGGCAGTCAGATCGACGTCGTGATGTGCAATTCGACCTGGACGCAAGGCCACATCCGACAGCTTTGGAAACCGAAAGGAGCATCCCCCTCGTTCGCCGCTATAGTTTATCCGCCCTGTCCAGTGGAAGAGTTGGAAGCACGAATCCCGTTGACAGAGGAAAGTGAGAAACAACGGGAAAATATTGTCCTCTATATCGCTCAATTTCGACCTGAGAAGAACCATTCTTTAATTCTTCGGTCGTTTGCCAAGTTCTACCACGCAGCAAAGGAGAAACCACGGCTAGTTCTCATTGGGTCGGTTCGAAGCAATACGCCGGATGAGAAGCACATCTACGGCCTCCGACTCGAAGCACACGAACTAAAGATTAAGGATGCCACTACCTTTATCTGTGATGCGCCCTTCTCAGTCATCCTGGAATATCTTCGGAGGTCGAGTATTGGGACGAACGGCATGTACGCAGAACATTTTGGGATCGGTAATGTTGAAGGACTGGCGGCGGGACTCATCCCAGTGGTACACAACAGTGGCGGACCCAAGCTCGATATCGTGGTTCCATTCGAAGGGCAGCCCGTTGGATTTCATGCCGAGACCGAGGATGAGTTTGCCGATGCTTTTGCCCGCGTGACGGCCATGAGCCCGCAGGAACGATATGCAATGAGACTAAGAGGGCGTGCAAGTACAAAGCGATTCACAGAGGCGGTATTTGCCGGGAAATGGGTCGAGCAGATGGAGATCCTGGTGAGGCTGCAGAAGTTACGGAACAACCATAACCTATAGAGCCAGCAGAGCCATCGAAGACTGACGGTTGTGATGATTGTAGACCAATGATACCCTTCTTGCCCTTTGTCTCTGTCTACCTCAGCAATGCGGGAGAAGGGCAATACCGCCACCACGGGTGAGAAGCTTCCACATCCACGTACCTCGTATCTTCAAGTTCTATTAGAGAGCTTGACACATTGGCAGCCGAAAACTGCTCGCCGAACCTTCCCCAAGGAGAAGAGGCGGCCAGAAAATCTCCCGCCAATCTCGCCGCAGCCTCAGCCTTACCGTTCACCTGATCCTTGCCTCTTGTCCGACAAAAGTTCTTGTTCTTCAGTTTGCGACCTGCGTTCTTTGAGAAGTTTTCTCAAGCAAACCTCAGCGCCACACGGATAAAGTCCTTCTGTTCAACTGTGCACTGATTGACAGTTCTCTCTCTTGTACCCGCAACGCTCCATCATCCACCGGCTCTTCATCATGACGCTCTGTCTTAACCGTCTTCAAGAGGAAAGGTGGGACATGCGCACCCCAAGTCGCCTCAACTCCAACTCACTGACACTTGCTTTCAGAAAACAATGGCGCCGCGATCATCCTTTTGGCTTCTTTGCAAAACCCGTCCGCAATGCCAATGGCGTGGTTGACCTCAAGAACTGGGAAGTTGGGATACCAGGGAAGGAAAAGACAATCTGGGAGGGGGGCCTGTTCAAGTTGACTCTCGCCTTCCCGGATGAATACCCTACAAAGCCACCAAAATGTGAGTTGAAAAAAGATGTCTTTGGGCGCCGATGGTGGGAACACACACGACTGATGCCGTATTAGGCAGATTTGTCCCCCCTCTCTTCCACCCCAACGTATACCCCTCGGGCACGGTTTGTCTCTCGATCCTGAACGAAGAGGAGGGGTGGAAGCCAGCAATCACCATCAAGCAAATCCTTTTGGGCATCCAAGACCTGTTAAACGACCCCAATCCCGACTCGCCAGCGCAGGCCGATGCATACAATCTCTACAAAAAGGATCGGCCCGCATACGAGAAGAAGGTCAAGAGCATTGTCAAGGACAACCCCGCACCTTGAGATTCGTGGGCATGGTCGGGCAGACCGGGGCGGCTTCTCTTTGCGACGAGCATTAGTGACGGAGGTGATGAGCTGTCACATCGTTCTTCAGCCGGGGAATGCGACCAATCGACTAGCGTGTGGATTCTGAGCGCGGCGTTTTGCTGTAGGCCTTTCGACTCCAGATAGCCTGTTTACGGGGGAGAGCGGGGATCTTAGTACCAGGTCAAGAGATTTGGGGTAGAGGGCTGGGAATATTGGGCAGCTGGAGTTCGGTGACAGGCGTTCAAGGAGTTTGACGAGCAACATGAGATGCATGAGCTAGTTAAGATACGCACTCCACGTGGCGGCGGTGGTCTTCTCCTTGTCTTCTATGTTTTCATCCACGGCAACCATGAGCCATTTTCATTCCTCCCCCTCCCTCCAGCATGCTTTTCCCATCCCATCTCAGAGATTTGCTTCTGTGGAATCTGGCTTGGGGGGGATCACACCGACATGGGCACCGGAGGAGTCGATCTCGCCTATGGAGGGGGCCACTTCTCTTCAGTGCCATCGAGCGTTGGCCAAAAGGGCGCAAGCGTGGGGGTGCACAGCCAAGGGGTGGGCGGCGGTGGGCGGCGAGGGGCGTGTTGAGGCAGTTAGGCATCGAGGGGCTGGTGACCCTGGCACCCACTGGTGACCCTGGTGGGCATCTCTGCGCCCGAGCCAGAAAATGCGGGGATTCCGGATATCTATCTGCATTCATGATAGGTACGAGGTAGGCATTGAGCTCCAGGGCCCGGCCTGTGCCATCGGTGCCAGAAAACCAACAGGAACTGAGGAACCTCGTCCCACCACTAATCTTCAGCTTGTTATGTGATAGTCGTAATAAGCAGAGGTCGCGTGCCGAAGATCGGGCCTCTTCTTCCTCGGGGAACTCATGCCCCAGGCACGCAAATGTCCATATCCATCGTCGGCCTTCGCCAACTCAAACCGCCTCGAGTCTAGCACGGCATGGGTCAGTGCCCCGGGGAGGATACCCGTGACAGTTCGAATATACTAGGTAGAGGGAAGAGGAGCGAGGGAGGAGGAAGGAGGAAGGAGGGGCGATCGATGGCCCTTATTACTTAAGAACTGCTTGAGATCCGTAAACCCCCTTATCTGACAGAGAAGAAGAAGAAGAAGCAAACATCCCGTGGTGCTAAGGTGGGTTTTTCTGGAAGAGGTCCACGGGTATGTGGGCTGATTCCAAACTCGTTGCCTCAACCAAACCAGGACAGATCCACGACTGAGCAGACGCGGTGTGACCTGAGAAGACGGGTTGAATGGTTCGTCACTTACCCAGGACCTAGGTAGAGAGAGACCAGCGTCAAAGGAGTCAGCTGGATTCCAACGAAGGACCCCCAAAGGCCCAAAATAAAAAAGAGAAAGAGTCAGCGGGCGTTCCGTCACTGCAAGTGAGCAACCAAGGGCCCGATATTTTCAGCCATCATTGATTTTTGGGAGCATTGAGTCATCCCACGCTCCACGCTCTCGACGGGTTTTTTGCCTTCGAGAAATTTTGGGACATCATCGGAGCGTGGAACGGTCCTTTTTATTTCGTCCCACGCCCACGCGCCGCCACACTCATTTTCTCCCATTCTTGCTTAACACATTTCACCACCCCTCTCAATTGTTGCAAGGCCACACCACACAGCAAAGACGCTCGTGGGCAGCGTGGGCAATCGTGGGCAGTCATGTGTGGTATCTTTGCCTGCCACGGGTGAGTTTGCGCTTCCCTTTTACTTTCTGCTCCCGGAGTCCTGGTTCCTGGTGTTTGCTGAAAAACCCTGGCTCCTTGCTCCGCGATCGGCGTTCTGCCTTTTTTTTATGTTTTGCTCGTGTCCGCGGGTAGCTAATTTCAGTCACAACCATCTCGCAGTCATCCGTCGATAGCAACCTTCAAGACCACTGCTCTGCAGTGTGTCAAATGCCTACGGCACCGCGGTCCTGACTGGTCGGGGAACTGGACGGGGAACAACACCATCCTCTGCCATGAACGCCTTAGTATAGTGGGAGTGGACAGCGGGGCGCAGCCTCTGGTCAACGATGAAGGCACCATTGCCCTGGCCGTCAACGGCGAAATCTACAACCACCGCATCCTGCGCAAGCACTTGACCGTCCCTTATAGCTTCAAGACCAACAGCGACTGCGAGGTCATCATCCCTCTCTACCAGCAATATGACACGGATGCCCCCAAGCAGCTGGATGGCATGTTCTCCTTTGTTCTTTATGACAAGGAGCAGGACCGGACAGTCGCTGCGCGGGATCCCATCGGTATCACGTCCTTCTACCTCGGTCGTTCCAGCCAAACACCCGGTGCGGTCTTCTTTGCCTCCGAACTCAAAGCCCTGGCCTCGGTTTGCGACAACATCATTTCATTCCCTCCGGGCCACATTTATGATTCCAAGACCGATCAAATCACCCGATATTTCGAGCCAACGTGGTGGGATCCGAACAGAGTCCCGTCCACACCCATCGATTACAAGTTGATCAGGAAGACCTTGGAAAAGTCCGTGCTCAAGCGGCTCATGGCCGAAGTGCCTTACGGCGTTCTCCTGTCGGGTGGTCTTGACTCGAGTTTGGTGGCGTCGATAGCGCAGAGAGAGTCCCTCCGTCAGCAAGCACTCGCCAAGAGTCAGACCAACGGCGTCGTCAACGGGGATGCCAATGGTAAAGTCAACGGTTACACAACCCCAAAGACGGGCACCAGACTGGTGGGGATCGACGATGACGATGAGTTGTCAACAGTCACATTCTTACCTCAACTACACTCTTTCTCCATTGGTCTCCCTGATGCCCCCGATACCAAAGCGGCTCTCGAAGTGGCCAAGTTCCTGGGGACCAAACACCACGACTTCACATTCACACTCCAAGAAGGACTCGATGCCCTGTCAGATGTCATTTACCACCTCGAAACCTACGATGTCACCACAATCCGCGCATCCACACCCATGTACCTACTGTCCCGGAAAATCAAAGCCCTGGGCGTCAAGATGGTTTTGAGTGGTGAAGGAAGTGATGAGATCTTTGGGGGGTATCTGTACTTCCACGCTGCTCCGACCAAGGAAGAGTTCCACAAAGAGACCGTCCGCAGGATCAAGAACCTGCATTTGGCCGATTGTCTCCGCGCGAATAAATCCACATCGGCATGGGGCGTCGAAGCTCGCGTGCCATTCCTGGATAAGCAGTTCCTGGAGGTTGCCATGAACATCGACCCGGCGGAGAAGATGATCACCAAGGACAGAATAGAGAAATATATTCTGCGCAAGGCGTTCGACACCACCGACGAGCCCGACGTCAAACCCTACTTACCGGAGCACATCTTGTGGCGACAAAAGGAGCAATTTAGCGATGGCGTGGGCTACGGCTGGATCGACGCTTTGAAGGACAACGCCGAGATTAATGTGACGGACGAGATGATGGCCAACCCCAAGCCGGAATGGGCCGATGATGTTCCAACCAGCAAGGAAGCCTACTGGTATCGTCTGATGTTCGATGAGCACTTCCCGCCGTACTGCGCTTCGACCGTCATGCGATGGACACCAACCTGGTCGAAGCAGACTGATCCCAGCGGACGAGCAATTGCAACCCATCTTGCCCGATATGAAGACGAAGAAGCTGGCTCGTAGTAAGCGCTGGCACATGTACAGGGAGCGAAAGATATCAGCATGGGGTGGCGTTTAGCACGGAGCGGACATTGTCCCAGCTGCCTCTGACGTTGTTTTCATTCATGGGGCTTTTCGCAGCAGGAGGACTGTATGTGCTGTCTCATATCTTGCCCAGCCTTGGACAGCGACATGCTTGAGCTGGATCTAGGTGTGGAAAAAGCAAGCATTTTGGCGCTTTAGCTATAGCCTGTGCAGCATGCCACAGCTCCGCAGGCAATAATACATATATACCTAGGTATGGACGAGATTTCTCGGTAGATACTGCAAATCCCAACAATCCCAACAAGCCCCCACGATGCTTTGGCCCCCTGAAGAGAAGCTGCCGATGGCGGAGATGGCGAGGATGGCGAGGATGGACATTGAAGGACTACTTTGGCAACTCTGCCGAGCACGCAGTCACCTTCTTTCGGCGTGGCTTGTGATTGGTTGAATCAGCTTTCCCCCCGAAACTGCATATCCGAGCCATTTTCTTGAGCTCCATTGATTGTTTTGCTGTCTACGTCTCTGTCTCTCCCTGTCTCCAAAGTGTCCCAGTATCTCTCGAACACCTTTCGCACTCCCTTCACTACTCTCTATCTCAGGTTGTCCCTTGTCCGCTGTTCACTCGCCCACCATGCCTGGCATTCCTGTCCCCTTTAGCGATATCGCTAAGCCCGCCAACGATGTGAGCATTCCATCACCGTCTCCGAACAAGCAGTGGTCTTTTTCGCTAATCTCTCGAACAGCTCCTCAACAAGGACTTCTACCACACCACCGCTGCCAATCTCGAGGTCAAGTCCAAGGCACCGAACGGCGTTGTGTAAGAACCAAATCTCTGAAACATCCACCTTCTCCCAGAGCGAGAGACAACGGCGCACCGGAGTTCTAATCCGTCTTTTATTCTCTTCCAGTTTCAACGTCAAGGGCAAATCCGCGCACGATGGACCCATCTCTGGCTCGGTGAGCACCATGATAACAAGAGACAACTTGAGAATATCACATGTTAACGGCAGCGGAAAGATTGAAGGGAAATACACCGACAAGGCAACCGGTTCGTCCCCTCTCTGCCCTTGGAAGCAAATGCGCCCTAGTAAACCTCCTTCACCGCTGACCCAGGGACATTGATCAACAGGCCTGACCCTGACTCAAACCTGGACTACCTCCAACAGCCTTGACACCAAACTTGAGCTGGAAGACAACATCACCAAAGGTCTCAAAGCCGAGGTCCTGACAAACTACCTCCCCGCGAAATCCACCTACGGCGGCAAGCTCAACCTTTTCTACAAGCAGCCCAACATCCACACCCGTCTGTTCACTGATGTGTTCAAGGGTCCTACCGCCTCGTTCGATGTCACCTTGGGCCACGAAGGGTTCTTGATTGGTGCTGAGGGAGGGTATGACGTGGGCAAGGCTGCTATCACGAAATATGCCCTTGCTGCAGGATACTCTCAGGGCTCTTATGCTGCTGCGGTGACGGCGACCAACAACCTGACCGTCTTCAGCGCAAGCTACTATCACAAAGTGAACACCGAGGTCGAGGCAGGTGCTAAGGCTACGTGGGACAGCACGCAAGGAAGCAATGTCGGCTTGGAGGTTGCCACCAAGTACAAGCTCGATCCCAGCTCTTTTGCAAAGGTTCGTCCTCCCCTTCTCTCTCCTCACACAAGCTTGACAAGCGCGATATTGTCCGCTCTCAATATTGCCGCTGCTAACGCCGAGTGACGTTTTGCAGGCCAAAATCAACGACCGCGGTATCGCCGCTCTGGCGTACAACGTCAAGCTGGGTACCGGCGTAACTCTCGGACTGGGCGCTTCCCTGGACACCCAGAACCTCAACCAGGCAGCGCATAAGGTCGGAGCAAGCTTCACTTTCGAGGGATAAACTTCCATCCCGTCAATTTTTTAGAGTGTATTGGCGAGCGTGCCCAGGATAAGTGAAGTGAAGTTGGTAGATATGGAATGTTTGCGGGCGGGGACATTCCTCCGGGTCGACAGCGCGTGTGAGGGAGCGCGAGTTCCAACGAGTGGTGGGAGTGTGCGCCTCCTGCTTCACCGGGTTCGAGGGCTGAACTTGGAGTGCCTCTTGTACAGCAGAAGACGACTGTAGTTGCAGGGAAGCAGGGATTTAGCATAGAGCGAGAAAAAGAAATCAATTCTCCATCTTGATTTATCACGTCGCAATACGGGCCGGAAGTTCTTCAAACCTGCCCTGTGTCTATCTTGATTCGTTCCCGCCTTACATATCGCTTTCAAACTCCGATGGTCTTGATGATAGAAAACGTAACTACTGTCTCGCGTCACTCCACAGGATGAGACGCCCGCGGCCCCCTCTTAGAATAGAACCAGTGAGATCCTCTCATGCTCGATCATTCCGACTACCTAGGTAAACGCCTTGAGATGGGCGTCGTCGCCAGAAAGATCGGATCTATGTAGCTGATAATCCTTTATGTGCTCGGCCACCCAAGGGAGTCTGCTCTATTCTTTGTACAATACATATATCCATGAAATTTTCTAGCCTTTCGTCCATTCATTTCTGGCCCCGTCCCTCCGGCTGCCGTCCCCTCGAATGAGTCCGCCTCCTCGGGGTTTGTTGGCCATGTGTATAATCAACGTGCCGACGGAGACGCCCAGAACGATGATTCCGGACACCACGATGAAGCGGGCCCAGAAGTTGTCCTCCTCCACTGCAGCCTGAGCCGCTGCGAGTTCTGCCGCTCTCCGGTTGGCCCGGCGGTAGTCTTCGTGTGTCTGGGTCTTGAGCGTCGGCCGGGTATCGAAGGCGGGGCCTCCCCCTTCTGAAAATGCGCCCGCGTTGAAAGTCCCGGCCGTGTATTCCTCCCCTGTCCCTGCGGCTCGCTGGCCCTGCGTGTTGCGCGCATCAGCACCCTGTTGTGTCCGCGCGGATGGGTTTCCATGTGCGTAAAACGATGGCGGTGGTCCTTTGAAGGTGCTTCGTCGCTTGCTCAGGCCACTGGCCGGCCTGTGGCCTGCATATGTCCCTCCACCCTGAGATCGGTCCCCATGGCTGCTGTGACTACCGCGGTGGTGAGGATGATGGGCCCTCATGACATCACGGTCATATCTCTTTCGCTTCTCCGGATTTGCCAGGACAGAGTAGCTCTCGCTTATCTGCGCGAAGCGTTCTGCAGCCTTGGGGTCGTTTCGGTTCACGTCAGGGTGCGTCTCTTTGGAAAGGACGTAGAATTGCTTTTTGAGCTGGGCAGGACTGGCCTGCATGGGGAGTCTGAGGACATCGTAGTGGTTTACAGACGTGTTACCGGCGGACTGGTGGAGGGACGAAGACTGTGAGAAGAAACGTCGGCCTCGTGGCCCTCGAGAAGCTCCTCGAGGTATAGAACGTTTCAGCGTGCTTTGAGCATGATAAAGAGGGACGGCGAGACCGAGATGTGAGGAGACCGGCACCGAACGAACGATCATGCCTCATATTTGACGCATTGGGAGACGGATTGGCGAGAGAGTGGTTGAGGTGAAAATGTTGTTAATGTCGAAACGGGTGACGGGGGTGCGTGACGTCTTTCAATTTTGGGCGAAAGCTGCGGGCTACTTTTTGGGGATTTGGCCGTAGTCACTCCGGTGCCACTCGCTACCTGCGGCCCTCGCCGGCCTTTTTTTGTCATTCCATTATTTCAGCCTCGTACTTGGTACAATACTTTCGACTTTCCCACTCCAGTGCAAATCCCCTCTCTACAACCAACATGGCGGCAAAAACCGCCGACGAGCTCTCGAAGCTCGCTTTGAACGGCACCGCCACGAAGCCCAACCCACAGACACACGGTACAAACGGCGTTAATGGTCATCTATCGGATCAGGACGACTCCGACGATGACAAGGATGACGATGCCACCGCCAACGCCGGAGGCGCAGACGGCAACACGGCCAGTGGCGCTGCAAAGAAGAAGAAAAAGAAGAAGCCAAAGAAGAAGAAGGCCACTCCAAAAGTCCAATCTGACCCGCCGCGCGTGCCCCTCAAAGATCTCTTCCCCAACAACACATACCCTGTTGGCCAGGAGGTGGAATACAAAGATCACAACGCGTTCCGCACCACAAACGAGGAAAAACGTCACCTCGATCGTATGAACAACGACTTCCTGCAGGAATACCGCAAGGGTGCAGAAGTGCATCGTCAAGTGCGCAAATGGGCGCATGCAAATATCAAACCAGGCATGTCCCTGACGGAGATTGCGGAAGGGATCGAAAACGGCACTCGCGCTCTCACCGGACACTGGGGGCTTGAGGAGGGCGACAACATCAAGGGCGGCGTAGGTTTCCCGACAGGATTGAGCATCAATCACATTGCGGCACACTACACCCCTAATGCAGGAAACAAGTGGATTCTGGGGGAGCAGGACGTTATGAAAGTTGATTTCGGCGTCCATGTGAATGGCAGGATCGTCGATTCTGCGTTCACCGTGTCGTTCGATCCCAAATACGACAATCTCCTGGCTGCGGTCAAGGATGCCACGAACACGGGTGTGCGGGAAGCCGGCATCGATGTGCGTGTTGGTGACATTGGCGGGATGATCCAAGAAGTCATGGAGTCGTATGAAGTCGAACTCGATGGAAAGACATACCCTGTCAAGTCTATTCGGAATCTCAACGGGCATGATATCGTCCAACACAGCATCCATGGCGGCAAGTCCGTCCCCATTGTTAAGAGCCATGATCAAACGAAAATGGAAGAGGGCGAGATCTTCGCAATCGAAACGTTCGGATCGACCGGTCGTGGATACGTGACCGATGATCTGGAAGTCTCCCACTACGCCCTCCGCGCTGATGCGCCGAACGTACCCTTGCGCGTCCAATCCGCGAGGAACTTGCTGAACGTCATCAAGAAGAATTTTGGGACTATTCCCTGGTGCCGACGATACTTGGACAGGCTAGGCCAGGAGAAGTACTTACTCGGCCTCAATAATCTCGTTAGCTCGGGCATTGTGGAAGCATATCCGCCGCTGGTGGATGTGAAAGGCAGTTACACCGCTCAATTTGAGCACACTATTCTGCTGAGGCCTACGGTGAAAGAGGTTGTTAGTCGAGGCGACGACTATTAGCTTCTGCTAAGTAACATGACTTTTGAAAGGACGGGATTGAGCTTGAGAGGGAGCTATTCTGACTTGGTGGCCCAAGGATATCAGCCTGTAAGCCGCACGACTCGGCTCTCAGGCTAAAATGAAAGAATGAAATGAAGGGAAACAAAACTGAGGCAATCAAAGAACAGCAGGTGTGTGGAAGAGTAAAAAAGATACCTACGACTGATGAAGGTCGCCCCTGATCTAAAACGAAAATATTTTACTTTACTACCTAGGTAGCAAGGACTACCATTTATGCACTGTGTCGTTGATTCCTGTTCCAACCCTGCGACATGTTCCATAAGAATTTTAGGCGAGGCTGAACTTTGGCCACAAGGCTGCGAGGCTACGAGGCTACGAGGCTCTCGGCTCAACTTCCTATCCAGATTGTTCCTTCGCAATTTTCTCCTGGCTCCTCCGATGTCCGGAATCATGGTAGTAGGAATTGTCGCATGAGAACGGCTGCAGCAACTCTAGATCTCTGCAGCGCTATTCCGGAAATCTGTGAACACTCAGAAGGTGTCAACTGGTTGGCTCGGTAGCCTGCTTCCTCAAGATTTTGTGATCCCCGGGCCGCTTCTGCTTTTGACTCTGAGTCACCACTTTCATTAACCATTTCCCAAACACCCTCATCATTTACCCACGACTCCTCCTCTTACACCAGTGAAGGCAGACCACAAGGTTGTCGAGGCTGCACAGCTCTAACCCTCAATAATAGCCAGTCATGTCAACCTTTGGACACTACTTCCGGGTGACCACCTATGGAGAATCTCACTGCCGCTCTGTAGGATGCATTGTCGACGGGTGCCCTCCTGGTCTACAACTCACAGAGTCGGACATTCAACCTCAGATGACCCGGCGCCGTCCGGGACAGTCAGCTCTCACCACACCGCGAAACGAGAAAGACCGGGTGGAGATCCATTCGGGTACAGAGTTTGGCATCACTCTGGGCACACCGATCATGTTGATGGTGCGGAACGAGGATCAAAGACCCAAAGACTACGGGAGCGGGACGATGGATATGTATCCTAGGCCGAGTCATGCGGATTTCACCTACCTGGAGAAATATGGGGTCAAGGCCAGTAGCGGAGGAGGGAGAAGCAGTGCGCGGGAGACGATTGGTGTGTTTATGTGACCTCGTTGATTCTGTTTCGCCGTCCAGGAGCTGCAGGATCCGTTACTGACTGTCATCATAGGTAGAGTAGCAGCGGGCGCCATCGCAGAAAAGTACCTGTCGCTGGCTCATGGCGTTGAAATCGTGGCCTTTGTCTCGTCTGTCGGAGCCGAGTATCTCTTCCCCCCAACTCCCACTCACCCTAGTCCTGCCACGAACCCAGCATTTCTCTCGTTAATATCAGAAATCACGAGAGAGCAGGTTGACTCGTTCGTGCCCGTACGATGCCCGGACGCAGATGCCACCGCGCGAATGACGAAGGTGATTGAGAAGCACCGTGACGCAAAGGACAGCATTGGAGGCACTGTTACCTGTGTGATCCGGAACTGCCCCATCGGCCTGGGTGAGCCGTGCTTTGACAAACTCGAAGCAGAGCTTGGACAAGCCATGTTGAGCATTCCCGCCACCAAAGGGTTCGAAATCGGCTCGGGCTTTGGAGGATGCGAAATATCCGGATCAATTCACAACGATGCATTCATCGCCGCACCGGAAGTGCTACCAGGGCAGAAAACATCGAAACGGAAATTGACGACCAAGACCAACAATTCTGGGGGCATCCAAGGTGGGATCTCGAATGGACAGGATATCTACTTCAGAGTTGCCTTCAAACCTCCTGCTACAATTGGACAGGCGCAGCAGACGGCGACTTTCGACGGAGAGGAGGGCGTCCTGGAGGCCAAAGGGCGACACGATCCGTGCGTTGTGCCGAGAGCGGTGCCAATTGTCGAGGCTATGTCTGCTTTGGTGCTCATGGATAATCTACTGGCACAGCTGTCTCGAGAAACAGCCCGGAGTCTATTGCCGCCTTTGAAAGCAGTATTGCCGACGAAAGGCAGCGGAACATCAGCAACTGCAGAGAAGGTGGCCGAACATCTGAATGGAGCTGCAGCAGTACAATAGAGCCCAGTGGGTTATGGTTACTCCAGGAGGCGCTATGAAGGGGGTGTAGAACAGCACTGGCGAGCATGTCGCTGATACAAGGGACAAGGCGGCGCCAGCTGTATCTTGGGTTACTCGTACTTGGGCATGTCGCCGGACTCGAAGGGTTCGGCCACCACAGAGAATAGTTTTTCGTGTCTAGAGAAAGAAAGGAAAAGCAAGTCAACATGAATACGAGGATGCATCTCGCTTGTCTTTGTGGCCTTGAACCGTTGCCATGGCGACCGGGTGGTGCAAAACAGTGGGCGTGAGCGGGCGTGAGTTGGGCTAGTCCAGCTGGGATTGCGCCAACCCTCGTTGCTGAAGATGGCGCAACCTTCCATGCGTCCTCCCGACAAGGCGACTGGACGCCATCATTACATGCTGCAGCTTGTGCAGCCACTATTCGCTTCAAGACCCTCAGAGACCCTCAGTGACCCTGAATCCACGCATTGTCTTGCTGTGTGGCTGGAGTCGAGACTTCTGTTTACACGCAAATCCGCGCATGAACTCATCACAACCCCAACCTTCGCTCACCTGCCCCACGAACACACACAAGACACAAGCGATTCCACGGCCAGCCTCCCAATGGCCCAGTCTCCATCCGAATCCTGCTGAGCATCTGAAATAATATACCAGCCTTGGTCATCCCTCTTCTCCTTTCGTGTATCCGAGCGCAAACGGGTCGACCCCTTCAATCTCGGACTCGACAGTGTGTGAGATCTCGGAAGGCTGCAGATGGGTTTGTCTGCCAGTCCAGATGACAATTCAGAATTGACGCCGACGATGACCTGAACCTCGACCGCGCGAAATATGCTACCTTTATCACTACCGTTCCTATCTTTCTACGTGGGTACCCTCAGCTTGGTCGCACCCGCAGTTGCGCAACAGGTGTTGCCCTACAATCCTACCCGAGTCGCTCTGGCACAAGATGGCTCTGTCGCGTACATCTTGTCGCCGCAGCCTTCCTCGTCGCAGTTCTCTCTGTCCTTTCTCAATACCTCGAACAGTATCAACGCGGCGTCCTCGCCCACGCAACTCTTCGCCGCTCTACCATTTCTATCCAATACAGCCTCCGAGGCATTCGTGACCCTTCCGGACAATGAGGGTATAACTGTGCTAGCCGGGGACTGCAAGGATTCCGCAAGAGATCTTGGACTGTGGAGGTACACATTCAGCAGCAACTCCAGAAACGGAACGTGGACTTCTCTGACAGTCACCACAACCGATGGGACGCTGAGCCCCCAATATCTCGCCGCTGGCTTCACATTCTCTCCGAACGCGTCCACTCAAGATGCCTCGCTGTACATTTTTGGAGGGATGTGTCCCAACGACGGGTCCTCGAATGCTACGGACTGGATATCGGATGCCAGCTACTCAAACACAATGCTTACAATCGCCCCTGATCCGGCCGCCGCCAAAAGCGCTCCTTATCAGTTGTCATTGACCGGATCCAGAGCTCCGCCAATTGCTGAAGCGGGACTGACCATAACGCCTTTAACACCAACCTCTTCCAACAGCTCAGGCGCAGGCCTTTCACAACAGCAGAATTTTGTCCTTTTGGGTGGCCACACTGAGAACGCCTTCATCAACATGTCTCAGCTCGCTATATATTCACTACCTCAAGAATCCTGGGCGTTCGTGGAAGCGGTGCAAGCGCCAACCACAGTTGAGCCACGGTCTGGCCACACCGCAGTCCTGACAGAGGATGGCTCAAAGATCGTGGTGCTTGGCGGTTGGGTGGGTGACACAGATACACCGGCACAACCCCAACTGGTGGTCCTGGAACTCGGCCAGGGCTATGGAGGGCAAGGAGATTGGGCATGGAGTGTTCCGACACCTTCCTCCACTCCGTTCGCATCCGGCAAGGGTATATATGGGCATGGAGTAGCCATGCTACCCGGCGGTGTTATGATGGTCTCTGGAGGGTATCCGATCAGCTCATCTACGTCAAAAAGCAGACGGAGCCTGTTAGACGATACGCTGTTCTTGAACACGACATCCTTTGAGTGGACGACTACCTACAGCAACCCGTCCTCTGCAAGCTCGTCCCCTAGTTCGGCAAGTGCCCAGTCGTCGGCTTCTGGGCTCAAAGCTTCGGAGAAGGCTGGCTTGGGTGCAGGTCTAGGCCTAGGGCTTGCAGCAGTTGCGGTGGTGGTGATTGTTTGGCTCATATACGCCCGAAGACTTCGAGCGAGGCGCGCCGTGCGTGAGAAGGAACTCCGAGAACTGGCTTTGGGAGCCGAACGTTATCACTCGCCTGTTCCGTCCGACGAAGACCAACACCGGTACCCAGCGATGCGGAGCGCAAGCTGGGCTGCAACTATGGAACGCAAGATTGAGAGCTCAGGTAATCCATACCCGTGGGCACCCTTTTCTGCGCCGGAGCACCAGGATCACCGTGGCCAAGGCCTAGAGACTGGCGAGAGCAACAGCGCTCGGTATGCTGAACGCACCGGTGTGCAGATGGAGATCCCCAGCCCCACCAGGGGATTGAGAAAGAGTATGAACCCTAGAGGTCCCATGATGTATCATCCTTTCAACCAGCACCCGCCAACGGGGCCAGGAGCAGTCTTCCGCATCGAGGAAGAGGATGAGGGTAGTCAAAACGGCTCCTTCAAGAGGACAAAGACTCCCAAGGCCACAGACGACAGAAATCCAGCTCCAAGTGATCCGTTTAAAGACCCACCGGTCGGTATGGATAGTACTCACCATGACAACGCCGCAGCACAGCGCAAGAAAGAGGTGGATAGCTGGGTTGACGATTGGCAGTCAGTAGCCGAGACCATGAGCCTGTCGAGGAGTACAAGTCAGGCGCATAGCAGGACGTACTCGAACCTTTCCCAGTTTCGCAACCCGCCGACTGTTGGAGAAGTAGCAGGACGCGGCTCCCCTGAGAAGTCGGACAGGACTGGCAGCAATCTCTCTGAAAAGAGTATGGTGAGCACCTCTTCATACTCAAGATCCGTGGCTGGTACGCTATCCCGAAACGTTTCTCAAAGGAGCGCCAGTGCAGGATATGGGCTCTTCTCGGGGGCCGCAGCAGCCATGAGGGGGCTGGGCTATGGGAGGCAGGGTTTTACTGAACAAGGCAGTGGTACGGGTCTCACACGTGCCCCATCAAACCGCAGCGTATCACTCAATATCGATGCTATGCGACCGACCAGCTCGAGGGATGGCACGGACACGTTCTCGTCCGCCCGAAGCAAATGGGGCGCGGCTGCGGCGGGAGAAGATCAAGCACTCCTCAACCGGAATCACCAAAGACAACAGGATGACGAGCGTGACTATCGAACGCTCCCCGACAGCCCAAGCAAAGAGAAGTACTCCCGAGCAGGCAGCCTTACTAGCTCCAGCAGACGAGCGTTGAACCTTCTGGGAAGCGTACGGCGGGTTTTCACGGGAACCGGAGGTGTCGATGTGCAAGATCGAGTTGCTACCTTCGAGTCCCAGAGCAGTCAGTCAAGTCCGACAAAACACTCGGGTCAGCCCGAAATGACGGAAACGACACCGAAGAGAACACTTAGTGTCGGCACGTCGTCGTTCTGGCGCAGCAAACAGGGCGCCAAAGACTGGGAAGACGACTTGGCAGGCCCGAGCAATACAGTGTCATCGTCAACACTCCGCAGGAAGCCAGTGCCTGGAATGATATTGAACGACGACCACGGGCCCCAAGAGGATGACGAGGACTGGGACGTGGAGACGGCTGTGCAGAAACGTGTCGTTCAAGTCATGTTCACCGTTCCCAAGGAGAAGCTGCGGGTGGTCAATGCCGATGCCCTGAGTCTGTTGAGCAGTAACCGAAGTGAAATTGACCAGGACGAAGAGAAAGAGAGAGAGCATATCAAGAGGATGAGCAGTGTGAGGGAAGGCGATGAGGACAGCGGTCATGACCTCCGCCTAAATGACGATACAATGAAAGGCAAAGGAAAGGAGCGAGCACCTTGAAACGGCTTGCTTGTCGAAAAAGGGAGATCTATGGCCATGGATGATACTTGGGATGGTATATATTGTGTATCCCTTCTACGATGTTGGATAGGAGTTGGTGTGGACTGGGAGCGGGCGGTTGATTCGGACTTGGACGGGGTGCCATGTCAATCGTTGATGAAATTTTGAAGCCAGCGAATGTGTCTTATTAGTATTTTGTCTTGAGGGAGGCCACAGTACAAATTTGAAGCAGCTTGAACCAGATGACAACCTGAAGAGCCATTGTATTGACTTGAACATGCCGCTATCACTGGTGCCCCATAATGAATGCATTTGTCAGCTTGTTTACAGGACTCATCCACCCACCTCTTTTAGCCTTTGAGACAGCAGGGTTGACGGAGGCATTCGAGAAACATAGCACGCGGAGGCTTTGGAGGGTCTGGACACGGCTGGGAGAGATGCGAGGTAGTGAGGAGGTACTCGTAGTGGTCGAGATGGGACGCACGGGCGACTTCTTTTGATGATTGAGGAACGCGGTGGTCGATGCAGAGTGGCGAACAGTAGTAGCAGTAGCAGCAGTAATAGCAGTAATAGTCGTACCTCGTAGTAATGGTGGCAAGATGAAAAAATGACATAATTACTGTAATGCTCACGCTGCCCCACGCGCCCAAACGCCAAAAAACCCGCTTTGCCCGCTTTGCCCGCTTCAAATGGCCATTTTGCTGCACAACGCGAACCAGCGCGTCCCACGTCCTAGTCCAACCAAGGCGCGTGTCACTCCTCATTTTATATCTGCATGTTTTGACCCTCTTCTTCCTGCTTCTCGTCTCTCTTACACCGTCTCAACCTTCATTCACTGCTGCTGCCTGCGTGCTGCCTGCGTCTCTACGGTAACTGGGAGATTGCAATTGTCGACTTCTCGAGGGTCTTTAAAAAGAGCACAACTGCTGTGCAGTCAGTCCTTCGCTTTCCGTCCTGGACTCATCCATCCCTTCCAATCCGTCACATATCCTCAACATTGGCGTACAGTAGGAAAATAGGTTGACTTGGACAAGATGTTTGTTATCAAGAGAGGTATGATCTCCATCCCGTCCACCGAGGACATGGAACTCGTCTCTAATGAATCCATTGCAGACGGACGCAAGGAACGCGTGCAGTTCGACAAAATCACTGCTCGAGTCTCCAGACTGTGCTATGGCCTTGATCCAGACCACGTTGATGCAGCCGCCATCACGCAGAAGGTCATCTCTGGTGTCTACCAGGGCGTGACCACGGTCGAACTGGACAACCTTGTCAGTATCGCCTCGTGTCTATTGTCACTCGATTTTGGCTAACGTCGTTCATAGGCAGCCGAGACCGCAGCGTATATGACAGTCACCCATCCCGACTATGCAATCCTCGCTGCACGTATTGCCGTGTCAAACCTCCACAAGCAGACCAAGAAGCAATTTTCCTCCGTGGTCTCTGACCTCTACCACTATGTCAACCCGAAAAACCAGAAACCCTCCCCCATGATCTCCAAGGAGACCTTCGAGTGTGTCATGAGGCACGCCGATGAGTTCAACTCTGCAATCGTCTATGACCGAGACTTCAACTACCAATACTTTGGTTTCAAGACGTTGGAGAGATCATACCTCCTCAAGATTGGCAAGCAAGTCGCTGAACGGCCCCAACACATGCTTATGCGTGTCGCCGTTGGCATCCACGGTGACGATGTTGAAAAGGCCATCGAGACGTACAATCTCATGTCCCAGAAGTGCTTTACCCACGCTTCGCCCACCCTGTTCAATGCCGGGACACCTCAACCTCAATTGTCCTCTTGCTTCCTGATAGACATGAAAGAGGACAGCATCGAGGGCATCTACGACACCCTCAAGACCTGTGCCATGATCTCCAAGACAGCCGGAGGTATTGGCCTCAATGCTCATTGCATTCGTGCCACAGGATCCTACATTGCAGGCACCAATGGAACCTCCAATGGTCTTATCCCCATGCTCCGCGTCTTCAACAATACTGCTCGCTATGTCGATCAGGGCGGCAACAAGCGCCCAGGTGCTTTTGCCATCTACCTCGAGCCATGGCACGCAGACGTGTTTGACTTTTTGAACCTGAGAAAGAACCATGGCAAAGAAGAGGTCAGAGCGCGGGACTTGTTCTACGCCCTGTGGACTCCTGACTTGTTCATGGAACGCGTGGAGAAGAACCAAGAATGGACTCTCTTCTGCCCGCATGAAGCACCTGGTCTTTCTGACGTCTATGGTGACGAATTCAACGCTCTGTACGAGAGATATGAGAAGGAGGGCCGTGGTCGTCAGACCGTCAAGGCTCAGAAGCTTTGGTATGCTATCCTCGAGGCACAGACCGAAACCGGTACTCCCTACATGCTCTACAAGGACGCCTGCAACAGAAAGAGCAACCAGAAGAACTTGGGTACCATCCGAAGCTCTAACCTCTGCACTGAGATTGTCGAATATACGGCTCCTGATGAGGTCGCCGTGTGCAATCTGGCCTCCCTCGCACTCCCGACCTTCGTGGACCAGGCCCGAGGTGAATATGACTTCGGTCGTCTTCACGAGGTCACCCAGGTTGTCACTCGTAACCTGAACAAGATTATCGATATAAACTACTACCCGGTGCCCGAAGCGAAGAAGAGCAACTTCCGACACCGACCCGTCGGCCTGGGAGTTCAAGGTCTCGCCGACGCCTTCCTTGCCCTGCGTCTCCCCTTCGACTCTCCCGAGGCCAGGCAACTGAATATTCAAATCTTCGAGACGATTTACCATGCTGCTCTCACTGCTTCTTGCGAACTCGCAAAGGAGCAGGGTCCATATGAGACGTACCAGGGCAGCCCAGTCTCGCAGGGCATTCTTCAATACGACATGTGGAACGTCACTCCCTCAGACTTGTGGGATTGGGACTCGTTGAAAGCCGAGATTGCCAAATATGGTGTCCGTAACTCTCTGCTTGTCGCCCCCATGCCCACAGCATCGACTTCTCAGATTCTCGGCAACAACGAATGCTTCGAGCCGTACACATCTAATATCTACTCTCGCCGTGTTCTTGCCGGAGAATTCCAAGTTGTCAACCCTTGGCTGCTGAAGGATCTCGTCGACTTGGGTCTGTGGTCTGATAACATGAAGAATCGGATCATCGCCGACGGCGGTTCCATCCAAAACATCCCCAACGTTCCCGCGGACATCAAAGCTCTGTACAAGACCGTATGGGAAATCAGCCAACGGACCGTCCTGCAAATGGCAGCAGACCGTGGTGCCTTTATTGATCAATCCCAATCTCTCAACATCCACTTGAAGGAGCCAACCATGGGCAAGATCACGAGCATGCACTTCGCGGGCTGGAAGATGGGTCTCAAGACCGGCATGTACTACCTGCGCACCATGGCCGCCACGCAACCTATTCAATTCACTGTCGACCAAGAACAGCTGAAGGTTGCAGACACAAACACAGCTCGAGAACGATCTGCACCAAAGAAACGTACCTCTTTGGGTTTCGCAGCCAGTGTGAGCAATTACAACTCGATTCCGCGACCGATGTATCAATCCAAGACAAGCAGTTTCAATGGGAGCCAAACCACATCAATGAACGGCATCCCAACGCCAACATCCACGCCTCCTCCCGGCAGTGAAAACAAGCAAGTCGGGCTGATGACCCAAAAACTTGCAAAGACCCATCTCAGTGGAAGTGGCGAGTCCAGCGAGGAACCATCGCCCAAAGTCCTCCCCACAGACCCCGTCGGTCTATCACCAGACGCCATGGCTGATGAGAGTCTTGAGACCCGGATGATGAGGGGCAAGCAAGAAGAAGACAAGGAGAGCGAGAGTGGAGAACGGGAAGAAGATATTTATGCACAGAAGGTGCTCGCATGTGAGTCTCCAGCCTGCTTTTCCATCCTTGTGTGAAACCTGAAACCTCGCTTGCGAGATACTCCCCGTTGTTTCGACATGTCGCTGACTTGTGGATGACCCTTCTAGGCTCGATTGAAAATAAAGAGGCCTGCGTGATGTGCAGTGGTTAAGCTTCCCTCGAGCAGCCGTTGGCGGATGTACACCATCAAACCCCCAGGTTTTGCCTTGGAAAGCATCTTATACAATGGGTGTTCCAGCTGGACAGTGTGTAACGAGCAAGCTAGTCCTCGATGCTGTGTTTGCTTCTGCTGGGGTTTTCCATCCTTTTTTTCTTTTCTTCTCTTGTAACGCGTCATGGGTCAAGTTGTGTGTCGGTTTTGGATTCTAGGCTGGGCTGCTTTTCGCTTGGGAAAGAAGAGTACATAATGAACAGGCGCAAATCACGAATTGTATTGTATATGCTATTTCCCCCCCCTTTTTTTGCAGCATCACTTAGAATTAAGAAAGAATGCAGAGAGACATACTCTAGAAGCGACCTGCGAGTGGGCTCTAGTACTAGTAGTGCGAGTGCGAAATTTCATGTCATGATTTCTTATACAGTTGCTTGCTGTAGTACTCTAGCCTTCATTCTCATGCCCAATGTATGCACAAGACTCGTAGCCTCTCCTATGACTACAATATTCAGGTATAAAAGCCGTGGGTCTTGTCAGAATCACGGTAGATACCTGCTGTGAAGCTGTATATAGCCCCCTTTTCTGATTCTGCAGATCCTGCTGATACTGTATCGCCCCTAGCTCTCGCTTAGTAGTTCAAGTCTTCTTGTCTACTCAAGCCCCGTGCTGATTCCACGGCAAGCCCGATACAACAACTTTGTCATCTTCGCCGCTTGGATCGAATACCTCGTGCAGACAGTGCCACGTTTGGGCACTGCGTGAGCGGACTTGGTGTCTCTTGATCTTTTTTTCTTTGATTCTTGCCTTCACCTTGGCTTCATTCCCAGCATCAAGTGCTGCTTTTCATATTGTGATGATAGAAATTTGTTCGGAGGAGTGCATCGGCGGCCATGAGAGAGACATGTCAATGACCAACGAACGTTGCGTGCTCGTGAGGGTCTTCTTCTTCCATTACCTGCTCGCATGCATCATCATTGGAGGCGCCCAAACGATTTGTCCCGTCAATCGAGGAGCAAGCCCACCTGCTAAGCCCTTCTAATTGTAGACCACTCATGAATCGGGATAGCCTTGAGCCGCCAATCACGGAGACCATTGGAGACAGCCAGAGGTTCAGAGTGCCTTTTGGGATGCACGACATCTGAGGTTGGCTTTCAACGTCTCCGATACCAAAGCAAGTATTTCAGTTCATGAGCAGATTGAACGCTTTCTGCTCATACAGGATATTCGTCAGCCGACTTCTTCAGCTCTTCGCCCTTTTCCTGCGCTCGAGTAATAACATTACGCAACCATTCGTAGGTTAGCATGGTGGTCATGGCCGCCGGCACCGCGCGGATGAGGTTTGTGCCGATGCCCGCATAGAATGCACGCCAGCCCTCCTCTTTGAGAATGACCTTGCACATATGCCAGATGCCCGAGTAGCGCGCTTGTACTTTCATGCCGTCTGACGTTGTAAGCGCCGATCTGCGTTGTTGCGTTTGTAAACGAGTGCGTAAAACCTCGTGAGGGTAGGTGGCGGTCGACGCACAGACTTTGCTCAGAAATGTGGCGGCAGAGATACCGAGCCAATTCGAGGTGCTGTCCTCGGGTGGATGCTCACCCATGCCGAATCCGGTGAATTTCATCTTGAAGAATTCGTACAGGGGAAATTGAACTGCGACGTGAGTGAGACCTAGCAGGGCCGGGGTCAGGCCAGAGTAGAAAGATCGAAACCCCTCGGTGCGGTACATTTTGCGAGCGGCATCGATTGTAGAAGTATAATGCCAGGGGGCACGCATTCCGTCACTGGCAGTAGCGGATTTGTTGGATTGGGACATCAACCGAGTTTTGATGACCCAGATGGGGTTTGTCAAGATGGTGGAACAGGCGCCGGCGGTGAGCGACGAATAGCAGCGAGCTACCCACCAGCTGCCACATTGATCGTACCAGAACTCTCGGGTATTTTCATATACCGTCAGATAGACCGCCCATGTTGGTAGATAGCCCAATAGCATGGGGCCTAAGCCTCTATACATGCCACGGATTCCTTCTTCCCGCCATATGACGCTGCCAGTGCCAATGATGCCTTTGTATGGTTGTTGGATGCTGCCATATGGATTCTTAGACTGCAGCCTCGGGGTAAATCCGCCCTGCGCTTGAAGCTTGGTCTTGATCACATCGAGAGGACAAGTGACAATGCCCGAAGCAAAGCCGGCGCCGGCGCCGCAGATGGGGGATACCCACGCCTTCGGAATTTGTGTCGACTGTATCTGGATGCGGGCGATAACGGAGTCTCTCGAAGGAGACGGAGACATATTCGATGAGAAGTTGGTGTGGTCGATCGGCGTAGCATATTGGGATGGCCGGAGTGGTTGGGACGTCAAGATGGTAGGAGTCTGTTCGGGGTCTCTATCGAAGGACATTGGAAGAGTGGTTTCCACTGGTCTCAGGAAGGGGACGACGCTGAATGCCCATATGACGAGCTCATGGCGAAAAAGGACGAGCTTCAGACAGCGGATGGAAACCCCAGCAGGGTAGCTGCCAGTTCCTGCTGCACTGTTGCACAGTTGCACAGTTGACCGCTGGAGGGCTGAAGGGTTGGATTGAGTTGGAAACTGCGGGGTCTGTCAAGGACCGGTGTGCAGCCGACACAGAGCAACAAGGCCCTTGTCAGCGATTGACGGATGCGGCCATGGAGCAATCCAAGTAAGAGTCAGATAGAAGTTGGGGAGATGAAGATGGCCTTGATGGGTGAGCGGAGGTGGCCTGGGTATGGAGGTGAGAAAGTCGGGGAGATAGGTATGATGTGATGGGCAGGAATGATGCTCCCGGGGCGAAAATGATGTGGATGGCGACACTCACACAGACTCACGGTGGGTGCCAGATGGAGGGAGAAAGCAAGGACAATCATTGAAGCGAAGACGTCACGTGCAAGGCAAGCTTCCTCTGCCAGTGCCAGTGCAAATCCGAGCCAATGCCAAGCTCCCGCCGTATTCGCCAATTCAAGATGCTAGTGGTGCGCCCGGAGAGCTCCAGGCTAAGGTTGAGTGTCTGCGCGAACCACTGCCACCTCAACTTCTGTCAAAGGATCCTCGTGCCTCCCTTCATCTTGGCTGCAATATCCCCCAGGAGCTCTTCTCGACAGCTGGTCAACATGTCCGGCCCCTCGTTAGCACCCTACATTCTAAAGCGGCCATGGCTCAAGCGGTGGATGATGCCCCTGGCCAACTGGTACGTCAACACGGCCGGCTACAGGTCATTAGGTCAGTCCATACCCTGCGAAGAACAGCTTCTTCTGTTCATTTTTGCAGTCTCCATGTTGACCTTGCTGGCAGGTCTACGCCATGACGACTTGATCCCCGAAGAAAACGACACCGTCCAGCTCGCCCTCAAGCGACTGCCCCCGAAAGAAGCCTATGACCGAGTTTTTCGCCTGAGAAGAGCTTTCCAGGTAATGAACAAAATACGATGCGGAAGAGGAGGGCAGAATGTAGCTAATGGGCTTTGTTATAGTGCTCCCTGTCACATCATCTGTTGCCCCCCGCAGAACACACCAAGCCTGAAGATGTAAGGATTCCTCTAAGCACCCACAAATTCATGGGGGATTCTCCTTGCTCACCCACTTTTCAGGATATTCCATACCTCAGTCCCATCATCGAGGAAATTGAAAAAGAGATGAAGGAACGCGCTGATCTCGAGTCTATGATCGTTGAACCAAGGAAGTGAGGTGCCAATTTGGTGGACCATCATGGCGGCTGGTCGGAGTCCAAAACGGATGCAAATGCTGAATTATTGTACATACCATACAACGAGAGGGGGCTCGAAAGAAACCCTATATGCCACCTGACATTGCTTGAGACTCTACGTGAGTGTGCTCATAACTTCGACATCCACGTCTTCCACTCGCCACATATACCACATAAACAGGCTACGATACGGCGCAAATGGCGCGCTCTTCTCGAGCATATCCTGCTCAGACATGTACTTCCACTTCCCCCCGCCCTTTGCTTTGAGCTTCTTCACGTCTTTGCCAAAGAATGCAGCCATGCCCCGCTGCACGCCCAGGTCCCCAGTCGAAAAGATGTCAAGCCGCTTCAGTCCGAAACAGGCAAACATCTCAACACTCCACTTCCCTAGACCACGGACCGCAATCAGTGTCTCCATGACCTCTTCGTCGGAAGCTTTCATGAGCATCTCATTGGTGAGTTCCCCACTGGCAAATTTCTGAGCCAGGCCTTGGATATACTCTGCTTTCCGCTGAGACAAGCCCGCAAGACGTAGCCTAGCAATGTCCGTAACAGCGACCTGTGCTGGCGTCGGGAACTTGGCCTCTTCAGACCCATCCTCGTTGAACAAGGCAATAAACTTGTTCTTGATGGACTTGGCCGCGGCGCCCGACACTTGTTGGCCCATGATCCCGCTTGAAAGCGAGCGAAACGGATCAATCACCTCGGCGAGGCCCTTGGCTGAGAATATATGACATGGCTGTTTCTCGATCACGGGTTTCAGGCGTGGATCGACGCTGATAAGGTGGGCACAGGCCTGATCTAGGAGCGTGTTTGTTGTCGCTATCGGCCGAGGGAGGCCGGTTTTTGAAGGGGTCGAGTCGGGAAGAGTGTCTTCATACGCGACGTGCTGGGTTCCTCCAGGCGTGACCAGTGGAGCGTTGGTGATGTGTGGTTCAACAGGGCGGTCAGGCGGAGGAGTTCCGTCGTCAATGTCCCCAGAGCTATAAGGTGCTCTGATGACGCTGATGAGACTCGGTGTTGGCGTCAACGGAGGATGTTTAGACTGTTTGGCAGGGTTTCTTCGTGCATTTGCTTTTTTCACTGGCGTCACAGGCACCTTGAACTCGGATTCGGTTTTAGGTGCTCCATTGAGGACATGATTCTTTTCCTCTTCAGCTTCTGTCTGCTCCATGGCGCCATGGCCCTTTTGCTTCTTGGCTTTCGAATCCTGCCCTTGGGAGGATGACGGCCGTTTCTTTGGCCCATTGGCCGCCACTTCAGGTTTATCCGCTGCCGAAGCAACAGATACTGACGCGATCCTGCTAGATCGACGGACGGACATGACGAACAAACGTGCTAGCATTCAACGATTGTAGGTATGGGCGTTTGTAATCCTGCTCAATGAACATGAATTGGGCAAAGCCGAGTATGTATCAGTCGCACTCGGGAGAGACCAGAACCTGTCTTTCCCAATCTATAAGGAATAGCGGTCCGAGGCTGAAGTGCGACAGAGAGTTCGTGTACCTTTGACGTTGGATAAAGTGACGATATATTCTCTCCTGAAACCATGTAACTCCTTGCCTCTCATTGGCTCAGGCGTTCTCGGTGCCTGTTGCCACGGCCAAACAACTGTGGCTGAGTGGCTGAGCAGGGCGTGGCTGACATAAGCCAATGATCCATTCCGGGCCAATCGCCGTTGACAATCATTACCTGGTAGGTTAGGTATTGATGTTGCTCGTCGAAACCACACTTTGTTACTAGGTACCTACCTAGGTAGGTTGGGATTTACCTACGCCCAACCCGCAGGCTTGTGATGATAGTCTGTGGTCTTTGATGCCCGAAAGACACCTGGGATTCAAACAGAAAATGGCCGGGACAATGCAGCAGAGAACGTGTCATGTCGTGCGATATGTATCTGAGAACGCAAGTTCCCGTTGTGACGCCGTTCTCGATCCGGGGAATCGGTTTTGCAAAGGTCTAGTGGATTACGCGGCCACCAGACAGGAACTTCCAAGTTTGTCAATGGAGAGTCGACACAGCTTGTTCCAGGCCATCACTTCATCAATCTCTTGTCTGAAGATCTTCCATGTTTTGCTGTCATGACTTTAATATCGGACAATGCCTCATCAGGCCCGAGTGATCCACCCGCTGAGTTGTTGATCGCATCTGATGGAAATTGAAGCCTTGATATCGAAAGTGGACGCCCAAAGATGGAATAGCGCTATCTCTGCGGCGGGAACCTGTCCCAGGATCGTTGCAGCTAGGGCTTCGTATCGTACTGTCATCAGATAATGCACTAAAACAGATGGTGGAACAAGTGTGGCGGCCCCTAACCCATTACGGTTGAGCTTGCAGGTCGCGCGCTAGGAAGATCCGGTGGTGTTGGGCGCGCCATGGCAGCGGGAGGTTATCAAAAACCTTGATGGACTCAGATCAGCAAGTCGCCCGGTCGTTGGAGGGCCAAAATGATCGAAAGTGAATCATCTGTCCACACGAGTGCTTGCGGGATGAGACTCGAGGTCGAAACATGAGCAGGGGTCCACCCGATTGCGCAGATCAAACATTTGACGGCCAGAGCTTGACATCGCAGGCTTTGGCATCGAGGAGATGGCGGGATTATTGCGAAGTGGCTGCTCTACCAAATCTGTAGCCAACAGTACCTATTTCGTATCAGAAAGATAAAGGACAGAACATCCCTACTGGGTACTATTTCTGATGGTGGACGAAATACCCACCAACAAGTTGGGAACCATGGATCTGTGTCCTCATATCGAATATCTCTTACCGTGCGATCAGCACCGCTGGTTAGACCATGGCAGTTTATTTCTCAGCTAGGCTCGCTCCGTATTCAGCGTGCCCCGAAGCGTTGATGACCGTTGTCTGAGTGCAACAAGCTTCGCACGCGACTTTGAATGGTATCTCCCATATTTCACATGCGAATTCGATAGTTCGCAGCCGTGCCAGGAGCGAAAAAGAAAAGTAGCACAAGCGAAATGGCGGATTATCCACTCTGACAAGACTTCTGCAAGCGTGGCGTTATCCGACCAAGTGCATGAGTTCATCCAGTTTATCCTTCGTCTTTTGCTCGAACGTGGCTAGTATATAGCGTCTGCTCCATCCGCGAGCGTCGAATGTCTCAGATTGAGGGGGACTTCTGTTCAAGGTCTGGAGTGTGTGTGGCCAAGAGGGCGATCCGGTAGAGGCAGGAATCGGGGGGTGCAGCTTATGCGGGCGGGAGCTGCATGAAGTGGCTGAGCAGGAGATGGGGTTGGTGGAAAGATGGACTGGCTGCAGATGTTGACAGTTGTTGTGACAATACAGATACAAGCCATCTCCTTTTCTGCCTCTTCTGACCTTTTGGAGGCGGCGCTAATGATGCAACCCCAGCTCCGCAGGCTCCACCTGCGACGGCAACTGCAGCAGCTGCAACCCCAAAACCCGTCCACTGACAGCCACAGCGCAGCTGCAGGCTCCCCTGGCTCGGCCAGCCAGTCACCCTCCGGCCAGACGAGGGAGGCCCCTGGCTTGCGGGTAACAGCCCGCTAGACGGTCAAACACAGGGCCACCACGGCTCCCCTATGGCCCACCCGTAGCCCACCAGTAGCCCATGGCCAGCTAGAGCGGATGTTAAACCAAGGCCATTTCGGAGGTGCTCTACGGTCTCTCGGCCAATCAGTGACCCGCCCTGCCAACTCAATCCCATTCTTGCCCTCCCCCCCAATCCCTTCAATTGCCAATTCCTCGCCGCGTGTATTTTCCTGCCATCCCCCTTCTCTTCACGCATCCGCCTGCACCACACAACAGTCTGTCGTTGCTGCTCTTTTTTTCCTTTCTACACTTCCATTCTATCTTCTCTTCACGAGAGCCAGCCACGCGTTTGACCGTTGGGGCAGAAAGAGTCGTCCCTGCCGCCGGCTGTGTTGTGTTAACAATCTCCCCAAAGCAACAACCATCAACAAACCAGCTTCTCCTTCGCTGAAGCTCAATTTATCCCGTCCTCGTTGTCTTCTCACCGCGGACTCAACAGATTAATTCTTTTACTACCCAAAAGTTTCTTACGACTTGCTCGGGGCCAGCTTCACGCCTTCTATCCTCTTTTAATATCGCATTGCAGGTAAGTACTGCTTCCATCCACCTCGCCCCTTCTCCTTGACCTGTTTGTTTGTTGTCTAGTCACCGCGTCACCATCAAGCTGTCACTGTCGACCTCCAAACAATCTCTCCTGTCTGTCACATCGCGCAATGTGCAATGTATAAGTACGCGTGCTGACCCTTTTCCCGCAGCTCATCGCTGGTATTAGAACACCATGACTTTCTCCAAAATCATCCTTCCCACCCTCGCCCTGGCGAGCTCCGTCTTGGGTACGTTCTCACTTCCTACACCAAGTTTGATCCCGGTATCGTGGCACATTTGCGCAAGAGCTGGTCCTTAACAAATGGAAAGAGTTGTGGTTGAGAAGCTTCGTTGTGCTAACATTCCTTCAGCACAGGGGAACGGGAGCAGCAACATCTGCGACGGGCCATCGATCACCATCGTGACCAGCGCCGATGCCCAACAAATTGCCAGTTGCGAAACCTATCATGGAGACATTATCATCGATCCCTCTGCCTCGGGACAAATTGCCATTGACGGAGTTCAACAGATCACTGGTGACTTCACCTGCAACAACGCCACTCAATTGACTGCCATCACCTCGGACCAGATCAATACCATCCAAGGAACGTGGACCTTGAGCGGCCTCACCATCCTCTCCACCCTGCAATTTGACTCCCTCACTGGTGTGAACAATATTAATTGGGTCGGTCTCCCTGCCCTGCAGAGCCTTAATATGGCCCAGGGCATTCAGAGGGCGAACAATGTCTACATCTCCAACACCCAATTGAATAACATTAACGGAATTGAGTTGACAGCGGTTGGAAGCATAAACATCAACAACAACCCCTACCTCACCACAGTCAATGTCAATGATTTGTCCAATGTCACCAACTCGCTGTCCTTCTCCGCCAACGGCCGTGACCTGGCCATCTCTTTCCCTAACCTCCAGGCTGCTGCCAACTTGACTTTCCGAAACGTCAGCAAGATTGACATGCCTTCTCTCTCAAGCGTGGCTGGGTCCATGGGCTTCTACTCGGACAGCTTCCAGACATTCTCTGCCCCCAACTTGACCCAGACTGGCGGCACTCTGGCCTTCGTTGACAGCCCCAACTTGGCAAGCTTCTCTTTCCCTTCGCTGACGATCATTGGTGGCGGTTTCCTGGTTGCCAACAACACGAACCTGAAGGCGATTAATGGTGTGCCTAAGTTGCAGACTATTGTTGGTGCTCTCGACTTTGCAGGTGTCTTCTCCAGGTATGTGTTTCTGAGCTCTTTCAGTATCCTTTGCTGGTTGGTGCTAACATGGATTGCAGCGTCACCATGCCCAAACTTCAAGACGTCCGAGGCGGATCCAATGTGCAGACTACCTCCACCAACCAGACCATCTGCCAGCTCTTCGACACAGCTCATGACAATGGTGTCATCAAGGGTGTCAATACCTGTCTCACCAACAAGGCGAACCCCGAGACCAACCCCACGGCTACGAGCGGCGGTACTTCGTCCACTGCGACTAGCGGCTCTAGCAGCAGCAGCAGCAATGCCGCTGTCACCTTTGGTCCCGGCGCCCCCGTGACCGGGCTTGGTGCTCTTATCGCTGCTATGTTCTTCATCTAAAGCATTGGGTCCTTTGGCGTTGCTTTCCGCTCAACTTAGAATAGCTTAATATGCGACGGGCGATGTCTCGACTCTTGTGCTTGTCGGGCTCTTTTTCTGAGCGGTCAACTCTGTTAACGAAACAAACAACAAGATTGGGGGAGGCTTGCGACTCGGCTCTCACAAAACAAAAGAAGCGCGTGCGCATCTGGAGTGTGGGGTCCTGGGTTTCTTGTGTTGGGAAAGATCTAGTACTGGCAGATTGTGGTTGAGAGCGAACAGAGCTCCTCAGAGCTCGCTTGCGTGTGGATAGGCATACAAATGAAAACATGTTTCCTTGACTGTAACTAGATGCCGTTCTTATGCTTGACAGGGGCATGTTGGTGTCTCGATTTCCGGCATTGATTTCCATCAAAGTATGCCCAATTGACCGGTATGAGAAGCTTAGGCATGGCCTGCAGATGCCGCAGAAGCCATGCTTGGACAGACACAACAGCAAGCTCCTTGGTATGGTCAAGAGCAGTAGTCATATATCAACCGTCAGCACCAACCTCTTCATCCGAGTCCTGCCACTCGAACGGTGACATCGTACTCCCCACAGTGGTGATATATCAATCACCTCGTTCCCTTCTGGTGCTTCGTGCTTTTAACGTGATGACAGGAAGCGGCCGCGAGTGAGCAGTCAGGGGTAGATGCGCATTCCGTCAGCGCAAGGGACATCTGGTGGTGGTCCCACGTATTATGTATGTCTCCACATACTTCTGGAGAAAAAGAGGAAGTGACCCCAGAACGCCAAAGGAATGACTACGTACCGCTTCCACATGCGTCAGCTCTCCAAGATCACAGAATCAATGTGTAAGCAAAAGCAAATGCGTCCACATCCCCAGATCAGCTTACATGCTCGTTCGTGAATAATACGAATCCTTTGGGGAATTGTATGCGGTTATTGTCATTTCAAGACTCGGACGAGACACCCAGTGAGAGGGAGAAGAGAACTCACTCGACCGAGTCGTCAGCATTGTCCAGATGGGATATCGGGCTTTAAGACAAGGGCTGTGATAGGCTTAATGCGGAGTAGGGGTAAGACGTTCTGAATCCGGATATTTTGCTACACCTATATCAAGGAGCACCGAGTTTCTGCCAGAATAGACTAGACTCTGCTAGGAGACCGAGGGAAAGAAATTCAGCTTTCCGGAAGCCCAAAAGGACGAAAAGGCAAAAGCCGCGACCGCGCGAGAAAGAGCGAGAGAGCGAGAGTGGCAAGGCTACCTGCGCATTACCTGCTTTGGGGTGTAAGGTGGCTACAAATAATACTACCGACTTACTTGTAGTGCTGACAATTCAGTACCTACCGGCCGACTGGACACAATTTCTCAACGCAAGCGCCGGATTCATTCTGTTACTCCTGAGTTGACGTGTTATGTGTGGGACCAACGCGCTTTTCATTGATCTATCTATTTATTGCCAACTAGCAGTTGGAAAACCCCACTGGTGATGGTGATGGTGGTGGTGGCGGCAACCTCAAACCTCAGAAAGAAGTGGCACAGTCTGACGAAGAAAACCTTTTCACGCCGTCTTTCCTCACGGGGCGGCTGTTGTGCGGCGGCCGCAGACCACAGGGATTTTAGTATATAGTTAGAGACAGGCTCCATTTCGATAGAGGTATAGGTATGGCCTTGGCTTGTCAGATTGGCATACTACTTCCTCTGGAAGGCGGCGAATTAGGAAGAGGGCTGGTGTACAACTCCCCTTTGTGGCGGGAAGCTGACTTTGGACAGGATTTTTCTTGGCCTTTGAAGAACATGCTCGGGTTGCATCTCACTTCTTACGCTGGGAATGGTTGGGTGGGCGCCTGGTTTCGTGGGGGGTGAGCTGGAAGTCACGTATATATATACCTATATCTATACGAGCAGTGACTTGGAAGTACTTCGGTAGCTGACAACTCGTGAATTACTTGATGCTAGTACACCCTTCCTGGTCAGCATCTTCGGTATAAAGACGTGGGCACAGACACCAACACTCTCGTCATCCTTCCGGTTCCACCGGCCACCCATAAAATAGCGACAATACAGCGTCCAGCAGCAGCCGGTGAGGATGCCTCGAACCGATATCTCCTTCAAGACCTTCGACGGAGTGACCCTTCGCGGGTGGTTCTTCACCCCTGAGTCGTCCACCAGCGGCTCTTCAACAGCTACGAAACTCCCATGCCTTATTCTCACCCACGGCTTGTCGTGCATCAAGGAAATGGGCCTGTCAGAGCTCGCCACCAAGTTCGCCGAGGAACTACACATCACCTGCCTCGTTTACGACCATCGAGGATTCGGCGCCTCCGACGTCGTGCCAGGCCAGCCTCGGCAGGAGGTCATCACCTGGCTGCAGAGCAATGACATGCGGGACGCCATCACATACGTGCAAACCAGGGCGGAAGTCGAAAAGTCGAAGATTGCGCTGTGGGGATATTCCCTCTCCGCGGCCGAGGCAGTGTATGTCGCTGCAATTGATCGACGGGTCAAAGCGGTGGTCGCGCTGGGGCCGGGCATGGATGGCACCGAGATCGTGAGGAGAATGGCACCGCCCCATGCCATGTTGGTCATGCAGACCATGTTTGAAATGGACCGTCTCGCGCAGGCCGAGGGCAAGGATCCGATCAAGGTGCCCGTCGTGAGCAACGAGCCTGGGGTGCAGGCGACGTTGCCGAGTCAGGAGTCGTGGAACTTCTTCTCCAAATGGGAGAACAGCGGGTCGACTTGGAAGAATGAGTTGACACTGCGAACGTGAGTTTCTTTCGCCCTTTTCACCCCTTACCTCCTGGACTTGACACCGGGTAGTGGAACAGCTTGTCAGGATGATTTTTTTGGGGCTGACATCAGTGTCCAACGATATCAGACTTGACGACATCTCTACGTTCGCGCTCCCCGTATCACATCTCGACAAGGTGACTCCGACGCCCGTCCTCTTTGAAGTAGCCGCGAGGGATACCAACAGTCCTCCCGACATGACCATGAGGTGGTACGCGAAGCTGAGCGAGCCGAAGGAAGTCGTTCTGGTGGATGCGGATCATTATGAGTTGATGGGTTCGGCGAGAGATATGTTACATCCTAAGGAAGTGGCATTTCTCAAGAGAACGATTTGTTCGTGAGTTTGGGGGCGAAGGTAAGAAGGAAACGGCCTGGCCTTGGATGGTCGGGTCATTGATATTCCGCCCTCTGGGGAAATGGCTGGGCTCGGCAAGGCTACGAGGCTGCCAGGGCTACTAGTAGCGTAGACCCGAGGTAATATGGGACTGGTTAGTGTGAGAACCGCCCAATCGCTCAACAATCGGGCAACTTAGTCACGCGGGACTTCGAGCTGAGTTCCAGCACCTGCGAGCCTGGTTTCAGCTTCTCGCAAGGAGAATTCTTCATCATCTCCCCTTTCCAGACGCTCGTCTCTATGGATCCGCTTTCGGTAGCGGTGTCGGTGTCTTCTCTTCTAGCGAGCGGTGCCAAGGTCGTGAAAGCGGCTTCCGCTCTACGGTCACAGTACAGAGATGCTGCATTTATGTTGTCTGCGATCTCAAGCGAATGCACTGTGATCAACACCTCTCTCGGCATGCTACAGAGTCTGATGATGTCCAATCCAGAAAGTCTGGAATCGAGAATGACATATCTTGTCATCTCCACATTTGAGGTTGCTCTTACGGGTTGCGCACTGACCATGAGTGTGGTGGAAGACGAGCTTGGTGGATTGCTTATCGAAGACGAAAACGGCAACCTGAAAGCAAGAAGAATCAAATATGTCATGGAGCAGAATCATCTGAAAGAGATGCTTCAACAAATTCGGGGACAGCAGACAGGCATCTCTCTACTACTTCAGACCTACCAAGCGTAAGTTTTCTTCACCCAAGGACCTCAAAGATACAGTGCCATTGTGTCAACCTGTCTCCTTGGTGGCCACTCAAAGCTTGAAATTACCCAGAGAGTATGAGATGCGTACTACTCCTGCTGACAGCACGATCGCAGAAATACTAATGCAGAAGTCAACGAGATGGTGCAGCAAAACAATGCTTTGCTACGACAAATAGCGAACAGGGGTCGTTCATTTTATCTTGAGAGTGTTCACGATGGTGAACGGCGAGCTACTGTCGCCGGTTCACTTGAAGCAACCGATTTGTCCATCCTTGACACGAGTTCAAGCGTCGACGATCGCGAATTCGACTTCGATGACGAGATCATCAATGCTGGGGCATATAGAAGGGCACTCGCCAGCCTCCGCCACAAGGACCACTTTGGGGAAGAGATGAGTAATAATCTACCGCCAGAAGATGGTGACAAGACTCTGGTTTCCACCGCACTTACGAATGAGAGCAACGGATCCACTCAAAATGATACCAATAATCCTCACCAGAAAACTCCTTTACCTGGCCGAGAGGAAACGATTTTGGCAACTAGTGGAACGTACGAGACCGAAATCGTCATCAACCAGCTTCAGGACATGGAGGGAGACTCTATGAAGACATCCGCCCAATACGAACTGAAGTTGCCTCACGCGGCAAAAATGCCAGACACTCTATTTGACCCAAGGACTAGCCAAACCCTCAAGGAAACCAGTGGACCCCTCGAAATCACCACCCCGCAGATGCTAGACACAAAGAAAACGGCTGTCACTCCTCAGGGTGAACTGCCAACAGATCGGTCGAGAGTGACTCCTCCGTCCCGGGTCGAAATTCAGACTGAGAAGGAATACCCCGAAGGCCGATTTGGTATTTCTGACGTAGGAAGATCACAAACCGCCCCCGGACAGCTCAAAAGCGACCGGGTAAATCTCGCATACTCAAAGTTGGCTTGGTCGGAGATGCAGCATGTGGGAAGACTTACGCTGCGATGAAATACGTCCGTGGCCACACTGACGGAATTAGGTATGGTCCGACGATCTATGACCGTTACGGTGCAGACATCGAGATTGATGGAAACCTCTGTCTACTCGATTTCCAAGACACGGCCGGGCTGGAAGACTACGACTCAGTAAGGGAATACAGCTATTCGGATTGTGACGTTGCTCTACTCTTCTTCTCCATTGACAATCCGAACTCTCTAGACAACATTCGAGGGCGATGGGCCCGTGAAATCCATCCCTTTCTGACACACGTTCCCAGAATACTAGTAGGCTGTAAAGCCGATCTGAGGGACGATCCTAAAACTATCGAAAAGCTGGCAAAGACATCACAGAAACCCGTCTCAAGGCAACAAGCTGAAGAAGTTGCCCGCAATATTAGTCGAATATATCAATTCTCAAGTTTCCACCAGAGAACAGTCAAGTATATGGAATGTTCTTCGTTCACGGGAGATGGGATTAACGGGGTATTCGAGGAAGCTGCAAGGCTTGGTTTACAGTACTCAATCAAGAAGGATAAGATGAAATCTAGAGGCATTTCTGGAGTGTTCAGGAGACGGCCTTAGGTGGGAGCAGTCGCTTCAATTCCTGAAGATCCCGGAAGCCTCGCAACGGAGACATAATATGGAAGATGTCCCACATACAATTGGAATCATGTGTGATTTGTGACATAGCGGTTTTCACTCTCAAAGTTTGTGACCCAGTTGCACCATATCTCTCTCGCCTTACTTCTTTCACATATCTGTGCCCTTGCTGTCTCCCACATGTCGCTGCTTCGGTACTTGATAATGTACCAATGCACTCATGGATACCTCATTTGACACCAGCTCGCTTCGGCTGATGATCTGCGAGCTCACCTCAAAAAATTGTGTTGCGCTTTGCTGTCCCCATAGTGGACTCAGGCGATTAGGTTGAGGCCTTCTGCGGGCGGCTGGAAGCTCCGAACGTTATTCGGCTGGGGAGATCCATAAACCAACCAGCTCAGCCTCAGCCTCAGTCTCAGCTCCAGCCATACAGGGAGGGTCAGAACGGGTCGACACCGTGTGAGCTGCGTCTCTTACCACGGTTCTGAGCTCCCGATACAAGCCAATCAAAGAGCATCCGGGTAATTGCGGTCGAGAATACCTCGTGCAGTCCTCGGCCATGCCTAATCTACGGTAGCCAGGCTAGGCGCAGCATTAGGTCGTGAACAACTCATGCATGGCTACCCCAGCATCGGTTATTGGCGCCCTCAAGCCACCACTTCGCCCCCATTTCACAGCCCCCACTAGGGCCCAAGGACATCGCATATAAAGGTCGGTCAAGGCCGCCATCCTCAGCCTGATCCCCAAAGTCAATCTCCTTCCCTCCTCCTCCCCTGAGTGCTCAGACCATGTCATGACTGTCTCCCATGGCCAATGCGGCGTATCTCGAATATAGGGAATGGCATCCTTTGTGATCTTCAAACAAGGTTCGAGGCCTACGCCAGCACCAGCAGCGGATCTCCAGAGACTGTTGAACTGACATGGTTGAGGCTTTACAGTCAATGGGAGGTTTGAGAAGTCTACTGTCGATGCATATGGGTTTCTTAAGGTAGGTTGCCGACACAATAGTCCGTGGACCAATGCGATGAACTCAATTTCTTTTTGGCAGACTCGCCCAGAGCAGGGTGTGCAGTTTGTGTAAGGCCCTCGCTTCCCCCGGCAGTGTATGGGTGCAAAGTCTTGACAAATACGGTCCAGCTTCGCAAAGTGGGATCTCTTCAAAGAACACCAACACCTAAGGGTTCTTATGTGCACGAAATGGGCATATCCGCCAATGCTGTGGACAGAAGTCTGCCACAAAGCCAACGGCTATGCGGGCAGTGCACGCAACCTCGACAAGGACCAGAAGACGGTGGTGGACAGTAGGCCTCCCGATCGAAGTCAAAGTGGGCCCCTTTCACACGTCCAGTCCTAACAGATCATTCTCCAGCCTCGTGGTTCCAGTTTTTGATCAAGCAATTGAAGAAAATGAGTGGCACTGCGGATGCTTCTCAGCAAAGGTACGCTTACGATTGGTATGAGATGGGCTTTTTCATATACGCTCTATCCACTGGGGCCTCGGTGGCTTTCTGCATCGACACTCCGCAAGTTTTCCAGAATGGACTCCTCGAGGCACTGAACTCGGCGAACAGCGATCCGCCAAAAGAGGCAATGGCATTCCCGCAGTGCGCAGTTATCGCAGAGGTATCGAGGCTGTATGACGTCTCGATCTGGACTCTAAGGGATGAAGTCAGGAAGATTGAACAGGTAATGTTTTCTTCGCCATAGTGCGGTGCTCGTCACCCGATACATTTGGCTTACCATTGCCTTGGGAAACCACTTAGATACGATCGGCTGCTGGCTACATCGACTCAAGCCTCAATTTCACCGAATTGCATGAACTTGCTCGACACACCATCCACACTTGCGAAGTGCTGGCTGTGGCCGTGGACACGCTCATCACCCTGTTGGATGACTACCGTTCAAGTTCAGGGAAGACCTGTGAATGCCCAGTCGCTTCTGGGCTGTTGGAAAAGCCACACTGCCCCCACAACGAGATGAAGTTTCGGCTTGGACTGCTCCAGAACTTTGGGCGACGAGCAAAGTCTTTGAACGAGAGACTGTCTAACGAGATCAACCTGGTACCTAGCCGTCTCGTGTTTTTGTTTCTACTGGCTTTCACGGAGCCATCTGACAGCGCGTTACCAGGGCCTCAACCTCGTGGTGCAACGGGACACTCGGAAGACGGTCGAGATTAGCGAGATGACGGTCGACATCAGCAGCGCGGCGCGGAGCGATAGTGCCTCGATGAAAACGATTGCCGTGGTCACGCTTGCGTTCCTGCCTGCCACATTTGTCTGCGTAAGTCGTCGCCATGCCCGTGGTCTCTCCAAGACTTCTCACGGGGGAGTTTTGTTATCGCGTGTGCGTACGCATAGCTGACTGAGTGGCCCCCCTTCCCCCATTTCCAGACGATCTTCAGCATGAGCTTTTTCACCCTCAACGTGGACGACGACACGGGGGAGAAACACTGGTTGGTCTCGGACCGTTTCTGGATTTACTGGGCTTTCACCGTGCCATTGACGATCTTGACCTTGGCCTGTTGGTGGCTCGGGCAACACAGGGAAGACAAGCGCAAGCGCGAACAGGAGAGACTGCACCGACAGGCAAGTCTGAAATCGGCAGTGCCGTAGACTTTCCATTTTTCGCCCTCCCCGAGTGATACAGTATCTCCACAGCACGGCTTGTCCAGCCTTGACCCAACTAAATACAAGGTTGCGACTCCACCACGGACTCCGCCTACACGGACCGTATCCGCCGGACTCATCGATAAGCCGAGTTCTCTTACGTGGGATGTGTGGAGGGGCAGATGGGTAGATGGCCAATCCCCTTGGATGACGCCCGGAACTGGGTTGGAAGGCGTGAGAATGTGTCTGCTGACACCTCGAATCAGATGGCCGTTAGGTAATGGCTGGGAAATCAGGGCTTATCATTGAAATTCAGGGACTTTTGTTTTGTACTTGATATCATTCTATCATTCAAGAGACATGTATCACGGCTTCCCTCGTCTCGTCCCTCGTCCTCTTCAAGAACGGCATCACACTCGTTCCGCCTGTGCCGTGCAACTGTCTTGTCACTGATGCATCGGCATCGGCATCGTCATGCTCTGCCTTCCCGCCCCTCTGTGTCTGCGTCTTTGTTGAACATGCCGTGGCCAAGTTCGCCCCTTTGCGTTGGACGATGTATGGCGCCGGCGGGCTCCGAGACGGCATGACGATGTACCTGGCGACGATCTGAATGTGGCTGTTCCGAAGGTGCGTCAAGGTCGCGACGGCGTCGTTGTATGCGGCCTGAAGATCTGCAGGGGAAGTGGCGCGTGAGATGTAGCCTCGTAGGTTGCTCATTCTTTCAACCTGGGCGAGAAACTCGCGGTGTGATGGTGGCATGTAGTTCCTCATCTCCTGGCTCCTTTAGTCAGTTGGGGCCGGTAATGGCAATGGCAATGGCATGGCGGTCCCCGTCAGAACTGACCTGTAAGTATCCACTGGGATCGGAACTTTCATCTCGCGACTCAGGTCGGCGAACATTGCCTCCTTCTCCCGTTTCATGATGTCCAACAGCGAGGAAGATGTCGAAGAGCTGGATCAGCGAGCTTTGCGCATTGCTCCCGCCACTGTACTGCCTCCACTGACCGCGGCCCTCGCCCTCGTCGTAAAAGACGCCATTTGGCAGCCCCGCCGCCGCCATTCCCTTGGAACCCGCACAGAACGGGCGAATATTGTGATAGAAGACCTGTGGATCACAGTGTTCATGCATGCGTTTGAGAATGGCTTCGATTTCTCGGATGCCCTTGGTCAAGGTTTGGAGACAGGTGATAATCACCTTGTCGTCGCAGTCGTTCACGGCCTGTATGCAACGGAGCATCGTCAGGATCAGGGGCCCGCCTTTCGCTTCGATGGCCGTGGAGACCATGTAGAACCACTCTTCATCTTGCGTGTTGGTGAATGAGAGGAACGATCTGAGATTGTCCGGGTCGGCTCGATCACTGCCAGGGGTTTTCAATCCGAAATTCAAAAGGCTGAGTGTCGAGAACATTGCGGTCGGCGGCAGGCCCAGTCGCTCCGACACTGCCAGAAACGGGCAGGTGAGCTGGGGCGGGAGTCGCTATAGAATGAAGCGTCAGCTGTGTGTCTCTCAGGCCAGTGCCCCTCGGCGGGCCCCTGAACCAACCTCTGCGGGTCGTTCTCCGCCCCAGATGTATGCGTGAGTCAAAAATCCCAAGACCGCATATGCTCGCCGCCATTCTGCGTCAGTGTGCAATTTGTCGGTCCCAAGGATCGGTAAATGGTCGATCTTGGTCCTGGCCGCATCGCTCTGTATGAGGTCTGGGAGGGTTGCTACCAGTACCTCCCAAGGCTGGTAATAGCGGTCCGGAAGGCGTTGTAAAGGATCGACTTCAGGGAGGAAGCCGGACTGGGCTGAGATGCTGTATCTTCGAAGGAATTGACTGGGCGTTTCGATCATCTCGAGATCGTTGATTTCAAATCAGACAGTTCGCGAGGATATGTGTATATAGAAGGAGACGAATTTCTGTCTACCCAAACAAGGTTGCCACACTTTCGAAGGGTGAAGATTGTGTTTTTATGACTGATCTAATCCCTCACTACCCCCTCGACTTCGCGGCAGAAATCCGCATCCGTCGGAAGCGGAGACGGATGTGCTGATGAGAATCCATGTTGCTTAGGAGAGAGGCTCCTGACCGCATCTTGATTGGCGGAGGATCCCCGCGAGTTGCCAGGATGGTCCTGTTAATAATCTGGAGCAGGCCTCGTCAACGAGGATACCTTGTGGACGATGGATAGAAGTAACCAGTTAGCAGAGATAAGGGACGGAAACTTATAGACTACTCGTATACGGCTTGCCCCGATCGTACCGCTTTTGAGACCCCGTCACTCGCCACTCGCCCTCCCTCACCAGCTGCTCACCCTTCTGCGCACCATTATAGAGCTATGAGCGGACGAAAGCAGCCGGACGACGAATGACAGGCTCGAGCTGAAGGTCATAGGTACAAGAGAGGTGCCCATATCAAGATGTATATGTCCAAGATGATAGAGCACTACAGTCATCCTCTGGAGTATTATCTTTGGTAAGAAATACGGGCTACTCGCTTCTCTAGATTTCTGCTTAGACTAAACATCCCTAAGAAAACAGGGAATATAGTAGATAAGATAATTATAAAATAAACAAGATAATCGTCAACGTGAAGGATCCCCTCCCATCGACGAAATCACTGCCTGTTATTTAGTTTGGAATGAAATTCCGCGACATCTTACCTAGTAACAATCTCGAGTTGATCAAAACCCCTCAATGTCAAGACGCCGATGGTGATGCCTTGGAATACGCAATTCTCTCCACCCGGTCAAGCAGGTCGAGGACGACAGGATCCATGAATGGTAGCACCGAGGTACAAACCATGCCCGCCACTCTTGAATATGGGTCTATCCAAAAGTACAAGTTGCCCAGACCTGCCCAACATCCACTCATCCTTTTCCGTCCTGTAGGCAAATTCTCCAGATTCAACAACAGCCCGCAAGACCAACCACGCGCATCCACGGGAAGGCTCGGCATTAGCGATCCTTGATTAGAAAGGTCCAGCATACTCGGTCTGATCTCACCCAGTAGTGTCCTGTCGACACGGGAATGTAAATGGTCCGTGAAGAGAAACTCTCGGATCGTGCTGGGCTTAAGGATGGTTTTTTGGGTGACGGGGCTTCTTCCACCGTTGAGAAGAGCACTCAATAACTGCGCGAAATCATCCATCGTTGAGTATAGGTAAGCTCCTCCCCCCCAAATCTCTGGATCCGTGGCATTTCTGGCAAAGTGTTCGCTCCCAGTAAGCCTACCTTCGGCCTTGTAATGCACGAACAGCCTGTCTCTTCCTGGGACTGGAGATGCCCCGCTAGCGTTCATGCCAAGGGGCTTCAAAATGTTCTTGTCGATATATTCAGGTAGGGACATACCACTGGCAGCTTGAATCACGAGGCCAAGCCAGTCGGTGTTTGTCCCGTAGAGATATTTCGTGCCCGGATCAGCAACTAGAGGAGTGTCGAAGTCATTCCACTGCCCGGTGCTATAATATCCCGCGGGTGAGCAACCTGTGTGCTTACGATATTGCAAGGTCAACTCGTCGAAGAAATCGTAGGAAAATCCAGCCGTGTGATTGAGCAATTGCAAGATCGTGGGCCTGGATTTTGGCGACCGCAGAACAGGCTGTGATGCCCCGGAACCCTCTGTGGTGAAAGAATCCAGGACTTGTAATTGCGACAACCGTGACACATATTTCTCCACCGAGTCGGAGAGGGAGAGCACACCTAGCTCCATCAACTGCAACGCGGCAATGGATGTAACAAGCTTGGTGCAGGAGAATATTTGCAGGACCGTGTCCGGCTTGAAGGCTGAGGCATCGGGATCGTCAATGCTGTTGGTACCACATGTCTCTCTGAAACGAAACTCTCCGTGATGATCGACAACGAAGGCGCCAACTGCCGGAACTGCTCTTTGTTCGACCGCAGCTTCGAGCAGCCGCCTAGCATCGGCTGCCATAATAAGTGCCCCTATACCTATATGCTTCAGGCAAGAACAAAGTCAGGGTCTGTCGTGTCGCAGGCCTATTTTGGGCCAGTACTGCTGGAGAGATCTAAAGAGCACCTTATACGCGTCCGAGAGGCTCCAGCAGCCTCGCCCAAAAGTGCTGCAAGTGGACTGTAATTCCAGCGGACATCTGCCCTGTCATCCGCTTCAGGGATAAGATACTGCGTTCTCTGATCGGTTTACTGGCCAGGCCTAGTCAGGCATGACCTCTACCAACGTGTCGTTCGATCTTATCAGGCGAGGAAACATTTACTTCGGTTCAGTACCATATCTCAGAGACGAGATAAGATCCTGGCAGGTCTGGCCCGCTGCTTTTATGTTGGCTGGTGGACACTATGTATGGACCGAGAGAGCCGAGTGCGCCGACCCCTTTTGAATTTTGAGCCGCAAGGGAGGGGTGGGCATCCGCGTCTTGGTATCTGTGACTGAATTGGCTCCTGCTTGGGTGACCTGTTGCATCTCCTGACGGGATTCTATCGGTTCTTGATCTTGCCTGAGCCTCGATAGATACAATGGTCTTCGGGCCGGAGACTGATGCCTTTGCCTTCCTTCCTACAGTAGCCGCTTTCCCATATAGATCCGACGGCAGTTCAATTTCTTTTTAACTTGTCACAGGTCACTTGAGTCGGTGTTGCAGCGATTTCCATCTTCCACGCCAATCATCATGATTCAGAAAAATCCAGACGTCGTTGTGGTGGGTGCTGGTCCAACTGGACTTTGGGTGGCTGCGGAACTCACAAGGGCCAAACTCGACGTGGTCATCATCGAAGCGGTAACGACCAGAGACCCACGATCCAGAGCCGTAGGGATGGCAGCTGGCACGCTCGAGACATTTGCGACCCGGGGTGTGGCAGAACAGTTTGTCGATTCTGGAGTCCCGATTTCCTCTGTACATTTCGGCGCTGCCTCCACGCGATTGCAGATTACCGAGGAGCTACTGGGAACAAAATATCCTTACAGCATCTGTATCCCGCAAGTGGTCACCGAGAATATTCTCACCGAGCACTGTGCTGCGATGGGTATGCACATTCGATGGGGACAACGCGTGGTGGGCTTGAGCCAGACAGGGGATGCCGTTACAGTCACTATGGAATCATCCAGTAGCGAGCGCTCTACGGTGACGGCATCTTGGGTCATTGGATGTGACGGCGGCAGGAGTAGTGTCCGCCAGTATGCCGGGATTGAATTCCCAGGGACTTCCAGCACCATAACCGGCTGGTTGGCGGATGTCCTGCTCAAAGACCCTCCAGGCCACCCGGTATCGGTCAGGGGCCCGACCGGATCTCTATTGGTGCAGCGGATGGGCAAAGGCGATTATTATCGCATGGCCGGTGTCGATGTCGAGACGAAGCATTTTCCGACTAGCGCTCCCCCAACACTAGAGCAGATTTGCGGTTGGGCCAAAACACTATACGGCACGGATTTCGGGGCACATTCTCCAGTTTGGCTGTCTCGGTACGGCAATGCAACACGTCTGGCGTCCAGTTTGCGTCACGGCCGAGTCTTCATCGCCGGCGACGCTGCACACCAGTTCTTCCCTGCGGGCGGCCAAGGCATCAACACCGGCTTGCAGGACGCGACCAATCTAGCCTGGAGGATCGCCGCCGTTCGGGCTGGAAGAGTGACAGGAATGTCGGCAGAACAGCTCCTGGATGGCTACAGTACGGAAAGGAGGCTAGCCGCTAGCCAAGTCATTCTCAGCACAGGGGCCGGGTTGTCTGCGTTCATGGCCAGCGAACCCTATGACATCGCTCTGGTCACCGTCTTCTCGGAGGCGTTGGAAGACAAGGGCCTGAATGGTAAATGGGCTCTCCGCATGACAGGCTTCGGGGATCCATTTCCACAGGCTTCGGTGGAGCAAGATCCTCTGATCGAAGCCAGACTTACTCATGTCAAATTCCAAGGCGCCTTTGACAACCTTCACCGACGTATGACAGTGACTAACTTCGTCCTGATCGTGCTAGATCCGGTATTGGAGCAGACAATGAAACAAGCAGTGAAGCCTTGGAAAACATGGATCACCCTCATTTCCTCAGAAGATAAGCCGTCGGCATATGGTGACCAGTGGAAGGGCGTTACGGGTATACTTGTGAGGCCAGATGCCCGAGTGGCATGGGTAGGGAGGTCGTCACCGGACAAGGTAGAGGGCCTCGCGGCTACCATGCAAAGCTATGTTGGTGACGGCGAGCTCATCTCTGCTGTACTCTAACCTCCACCGCCAGCGTTTTCATTGCACTCAGTAGGCCCATGAAAGCTTCTTTGACAGGGAAAAATCTCAAGGTCTATATTACTCCTTTGGCAAGCTGCTGAGTTGCGCCGGGATCTCAAGAGATTAAGATGGCCCAGTAGGCCGTTGTCAGAGATTCCACGTGATCTGAGCACTGGCACTTCGTAACAGATGCTGTATTCAACTAGCTGTAGATTCTCTATAGACAACGACTCGACGCTTAAGGAGAGATAAAGGTCTCTTCCCACCCAAGCTGGGTGGGAGCTGTACTCAGCCCCAAGATATTCGTGACAGCCGTCTCTTACTACAAGGCATCTCTAAAGTCGTCTACCTGTAGTCTTTTCAAGCCGGCGGTATCGCCGCAAAGACAGCCATTTCATACCTCCCGAGAACGAGGTCCTCCACGCCAACGCATGTCCAGGCAGGCTTGTGCTCTCCGAGGGTCTCGCTCGCTACCTTAAACATGGCATTTACAGCGGCGTCATCAAGGCTACCCTTGATGTAGCTCGTAATTTGATAAACAGACGACCAAGCCTGCGTCTTTGTCAATGATGGAGCAGCCGCGAGAATTGCTTTTTCCACGTTCTGTACCACATTGAGTAGTTAGAGAGATATGACAGGGAGATTTTGAGTGGGTAAGTGGCCGTCATCAACCGTTGTCGCATACCTCGAAAGTCAGTCTGATTTGTTGCTCTACACCATCAGCCAAGTTTCCCTCAGCGTCAAGCCCAACGTGACCCGATGTGGCCAGGGTGAGGTAATTTGCCGGCACAACAATCGCGGCAGCAATTGCATAGCGTTTAGTGATGGCTTCGTAGCCAGGGAAGGTGACGGCCTTGAGTGTGACTGGAGTCATCGTGCGGTTCTCAGGGCTGGATGGGAACGAGTCGAGGAGATGCGGTCTGGATGGCACTTCCACAGGGCGAGAGCTTCGTGAAAAAGGTTTCGGAAGGGCTATCCACTGACACAGATCTGGCATGGGGATATGTTCAAGCAGGCAGGCAGAATGATACCACCGAGAGCGCCGACTGAACCTTGTTAGTTGGATCTTTGGACTATCGTTCGGCCCTAACAAGAGCAACTTCTGGGTTCCTGCGAGCAATGTCCAAGGCCACCTATCTCAGTAGCCGCTTTGACCTTCACTGTCAGCCAAGAAAATGCTTACAACGGAGGAAAGTGGAGGTGAAGTCGAATCTCCAGCCACGTGTTCAGTGTCAGTACTTGCTCGAGACGAGCTGTCAAGTAGAGGATTATTAGAGAGGTTTTACCCATTTGAGCCAGCCCATTGGGACACCCAAGGACTGAGGCACCTTGGCCAATTCGTAGGCGTCAGCTTTCGACAACCTGTCATGGGCACGTCGATGGAGGGAAGCACAGGCCTGATGGATCTGAGACTCCAAAGAGTCTCTTCGTCTCGTCTACCTACTTTCAATCTGCGGGACTAGATTCTGGCCCGGATCCGTAGTCATCGACAAAAATACATTTGACTTCATCTGACTACATGATAGATATGAATTCGCTCTCCTAAAGCCTCTATTTCAGGTCTTTCGCATGGCTTGGCGCGTCCAGTATTCAAATGTGGCGCCTACAAGTCTGGATTGCAAAAGGTAATCGTGTGCTTCGCTGCCCATGTCTGATCTTAGGGGAGACAGCTTGCCAAATGGCCGCGCCCGAACTTGGGTGCGAGCAGCCCGTTCCAGATAGACTGCTAGGTAGGTCGCTTCTTGAATGGAGACGCCTGCGGTCAGGAACCCATGGTGGGCCAGGACGATGGACTTTTTCTGTCCTAATGCCCCGGCAATGATGACCCCCTCCTGATCTGCGATCGGTACGCCGGGCCACTCGGAGAGAAAAGCACAGTCGTCGTGGAATGGCGTCATGTCCATTTGAGCGACGACAAGGGGTTCGCCCGCCGCGACAAGGGCCGAGACCCACGGCGAATGTGTGTGGATGATACATTGGACGTCCTGCCTCGCAGCATATACCCAAAGGTGGAAGCGCGTGGCTGGGTTGGCCATCCCCGTGCCAGAGGTCGTTTGAAGGTCGCCACCCACTTCGATGAAGTCGCCGGGTTCAGCTTCGTCCCAGCCGACGCCGAACCGAAGTGTCCAGTACCGCCCTTCATGATCCGGGGAGCGAGCGGTGATCTGTCCGGCGAGCCCAGCATCTTCCTGACGCATAGCAATCAAACGGCAAGCACAAGCCAAGGTCTCCTGTAACGTACGGCTTTCAAGTTTCAGATGCTCCTCCATCTCTTCTGTAGCACGATCGCCAAAGTAGCTTTTGGGTCGCAATTGACCGTGTTCTCCATTCGCTAGGGCCTCAGTCGCTGAAGTATCCTCCATCGTGTCAAACTCAGTCGGCTCGAAATGGTATGCCGCTCCAGCTCCGGTCTAAAAAGTCGAAAGCGCTCTTTCAGGGAGATACTGGATAGAATATCCTTTGATGCGTCGTTTTCCGATTCAATAAAACTCCAGACTGATATAGAATGCCCCATACGACTGCAAAATAGGATCACATATAAAATTCAAGATATAACAGCTCCGTAGTATTTATTCATTTATTAAACAGATGCAGCCATATAGAACGCCGTGTATCTGGCTTGTGCCTTCGGTGCTCTCGGCACTCTTCAACTCTAGTAACAGATTCTCATCCGTGTTGACAAGGGTCCTCGGCTATTACGATACAGCTACGGATCAATTTTTTGCCTTGTGAAATAACGGTGACAGTTCGTAAATTCTCTACGCTAGAATGAGGACAGCCATAGGCCCATTTATGGCGTCCCCGCCTCGCGGCTTTGGATCTTTCACACCTTGGCAACCACTCCCTGCCTGTTGGGAAGGGCATATGGAACTGAAATCACGGCCATAAAGACATATCAGAGCGCTTTATCATTCTTTCCGGCTCTTTATCTCTTGTCTTGTACTATATTTCCAAGGGTCCCCCTTTCGTTGTATGCTTTCGAAGCCCTTCGAAGAAGTCTTCTAGCCTTGGTCCCTAACATCGGCCATGAGGCAGTCTGCTTCAAGAGACCAAGTGCGGCAAGCAAGACCCGAATATCCCGAGACGGCCGAGCCTGTCAATGTGGAGTTGGCCAAAAGATAAGCCCAGGCTTTCCCGTTTCCATGTATGCATTGCCACTGGGCTCACCCAGCGCTCTTACAAGGCGCGGCTCTGTGAGTGTTTGCGATTGCGGCATCACGGGTCTAGAATACCGCCACTAAAGTTGACCGCACAAACCCCAGAACTCATTCTACCCATCTAGTCCTCCAAAGATCTCCAAAGAGTTCAATTAGCACCGCAAAGAGCGATTTCCGGCATAGCGTAAAAGTCAGGGGAAGACAAGGCAGTGTTCTCCACGTCTTAAGACCGTGACTTTGGCTCCTACCATGATCTTGCCGCCTATCAATTCACCAATGAGCACATGTTTCACGGGACGCCATTAGAGTTAAGGCCCGGACACCGGCTTACCAGGCTTGTGATGCGTAGCCATCATACCAAATATGGCGGATTTACCCCAAACGGGGCTCGGATCTGACTGATGATTTTTTTTCAGCCACGAGGTTGGTTGGCACAGTCTATCGATCTTTCCAGCCTCGGGGTCCACGTTGGGAACTTGACATCTCGGTTGGCGGCAGGTAACGGAGATTCTTCCCACTCCTTCTACGTAGATCAACTTCCAGTTCTCCTCATCCCAAGGCTCTGTAATGCCCTGAAGGATGAAACTTGCTCGAAACCGATCCGCCGCGACCGCGACACCCATCTCGGTCGACAGCGTTGACAGGCTTTCTTCCGTCACAAAATGGATCGGCGCGTTATCCGTGCAGGCGGTGACGATTCTACGCGGCCATAGAAACCCGCTCCAGTCCATGTCCCACCTCTCAAGCGGATTGCCGTGTACGACCCGGTTGGCATCACGGTAGACAAGCCGACAATCTTTACCCATGAAAGAAGTAAAGAAGCCGGCAAAGGAGTCGCCCATGTCCAGCATGTTGGTATCCTCGGGAATAAAGGGCAACTCTGTAGGGAGCACTTGTAACGTATCCGTGCTTTTCATAACAGGTCAGCGCTTGCGGGAGAACGATGGGGTACGTTCAACGCCGTACGATGGCTCCAGAGGAAGTTCGATCGACAACTCATTGTCCGAGTCGGTCACTCTCACGGCCCTTTTGCCAGTGCCATCCTCGATCAGGATTGATTGATGCAATTTTGCCATCTGAGTAGCCCTGTCAGTATCGGCATGTCTGGACTGCATAGATTTTGACCTTTGGATATCGCTTCTGGCTCATGGACTTGAAGCGACCGGGCGTCTTTCTGACCGGCTCAACAATCATATAGATCCGGTCATACTTCAAGCCAAACTCGTCGATGTCAGCGCTCTGTACCTGGATGCCTCGGCAGCTCTTGACAGGATAGATCCAAATGCCGGTGACCTTAGCTGACACCATCTTTGCTAGGGGATGCACGTTGCAAGGGTGTCCCTTTCAGCAAGAGGGGGTGACTTTGATGAGCGAGGGAGAAAGGTTTGCTCAGGAGCTTGCATGCACGTTACCAGACCTATTATACCGTACCCTCATTTCGGTCTTGAAATAGTGATTGATCGGTGGATGATAGAGCGCAAAGCCCGAGACGTCCGAAGGTAATGTGACCTTATCGTGGTTTTTACGGATTAGATGCCATCTAAATTTGTTTTTCCTGGATCTACTGATAGACCTCCAGATCGAAATGGAAACAAGCTATGGTACAGGGCAAAAGAACAATGGGAGCGGGCGCATACCCCGGCACGTCAAAGCACACTCGTCTGATTTTGCTAAATAAGCTAACTAAAGACGCACATAACCGTTCGAAGCTAGCCAGAAGATGACTGGGGAGGTTCGACAATTCAAGATACCGAGATCTGTAGGACGTAGATATCCTAATCCTAATCCTCAACCTAGCGATGAGGGATTCTACTCCTGATTCTAATCCTAGCTAATCCTTATACACCAACTAGAAACGGACTAGAGGATATTCAGTCACGGAGAAGTCACGTGAACTCTACATGATCAACACCTATGTGACTAGGTATACTAGTCTATTTCTAGCTAGTTTAGTGTACTAAGCCTTGCTTAGTAAGGTCTAGTTAAGATTCTACCTAATCCCTCGAGACCTTTGGGATCCTAATCTTGAGGATGCTAGTCCGACTAGGATTAGGACTAGTTGGGATTAGCTCATTGGCAACGCTGGAACTTCAAAACAGTGCGTACGCGAAGGAGTTCTGTTGTTAAACTCGCTGCGAATGAATCTCTGTGCCATTGAACGGGGTTGAGATGTCCAGTAAGCGCAACTGAGCGGATACTCGTTCACATCGTGTATTGGAAATGGAGGCCTTTGTCACCAGACTTGCCATTCTCTGTCGCTCCTTGGGCGAGCATCTCGGCCTTCTTATCGCTTCTTGACTTGAGAATGAAGTAGATTGCCATGATGCCGACGAGCGCGAGGACCTCCATGCCCAACGAGACAGCGTTTCCTTTGATGTACCTAGGGCTGTCGGAGGCTGGGTAAATTTCGGACGACACGAGACCGGAGGTACTGGAAATTGAAGCAAAGAGCGGCAAGGCAACCGACCGCTTGTAGTCCGGGGCAAAATTGTTCGAAGCCCAAGTGAGCAATAGGCAGTTGAACGGATATATCCCTGCAGAACAGACGTGAGTCACTTCGGCAGATAAGAAGACCACCAGGACATACCAGCGCCAACCATAAACATGGCAAAGTAGCCAGCCGCGCCGTTTGGTGTAGCAAGAATGATGATATAGCCGATAATGACCACTGCAGGAATGCACATCAAGAAATATGACCGGTGCTTGTACTTATCAGAGAGAGTACAGACCGTAATGATGACAATGGTTGCCAAGGCGTAGACAGGAATCGAGAGGTAATTTGCTTGCAGCGATGTATATCTGCATTAAGTCTTCAGCAACGCGCCCAGATCTCCTATCTGTGTGGGAAAGACTTACCCGAGGCCCAGAAGGATCGTTGGGAGGAAAGTGGCAAAACCAGTTGCTGGAATGCTCGCACAGAACAAGCATATGGCCGCCACGTAGACATGGATGTCGGAGAAGGCCATCGAGACATACTTCCAGGAAAAGTCGTCACCACCCGAGTAGGAGGCATCGCGTGCTCTCCTCGCGCGCATGACCTCACGTTCCTCCTCGGTGAGAAACCAGGCTTCCCCAGCACTTTTGGGCAGAGAAAGCCAACCCAAGCTACAGACCACGAACGAGACGGCGCCTTCGATGATGAAAAGCCAGCGCCATGCGGCGATGCCGAGTTGGCTCCCCATTGTCTGGATGCCGTAGGCAATGAGGCCGCCAAAGGCACCAGAGCAGGTGACAGCATAGTACAGCACACCCACCCTGCGTGCTTGTTGCTCACGAGAATAGACCATTGTAATGATAAACGTAAGACAGCAAAGGAGTCCTGCTTCAAAGAGGCCCAAGAGGAGCCGGACGGTGATCGCCTGACCATAGTTCTGAATAAAACCGGTGCCCAGAGTGACAAGGCTCCAGCCGCCCATAGCGACGGCCAACACTTTGTGCCCGCCAAATCGCTTTACGCACATGACCCAAGGAATGTCGAAAACAATGTATGTGACGTAAAAGATCATGACAATGTAGTTGAACTGGTGCCCATGAAAGTTGAGGTCAGTCTTCAGCCCGAAGACGACGGCGTTTCCTGAGATCTGGTGTCAGTGACAACTATCACGCACAATGTGGTGCGTTCACATGTACCAATGTTTGCACGATCAAGGTAAGCTATCAGCATGATGAGAGCCATCTGTGGAAGAACGAGTCTATCGAATTTCTTGATCGCCCTCTTCTCGATGTCGGGGTCAACAAAGACCTCGGTGACGCCGACCTCATGTTGGCCGCCCTTCGTAGCAGCCGACTCAACGGGAGACGTCTCTTTGCTAAGTATGGTATCCATGGCGAGCGAGTTGACTCAGGAAGTGATGTGAAGTGTCGACAGAACTGCTTGAAGAAGCAACTTGCTGAACGAGGAGGTGGCTGCTACTGCCGTCTTTTCACACTGAAACTTCCACCTCTTTCGCAGGACTTCACGGCATTTTAGAGCTCTAGCAAGTCAGAGTTCGAAGCCCCTTTAGCGGCTGTCCGAGATAGCTTCGGTGAGTTCATTTCCAGATCGATCCGTATCTGACAGCTCGTAGAAGCAGCCAGTAACAGACAAATCTTGCTCGCTGTTCGGCTCTATCAGTGGCTAGCGCCAGAGATTACAAGCCGTCGCCACAACCCAAAGCTTGTTTAGAACAAGGTATTTCGAGATGGGCTCCCCAGGCACGTTTACGCACTAGCCATCTGTACTTTATCTCGGCTCTCTCGGTCGACTCGCTTCTCTCGGTATTCCCCAGCGAACCCAAGCCCAAGGCGAGAGAACCGATAAATCCGTTCGTCCTGTCGCACGACCACCTCACATCGGACCAGTTAGTCCGCTGAGATCTGGAACCATCTCTGCAAAGACCGCATCCGCCATTGATCCTGACGACTCACCAGTCATGCCGAATTCCACAGGGCAAGTGCGAGCCCTGAGCGCGCGAGAAGGCAGACATGGGCGTTCCTGCTCGCTGTGTTATCAACGCAAGGTGAAGTGCAATCGCACCGATCCATGCCTGAACTGCACCGTCGCTGCAGCCCCATGTATCTACCCCAGCGGCCGAATCCGGCGGCGGCGGCTCAAGAAAGCTCAATCGATGAATCCCTCCAGGGCTGCAACGCCCAGTGCGAATGGCACGCCAAACGCGCAAGCCTCGTTCTTGTCAGATAGCCAAGCTAGCTGCAGCCCATCCTCAGCGACCACCAGCAAGAGTGAAGCCTGTAACGGACGCCTGCTCAGAGATGGGGACGGTAATTGTCGCCTGATCTCTGCTACCTTCTGGGCCCGCCTTCCTCGAGAGGTAAGCGAAGACCCATTGGTTTCTGGACCGCTAATTTACCCTATGGCTAGGTCGAAGACCTTGGTCAAGTCCTGGCCGACGGTCTCCGAAACGATCAGGGTCAGCACATATCCACCTTCAGCTCCGACCGAGTGATACGCGACCAGATAAGATGTTCGTCTGAGTGGAAGCCGTTACTTCAACCCACCAGAAGTGGTTTGCGCAGGTTATGGAGCATCTATCTCGAAAACGTCGACCCCATCATAAGAGTAATTCATAGACCGACTGTGAAACGGGTCGTTGATCAAGCGGTTTTCGATGGCGGCGTCACTGGCAAAGGATGGAACGCGCTTGTACTCGCAATCAGTTTTGCCGCTGTCGCCAGTCTCGAACCAAAGGATATACCAGCGGTGGTAGGGGATGATACCGAGGCACTCTACACATCTTACAAGGCCGCCACGGAGCAGGCCCTCAAAGAGGCCAACTTCATCGAAACGCATGACCTACGAGTCCTGCAGGCGTTTGTCATTCTACTAGTAAGTGATCCCCTTATCGAATGAGCTTCCACTCACATGGTGATTTAGAGTTGCGTAAGAAGGCAGAATACCCGGGCCGTCCTCACACTTACAGGTCTTGCTCTCAGTATTGCCAGAGCCATGGGACTACATAGAGACGGCAGCCACTTCAAATTCTCCCCGTTCGAGACCGAGATGCGACGCCGAATCTGGTGGCAGATTTGTATGCTTGACTATCGGGCCTCTGAGGACCACGGATGCGACGCCAGTATCTTCCCCGTGTCCTTTGATACAGAACTACCGCTGAACGTCAACGACGCCGACATACATCCCGACAGCTCAGAAATACTTTCAAAAGCCGGCTGCAGCGAAATGACGTTTGCGCTGATTCGTTTCGAGAGCTGGATGACTCATACTGCCTTGACTTCTTCGACTGACATGCCTAGACTCTCAAGGATGGTGGAGAGCGAAGACAAAGACATGATTCTCCAAACCTTTGAAAAGACTTTACGGGACCGATATCTGAATGCTTGTGAGCGTGAGCTATCCGAACCCCTGAATCGATTGTGCTCCATGGTCGGAAACGTCCTTACGGCGAAACTGAGGATCGTTGCCAATCACCCGACACAGTACACGGCTATGGCGCAGGACTCGACCGTTGTATGCGCCGAGCAAAAGGCGCAGTTTGTCAACGCGCTCGATATTCTCGCTCTCCATGAAGAGGTGAAGCTCGATCCCGGGTTAACCTGCTGGCAGTGGTACTTTTCCGTTCACAAGCAGTGGCACGTCACTGTGCTGATCCTACGGACCCTGTGCTTCTGGACAGAGGGTGACGAGGCCGAGAGAGCATGGGATATCATCGACCGCCATTTCTCTTCACAGACAGACCCAAAGTCAGCTAATATGTGGAAACCACTATGGCGCTTGAAAGAGTACGCGGCCAAGGTCCGGGCAGAGCGTAAAGGTGAGTGGTCGAAGAGCCCAGGAGTCCTCGATGATATTCTTGACCTCGACCTTTATATGGGCTCATGGGACCCTTCTTCAGAGGCAGATGATACATGGCACGATAGCGGATCTCTAGAGACTTGGTTCTCTAGTACTTGATATATCCAGGATTTATAGCTGAATATTAGTAGTGCAATTCCGCATGTCTCTACACAGATAATCATGCTATGACGGACATTGGTATGAATCCACACCTTTCTCCACTTATATACGTTGATGACCGTGACACCGAGGAGTTTCGTTATCTGTTGTGATCAACGCTACACAGACAGACATGTCTGTCGACAATGTCAGCCGACATGTACACGCCACTAACCCTGACTGGGGCGCGGCCGGGGTGAGTATAGGGTGGCACCACCCTGGGCCCGATCGGGGGTACGCCGCCTGTAGGTTTCCCTCACATTGGCAGATATTCATTAGGTATAATTACGAGCTGGCTGCTGGCTATTGGCTGTCAGGTTGACTGCCCTGAAAGCCACCAATCATCCAGACTTCCAGCCAAATCCTGCCCTTGCGCAAAATAACTTTGTGCCGGAATGGAAACCCCCTCATTCCTAAAGTCCACGTTGCGAATATCCGTCTCTAGAAGGGAGTCGTGAGGAGGCAGCGCAGCCGTGGACTCGGCATCTTCTGCGGCCCGTGGTGATGCACCGTGGTGGCTGAGGCGAGTGGGTTGGGGTAGAAGTCGACTGCGAAGGATTTCTCCGGAGGAAGACGATTGGCGATGAGACATGAGAGAAGCACCGAAGTAACTACCTGCATTTTGGGGGAGTTCGCTCACAAAGGAGGACTCGATAATCTCCCAGAACAGGCTCAGGTCGATAAAGATGCGGGAATCTGGAGGCCTCTGAGATGCGGAAGCATGGAAAGAGGTTGACACCACTTTTTCGAACTCTTCGATCTTATCCGCCTGTCCGACGTGTCAGATAGTATTCAAGCATCATGCGAGGATGACGAAAAGCGGGAGGACACCTACAAGTTGGTTGATATACGGCCAGAATGAGCCCAAATCTCGAACAAATGAGACGCACTTTCTGAAGCTGGCCTGCTTCTTTGTCTTCACCTCATTGTCGCCGGAGAAACTTTGCTGCAGATAGATTGTGCCAGCAATGGCTGCGCAGTGCGCCAAAAATGGGTCGGACAGCTGGAATTCTTTCCTCTGGCACAAGTCCAGCACGTGTATGATCCACTCTGTGTGACTTTCCGTGAGATCAGCCGTGTGTTGAAGGAAGACCTCCGGTAGCATCGTGACCCTGAAGTTTCTCAGGCGGAGAAACAATAGAAGCGGATGATTGAGCAGACAGAGGATGGTGTGGTAAAGAGTTTGGAGCAAGATCCACGAGGCCCAGAAGTCACGATGTTTGTCGAGCTGATGGCAGTCTTGATCCTGAAACCGTGATGGCCGAAATCGATACTTGTACGGCAACCGTGTCTCGAGATCCATCAGTTCCGCGGTGATCTGTGAATACTCTGACTGCGGTGACCATGCAGGAAGCGTACTAACGTTTCCACGTCTGTTTGCAAACCTGGCAGCTCTCTGCCACACTTGGCTCATCTGCACAACGTACGCGAAGATGCCGAGGTCAGAGGGTTCATTAGCGGAATGCGGCACGTCTGGCTGCTCCAAGGCTGCATCAGTCATTTGAGAGCTTGTACCTGCTGGGGGGTCAGGTCTTTGGGGAAACCTCGGTGTCCTTTCATCCTGAACAAATGAAAAAGTGCTGATAGAAACCCCGTAGAGATTCCTTAGAAGCAGTAGGCTCCAGTAGCACCGCCGTCGCTCGTCGTCAACACGGTCATAGTCAAGTCTCCTCTGCTCCGAAGACAATCCTGAGGATGAAACGAGGTCCATTGCTAGCGACATATAGGTGCTTGCTCGTGGAGTGTTTCCATCTGGGGACTGTCAGCAACCGCGGCAAAAGTACTGTCACAGTAGACTTACTATTGAACTCCCCTAGGCTCAGAAGGCATAATGCTTGGATCGTGGACAATTCGATAGGCCCATGTGTGACCCGATGCATTACCAACTCTCTTGCCTGAGTTACCCGACTTTCGAACCTGCGTGATGGATCCATTTGGTTGTCTCCGGGAATATCTGGGTCAAAGCGCGACGCCAGTGCTAGCATCGCTAGTATTAGCTCTGGATCTCGCGAGCTGAAAGTGGTCGTCAGGACCTCAGAGGAGAACAGTGGAAGTGGCTGGCAATTGCAATACTTGAGGTACAGCTGGACGAAATGCCCGACGACATTCCAAGGCGGAAGTCTGCGTGTGACGTGGACTGAGTATGAGCTGAACCAGAGGGTGATTGGCTCAAATTAGCATACCTGTTGTACGGAGATAAATCCGAGATCCGCATGTCGAGATCAGTAGGCGTTGGAGCAGATTGAGGCACTGTCGATGGAACGGGCTGTGCTACTGAACTAGGCTGACGATTCCTCATCGCAGTTAGTGTTCCCATGCATCATTTACTCTCGAGATTCGCAACGTACTCCAAGATCTTCCGCATTTCGGCCACTTGTGCTTCGAGGGCGCCCAGTCTGTCGCCCTATGATCCGCAGGTCAGCACGTCAGTCTCCAGGAACCTCAAGCCGCATGTTGCAGGCGGGAGCACTTGTTTACCGTGGCGTGAACATCTTGAGGCAGAAGATAAGGAGCAAATTGTGTCGTTTCTGTATTCCTTAAGTAAGCCTTGAGGGGCCATTGAGTGTTGATCGGGCCAAGCACCATAGACACAATCCTTTCTAAGTCGCGCGCAAAGAGCGCAGACTGGCCTCTCGCCCGTACATCTTGTCTTTTTGCGGCTTTGGATATGGATGAGCGAAAGTGGTTCGCCATCTAGTCACGGCTCGCATGAGCTTACCGGCATGGCTCACAAGCCTGACGCGTTCGTTTGACGGATGTCTGTGCCTCGTCCATGACCAACGGATCGTCAAAGTAGCAATCAATAGGTGGACGATTCGATGAACAGCCCCAAAAAGAACCGTCTGATTATCAACTGCTGCGTCAGGACGACCAACGAGCATTGGCTCCGACGAACTTCACAAGGTGTGGTGACAAGATGTCGATGTTTCTGTGTGCTCTGTCATTGTCTGTGTTGCTCTGCGTGTCTGATTCGTAGACTGCACTGGGGGTCAGGAATGCGCTGCCGTAGTGACGGAGTAAATGAGCCGCAATGGCAACTCCATCCTGATTGGCTGACAAAACACCACCTCCCACTCTTCTCCTTTCGGATGTCCGCCTCGTTCTGCTACTCACACCTCGTGGTCATCATCCACCGCTGGCCGGCTCAAAAAAAGGCTCTCCTTCTCTCTCCCCGCATTGACCAGACCAAAAATGTGTCAAGGTTTCGGCAATTTCCTTGATTCTTTCGCTTGGCCATGCCTTTTGCGTGGCACGATCAGCATCTCCGCATTCATTTTTTGGCGAGCTTCCCCGTTGATGTCATTGTCGATCATTTGGCAGTGACCTCCAGCATCTCGCTCGTATTCGAGTCTTCGAGTTACATTGCTGACGATTGGCTTTCTATAAAAGAGTGTCATGCTGTTCTAGTCGATGGGGTGTCTCTTTTACCTCACATGCGTGGGGTTCGCTTCCTCTGGGGTAACGTAAACACACCGCAGATACTACTCACCATGCTAGCATCTTCTGTTCTCTTTCTTGCATTCTGGCTGCAGTCCTGCTGGGCTCAGACTTCTTGCCCTGCTGTGACCCAGCACTTGACTGACCCCCCTTATGACAACTACTTCTACTCGGACTGCCACAGTGATTCGCAAGCTGTGGTCACCAGTCCGCTTCCTGACTCAAACCTGACTATAATCGGTCCTCGATTGATCATAGCCTGGCCTGCCGGCAACAGCGGGATTTGTACGTTTTTCCAGCCTCAGGACGGCCCCAATGGATCGCTCGCCATTGAGCTCGTCAATTCGACTGTTGGGTCCCCGTTAGGTCCGGTCTACAGAACCGCCCAAGGCTCGGCAAATCCGTTTGTCGGTGTCGAGGGAGTCATCTCATTCAACACCTCTGCCACATTGACCATCCCGATACTGGGCAGTATTAGGACTATCCGAGATTTCACGGAGGGCCCGAGCCTTCTTCGTCCGATCATTCAGGATGCCATCAATATCACAAGGTCGAACGGTACCGGAGCGACCCTCTCACGACTATGGCTGGACAACGTCACCACTACCACTTTCACCATGGTCCCATATCAAAATTCGGGTTCTAATATCACGATCAACCAGCGAAACAAGACCATCAGCTTCGGGGCAGGGTTTTACCTGTTCTCCGCAAGCTTCAACTATCCCCAACTGACGCAGCTCCCGCAAAGCCGCGTTCTGAACACCGCCTCGCAGAACCTCATCACTCAACAGCCGGATCAGACCACCTCGCTTTCGTTTCTCTCGTACACCGAGAAATTGCTCGCGGGAGCATGGAGGTTCCTCACCTACTTTGGCCGCGACAGCATGATCAGCGCTTTGCTCCTGGAGCCGGTGTTGAGTCAAGGTAATGGTTCCGCAACGGAGGCCGTGATCGGGGCTGTCCTCGAGCGTCTCAACCGAAGCGACGGATCCGTCTGTCACGAGGAGACCATAGGTGATTATGCGACCTACCTGAACTTGGAGGACAACATCACCAGCACTGCACCGGGTTTCACATATCCGATGATTGACACAGACTACTATCTCCCAGTTCTCATGGCGCAATACTTCAACAACAGCCCGTCCCGCATCGGTCCTCTTCTCAGTCGCAAGGCCGGCACGATCGACGTACAGAATCGCAACTTGACCTACCAGCAATTGGCGCTCATCAACGCAGAGAAGATCATGAATATCACTGCTGCCTTTGCTCAGAACCAGACGGCGGCCAATCTCGTCCACCTCAAGTCTGATCAGATCGTGGGACAATGGCGAGATTCCACCTATGGACTCGGAGGAGGTCGGATCCCCTTTGATGTCAATACCGCTCTGGTCCCTGCTGCTCTGCGGGCCATTGGTCAATTAGCACGTACATCGGGCGTGTTCCCGAACAACTCGAACGTGAATACCACCTCGTGGCGCACGCTGGCCGACTCCCGGGCCCAGATCTGGGAAGAAAACACACTTCAATTCTTCGAGACCAACGTCACAGCCTCGACCGCGCGTTCTCGCCTCGGACACTTTGTCGACACAGCGACATTCTACAACGGCCCGACCAACGCCTCGTCGCTACCACCTTCAGGCAATATCACAACATACTCAATCGCCCTGGACGGCTACAACAATCTGTCATCAGTCAACGTCCAGCACAGCGACAGCAGCTTCCGGGTATTCTTCGTCAACGCCTCGTCCTCGACACCCGAAGCCGCCGCGCAGGAGACACGCTTCATCAACGCCACGGCGAACAGCCTGCTTCGACCTTTCCCTGCCGGGCTGATGACACCGCAGAGCATGATCGTGGCGAATCCCGCCTTGTCGGGCTCGGACGTGCTGATTGCCAACTTCACAAACGCCGCCTACCACGGCTGCGTGATATGGTCGTTCCAGCTCTCCATGATGGCCAAGGGGTTGGAGAGACAGCTCGCCAGGTGCAATACCACCACTGCCAACTCCACCGGCACCGGTGCGAACTCGACCTCCGCTGCCCCAGCGTGGTGCACCATTCCCTCCGTCTACCAAAACGTCATCCGCGCCTACAACGCGCTATGGGACAGCATCGAAGCCAACTCCGCGCAGCTCCAGGGCGAAGTGTGGAGCTGGACGTTTTCCAACAGCACTGGCTTCGTCACGACTCCCCTGGGTGTCCTACCGCCGCCACCGGGCGTAGGGGCCGGCACCGAAAGCGACATCCGGCAGCTTTGGAGTTTGACTTTTTTGGCTGTCAAAAGGAACGAAAATTTAAGATGACGATACCTCGGTACCTGATGTGGGTATATGTATGTTGACGTGTATATGATGAGTCGCGAAAAGAAAGGCAAAAAAGGGAGAATATGGACCGTCCGTGGGCACAAAGTGAGCCCAAGGTCGAATCAATGTCTGCCACCACCACTTTAAAAAGAAGTCTACTATGTATTATTCCAGCCTAGCCGGGTAGTCTCCAATAGTACGATAATATGAACTTTGTAAAGTCCAGCCCTGCGTGTTTGTTTTCGCAGATGCAAATGAAACTGCTAGATAGGGATGGATATTACACGCGATTGGGAAAGCTGTCGCGCATCGAGACCACGCTTGCGTCTCGTTTCAGACTGCCGCGATCAAGTATATAACTCTGGCTTTGGGACCCTCTCTCTCTCTCTCTCTCTTTTTTGGGTTTGACCAGAAGCCAACAGAGGGTCCTACGGTGCATGACTAGAAGAGACAGGCCTTCCTTCCGATCACAATCACAGTCTAGCCTGCAACTTCTCCGCCGTCTCCCCTAGGGCATATTCGCATGGCGACTTCCTGCTCCGGATCTTCTCAAAATCGCCCAGCGTGACGCCCCTCGCCTCCACAGCCGGGTTATACCCGACACCGCTCGCCTGGGCGATCTGGGCATCGCTCTCTTTGATATCTGTGTTCTTGCGTCCGTCGGCGCGCTTGTACACGGTGACCACGACGGCGCCGCCCAGACCCAGGTTGTGCTGCAGGGCGACGTCGATGTCCTTGACCAGGCGGCCGTTGTTGGCCCAGCCGCGCAACTGCCACGTGAGTTCGGCGCATTGGGCGAGGCCGGTCGCTCCTATTTGAGGGAAGCTGTGGTTAGCATATCATCTATTGAGAGGATTTTGTGCGTGTGGGCATGAAAAGGGGGAAGTGCAAACCTAGAGGATGGCCCTTTGAAATCAGTCCTCCAGAAGGGTTCACAATGGGTCCCTTGCCACCGTATGTGATGTCCCCGTTTCTGACCATGTGGTGGGCCTTGCCTTGGTCGCAGAACCCGAGGCCTTCAAGGAGGATGAGTTCGTTGGCGGAGAAGCAGTCGTGCACCTCGCACACCTTGACGTCTCGAGCGGACACGCCCGCTTCCTCCAGAGCTGCCTTGGCCGCGCGTTTCGTCATGTCGAAGCCCACGAGGTCCATGGCGGAACGCGAGAACAGAGCCGGGGAATCCGTCATGAGAGATTGTCCGGCCATCAGGACCGCGTGAGACTTGAGTTCAGGCCGAGACTCGAGGAAGCGCTGGGACACGATGACTGCTGCGCCCGCGCCGTCGGAGGTGGGTGAGCATTGGAGTTTTGTCAGTGGGTAGTGGATCATGGGTGACTTTTCGATCTCGTCGAGGGTGTAGACGGTGTTGAATTGGGCATAAGGATTCCGTGATGAGTGCTCGTGCGAGATGCGGGCGATCTCGGCGAAGTCACGAGCTGAGGCGCCATATCTGGGGGTGGCAGCAATAGGTTAGTGAACAAGTTCAATCAAGAAAAGGGGAAATGGGGGATCAGCCTTGCGTGAGGCAGATGCGACCTGGCCGAGGCGAACCGCGAGTCCAAACGACAGAGGCGACGCACAGACAGCCAATTAATGGGGCTTCCAGGACTTACTTCTCCATATACTCCCTGCCAGCGTTGGCAAAGAACTGGGCGTTCCTCGGCGTATCGTGCTTCCCCCTCGTCTCCTCCATCAGCCTGGTCCCCAAGCCCATGGGACTCGGCCTATCGTCCCAGATACTCTTGATAGAGCCGGGCTTCATGGTCTCAAAGCCAATCACCATGACGACATCGACGATGCCCCCCCGTACCAGCGTCCGGGCGAGTTGCAAGCCCGTAGATCCCGTCGCGCAGGCATTGTTCGTGTTGTATATGGGGATGTTGGTCATGCCGAACTGGTAGAAGATGCGCTGGCCGGAGGTGGTGTCGCCATAGCAATAGCATGCCACTCCGGTCTGGACGTCGTCGTATGTGATGTGGGCATCCAATAGAGCTTTGGTGCCGGCTTCAAAGCCCAGTCTAGCCCTTCGTCAGCCTGGGACATGTGCTCGCTTAAGAGAAGGAGGTGGGTGCTTGAAGATCCCTAAAACCAGAGATGAGGTTGTTTTCCGGGGACTTACTCGGGATAGGGGCGTAACTGGCGGGGTTTGATGAATTGGGTGAGACCCACGCCGAGAACATAGGCGTTCTGTTGGAAGGACATGGTGGCGTTGTAGTCTGTGTGTTTGTGAAGACGATGGATGATGAACGGGCTCGAGTGGAAACGGATTGTCACAGGTGGTCAGTCTGATATATCTCACACTGCCGAAGCAATTGATGATTACTCTATACTCGCTTGACTCGGGACATATGAAGGGCCTCGACGATTGACCTCAAGTTCCCCTCATTTGGGGATGTCGCCGACTCCGACTAACCGAGGCTCAACATCTCACAAGCTCAACTCGTCAATGATAGATGGGTATCTCTAGACAGGCAAAACCAAATATTGCCATGCATAACATAGTTGGACCCCTTTACTCCCAAACAGAGGAATATGCCAAAACTTGGCCCAACGCCCATGGGTATCAACCTAGCTCCATCCACCTATATTATTGATCAGCAAAAACATAAATCCGTCTCTCGTAGCATCAAGGCACATGGCTTGCTCTTGATATCATCGACTGAGAGCCTCAAAACCCCATCATGGCATGACATGCTCGCAATACAAAGCAAGAAATCTGGTGGCAGATACCGAACCGTATCCTCGAGCAATATGCTCGGCAACTCATGACTCGTCATCTCATGTCCTTCTATAAAAAGTCAACGGCAAAACCGAGCGCCTTATAGTACCTAGACTTACCAAAATAATTCTAACTCCCAGCCAGAGACACCGTTCGGCCCCTGGCGCTGACTGGCTTAGTAGTTCTAATGAGCGTTCATCTTCGTCGGCTACTTCCCCGAGGAAATCCGCACGAAAATGACGGCGCCCATGCAGTCCGCTGGAGGAATCCCAGCAAAAATCGACTGTCCTTCTGGTGCTGGTACCCAGGCTGTTGTCTCTGGGTGCTGGTATGTATCAGATGTGTGGGACTCCACAATGGGTTCATCGGCGTTCCATGGGAGATGCCGCAGGACCTTAACACAGGGTTGGGAACGGGGAGAGTCCTTGCTCAACCTCTTGAGCAGCAGGAAGGTGGGCTCTGGTGGTGAGCGTAGCGGGTATTGTGTAATCTTGATGGTCTCGTTCGCGCGGTCGACCGGATGCTAGCTTCCCGTGTGGGAGCCCATGGAGAAAAAAGATTGGTTGGAATTTGAATTTGTTTGGCTCAACGGTGTTTGCAAAAATTGCTGTTCGTCGGAAAGGAGAAAGGAATTCCAGTCTTCATCATTCTGAAATTCAAAGTCAGACGGAAGTATGCCTGTGTCAGGGGGTCGTTTCTGGGGAAGGCTGGTTTGAGGGCTGGTACCGGACTGAAGTGTGTATGAGCCGACAGTATGGGGGTTGAGGCCAAGTGATGGGACGATCTGCGGCAAAGGAGAAGCTGAATTAGATGGGTGTGGCATCGAAGTTGCTAGGACTGGTCGAGGGGGTGACAGTGCCGTAGCACCTCTAGGCGGTCTTGCTGCACCCGGTTCACTCATGCCTTCCGTACTTGGCTGTCCTGAGCTCGGTATCTTGCGGAGGTCGTCGGCTGGGTCGTGGGCACCAGCAATCTCATGGTGCAATGTCCACAGATGATTCTCATAGTGACCTTGCTTGATGAAGAATTTCTTACAATTCTTCGACGGACAGTAGAAACAATAACCAGGAGGCGCGGTTCGACCAGAATTCACCTTCGATAAATGGCCCTCAGCAGACGTAGGGCTCCCTGCGGCGCCAGATGAGCCTGCACCACGACCCGGATGTTGTGATACGAACCCGGGATGGCTCTGCTGGGGACCCGAAGGAGAGTGAAATAACCTCCGTCTAGGTCTTGTGTACTGGTGACCCGATCTCTTGGAATTCGTGCCAAAAGACGCTGGAAGAGGTTGAGCGTTGTTGACTTGTATTAGGACATCCTGTTTCATAGCGTCCCAGCTCTCGTCCGCTCTGATCAGTAGAATCAAAGAGAAGATATCCTCTGGAGGAGTGGAGTAAATGTTTCCATAGAATCCTCGGAATAGGGGAGACTCTGGTTGCTCGCGCATGACCTTCAGCAGGTCCAACTCATGCTTGTCGGCCACGAGCAAGGCTTGGATGACATGTGAATAGAGGATGAAATCTCGATGACGGGTCAATTCGTTAGTTCTGGACGAGATGGCGTTGGCTTGTGTGAATTCAGCGCGACCCTGGGAGAAGGCAGATGTGGGTGGATGCGGCTGCGGAAACCGAAGGCCTTGCGGATTGGAATTCATGGCCGTCGGTTCAGGGCTGAGAGACGGTGGAAAACGTTGAGGGAGCCCAATGGGTAGGAAGGGGGGTTACGACGTAGTTGCCTGTCTCTCCAGAGTCGAGGGTCGCCCTGGTGTGTTGCAAGGAGCACAATGGGAGGCCGGTTGGAGGGACAGTAAAAGGTGTGCCAGCGACGAGCACTGTCGCTTGGAAGTTCTAGATAGCCTGTGGTAGTGAAAGCATTAATCGAATATGGGTATCACCGACACAGAGACTAAGTAGGAAAAGACCAGTAAACAAGGTGTGAGAGATGAAATAGAAGTATTCAGGCTTGGGTAGAATGGATGGGCGCAGTGAGACAGTAAGTTGAGCAGAGCTCGGAGGGCAGGGAATGGGTCGCAGGGAGGTATATAGGAGGATGTAGGTGTACGACAGACCAGGTGGCAGCGAAAGGGAAGGTGCGCATGTTAGAGAGATATAGTGGACGAGCAAAGTTAGGCAAGGCAGATACGGAAATCATCATGAATGCGTTATTGGAACTGCGGATGTGCGAGTCGTGCTGCGATGAGTGTGTGGAAGAGGGAAGAGAGAAAGAGGGAAAATGAAAACAGAAACCGAAAGTATCGTTGTTTGCGCTCAGTCGGGTTAGGGATAGAGGTTGGTAGGGGCTGGGGGAGCCCTCCCAGCGATTCCCAGGAGCCTAACCCACTGCCCCTCCTTGGGCTTGCCCGCCCCTGCTCTCTTCAAGCATTCGCATGCTCAGAGGTGAACGTGGGAATCACGGCACCCAACGGCCACCCCAGCGGGTGCCAAGGGGGCTCCACTGAGGCGATGATGGCCTGTCTGCGCTCATCATTTGTCCCTCTACCGAGTACCTAGCGACGCAACATTCAGTCTCGCTCTACCTCGTCCATCACACCGAAAAGAGCAACTCGACAAACGCAGGTAACCGGCTTGCAGGGATTGGCTCCCTCCCTTCATGCATCCAGTCACTTCCCTTCCTGGCCGCGACCGATCACTCCTGTCATGCAAATTTCACCGCAGTCATCCTCGTCTACCCACCGAGCCACTCTTCCCTTCTGCGACGGAAGGTGAGCCCATCTTGGGACCAAGGCACAGAATATCCGATGTCCAACGGAGCACCCCCCCCATCCTCCTACACATTACATGAAACGTGGACCAGGTGCCTGGCACTGCAGCCTGGACGCTCCCTTCTGTACAAGTATCTACCGGTAATCTTCCGAGTGCCTACGAGTACGAGGCACAAACTGATCCTGCCCCAGAAATGGAGCCAGTGTGTGGCGAAAATAACACCCTTGTGCCTCATCGCCGCCCCAATTTTGCATGATCTCGCGACCTTCCTCCACATTTCTGACGACCAAACCGGCTCTTTAGAAGCATCCCCAGGCACCCACAGGAACCAGTTTGAATTACGACTTGCCACAGAGACTAACACAGAAATACCATATGATACAATTCGATGTTCTTGGCTGGTAACTAGTCGAGCCTCAAGGTGAATGCCAGTTCCATCACATCGTCATCGTACTTGTGCCACAGCACGGACAATCAAAAATACGAGGTACTGTTCCGATTCTTCACCGATTCTTCCGCAGAGCACTTTCGATGGCTCTAGGCCAGACTCCTCGCATGTGCAGATCTGCAATTTAGCAAGCCTTCCTCATAGAGAACACATTCGACGTCAGCACTCGGCCTCGAGAGTCCGTGGGGGACCTGCATTGGAGGTTCAGGCACTGACGAACCGCACCGTTGGCGCCGTTCATCAGCTGGGCGGCTACCGATGAACTACCGCACAGCTACTCCATCATGCAGGACCAACCACCCGCACTGAAAGGCGATTGCTCGTTTCGACAGCTCGATGCAATTTGATGGTGGGGATCTCTGGCTTTCTGTTTGCGCTGGACGGCAACCTTGGATGGCCGTCCACTTCCGTGATTCCAATCATACACTGCCACGCTTCCTCAACATGCTTGAGCCGATTTCGTTTGGAACGGAGATCCGAATAAGCTTCGCACCCCTTCGCAGCTGAAGCCAACTGTCGCGACCTACATTAACATCACTTCTTGTCCCTGCGTCCCCGGCTTACTCCTGGACTTCGTAGCGCCATCACAAGGTCGACTCCTTTGAAGACTAGCTCTAACAGGTGTGTTTCAGGTTTTATCGCTGGGCCATATCATCAAATCGAAATGAAGGAATGCTTGACGAGCATCATCTGTTTGCCTTTTTCTGAAAGAGTTTTCCCACCGCCACCTCCGCCACCTGGGGCAACACTGGCCAAAGTTCCATACTCTCTTGTCATCATGTACCGCTATGGACGATCGACCGATGGAGGGCACAGCGTGTTCCGGGAGCTGCGTATTGCGAACACGAGTCACCGCAACCCAAAACGTCCCTTTGCGTACTGTTGCTGCTGAGCCAGCCCTCGTGGCATGGTGCTGATGGTACAGTCTCTCATTATCTCGGAATAGCTCCAATACTGGTTTCTTATGACAGGGTTCTAACCACTTTGTGTTTATTGCCCCGTGGCCGCCAATACGAGCCTCGTAGAGGATTAAGTGGACTGATTAGAGGAATAGCGACAAACAAGGGCCTACGCCTCGACCTATCTCCGAAGTGCAGCATGGAAATCCCACCTAATACCGAGTACTGACAACCTCACGGCAAGGACTCACTTTTGTCGGACTGGACTACCGACAACCCAAGCTAGCCTGTTCTCATCTGCCATGCTTGCTCTTCCATGATTTGAAATTGACCATATCTAACCTCGTCTTGTGGAGGATAGTGAGACCCTTGCTTGCGGTCACACTGCGACATTTGCAGTGCTGAGTAATTTGTCGGAACAAATCTGAAGGCCTCCAGAAGGGAACTGGACTCCAGCCTGCTGGTCACAGGCACTTCTGGAGAGCCCTGATCAAATACCCCTTGTCCCATGCCGATATGGAATTTGTCCTGTTCAGCAGTGAAAGCGATGTCGCCGATGTCTCTGACACGGTCATCGCCGGCGGTCGTCATCCCATCTTCACTGGCGGCGGACTCGTCGGACAATCTTCGTCGAGTCAGAGGTGAGTCGCTCACGTTTGTAATTACCGAAGAGGTGGTGTCGCCTTGATTGCTGGGCTGAGGGGATGAGTCTGGCACCAGGAAATCTGCTGGAGGTCGGTTGCCATACTCCGACTCTGCATGGAGTCTGCGCATATGATTGGTGAAGTTCCCAGCATTCCTAAAAGCGTCATGCCTGCAATTCATATAAGGACATTTGTATCTCTTTCCTCTTGGCGCTCTTCCTTTGTCTCTCGCCTCCTGATGGGGAGGACTCTGGAGTCTTCTCCTGCCGTTCGCCACAGAAACAGGCGTTGTCGGTCTTGTTTGACTGTCTGGGCCAGGGCCTGGACTGGGCATTTGGGCTGCACGAGAACTACTCGCTTCGAGCGAACGAGGAGTTGCCCAACCATGAGGACCCCTCAAGTCGGGCCCGTCGCCTCCGGAAAGCGCCAAACCGTGGGTAAACATATTCGGTGGGGTCGGGATCGAGGAGATGATGTCGATACACTCGTAGCGCGATTGCTCGAAATCAAACTGATCTCTGAGTTCATTGATCAAGCGCCACAAGTCAGGAGGAAGTCTGCCGTACTGCTGGGAGAGGTAGCGAGTCAGGAGGCGGTGAGCAGTTGTGTATTCTCGAGGTTTGTATAACTCAGTCCACAATCCCGACGTAAGACGAAGGTAGCTGCACACCGTGTCTCGAAAGGCTGCAATATCGGGTCGACCAACAAGTGTGGCTATGATGAGATTTGAGTTTGACGTCTGGTGACGCGAAAGGGCAGTCTGTGAAGGGTCACTCGGACAATCAACGCGGCTTTGTTCAAGGAGCTGTAACCAGGTTGCTTGTGGGAACGCATTTACTGGATTCATGGGGGTGGTGATAGAGTCAGACTGTTGGAACCCTATTGGGGCAGGGTATCGGATTTCCAACTCCGAAGATGGGCTGTCGATCATTCGCCCGACCAGCGGGGCCTGAGACAGGTGGCCCTCGTCCGGCGTCGAGAAAGACATGCTGAAATGCTCCATGACTGCAAGTGGCGAGCGATCACAACCAACTAGTCAACGCGCCAAGGACAAATTGGACAGCTGGGAAGAAGGAAAACAAGACCCGGCCAGCAGGCTAGTAGAAACGAAAACAATAAGGGCGACGAATGTCAAGGACGTTGAATGAGACTGGGTGAAGAGAAGAAACCGAACGGAGGCATGTTTTCGCAGACTGAACGAGAATGGCAGGTAGGTGAATTTGAGAGACTTGGAATGTAAAGAAAATGAAGCATTTGCCTGAGGAATATGGTGAGTTGATATGGACTCGAGGCTGGGCAACCTGTGGACGCGGCCTTGGACGCCAGACCAACAACACGCCCTTGTTCCCTTGGGTAACCATCCCCATCTCGCATCTCCAAGCCACTGGAGTGGCTTCCGAGACTCGATTTAGGCAGGCGATAGAAAAGTCATGGGATTTTGCGGCTCTCTTTGTGCAGGGGGGTTTGTTCCTAACGACTTCACAAGTGTGGCGCCTTCCGTCATGTCTCTTGTGGCCGAGGACAAAAGGCCTCTCTCTACAGTCCCAACAGGTGCCATGTTGCACAGCCTCAGGCACCTCGGGGTTCGGAGGACGCGACGGATGCTCATTGGCTTGGAATGGATGGGATGCCGAGGTCTCACAGTCGAAACTCGAAAGAGAAGCTCCGAGCGCCAAACCCCGCCAAAAGGGACAAGGCCAGTCGCGCGGGCCAATCGGAGGAAGGGCGCCACACTTTTACTGATCTGTGGCTGATGACTGGGCCAGAAGATGCCCCATGCTATCCACGCATCGAGCACCTAGAGAAAACATATCAACTCAACCAGGAGCATCAAGAGACAGGCGACCATGGCCGCGTCCGCGCTCGTGCTAGATATCGCCGAGACGCTACCTAGTAGGTTCTATCATGGAAACCTCGCCGAGATGTATGTCCCAAATGTAATGTACTGCAACGACAAAAGGCATCCCTCGTGTGGCTGGTTAACCGGGCGTCAGAGCCCCACCAAACGGGAAACCGCGTGGCTGTGCTGCCCAATGTGAACCAATCCATTCTCACTTGCCTCCATCCCGCTCTTGACCCAACGGTCCGGATTGACCGTAAGACGGCCGCTCAACAGCACCAATGACGCTGCTTCCTTGACGCCAATGTTCCGAGAGCCAGGTGTGGCTATTCGAAAGACGATTGGGGATTGGGCCTCCTCTCTAACTCGCAAGGAGGGGAGGCACTTTCAAGCCCCCAAAAGGACGCCCTGCACTACCTACAGGGGAGCAAGCCAAGTTCGCGAGCCAGACCACAAACTGTGTTCTCTACCGAGTACTACTCCGTACCATCTGGATTAATTCCCCAACCCCGATTCGTGCGTCGGATATACCTTGTTGCGTTGCGTTTGCCGTTTGACGCATGGAATCTTTGCAAGTGCCCAGTGTTCGAGGGGGGTTTTTTTCTTCTCTTTCTCTTCGGGCGACAACCCTGTCTGGGCTGATTGCATCCTGGAAAGTTACGAAGTACATACCCGTATAGGTAGCGAGGTAGGTATGCATGCATGCATGCATAAACATCGGACGTTGTTCCAGAACGAGGAAGAGTTCTCTCTCTCCCCTCCTATCCCCTTAAGGACTCTTTGACGGACGGGACGAGACAAGACAAGACAAGACAAGCAGAGGGAATCTTCCTTGGGTTCTTTGGTTCTTTTGGTTTCCGGGTTTCGAGTTTCTGGTCTCGTTTGTCAATACCCTACCTACCTACCTACCTACCTATTATGACGTTTCGAGAGGCCCTTTGTTTTATGTGTATGTGAAAGACCTACCTACAGGCGAGACCAAACCCCCTCCATCTCTACCCCTCCACCCAACGGCGCCCGCTTCCTACCTTAGGTAGGGTACTCGTATTTTGCTGCCGCCCTGGCCCGCAGCCCTATGGGCTAGAACGCAATCGTACCTAATTCCATCACGCAATCGCTCGGACATGTGTTCGGGCGGGCGGGCTCTGTCAGGGATCAATTATCCATGGAAAGGGACAAAGTACCGCACCTACCTAACATACACCCCTGGTACTAAGTGGCTTCTACACACATGGAGTGACGTCTACTGTGACACACTGGGCTCTGGTCTTTTCGGCTTCTAGATTCTAGATTCTAGATTCTAGACTCTCGACTCTCGACTCTCGACATTCGGGGCAGACACGAATACGATTCTACGGTACGTCAAACCACAATGGTCAATTCGTAGGTTGGTTCATTTTCGGCGTCCGACGTCATTCAAGTGTTACTACCTTCACATTTCTGTCTTTGCACTTTCATCGCCGTTGTATCATTACCATCATTCAAACCATTGCAAACCTCAGCCGGACATTGCGACATTGCGACATACAAAATCATGTCTTGACCGTCTCAAAGCCAAAAAGAGTTCCAGACCCAAGGCTCTTTCTCCAAAACGTGACGTTCGCCTGGCCTTCTTTTCCCATCCCCTCGCCTGTCCCGCTGTCCCCGGTCGTTCAGAACGCTAAATATCTGCGCCTTCCACCGCTCTTATACCATATTCCATTGCCATTCTCGTTGGACGCCAGGCATCACTTGGCGTTTGTTGCCTTGCATGATGGTGTGCCCACCGAAATGGATGGAGGCTTCTCTTCCACCGCTTCCATACATATTCCATTGCCATTTTTCGGTGGGGCGCCACGTATCATTGGCGTTGCCTTGCATGATGGTGTGCCACCACCGAGATGCAGGTTTCCCCCGCCATCAAACTGACGACAGAGGACTAGGCTGCAGACTTGGCTTGAGCCGGGCATTAAAGCAGGCCCACCAGTTCGTGATAAAATGCCTGGTCGACCCAACACCCCTGGAAGTGCGACGGTGTCTCCGTCTCAAATGATCGCCTTCAGGGCCTAAATTAGGCCCTCGGCAGGCCAAGAGGCAAGGCACATCGCGCTTAAACCTTCGAGTCTGCGTTTTGCCATGCGGGAGGGGGTGGGGTGAATGCGAGAACATGTCTGCCTTGAAGCCTTGATTCACTTGGCGTCTCTTCGGGCCAGACTTGCCGTATACCAAAATAGATGACGGCCACAGTGGCAATGGGGGCCGTTCGGTACCAGTCTGCTGGATTGACCCGGTAGATCCGTTGGTGTCAAATGGTCTTCCAAGGGAAAATCGACACGCATTGGCGATTGTTCTTGGCTTCAGTTCCTGTGCCTGCCAACTGGACAGAACCGATGCAAAACAATTGATGCTGCAGGAAATGCCGACAGGCGTAGAATGATTGCCCATTCTTCCTTGCCCTGTTGTCTGGGATTCCCCTCGCATTGCTGGCCTCGCTTGGAGACCGGAAGCTCATATCCATCGCAAGCAGAGGTGTGAAACTAACCGCGTCATGGCAACTGCGCCGTATAAAACGTCGTCGCATCACTAACCAACCCGCTCACATCCGGTAGTCGGCCATTACTCCGCTCACTCTCCAGAATAGCCATGAGTTCCATTTGTTGCTGGGAACTCAGGCTCTGCATCGCATAGTTGCCCGCACCGCCTGCTCTGGCAGCAGCATCAGAATGGCTACCTGGTACCGCTCCTGTTCCCGTAGAGCCAAGGGGCCCTTGTGGACCCGGTGGAGGGAAAGATTGCCCCATGTACCGACTGTACTCGTGACCGAAGGAGGCAAGGTATGGAAGATCGTCGTAGTTCATATTGGGAGAGCCCGTTATGCCAGGTATAACGCCTGGTATGAGAGGCGCGGCTGACCACGGACCACCAGGATCCGCCGAGGCACCAGTCGTTGCTGGGTAGGAATGTGGGTCGAACCCAGGCAGACTGTAGTGCATAGAAGTAGCGTCAATGCGGGGAAGTGATGGGTGTGTGGTTGCAGGGATATACTGTTGTTGCGGATTGGCCATTGGCTGTGTCGACGTAGGGAGCATCTCTGGTTGAGAATGGTATTGTTGTTGCGCCGCCGCATGATCGATGTAGCCAGTCGATGCGTTTTTGAAGTTGTGATTATTTGCCGGGACGTGGACGCTGTGGATGGATTGGGGGGACTGGGCACCATAGATCGATGTATTGGTTGTACTGGCTGGACTGTTCGCAAACTGCGATGCAGCCGCCGAATTCAATTCGTGGGTCGCTGTAGAGGAGACATAGTCTGATTGCGATGCGGGTGATTCCTTGCTGTCGGCTTCGTAGGCCTTGAGACAGCCATAAACCAGGTTCTCGTAGAGTTGCTGAGCAGAGCGCACCCCCGGCCAGCGGTCAGCGCAGAGGTCGATCGCTCTCAGTGCGTCCCGAATGTGTATCTGGACCTCTTCCAAGGGAAGCTGCTGTCGAATGCCAGGATAGGACAGACACCAGAGTACTGTATTGAGCGCCATAAAGATGGCTTGGGTAAAGATCCAGGTGATGTCGATCAAGTGCGCTTCCACCTGGCGTTTCTGGAGTTTGATGTTGAAAACGGCTGCAGAATAGCATTGCTGAGCTGCGTGGAGGGACGGACTGGGAATTTGCGGCGATGGTCGATACATGAATACTATCATTGTGTTTTTGCGACCAATGAACCAGGCCTCGCTCAATCCGGATCCCTCGTCGTTCTTGGGGCAATCACGAACCCAGCTGTCGATCTTGGCCAACATCTGGTGAAACCATGGGTCTTGGTCGTGCACAGGTGCCTCTCGCTTCTTGAGATACAGTGTCCGCCTGATCTCGGCCTGGAGCAGCCTCATCTTGAAGAAATGTATTGAGATGCACTTTTTCATGATTGGATGATGACCTTGTAGCAGTCCGTCTGCGCTGATATATTTATCGTCGCAGAGCTCGAAAAAGTTGACGTTGATATTATCCACAGTTACGCCAAATGCGCTTGGTCTTCCGAGACTGTGCGCAAGGCCGTACTCCATGGATGTTATGATCCAAAACAGCCGCCGTCGCATGTCCACCTCAAGGGCATTAGGGCGGGCGCCGGAAGGAGGTCGATGGATCGTCTCTTCTTCGCACAGACCCAACTCTTGACATAACCTTGCCGCAATCCCCACCACCCAGTATGCCGCTGTTCGAGTCGGAGTAAGCAATGAATATTGAGCAATGAGCGCGAAGCATTGGAGTGTTGACAAATCCATCTTCTGGACAGCGCCTGTCAAGAATGGGAGCGCAGCCAGATAGTAGCTGTCGGCCAGACCGGCGTATTGCTTGTCCAGCTTTTGCATGCTGATAGCGACAACGAGACGGACCTGGAAATTCAGGGTTGGGTCCTTTGAGCCATCGTATACAGCTTGGAGTTCCTTACGGAAAGAAGGTTCGTGAAGAAGCGGGAGCATGTACTGAGCCTTGACCATGTAAATCTCGACAAGGCGGTCCATGAGATCACGGTTCGGGAGATCCGGGGCAGCGACCGAACTGATAAGAGGGTACACTTTCGACGTAGGCTTGTCGCTTTCGGCATCAAATTTGTCTTTGATCTCTTGAGCGGCATGCTGTGGTACGACGTCCTTGATGGTCCTCCGGGTCGAATTTTGTTTTGCGAACTCCATGACAAACCGGGTGATGGCAATGCCACTTGAGGGCCCTAGAAACCGGCATTCATCGTTCTCACTGAATTTGACCAAGCCTGCGCCACGCGCCATAGCCTCGTGGTCGGGTTCGAATTCCTCCTCTTTCTGCAATGCCTTGAGTTCCTCATTGAGCCGGCGCACGGTTTCCTGAAGAGATGTGATATATGTTCGCGGAATTGTTCGATTCTTGGTTGAGTCATAGTATTCACAGTGCGCATTGCTCCTTTCACAGGGCTCGCACCGGGGAAGCGCGGGGTCACACCGTGTCTTTCTCTACGAGAAGTCAGTGCCGACTATATCAAGAAACCTGGCAGGACAACAAGGAGGCTCACTTGTCTGCATCGCACGCAGGCAGTCACCGTGTGGTGGACCTTGTCCCGGCTTCGACCCGTCTCCGGCGAGTCAGCCATGGTCGCATTTTCGCTGTCTGCCATCAATGCAGGAAGCCGACGGCGGAAGGACGACGTTTAGGTAATTACGGGTGGTGAGCACTGTCTGCAAGGGATATCGAGATCGTTTTCCATTTCTCATCATGTGTGCGCGGCCCTGCCAATGATAAAATAAAGCCCGGGAAGTTTGCTCATGATCGGACGTTGGACAGTGCGTTAGGTGAGGCCAGACTCCATTGGATTGCGTTTACCTGGGAGTTTGGGCAAGGAGGTACCACCTGGGCACCTAGCGGAACACTGGTAAGCCTGTCAGCAATGAGAGGTGGACTTGAGCAGAACAAAGGGTCAAAGGCTACCCTGCTCGCCTGATAGAGATTCAGAGTCTAGGGCCAGATGTAACAGTCGGCGATAGATGTCGACGAACTGGAAGTGTTAGTCGCCTGTCAAAAGAATTTGGCGAGTTCGGCTCTTACCCAGCTCAGTCTGAAGAATCGACGCGGAGCTGAAATCCAGAAGCTGAAGGGGACATGACACAGCGAAGCAGCGCTACTCGGCTGCCTATTCGCCCTGTAAAGTTTACGTGTGATGCCTCTGTTTGGGAGCAGGCCACCACCGTGCACCACCTAAGGGTCTGGCTGTGGTCCAGGCGCTCAGGGATCACCCTCGGCTGAAGGCTAATAGGGGTTTGGCCCTTGGATCACTTCTCATTGGGCGGGGAACGAGGTGCCAGTGACGCCAGAAGCCCCCGGCGGCCGCCAACGAGGGGTCTAGTTAGCCCCCAATGATAAAGGGTCAGTGCGTGCTCAGTGCCCACTGACCCCTCACTGGATGAGCCTTTGGCCGAGATGATCAACCTCGCCGAAAGTCAGACAGCAAACAAATTCATCACCCGTCACCAACCACAGCGGAAGACGACGACAGCGCAACAATTCAGCTTATGTCGGTCACCAACCAGATTGTTGAATCAACTGTTGTGATCGATTGATCTCTGTGGAAAGATCGCGCTCCTCCTCCTCCACTACCACCACCATCACCATCGAACACGCACTACGCAGTCTGCGGCTGACAAGCATATTGTCACTTACTCGGTGCCACCAACTTATTGACAAATAGCCCACAGCGCACCGAAACCTACCGCGCAGAAATGCGTTGACTGTGACCTCCGAAGTCCTTTTTTCAGTCATGACCAAGACCGAGCCCATCGAGGCCCTCTTGGCGCCATCCTTGAGAGTGTCCAGACCCGTGGCTGCGTGCGCCAGATGTCGCTCTGCGAAAATCAAATGCGATGGGAAATTGCCCGCTTGTTCTGCCTGTGAGAGATCAGGCAAAGCAACCAGTTGCACAAGTGCCAATGATGAATTTGCTCGAGGCAAAGAAAGAAGTTATGTTGCGGCTCTGGAAGCTGCCGCCCAACGGCTACAGAAAAAGATCGATGCTGCTCGAGCAGAGGCTACCGTTCATCGGACGCTGCCCGGCACGCATTCGACGACAGGCCGGCCCGCTCAGCGACGAAAGATAAGCGGAGCCCGTCGAAAGGAGGCCTCTGACGTTGACGAGTTGGTCAGTGACTTCGGGTTTCTCACTGTCAATGCGACATCGCGAGATTTCCATGGATTTACCTCGACCATGTCATTTGCAAAGCTCCTCCTTTCAGCAGCAGCAAAAGAAGAGCTACCCCCCCTCGAATCACGAGGGCTGCCCCCACGATATGCCATCACTCCCATGATCAATCAATATCTGGAAAATGTATATGTGCTATTCCCCTTTTTCTCCGAGACAGACCTGATGTCAAGCTTGTCTCGCATCTACCATGAGTCTTCGGCAGTCTCATCAACTGTTACGCCATTGGACGTGTGGTATGTGCGATTGATTCTGGCAATCGCGTATGCCTCGAGCTCGCAACGAAAAGGAGACGAGAACGATAAGACGGCGCTACAACACATGTCGGCGGCCAGAGGATTAGCTGGCTATGTGTTACATCCCGGATCGATTGCCGGCGTACAAGCTCTTCTCCTGCTGGTGCAGTATTCGTTGGTAGACCCGGCACACTATGATCCCTGGTACCTCATGGGCATGGCGGCCCGGCTCATGGTTGATCTCGGGCTACACTGCGAGCTACCTGCAGAGACGAAGATCAGCAAGGATGCACTGGACCTGCGGCGAAGGATATTCCACTGTGTGTATGCTCTGGACCGTCTCGTCAGCATGTCCCTTGATCGGGCATTCTCATTCACCGACGATTCAGCTTCCGAGGTGCCTTTACCAGAATCAGCGTCGGACCCATCTCCAACTCAACTTTTCCAACATTCAATCAAACCATGCCTCTATTTGTTCGATATCCGCCGCGTTCAGTCGGCCTTCTATCAGACCACAAGGTGGTCTTCTCGGTCTCAGTGGCCTCTAGCCACAGCGGCTACCTATGCCAGTTCTGTGTCGAACGACATCCACGCTTGGTATTCGACCATCCCCTCGACACTGTCACAGCGTCATCTGATGCTTTTCAACCTTGAAAGGCTGTATTGCCAAATCCTAGTGGTTTCGCCCAACCAACGTGTCCCTGCGAGCAGCATGACCGATCTCAACAAAGAACTTGTCTTCGAATACTCGGCTCAATACGCCGATCTCCTGCAGCCCATCACCCAGGATGTCGGCTGGCATGCATACCTGACATTTGCCGATATCAGTCGAGCAAAATACGTGGGACAGAAGTTTGTTGAAGTGATGTGGTCTGATTTTGATCGACTCATCAAGACCACGCATGCCATCCGTGAAGGCTCGCCTCTGGCCAACAATGTGCCTCTAGACAACGGTCAACGGGCGACCATCTGCCTCCGGAAGATCATTGAGATTCTCGACTTTGCACGGCATCGCTGGTCAATGCCGGAAATGCGGGAAAAGTTCGAGCAAGAATCGGCCGTGCTCTTCTCACGGCTGAAAAATAGGCAGATGGAATTGGGCACTGCGCAGTACTCCAGCAGGGTCAATATTAATCCTGCAACGGCCACCAATGTCGGTTATGAGAGTATGGCAAGCAACATTTATCCAGATGCCAATGCCTATCCATATGAGGGACCAGCAATAACCCAACTCCCGAGTCCTCCAATCAATCACGATCCAGTCCAACCCGACATGCAGCAACAACCGATGCTAACGCCACCTGAAGACTACCACATGCCCTCGATGTACTCCATGCCGCCAGGTTCATTGCCTCGGCGGAGCTATGAGTTTTACGGAGGCCGCAGTTGAAGGCAGTAACAGTACGTCAGGCCCAATTGCCTAGGAATAGTGCGGGATGAATCCTGTCGCGTGCCTCAAGCCGCAGTCGGTCAGAGGTCACCAAAGACATGCAACCCAATTCGGGACAGTCTGTATCCCATCACGCATTTGTCTCCCCTATTAGAATACAATACCAGGCTCAAGAAACCTAGATCAGCCCCAGCTCGACCAAGGAGGGTGTCAGCTCCCGTAAAGGAGGGCAGGCGCCCGAGTCATCTGAGAGTGCAACGAGGCCCACGTGTATTGCACGATTATGCTAATTGGCCTTGAGGCCCCTTCACCGCACAGTCAGAGTTTTGGGGGTCGCAGCATCATAGTGTCAACTTGATCTCAGAAAGGGGCCCAGCTGCACGATCAAGCGAAGGTTGTCACACGAATTCAGAGCAGATGCGCAATCCAAAGCTGCCCATCATCGATATTTATATGCCTCACGAAACCTCAAAGGACTGTAGCTCACACAACTTTTTGTCTTACGGTTGCTGCCAATCTTCCGGCGCGGAAAAAGAACTTCCCGTAAACGCCACAATCGCCCAGCGTCCGGCTGTCGCTTCCAGAATCTCACACCTTGTGCCTGACCATCGCGCGCATTCGCGGGGGCATCGAGGGGCTTGTTAGGCCGTTGTTGGCGGCGGTTGGTCCAATTAGGGTCCCCTAGGGGAGTCGCCTCCTTCCGCAGGTGCCTGGAATTCCGGGCGAGTTGAGCCGATCCCCCATTCGCCGGATGACGTGGGTTTTCCCGTGAGCCCTGGAATCCGTTTTTCGAGGACCTTCATCCGCGCATGCGCCTTTGCACGCCAACTGCAAGGGATTTCTTTTCGCTCGCAAGACTTATCCGCGCAGATTCATCGGCCTCTCGTTTTGTTCCTGCCCTCTGATGAAGTGTCTTTACTCGACCCGGTCAAGTCCATGTGACCTCCCCTAGCATTTCAGCCATGGTTCGCCTTGCCTGCTGCTTGTTGCTGTTCGCAGCTCTCGTAGCGGCAGCGCCTCCGAACACCCCTTGGAAAGATGATGGCTCACAGCAAGTGATCGCCGGGCAGTCGACCTCGAATTCGCAGCCTGTCCCTAGAAAGCTCCGGGGTAGATTCCTGCACATCACAGGTACTGTAGCTGCACACCGCAGGCGGAATGTGATGACGCTAATCTTTCCTACAGACATCCATCCTGACCCTTTCTACAAGCCTCACTCCGATCCTGAAGAGCAATGCCATGCGGGCCATGGCAGGGCTGGATATTATGGAGCAGAAGTAACAGACTGCGATACGCCCATAAGCCTGGTGAATGCCACCTTCCAATGGATCGAAGCCAACCTCAAAGACGAGATCGATTTTGTCGTTTGGACCGGCGACTCGGCACGCCACGACAACGACGAGCGCCTGCCCCGATCAGACAAACAAGTACTCAAGCTCAACCGATTCATTGTGGACAAGTTCGTCGAGGCTTTCGGCAAGCCGGACAACATAGACGACCCGGACCCGACCAACGATTTCGTCGTTCCCATCGTTCCCACCTTTGGGAACAACGATATTCTCCCTCACAACATCTTCAGCCCTGGGCCGAACAAGTGGACGCGGGCCTACCTGGATGTCTGGGATCGTTTTATTCCACAGGCGCAACGCCATTCGTTTGCAAGAGGTGGTTGGTTCTTCACTGAAGTTATACCAAATAAATTGGCCGTCTTTAGCCTCAACACTCTGTACTTTTTCGATTCCAACTCGGCAGTCGACGGCTGCGACCTGAAGTCAGAGCCGGGCTACGAGCATATGGAGTGGCTCCGGATCCAACTACAATTCCTCCGCAACAGAGGGATGAAGGCTATCCTGATAGGCCATGTGCCACCAGCCAGGACAGAGAGCAAACAGAGTTGGGACGAAAGCTGTTATCAGAAGTACACGTTATGGATGAGACAGTATCGAGATGTGATTGTCACGTCGATATTTGGACACATGAACATTGACCATTTTATGTTCCAGGACGTGAATGATCTGCATTACAAGTTCAAAATCAAAGGTATCGATGACAGGCCTGGCAGAATCAAGCGCGTCGAAACACAACCAAACGACACCTTCTCGATTGCCGCTAAAGCACAATACTTGAATGAATTGAGATCAGGATGGTCAGAATTACCTAAACCGCCGGCCGGACATTCATATTTGTGTTTGGATAGTGCAGAAGTTCCAAATGATATTGTCGACGCTGGAAAGAAGGATGGAAAGAAGGAGCTTGCGAAGTTTCTAGAGGCCATTGGCGGACCTTGGGCAGAGAGATTCAGCATGTCTTTGGTGTCTCCGAGCGTTGTCCCCAACTTCTACCCCACTCTTCGAATTGTAGAGTACAATATCACAGGGATGGAGAATGATCACCCAGCCGAGGGGGCGATTGGAGATCCTGCAGTTGAACACCACGTCGATGGCTCAGCGAATGAGGAAATGATGTCAGAAGATCCAGAGGAGGATGAGTCTAACGCAGACGCCCATCCGGAAGACAATATCCACGATCTCAAGAAAAAGAAGAAGGGCAAAAAGAGAAAGAAGCCGAAGAAACCCAACTTCCCTGTGCCAAAGCCACCATCCAAGACGTCTCCTCCTGGTCCGGGTTACTCTCCTCAATCATTGTCTCTACTGTCGTTCACGCAATATTACGCCAATCTGACTCATATCCACGAGCAGATGCAGTCAGACAAGTCGTCCAAGAAAGATCCTTACAAACACTTTCGATATCTTCCGGAGTACACGACAAACAACGACAGCGCATATCGGATGGAAGACTTGACAGTGCGGTCGATGCTGGATCTGGCAGAGAAAATGGGGCGGGACAGCCTCAGTTTGAGCGATGCCGACACCGAGCAAGTTGAGAAAGATGCCTATACCAAGAAAAAGGGCGATAAGGACAAAATGACGACTCGTAAGAATCACTTGTGGAAAGTGTTCATCAAGCGGGCTTATGTGCATACGAAACCCGACGATGAAATTGATCAGCGGTTTTGATGAATGTTTACTTTGGGAGACTCCAGGCAGTGCCAGTGCTGGTTTCCTCTGTGCGTCATCTATTCTATCCTTTATGTATGATCAGCTGGCTTATGGGCCAAGGACGCTACTGTTTTCAAAAAGGACTCGGGTATGGGAGGGATCCATGGGACTCGGACAGGGTCAGGACTTGATGACTTACGACATTACGGAGAATGTGGTTGAATTGCGGTTGCAGTCGGGCGTATAGAGATCCACGAGATACTGGATACTCGAGCTTCGATCTTGGTGTATAAGAAATCCATCATGATGGCAAACAGCGACAGTCAATGCAGTCAATGCTGCGGGGTAGATGCTGTAGACACGGCAATATTTGACTCGTCCCCATATTACACTATAAGATTCCGTGTATGATGTGGATTACCAGGAATCTTGTCTTACTCTTTCTGCCTCTTTCTGAGCCACTTTATTTGACGTCCATCGACCCAGGCCAACGCTGGGAGTGAGGGACAGGCACTCAAGGCCATAGACGTGCTTCAGCTCTACTGGCTACCGAGTATCCCAATCTCTGTCTCGCCAGTGTGAGGAGATTGAGAGGATGCTTCCCTTTTAGAGGCAGTCCAGAACTGGTCACGAACCCTATCCCTACGACAAGGAAGGCCATTGAATGCCCCAGCGTCAGCCTCTTCCATTCCAGCTTGATATTTGACACACGCATCAATGGCTGCTGCGTCTTCCACACGCCCTTCAACTCTGGCCGACCACCCAAGCCTCCAACCCGCATTTCACCTCACCATCGTCATCGGCCCTGCCACGGCCATCGGCTCGCTCTCGCGAGGCACCCCGTTGACGGTCGTCCCACTTGTTTCAGGCAGCTTTCTGAGCGAACCGGGCTTCCCCATCAGAGTGGACGCGAGGTTGAAGGGCCAGGGCGTGGACTATGTGCACAACGACCCGGATGGAGGACGGATGCGGTTGCGGAGTGATTTGGTGGTTGGGTGAGTTGTTCCGTTCTACGAAAGCTGGTATGGGAGGGTCTATGTACCTGTCCTTGTTCACACACAGAGCTTGAAAATGGCGAGAAAAGGGCTGATTGCTATCTGTGAGAGGAATGCTAGAGACAATAATGGAGAGGTCAGTTTCTCCTATTTGTGGCACCATCCATTTTCGCCCTCAGTTGTCGGTTTTGTTTGGTTTCCACGCCGAAACAGCATATCACGGGCATAATATAGCTGACTACCAGGTCTCCTTTTCTCTTCCCGTCTCTGCAGACGATACACATCCACTACACCGGAATAGTGGACATTACGAACGAGATGCGCCGCATCCTCGGGTTGAGTGCCAATGCCAAATCCACAGAGTTTGGCAATTCGTGTACGTGTCCTCCTAACGTCCTCGAACCTGGCCATTTTCTTTCCTTTACCCGATCCTGCCGCCGCCCCCCCCCCAAAAAACAAGGTCATTTGAAGGTTTGTGTTTTAATCGTGTGGAGCTGACGTTCGGCACCCTCTCTGGGGTCCACACCGGTTTGGAAAAGTCATCCAGGTGTCGTTTGAGACAGGATCGATGCGGTACAAGGCGTTGGAACAGGCACTGTTTGTCGGTGCTGGAAGGTTCATTGTCGGAGATGGCGGGCTCACTGTCGAGTATCGCATTAGTAAAGTGTGCGCAGGTCCCGGGGCTGCTGGCGAGGTTGGTGACGGCGGTGGTGCTGGCGAAGGAGGAGGAGAGGGAGCAAGTCAGGAAGCCTGAAAACTATTCTGCTCGGTCGTCATTAATGTTTTTCCGGGGCATCAAGGCGACACGCACGATGCGCCGTTTGCTGGTTAGATTGGATTACGCAAGTAACGGTGTCGTTTCGTCTGTTGCTGCCGCTCCTCCACCACCACTGGTGTCGATCCGTCCCTGTATATCCGGTGCTGTAGGCGTAGAAGCATCCTTCCTCCGCCTCCTCCAGCTCCACGCTGGCACCCAACTACCGCTCGGCCTCCACCAGCCGTGCTTTCTCCCCCTCCACTTCCTTCCGGCCCATCTCCCGAATCTCACCCCGGCCAAGATCAAGCACAAGCTCAGCAACGTGGCCAGCACCGCGACCACCACACTCAGAAACGTCATGCTCGAGCACCGGCAGCTAAACGGCCGGGCGCGCATTTCCCACCGCTCCCGCCATGCCAAGGGGCAGATGTCGGCGGATTTCAAGGGCGAGAGGATGCCGAATGGGTAGGGGTAAATGGTGTTGGGCACACAGGTCTGGGATGTCGCGCACCATGAGCACGGGTATGGGTTTGATGGAGACAGACATGCCGGGCAGTGCGGGCGGATCCAGCAGTGGAAGAAGAGATCGAGGTCGTCGCCTGGGACTATGCTGGATGTGTTGATACTGCTGAGGACGGCGGCCAGGTGTGGGGGGATACGGGGAGTGCTGTGCTCCATATCTCTATGTTTATACGCGGTATGTTTTGATTTAATCTACCCTGGGCTGGACTGTGAGCCCGGCGGTTCAAGAGAAAGGTCAATCGACGCCGAGCTCCCTCGCGCGCCTCTCCCAGCCGGCGCCGCTTTTACATGTAAACGCAAGCACTCACCTTCGGGCCGATCCGAGATATTTACCTCGTACTAGTTCTTGGTAGCAAAGTCTCCCTCTACAGCTTCCCGGCCTCGTATGGCCTATGTTCCCGCCAACACTGTGCAATCTCCCCCCTGGTACACACCCACACGTCCTGTTTCGAGGCGACATAGTCACAAAACCGCTTCAGCTCGGCGAACCGGCCGGGCTTGCCGACGATTCTGCAGTGCAAGCCGACAGTCATCATCTTCGGCTTCCCCTGCTGGCCTTCCTCGTACAGCACGTCAAAGGCATTCTTCAAGTAGGTGAAGAAATCCCCCGGCCCGCCAAAGCCCGTCGGCGTGTGGAACTTGAAGTCGTTCACGTCGTACGTGTACGGCACCATCAGCATGCCGACACAGTTTTCCTTGTTGCGCTTGCCCTCGGCGACCATGGCCTGCTCCGCGGGCACGTCGACCCAGTAGGGGATGTCGTCGCTGTAGCTGTCACTCTGCCACAGCAGCGGCAGGCCCATCTCGTCGTAGACGTCCCAGACCAGCGCCCGGCTCCGGCTCGACAGCCGCCCGTAGTACCAGCCGACGGGGTACTCGCCCGTGACGGCTTTCAGGCTCTCGAGGCCCTTGCGGATCATCTCCTTCTCCTGCTCGGCGGGCATATCCTCGTAATTCACCCACCGATAACAGTGGCTCGCGACCTCTGCTCCACTGCGCACCGTCCGCCTCGCGACCTCCGGGTTCGCCTCGACCGCTTTCCCCACCGCGTACAGCGTCCACTTGAATTTGTGCCGTTCAAACAGCGCCATGATCCGCCACACGCCCACGCGCGATCCGTACTCGTAGTCGCTCTCGACGTTGACCGCCCGCTGCTGCTGCCGCGGCGGGTACCGCCCCGCCGACTCCCACAGCGACGCCTCGGACGTCGGGTCGCCGTTCAGCACGCTGTTCTCGCCGCCTTCCTCGTAGTTGATCACGAATGAGAGCGCCAGTTTTGCGTTGTTGGGCCATGGCGCGGCGGGTGGGTCGGGCCCGTAGCCGATCAGGTCGCGCGGGAAGTCGTGGTGGGCATCCCATGTATAGGGTGCTATGTCGGGCATGGTGGTGGCGATATGGTTGTTGCCAGGGGTGGTGGTGATGATGGTGGTGCTAAGTGATAGATGAGGGAGGTGTGAATGGGAGATTGGTACTGTCTGTTCTTCGGCTGGTGGCAAGCTACTCAGGGCTGGCACACGGCTGTATGGTCTCGGCCTGTACTTGCAGTGCTTTTCTCTATGCGGAATGCTCCAGCGGCTCGATTGTTCATATCAGGTTGTCACGTCTGGTTATCAAGCCCGCGGTGAGTGGCCTCGGGCAGTACCCGGCGAAGGGACGACGTCTGTTAGGAGGTATTGCTGCTCACCACGATAGACAATCGTGGGCTTCGCCGATCTGACATCTCCTATACCCGTACACCATGTCTGGAGTTCTCCGCCCTCCCAGGGTTCTAGATAACAGGAGAGCAGCTCGGTGATTTCCTGTTACGGCACGCACGATGTTTCTCGTGGTGGTCAGTTGGAGTTCACCGTTGTAAGGCTGCGCACGGCAGTCGTGCAACTACTTTGTAATGACGGACCATCATTCCTCGGAAGGCGAGTAATCTGTATATCCACGAGCTCGTTCATCGAACGGCACCCAATAGAACCGGTCGCGTTCGTACTTTGTCAGCGCCTTGCCGTGTTTCAGGCGGGACACGAGATCAGGATTCGACGTGAAGTAGCGGCCGATACTAATCGCATCAGCCGTGCCGGACTCGACCACTCCCCAAACGTTGGTGTCATTGTAGCCGCCTGAGACGAAGAATGGGGTCGATCCCATGATTCTGCGGAAAGGCTCGAGGCTGATGTTCTCCCCAAGGGATTTCAAATATGAGTCTTTGGTGGCAGGGTCGATGATCTGCTCGAACCTTGGCTCGATGAAATGGATGTACGACATGGCTGGTATCCTCTGCTTGAGACCTTGACATAGATGAGACCAGATTTCCATTCTCTGCTGGCCATAAGACTGCAGGAAGAGACCGAAGGGCGATAAACGGAGAGCAACGTTGTCTCCTCCAACTGCCTCCGCCAAAGCCTCCATGAGCTCCAGGGGAAATCGGCAGTACCCTCCAACGGTGCCACCATACTCATCTGTCCGCTTGTTGATGTTGGTGCTGAGAAACTGCTCAACCAGATATCCATTGCCACCGTGGACCTCGATGCCGTCAAAGCCACATTCAAAGACAGCACGCTTGGCTGCGTCCACGAAAGCTCCTATAGTTCGCTTGATATCTTCGTGGGTCATCTCCTTTGGCGGATGATCGCTCATTTTGATGCTTTCTCCGCGACCTGGTGCCCCTCTGTCATCGTCAGGAGGAGCGTAGCGCGACTTGTGATTTCCTTCAAATGGGGTAGCACTGGGGCACACTGCGGTCGCGCCGGTGAAATGAGGCAAGCACGCTCTTCCTGCGTGCCAGAGTTGAGCGTAGATGTAGCCACCCTTGTCATGCACGGCGTCGACGACCGCTTTCCAGCCAGGTACCTGTTCGGGGAGAAACAATCCTGGCACGCAGGGGGAAGCTGACGCTTCAACCGTGGGATAGATGCCTTCTGTAATGATGAGGCCTCCGGGGGTTGTTCGTTGGGCGTAGTATATAGCACCAAGCTCATCATGACCCCAGGCACGGTTGGGTTTGCTGATGTATAAAGGAACCCCACGATTGCGGGTCATTGGCGCCATGACAACTCGATGGGAGAGTTTGATGCGGCCATTGGCAATGGCCAGCGGCGTGAAAAGGGCTGAGTTACCACGATCATGCAAGTGAAGACTCGGTGGCTCTCTGATGTCCGTCAAAACTGCTGTATTTTCAAGGCTCACAACGGCATCCGCGGGGGCTGTCGCCGCAACTGGGGGAACCGGAGGAGCAGGAGTGGCAGCCATATTCTGACGGACTAATAGAACGAGACCAAAGTTACCTCTAGGGACTCACTTAGCTGATATAATAACGGATTTTGAGATCACAGACATTGGCCGGGTCTCGCTCCTGTTTTGAGAGGAATGACTTGTCTACTGCATCCGGCTCATCGGCTACCTAGGTACGTACCAGAACGTGCTTGGTCATTACAAAACGAGAGCTGCCTCTGTTCAGACAGGGTACCTACCTAGTAGGTATGGTCATGCTCGATGTCCTGGCCTGTAGGGAAACTTGCTCCTAAAATGCTTCGCAATGTCGCGTCTTGTGGCTACCCAGACGCCTTCGTGCTCCTGAATATATTTCATGAAGTTTCGCAAGGCTTCCGAACGGCCCGGCTTGCCAACTATGCGGCTGTGCATCGGTATGTTCATCATCTTGCCCCCCTCGCGATATAGCATGTCGAATGTGGCCTTCAAATACTTCTCATACATGTCGCTCCCCACGAAGCCTGTTGGGAAGGTCAGCTATGCTGATCAATGTGCTCAGAAAGCTTACCTGGACTCATATGAAACTTTCCATCTGCCGACGGTCAGCGCTGCATTCTTATTGTTTCTTGTTATCTTTGGGAACTTACCATTGCAATCATAGTTGTAGGGGATAATGAGCATACCCTTCTTCTGCTCGTCCGGAAGATCCTTCTCTGCAGGGAGATCGGTCCAATATGGAACGTCGTCATTGTACGCCTCCGAGTTCCAAAGCATCTCGCTGCCAGCCTCCTGGAATGCCTCTGGGAAGAGTGCTTTAGTATTGGGGGTTCCCCGTCCGAAGTAGGCACCGACGGGCATCTCCCCGGACACATCCTTAAGAGCCTTCAAACTCTGAACAATATAGTCCTTCTCCTTCTGGAGATCATAGTCCCATATGTCTAGCCAGCGAAGGCCGTGCGTTGCAATCTCGTGGCCATCCCTCACACAAGCCTTCGCAAAAGTCGGGTTGGCCTGCATCGCTTGAGCAACCGCGTACGTCGTCCACTGGTAGCCGAACTCTTTGAAGAGACGCAAAAGCCGCCAGGCGCCAACACGACTGCCATATTCATACTCGGATTCCGCGTTGACATAGGGGGCGCCCTCCTTGAAGCCACCCGATGCTCCTTTCTCCCAGAGGTATGGCTCGGAATGGCCGTCGCCGTTATGATAGGTGCGCTCCGCTCCTTCTCTATAGCGGTGAGCCTGAGTCCAGCGCACATATTCCACCTACTCATACTCATAATTCAGCACAAAGGACACCGCGATGCGGGCTCCATTTGGCCACTGAGGATCGAAAGAGTCCTCGCCATAGCCTGAGCACCATCAGAGACACATTGTATGATACGCCTGGCCTGTGCGACTTACCCTTCAAGTCTCTCGGTATGTCGTATTTGGGATCGAGGTTGACCATGATGCTTGTGGCCTTGGAAGATTCTGACACAATGGTGTCGTTTCTAACTCTGCTCGCCTGTGCTCCTGAGCTGAATAGCCAATTCAGCCACCTGGTATCCAAGGGCTAGATTCGGCAAACGTATGGGATCAAAATGGTTTCCATCCACCAAGGCGGCCATCACCATGTATTGAAATATTGGGTCCGGTATTATTACGGCGAAACCATATAAGGAAATCTCCGTTGTTCTCGTTCTTGCGTTCCTTGTACATTGCCCGCTAGCCGCAACATGCATCTAAAAACCCGTCTCACTGTCTTATCATCGCTCAGAAAAACCTTCATGATCCTGGCAGGCCTTTATCTGTCAGCGACAGCCACGACCGGCCGGTATCGTGGCTATCATAGTGCCTTCACTCAGGAACATCTTGTGAGCCACCACAATGTCTGTTTTTTCACTCGATGTGTCCAAGGATAATCCGGTGACCACGGACGACCTGGATCGGGCATGCGAAATACTCGGAGTCTCCATCAAAAATGAGGAAAAGGCAGAGTATGTCAATCTCTTGGCCGTATACCACGATTCTATGGCCAAGTTGATGGCAGTCGAAGGTACATTGATATCTGTCCACCAACATGACTACAGCTGACTTGATAACAATACTAGACTACATCCCACAAGTTGACCATGATAGGTTCGAAAGGAGGAATGTCCATTTTCCTGAGCCTGCTGACAACCCCTACGGAGCGTGGGCTTGGAGGTGTGAGATCTCCGACAGGACTCCCGATCCAAAGGCACTCCTTCATGGCAAGACGGTGGCACTGAAGGACTGCATTGCGGTCGCGGGCGTTCCAATGCTGCTTGGCACGAACTTCTTTTCAGGCTATACTCCGGCCACAGATGCGGCTATTGTCACTCGTATGTTGAAGCAAGGCGCGACCATCTCAGGCAAGTCAGTTTGTGAGAACCTGTGTCACTCAGCGACATCACATACAGCATCGACGGGACTCGTGCATAATCCATACGCAAAGGGGTATGCTTCTGGAGGTTCCTCGTCAGGCTCCGCAGTCTTGGTGTCTCTTGGCCCTGAGAATGGAGGCGTGGACTACGCTATAGGCGCAGATCAAGGCGGGAGCATCAGGGTCCCTGCGGCGTGGTGCGGCATCGTTGGATTGAAGCCAACCTTTGGTCTCATCCCCTGGACTGGCGCTGGCAGTAACGAGCCTACGAATGATCACATGGGACCGATGACACGCGACGTCCTGAGCAATGCCCGGCTGCTCAAGGCTATAGCAGGTACGGACTTTGTGGATGACCGGTCATACGGTGCTCCGGCGCCGGAGAAGATTCCAGCCTATCATGAAATTCTAGCCGGGCAGCAGAAGCCTCAAGACCTAACAGGTATGAAGATTGGTATTCTGGTCGAGGGTCTCCGCACGCCTGCGCTCGATCCTAGGGTGAAGGAGTTGTTCCTCGCTGCAGCAGACAAGTTTCGAAGCCTGGGTGCAGAAGTTGAAGAAGTGTCCGTCCCTACACATGCAACGGCAAGTGCAGTTTGGACGGGCATCTCGAAGTTGGGAGGCTATGTGAATAAGACACTAGCACTGGGAGGCCGCAGAGGCTATCAACTCAACGATCTGAATCAGAAGCTATGGCCGCTGACTCAAGACAAATGGGACAATGCCATCCCATCGACTAAAAACATCTACCTGAACGGTGTTTATGCTCAGGATATGCAGAAATTCCCGGGCTTGTTTGGTAAAGCAACAAATCTCTCAATCAAGGCGCGTCATGGCTACGATGCAGCGCTCGGGGACTGGTCGTCAATCTCGACCTTTGTCACGGACTCCAAGCTCGAAGAAATGAAGCAGCAGAAGACGTTCGACGTCTTGATCTTACCAACATTGCCATTCGTTGCCAGATCACACCCCGAGCTCGGCGAGTCAGGTGCAATAGGCAATCCCTTATTGCAGCTGCAGAAACAAGTCGGCCTGACCGGAAATACAGCTCCTTTCAATCAGACCGGCCACCCTGCTCTGGCCATGCCTGTTGGAATGCTTGAGCCTACCGAAGGACCGCTTGCGGGAACCCAAACCAAATTGCCCGTCAGCATGCAAATTGTTGGCAAATGGTGGGACGAATTGACCGTGCTCCGAGTAGCATACGCGTGGGAGACTGCTGCTGGAGGTCCAGACGCCTGGAAAGAGTTGTAAACCACTCCCCTTGCTTTCGAAGTCCGGTGAGTCGAGTATCTCCGGCAGATGAACTGCATGGGCAATCGGCTCAGCACGGACGCGCTTTTTCCAGGCAGCCAGCCCGCCGGAGTCTTGAACGATGGATGTAGGCCTGGCACTAAACAGCGACCGTATCAGCAAGCCTCTCGGGAATTCCCACATTGGGAAGGTCCATCTCCACTTTGTCGAGGCGACTCTCCTCTGTGCATTATCAGTGTTTTTGCAGGGGTGGTCAGGCTTCTCTCAAGGTCTCGACCGTTGCGCCGCGCATACCCAGAACTCATGGGCTTATCATGCCTTTTTTTCTCTGCTTACCTGTATAAAAATCACGCCTAGGAACCATGTCACCGGGGCCAGTTGTCGTCTTACAATATCCGCCTAGACGTCCTCGCAGCAAACTCCCGTGCAACCATGGACAAGCAACAGGGTTCCGAAAAGATCGATCCTCTTCCCAGCCACGAGGGCGACGTGCCAGAAATCCTCAAGGAGTCCGATTTGGAGCGTGAAGTGTTCCAGATCACCGAAGATGGCGTCGACTTTCGAACCGTCACTTGGCCACGCGCTGCCATCGTTTTCCTGAAGATTCTCTTCGCTACCGGCGTCCTGAGCATTCCGGCAGCTATGTACGAGATCGGTGCCGTTGGCGGTGCTCTGGTTCTGCTCGGTTTCGGCATGCTGAACTGCTATGTCGGCAAGATACAGGGCGATTTCAGAAACAAGCACCCTAGTTGCCACTCCGTTGCTGACATGGTCGGAATCATGGCCGGCCCTCTTGTGAAGGAGCTCATCGGTGGGCTCTACATCATTGCATGGGTCCTGTGTGCCGGCGCTGGCATCAGTGGCACAAGCGTCGCGTTCAACGCACTCTCCGAGCACGGGGCCTGCACGGTCTGGTTCTCCTTCGTTTCGATGATCATCGTCGCGATGTCGGCCTCGGTGCGCACCTTCCAAAATCTCGGCTGGGTCGGTTGGGCTGGTTTCATCTCGATCTATGTAGCCGTTTTTATCCTCGTCGTTGCCGTCACCCAAGTTGACCGCCCAGCTGCAGCCCCCCCGTCTGGACCGTACGGTGAGCTTCATCACAGCCTCGATCTGCTTGGTGATTAACGACACCCGCGAATGAAGAATGCTAAGACCTCAATACAGACCTAGGATACCGCGCGATCGGCACGACCTCGTTTGCCGGCGGCATGGTCGCCACCACCACGATCTTCGTCTCCTCAGCCGGCACTTCAGCCTTCATCCCCGTCATCGCAGAGATGCGCCGCCCCCAAGACTTCAACAAGGCCCTCTACGTGTGCATGGCCTTCGTGACTGCCTCTTACATTACTTTCGCATCGGTCATCTACGCTTGGTGCGGCATCTGGATCACGGCGCCGGCGTTGGGCTCGGCAGGCCCGACAATCAAGAAAGTCTGCAACGGCATCGGCCTAGTAGGGCTTATCGTGTCGGGCGCCTTTTACAACCACGTCGCTGCCAAATACCTCTTCGTGCGCCTCCTGCGCCGCTCCAGGCACCTACAGTCCAATTCACTCGTGCACTGGACCACCTGGCTGAGCTGCGTGTTCGGGCTCGCCGCCCTCGCCTTCATCCTTGCCGAGGCCATACCCGTGTTCAACTACCTCGTCGCCCTCACGGGAAGCATGTGCTTCGCGCCCCTCGCGCTTATGGTCCCCGCGTGGATCTGGATGTACGATCACTCGCACTACCGCCGTGGCAGCATCGTGCAAAAGGCCTGGTACGCAGCGCACATCCTGCTGATGGTGTTTGGCGCCTTTGTATGTGTCGGCGGCACCTACGCCACCATAAAAAGTATCATCGATGCATATAAGAATCATACCATTGGTGAGTCCCCTCGTTTTGGCTCTCCACCCGTGTTACTCGGGTATATTTGAGCTAACATGCAGACAGGTGGTGCATTTTCGTGTGAGGACAATTCGGGGACTGTGCTGAGCTGAGGCGGTGAGCACTAAGTGTGCCGTTTTCAAATAGTTGATTCTGACGAAGGAAGGATGTTGGGGTGTGCTTTGAGGGCCATGTATCTGTGCGGTGCAAGTATAATTTCAACACTCTTCTTTGGAGAAGTTTTCTTTGAGAATGGTAGAGGGAAGCAGAAATACGAAGCTACCTAGGTGCCAAGGATCGGTTATGCCATGGTAAACCTGTTCGATAATGTATCCGAGAACGCATCTGTTATCCAAGAAGCATTGGGAGTCCATCTCGCACTTGCGTCCAAATCCATTGACTTAGAGAGCGTACTGGTGCCGCTACAATATAGGTCCTGCTCCTTTCTTATAGTAGGTACATAAGTCGTCCCCATTCCACGTTCTATTCGTTGGGTCTAACAGCTAGCGCAGCCACCTCACTTCTTTCTTCTCTTGGTGATCAGGCCACCCGCCGCTTTTCAGAGGGAGGTTGGGGGCGCATAGTTGCATCGCTGCGGCTGAATCGCCTGAGATGAGTTCCGCATCAATAATAATGAGGTTTGGCTGAATGGTGGCACCCACTCACTTAGCCTGACCTAACGTCTATATATCTAGGTACGTGTGCCCTCACCGTCGCCGCACTCAAGGCGACACCCGTTCTTCCTGCCGGCAGTGTGTTCCTGGTTTCTCTGCGCTTGTCTTTCCATTGGCCCGGGCACATGGTCGCCTCGACCACACCGCTACAGCGCGCTGGCCTTCGAGTCTCAATATATGGTGCTCTATCTTGGTCGGATATGTGGCACCAAGCATGACCTTGACCGCATCAAAGTTTGTCGGCAAGCTACCCCTGCTTTAAGCTATTCTCGGCCATCATCTCCCAATGGCGATGGATGCTGGCACGATTGCTGCTGTTGTGGCTCTGGTGGTCTCAATCTTGGCCATGTTCGTGGCATGCGCGCAAGCTATTCAACAGTATGTCATCACCGGCCAGCTGATTCGCATCTGCGATGGCGTGGTCTATGGCAAGATGCCTGGGCAGGGAAGGCGAGTGTGGGAATTCTCTCAGTTTCGCTTTCGAGTGGTCTACTCCATGCCACAAGTTGGCCTCAGGCCGAGCCTATGGTTTGACATTCTCCCGCAACATCACTCAGATTCCAAGGGCCATCTACCGCTTCCAGATCTGCGGCACACAGCCCACAGGCAAGGCAGTAATAGTTTCTCTTATGCTTTTGGTCATGTGCCACGTCGACAGATGCGCTCCGAGTACTCTGCCACCCCAGGAGAAGCTTCATGGGTATCATTCTGTCGAGTGGCGCAGCATGCAAGCGAGAGTGACCTTTTCTACGACCTGATCGATTCCGACGCCGACCGCTGTCCTTCGGATCTTCCAGCTGTTCCCATGCAAGTTTCGTTGCGAGATATTGCTGTCATTGCCATCATGGCCGGCATGAGGTGCACATACGCCTCGTTTGAGAAAAAGTCGTTATCCATGACTGGTGCAGTAGGGACAATCACATCGTCCTGGCATCCAATACTAGGCGCCACTATCCATTTCGCACCACGCAATTACAGCGCATTGTCCGACAGTGACGCTCGAATGGACGAGGTCCTGGGTCTTCGAATCGGCAGCGGCAGTATCAGCTCTAAGTGGATGGCGCGAATGGCGGACGTTATCATCGTGGCTGGCCGCCACTATGATGCGCATGATAGGTTGTCGTACGAAGAGTTTGAAGGTCATACTTGGGTCACGCTATCCAGAAGTCGTGCTATGGTCAAAGCCTCGACGTACAGTCCGTTGCGGCAGACCCATTCTCCAGTGCGCACATTCCGATTGCGGTCGATATCCCCCATCCGTGGTTCTCGGTCTCGGGGACGGAGCAGAGCTTCAACACGGTCCAGGTCCCTTCAAAGTGTTGTTTCCAGGACTGATGGGCCGATCGTTCTAAGACCCGTAGCAACGACGGAGATAGCAGAGGGGTTCACGGAAGTTGGCATTCGGCCAAGCAAGAATGACGGCGACTGGGCATTTGAGTCTGAAATCAGTGCATCGACCTCCGACTCTGGCGGTATCACTCAGCGCGAAAACGTACCCCAACATCTTTATCAGAAGCAAGAAAACACTGCGCCACCAAGAGATTCCAGTCATAAGCGTGCCATGGCTTACTTGCGCACACCTTTCCGTTCTATACATGCCATGATGTCGAGACACAATCCTACAGCCGATTTAGAAAACGATGGTATGACCGGGATTTCAATGATGACCACTGCGCAAGCCCAAAGGACGGGCAACCTGCAACCTGTTAAGCATGAACGACGCAGATCAACGAGTGTTCCCACAAAGCCCGAGCCGCAACAAAGCAGAGCAGATCATAGCGGTGGTCGCTATCAGCCGCCCAGGCTTGTGCGTCGAGGGCTAGATGGTCAGGTGTTACAAGATTACATAGCTGAGAAAAGGCAGCACCCCGGTGATACCGTCTTTACCGTGAACGGGAGACTGTTGCTGACTTGGCGATCCGATGCTGATTCAAGCTCTGACCTTCTTGGCCAATTCGGGGAGGCAGAGGGCTGGGTACGATCAGCAAACCAATTGCACCAGGATCGCGTGCTCTTTGCGATCCAAAAATGGCGGACCATGGTCGAAAAAAGGCGACAGCTTCGCGAAGAACCGAGTGGGCAGGACGATTGGGAGGTGGAAAGTCTGGAGACCTATCGTTCATCACCGGTGCCATCAAGCAGGGCGACCACTCCGGCATCAAGAAGGGACTCACGTTCAGGGTCGAGGGAAAGAAGGACCGGACAGAGCAATGGCGCCTTGACCCCAGGGCAAAATCTCGGGCCAGAAGCAAGAGGTCGAGTCAGAACGCCAAAAGGGGTGGCAGAGTCGAGATATCAATCTCCAAGTCCGCTTTCTGCCCGTCGCTTTCGACGTCGCAACAGCGATGGCGGATCTTTACCTGATCAAGTTCGTCGTGTTGCTTACGGCGATGAACCCATCGATCCCATAGAGGACGTGGACGGAACAGGGCCATCAGAAGGGAAGTCTGAAAACAAGGGTGGGACGCCGACTCGGGTTGTGGAGAATCAGAACGATCCAAAAGACGGCGAAGAGGCTACAGATCCCAAACGTCCACGTTCGACTTCGAAGAATCAACAGCTGCGAAAACCTAGGAGGGTGCAGATCATCCTACCAGAGCACGCAAATGACCCTGAACCTGAAATTGCCAGTATTACGACCGCCAGTAATGCGAGTGAACGAGAGAGTTCTACGGAGAGAACCCGGCCAGGTGTGGGGCCGTTGAAGAGAGGTGATATCCAAGACGGAGAACAACCAAGAGTCGCGGGCAATGTTGAGACGCGCCGCGTAAGTGATGAAGCGCAGTTAGGCAAAGAGAACATACCGCCAACTCCCGCACCAGCCAAGCCCATACTCAAGCCACCCACACGACATTTTCCTGAAGACGAGAATCCTATCCGAGAAGGAGTTGCGCCGTTGAGACATCCCATTGAGGAGGGGATTCCGGCCGGTGCACGATGGACCAAGATCAACCGCCGTCTTGTGAACCCGGAGGCATTGGAGAAAGGTCATGAAAGATTCGAGGAACGGGATGACTATGTCGTTGTCTTGCGGGTGCTTTCAAGACAAGAGATCATCAAGTATGCCGAGTTGACCAGAGAGATCAGGGAAGCGCGAGAGCAGCAACGGGATGCAGACAAGATGACCGAGTCTCCCGCTTCCATGTCCGACAGCGAGGATGACCATAACGACAACCAAGCCACAAATGAACCTAAAGATGCAGCAGCTCAGCAAGGACGTAGAACGTCCCCATCCTCCAGTCGTTTGTCTCACAGTCCCGAGACCAATTCTGCAACCCCGGCCGTCTCGATACCACCGACTCCGATCTCTGACAGAAACAGCTTCTCTTCCCAGACAGGGCCGCGTCGCCGTCGCGCATCTACACAATCTGATATCTCTGTTGGGGAGAGTCTGGAGAGCGAGAGTCAGGACCTGCGGAGAACCAGATCACGAAGCACGGGTCGACGATCGATATTCGGCGATGAATCGGGGACAGGGTTTGACACGAAGCCGGGAGCGGAGGAGAGGCCTTCACAGGGCTTGGTCGATTGGTTCTGGTTATCCCAAGCAGACGTCCTCCCTGGGTATTGTGCCACTCCCTGGCAAGGCAACTTCTCGGAGTCGACATGTTTCGGAGCGATCATGACCATGTTAGTGGCGCTCGAATACTACTACGCGGACGAGTCAACCTTACTGTATGTGGAGAAGCAAGCACACTGCGAAGAATGGATTCGTCAAGGAAGAAGCACGTATCCCAGCTACGCTATCAATGCCATGGGCGGCGTGGTGGTTTCGCGAAAGTATCCGCGGGTGAAATTTGAATGTCTGTCGGCCAAGATCCCTCCAATCGAGCTATTGGACTCGTACCGATACCAAGTCAACCGGTCCGGATTTGAAGGGTCTTCCAGGAGTGTTGTTGAGAGGCTGGGCGAGCTCATGTGTCTTGATTCCTGGCTGTCGATCTGCGGCCGGCTGCCTGAGATCTACGATGGCGGCAACGACCTGCTACGAAGCACGCCAGCGCTGGTGCAGAAGATCATGACCGACTTTGACTTCGAGTTCTCCCGCTTGAAACGCACGCCGGCAGAGGGAGGCCTGCAGCTCATCAAGGAGATGGCCGAGTCGATTGTCCACACACTGGAGAAAGAGTCTCTGTCAGAGGCGGAACAGCTCTTTGCGGTTGTGGCAATCCTGAGAACGGCCAAGATGGCCCTGTGTGTTATCTATGGGCCTGGCACGGCTCAGTTGAGAGACATCCTGGTGAACGATGTCCAGGTCTATCTCGTATAAACTATAGTAAAACCAGCATATAAGGCTATTGTTGGTCGATGCCAGGAGGAGTATGAAATATACAATGCTCGTTGGATGTTGGTATATACATATACACTCCATATGCGCGATGCCTAGAAGTGGATCAGGAGGAAATGCTGGCACATTAATATGAATACCTAGGTATATAAAAGGAATTCGGTGCTGCGCAAGTGTCAAGGGCCATATCATAGAGGTGGATATATGTACAGAGTTGGTAGCGATCTAAGGAAGTTGCAAACACCGAGGCACACGCGTATCGTATCATCACCATCATCATACGCAGCAGCCAAGTTTTTTGGAAAACAACCTTTGGGCGCCTGAATTGAATACACGCATCTCCTCCCCGCGTCCCACCGCGTCCTCATCAGGCGCACCATCACCAACCTCTGGTCCTCTTGTGTCAATGGCTCGGCAGCATAGCCTGAGGTCCTCAGGATTTCACAGTCAACGACTCCCGCCGCCTCCCATGAGGCTGGTGTCTTTGTGATGCGATCAATGTCACTCAATTTGACTGTTCCTCTATCATCATGTCTCGGCAGCCTCAGTCCACTGACTATAGGTACTGGCTGTCGAAATTGCGACCAGGGAGACCGCTGCTTGAAGCATGGATCCTGTCCGCCATCATTGTCTCCATCTCCAATACTCTGGCTCAGGTGATTGATGCGTACAAGAAAGAGGTAGGTACTGTGCGTACTGTCTATACATCTCTGTGTCTGTGTTCGATCTGCATCGAGGCAACAAGAATTGACAAAAGGGCCAGGAGGCATTTAGATTCGACCTCGCTCGACTATTGCGCTTTCTCTGCCTCGACCTCATCACCGCCCCGCTGAACTACAAGTGGCAGGAGGTGCTCGAGAAGACATTTCCCCGACACCACGACCCCGCCTCGTCCTCCCGCAAAGAGTACCACTCGATTCCGCTGGAAGATCGCGACGTGGAAAAGGACTCCAACGCCGACCAGGTGGAAAACGACGACCGTGAACCCCCTGTTGCTGAGGGGTCAAGTCCGCCGCGGCCGCCGCGGCAGCTGCGGGAGCAGCAACACTCACCCCCAACCCCAACAAGGAAGAGGAAGAAGACAAAACACAAGACCTTGCTGGCAAAGAAGAACTGGAAGAACATTTGGATAAAGTGGTTCATCGACTGCATCACGGTCGGCGCCATCCTCAACACGGTCGCCTTCCTGGTCATCATGGGCTTTCTGAACGGCCAACCCTCGAAAATCCCGCACAACCTGCGCACCCAGACCCTCACCATTATTGTGAATGGGTACAAGATATGGCCCTTTGCCAACATCATTGCCCACAGTGTCATTTCCTTTGAACGCCGCATCCCTTTCTTTGCCACCGTCGCCCTGTGCTGGAATGTATACTTGAGTCTGGTGGCCGAGAGGCTCTAGAGGAGACCGCCAGGGAATTTCAGTCTTGGCCGCCCGGCCCATCCTTTGGGCAAGGATCGGGTTGGGCTCCAGATTCACAGTCAATGATCTGGATCTACGCTCCGGTGTGGAAGAACTGGGAAGTTTTCTGCCTCGAGATGCTCGAAGCGGTGGCAGCGTTCGTCTCCCAAGTATTGTCCCGCAGTGGGAGAAATAGATGGATGCAACTTAACGCACAAAATACTTCATATTGTATGAAACCAATGGGTGGGCAAGTGCTGTTCCGCGAGTAGATGCCCTAGGATATGATGAGACAGCTCCAAGCCTAACTTACCTAGGTACCTTAGATTTATAATTTGACGTGCCTCTCACGGGCGCCAAATTTGGCCTTACATGGGCCCGTTTTGACTCACATGACCCCCCCTCCTCACACACATACACCAAAAAAAAGGAAGAAAGAGTAAAAAAAAAACAAAAAACAAAAAACAAAAAACAAAAAACAAAAAACAAAAAGAAGGGCGCAATCCAGGGTTCGAACCTGGGGCCTCTCGCATTTTACTTAGAGTAGTCCCTAAGCGAGAATCATACCACTAGACCAATTGCGCATTTGTTGTACTTGTTGTGCAAAATATTGGATGTTTAAATTATAACCTGCAACATAGACGATACCTAGCTGGAGGCAAGTAGCCGATCGCAAGGGCCAGATTAGGGGGGGCCCCACGGCAGCAGACACGCCACTGGTGCGCCGCAAAGAGCACGGCGCAGAACCACTCTTAATACGTCTAAGCGCAATCATAGGTACAGCGTGTCTCGACGGGCGACAACTTCCACCCATGCCAAAAAGGAACCCTGCGTGAAAATCGATCGAGGGCGTCATGGCATCTTCCATGGAGGTCCCGACCACCACCTCTGGCTACCGAATAGACCTCACGGCCGGCAGCTTCGATGGCCTCCGCCTGGACACGTCGATGCCCGTGGCGGCGCCGTTGGGTGCGCATGACTGCCTCGTGGCCATGCACGCCGTGTCACTAAACTATCGGGACATTGCGATGCCGCTCAGGCTCTATCCCGCCTACACCAAGGAAGACGTGGTGCCGTGCTCCGATGGGGCCGGCGTGGTGCTCGCAGTCGGCGACTCAGTAACGTCCCTGAAGATCGGGGATAAAGTATGTCCCACGTTCTTCCAGGACTTTGAAGACGGATACCCGACAAGGGAAAGCCGCGCGTCTAGTCTGGGTGGGTTAAACGACGGGGTGCTCAGGAGACACGCCGTCTTTGGCGCGAAGGGGTTGATCAAGGTGCCTCGATTTCTCACCGCGAGGGAAGCAAGTACCCTGCCATGCGCGGCTTTGACGGCGTGGAATGCTCTCTTTGGAGTCGAGGGACGCGCGCTGAAGCCGGGGGACTGGGTTTTGACGCAGGGCACTGGCGGTGTCAGTGTCTTTGCGCTCTTGTTTGCCAAAGCCCTCGGTGCGCACGTCGTCGCTACGACAGGTGATCAAGCCAAGGAGAAAAGACTACGCGATCTCGGGGCAGACCTCGTACTAAACTACCGCGAAAACCCGAACTGGGGCATCACTGCCAGAGAACACATTGAGAAGCAGGGAGGAACGGGAGCCCAACACATCATCGAGGTCGGCGGGGAAACCTCGATGGAGCAATCCCTGAAAGCCGTGGCGCCCGAGGGTATCATCTCCATCATCGGGTTCCTCGGCGGAGACCTCGGCGGTGGGAAAAAGAGGACCGGGTTCTGGGACTGCTTCGCCAGTGCCTGTCTCGTCAGAGGCGTGCTCGTGGGAAGCAAGAGGCAGTTTCGAGATATGTTGGCTTTCATGGAGGAGAAAGGTGTGAGGCCCGTGATTGATGAAAAGGTCTGGAGGTTTGAGCGGGCGAGGGAGGCGTACGAGTATTTGAGAGCACAGAAGTTCTTTGGTAAGGTGGTCATTGATATTGAGGAATGAAATCGAACTACGTACGAGATACCGACTACAACGTAGATGAAGGGGTTGCGAAATAGAGAGCGGCTGGCGAGGCTGGGCGCACACGTGACGAGGCTGAACCCCCCGAGATGACGTCCAAGCCAGCCACACTGTCCAACAACTCCTTCAAAGCTTCCTGTCACCTCCTTCCACCACAGGCTGGTCACTCGTCTTTACCTCAGACAAGCCGCCGCGTCTTCCTTGACAGAGGATCATGTACCTCGTATCCGTCCTCATCTTCGGTGATATCTGCCTCGGCGCACAGCGTTGACGATGTCATATACCGAGTAGTTCTCAGATCTGACGAGTCACCCGCAGCAGCAGCATGCCAATCCCAAGAAAAACTGACACTTTGTCATTGACACTGCGGCCTCTGTAAATCTTTCAACCGTATCATTTATCGTCATGGACACTCGATGTGTTCAAGCTGCTCTGTTCCCTCTCTTCTTGAAGAATGGACAATCTTGTGCCGAGATGGTACAGACTCCAGTTGCAATGGCGCAATCGTTGACTTACCTCAATGGCGCAGCGAGCGAATCTTGTCGGCAGAGGAGATAGCCCAACTCAATTGCAGCATCTCCAATATATCTACTGACTGCTCTCCAATGATGTCGACGGGAGATGACGGCGGTGCTTTGGGGCACTGGCGCTCACGCGGACTCTTTCGATCTGTCCTCTGGTTTGTCAAACACCAAACACTGGGTCAGTTTTCCTTTGAAGAACCCGACACTGAGAGGCGTTGCCTTTGCTGTAAGTTCTGTTTTACTCAAGAAGCAAGCAGGGCAAGCAAGTAAGCAAGCAAATGATGCAGAGCGCAAGCTTCGCGGAAGTGCTGCGGGACAAAGGAAGCCCCCTTCAACAATGAAGGAAAACGGCAAAGCAGCAATCCTTAGGGAAGGTATAAAGCCTGTGGAACACCCCCAGAAGCTGCACGATGTTGCTCTACTGACCTGTTTTATGCGCTTATATCTAAACATTCAGAATTCGTGGTCTGCGAAAGCAGAGCAAATTCGAAAAGGTCTGGGGATGGAGATGGATGAACAACAATACCAACGGACGAGTGAGACTGGTGGAAGAATGGCCCGGGTGTCTGTCGCACCTCCTCAACCTCGATAGCAGGAATGAGCCCATTCAATTCACTGAATGCAACCCAGCTTGGCGAGATAGGGCTTTTTCAAATTTCGAAGTCGCCAAGTACCTCACCACCAGGGCGACGAGTGCAAATATTTTCTCCTGCTGCAGACGAGCTCATCTTCAAACACACTCCATCAACCATCTCCATTTCGACAGTTCCACTGAGACAGGCACCTTCAGACTCTCCATCAAGCACCATTGCCACAGTTCCTTTGCCACAGAAACATCTCCATTTCCACAGTCCCGATTCTCTTCTGCCAGAGGCACGACCTTCTCCTCTTGACCACATCGTTTCTGCTGTCCTCCCTGCCACACCATCCTCGTCTTCTCCTCAACCCCACCAGAAACAGCAGCCACAGCCACAGCAACAATGGCTCCTCTCGCAGGTCTTTGGGCCCTGATGGCCGCTTGCTTGATGCTTTTCCAGGAGAAGGGGACCGACATGATCCTCTTCTTCAACCAGAAATCCGCACCCATTTTCCGCAACTTCCTGGCCATCGAGCCACCACCAGCCGTCACCACGACGCTGGTTTCGACCATCCACTCGACCATCCACCACGTCTCAACAATAACCGCTCCGCCAATAACCTCCACCACCACATTTTACGCTCCTGGTTACTCCGCTGTCGTCGTCACCCTCTCAACTCCTCCTGCCACGACCCCGACCACCACACCCCTCCTTTACGAACCCTTCCCGGCATTCAGCTATGCCGCGTGGCAGACAGTCGACTCTTGCATTCCGGAGGCCGGATGGGACATACTTGCCAAGCTTTTCGAGGGACTGGTCGCCCTTGGGACAGCACTGGCAGAGGCATGTGCGCACTGGGAACACTTCTGGGACACCTTTGATCTTGCGATCTGGGTTGAGACATACTGCCCGCCCCTTTCACTTCCACCATGGTACCCTCATCTTTACTCCTTCCTCTTTTGTCTCCTCTTTCTTGCTGGCGCTTCGCGTGTAATCGGCAGAGAGGACCGAAGACGACTTGGGGAGCGTCTGTACCAGAGATGGCTGGTGGAGCAAGATGAACGACGCATCACCAGACAGGAAGTTGCAAAAGCGCTCGATCAATACCGAGCACGGCGCGATGCAGGAGCCGCGGAGAGAACCGCAGGCCCTCTCCTCGACAGGGAGATGGACCTGGTGATGTTCTTCGCGCTCCAACGACTTCGGTACAAACTAGACCAAGTCGAGAAGGACTACCGTCTGGGCCCTGTGCTGTCATCGAGGGGCATCATCCCGGCAGTGGAAGCGGAACGCGCTGTCATGGAGGCGATGTGGGACAGACGATGCTCGCCTGTCCTGAGATTCATCTACTCCCTGTGTCGCTCCGTCTGGACCTTCACGCGGGAGGCCATTGCCTTCTGGGGTGAAGAGTTGTTCTTGGAGGTGTGGGAGACGATCTTGCCCGTCTGCCTCCTCATGTCGGTCCTCGCCATTGCCTTTGTCCTAGGGACATTGGCCTTGGCCATAGGGTTAGTCGGCAGTATCTGCTGGCTATCCCTGATGGGGACGACAATCGGCGCCTCCGTTGCAAGACCGGTGGTCGAAGGAGCGAAGGGCTTCGTCAGCGAACTGCTGCGCCCGGAGCCTCCTTCGTCCACTGGCAACGAGGGGTTGTCGAGCCAGCAAACAGAAGCTGGTGAGGATGAGCAGAGGGCTAGGAAGAGGAGGAGAGTGGATTGATTCGTCAGGATGGACGGGTGGAGGATTGGGGGGTTGTTAGTTGGCCAGGTCACAGGCTACCTCGTACAGGAGTGTCAGAATGGACAGGTGGAGGACTTCAGAGGGTGTATTGTCAGTTGGCCAGAGCAAGAGAGACCGAATCGTCAGGACGGACGGGTGGAGGATCGGCATGCTCATGAGGCAGAGAGTGACGGTAGAAGACCGAATGGGAGATAGTGAACCACATTGTTGTTCTCGTGGTGCTCCTTGATGACTGCAGTGATAGAGTGGCTTCTCGGTGTTTGCTGCAAGATCCAAGGCCGCGTAGCGAGTAGAGGGCGCAACCAATGGCCAGTCCTCAGTGACATGGTTGTGACATGTTTGCCCAAGACCCACGCAGGTTCTATTGGGGGTTTGGCCAGTCCATCCAGCAGCTGACAAGGGCTTTTATTGGCATCGGAAGCAGCAGCAGCAGCAGCAGCAGGGCGTAGTGGACGTAGTGGACGTAGTGGAAGTGGATGAAGGGGGTGAATGTTTTCCTTCTTCTTCTTCTGCCTGCGCCGCCCAACTAAATTACGTCATTTGATCTCGCACTCAAAAGACTTGCGCAGGGCGTTGCACGTCGCTGATACCCTTCCACATTTCCTATACTATTGCCATGCTATGTTCCAGGGCGCACGATCCAGTCGATCCTACCTAGCTAGCGACACATCTCAGAGCTTTTCCACGCACTTTACATAGGTACACTACAACCCTCGCTGCGTTTTTACCAGGCTCGGAAAGACCCAGCGAGCGGCGCTTCGAGAGGCTTCGTCGGTCTTAATGCAAGTTTTGCGGATCATATAAGCGAAGGCCGAGCAGAGCCGCGAGCTACATTACGTCCTCGAGAGCTACAGGGACAGCTACCTCAACACCTACCTATATACTACCTGTTTGAACCTCTTCCTCGTCTTCCAATTCAGACGTTCGAGTAACCACGACTCCGGTACGACACACGAGAGAACCCCCAACAATATGGCAGACTCTCAAGAACAAGACCGAGAACCTCCTCAAAGCACATCCTCCAAGATCCTCCGCCCCGTCAAGGCCTTCATCAAAGAACTCGGCCTCGTCACCCTCTACCACTCTCCCACCGACACAAAAATCCTGATCCTCCAACGCTTCGTCCGCCTCTTCGCCTACGGCGGCTCAACGCTGATCCTCGCCTCGTACCTCTCCGACCTGGGCAACGAGGATGCCCGGATCGGCTTGTTCATGACCCTGACGCTGGTCGGAGATGTCTTTATCAGTTTTCTGTTGACCCTGATCGCCGACCAATTGGGCCGAAGATGGATTCTCGTATTGGGAGCCGCGTTGATGTCGGCTAGCGGCGTGATTTTTGCTCTCAGTGGGAATTATTGGGTTCTACTCGCCGGGGCTATTCTGGGCGTGATCAGCCCTGCTGGCAATGAAATCGGCCCCTTCCGCGCCATCGAGGAGTCCACCATCGCCCATCTCACCGCCAGTGCCGACCGCAGCGACATCTACGCCTGGTACTCCCTCATCGGGACCGCGGGCACAGCACTGGGATTCATCGGGTGCGGCTGGATCATCACCTTGCTCCAGGAGAAAAAGCACTACGACTCCGTCGAGGCCTATCGCATCATTTTCTTCATCTACGCGGTCGTTGGGGCTGTCAAGCTATGTCTGGCTCTTATGCTGAGTAAAGAGTGCGAAGTTGACGCTCAGCCAAAATCTGCCAACGCGACCGAAACGGCGCCCTTATTGGGCAATGACCGTGGAGCGCCGCAGAACAAGGACGACGATCTTAAAAAGAAACGGCGATGGAGACTTCTCCCTGATATCAGTAAAGAGAGCAAAGTCGTCCTGGTGCAATTGTGTGTCTTGTTTGCCTTTGACAACTTTGCTTCCGGATTGGCGCCATTGTAAGCATTTTTGATACAAAGATTCTCCCTGGATGTTGGCTAATAAGTTACAACTGCAGATCCTGGGTGACGTACTTTTTCAAGCGAAAGTTCAATCTGCCCGAGGGCAAGCTCGGGTCGATATTCTCTGTTACCGGCATCATCTCTGCCCTTTCTATGCTCGTGGCATCCTCCATCTCAAAGAGGATAGGGAACGTCAAGGTAAGAAATCTCAGAGAGCCTCTCAAGAACGCTACAGCGCTGACGAATATATATCCAGACCATGGTCTTCACCCACCTCCCCTCGGCGATCTGCCTCGCTTTGATCCCTATTCCATCCACCCTACCTGGCGCCCTCGTCTTCCTGATCGGCCGTGCCTGCACACAAGTCATGGACGTGGCCCCGCGCTCTGCCTTTCTTGCCGCCATTGTCTTACCACACGAACGCACGGCCGTCATGGGCACTATCAACGTGGTCAAGACGTGCGCGCAGAGCATGGGACCCCTTATCACCGGCGTTTTGGGAACGAAGAATCACTTCTGGGTCGCTTTTGTCGCGGCGGGGTCACTCAAGGCGACGTATGATTTGGGGCTATTGGCACTGTTTGCGGAGCGGAAGAGTCGGGAGGAGAGGATCGCGGAGAGGGGAGATGAGGAGAGCGAGGGCACGTCGAACGCGGGCTGAAAGGAATGTTGACACCGCACAGCCATCGTGGTGCTATATCGTGTTCTGGGAAATGTGACCTTGGAAAAGGTCCAGTGTCACGGAAACTATGTATTTCTAACAGAAGCAGCTGAATTCGAAGAATGTGAATCATAAGTATCTAGCTCAGGCCCATTAGGTTATCAGGGGGTTCATATTCATGATTCTCGAATCCTAGGCTGTTCCAAGGAACACAATCCCAAGATTGCTTGTTTTGTTCTATGTAGAGGGTCATCAGCGACTTTGCATTTTTTCTTTTGTGAATCTTTTTTGACGCCCGGAGGGAGTGCAGGTCATCCATCATTGAAGATGAAAGGATATAGGATATAGGATACGATACCGAACCGGACCGGACCGAATTCGACGCCGACGCCATGCCATGTTCAGTTCAATACGTACAGTTGTGCGTGGGAACAACAAAGAGGCCAGAGGTAGACGGGGACAATGAGTAGGACCAGAAGGAGGACGGGAAGACACCCTCTACCCGTTCCAACTCCCGCCACCCACCCAAAATCTCAAGCTCAAGCGCTTCCGTTCTGCTGTGTCGTCTCTGACGCCTTGATTTCCCCTCGAATGCCTCCCTTGCCACCTATTTCCCGCGCCGCGATTGAGACCGCCATCTCCGCGTCGACGTTGACCATCACCTCGATCTTGGACCCCTTCTTCAGGCCCCGGAAGACAAATTCCCCCAACGGCCGTTTGGGCCGCCAGACTTTCTCGCGGATTTCTTCAGGCTCGTCGTCATCATCTTCGTCATCATCGTCTTCGTCGTCGTCGTCGTCATCTTCGACTGTCGCTTTCGTTCCGTTGGTGGCGGGTTTCGTCTTAGGTTCTGGGTGGGTGACTACGATCTCGCGTTCGCCTTCGCTGATTCGGAAGACAACATCGCCACTGAGACCCTCGATGACTCTGGTTCTTCGAGCCGGGACGGCCGTGTCGGGTGGGATGATCACGTTGAGCACGTCGTCAGGCTGGCCTGTTATTTGATAGCCGATGGCGGCGGACAGGTGAGGCGTGACGGTGACCATCTCATGCGTTGATTGATCGATATCTTCTTTCTCGAACTCTTGGATCAGGGATGCTTGCAGAGCGGCTCCTCTTGCCGACAACTCCGAAGGGTTCAGTGCTGTGGGTGTCGTGGCTGGGGCGAGGACCTGTGTCGACTCCGGGAATAGTGCTTCGATGTTCTTCGCAATCTTGGGTGTATGAGACGTGCCGCCGGACATGATGACCTCGTCGATATCCATCACATCCAGTCCAGCTTTCTTGATCACTTCCTCGACAAGTCGGGTAAACCGTCCAAAGGTCTTTAAGGCAAGAATTTCGTACCGGGTCCTGTTGACCGTCGACCTGAAATCGATGCCGTCTGCCAGGCTTTCGACGCTGAAAGTGGCGCTGTTGCTCTGGCTGAGACCCTTCTTGACTGCTTCAGCTTCGAGCTTCAGCTTGGCCAGGCTCCGCTCGTTCTTGCGCGGGTCGGACTTGTGCTTTTTCTCAAACTCCTTGGCAAAATGGTCAACCAAAACCTGGTCCAGTTGGGTGCCGCCCAATTCGTAGTCGTGTGCAGTGGCCAAGATGCTGTACATGCCTCCTCTTGACGCCACCACGGCGACATCGGATCGGTTTCCTCCAAAGTCTGCGACAAGCACGATCTTATCGGCGCTGCTGGCATCTGAGGACCGCGAATCGTAGGCAAGAAGGGCTGCGATCGGCTCAGGCATGAACTGCAGGATTTCCACCTGGATGTTGGCAGCGGCTTTCGTCAAAGCGGCCTTTTGTTCCTCGTTCGTGTCTGTGGGCACAGCGACCACAGCAGACGTTACAGTCCTGCCAGTGAAGTCGGATGCCGAATTCCTCAAACGCCTCAAATGACGTGCAGCAATCTCCAACACGGGGATTTTGTTTTCGGTTTCGCCGTCTGCGGTGTCTCGAATAGCAAAGGCGATCTCGCCCTTTTCCTCGATGGGGTGTGCGGAGGCATGGCACGGGGTGGGATCAATGGACTTGTACTCTTTGCCAACGAAATCCCTGAAGAATGCGACGGTGTTCTTGCTGTTCCGCACCAGCTGCGCCTTTGCCTGCGTACCGTGAAATTCCTCCCCTTCAATGTAAGATAGGATGGACGGGATTTGTCGGTCTCCTTCTTCGTTTGCAATGACCTCAACTTTGCCTTCGCCTGAAATATGCGCGATTGAGCTGTACGAATTTCCAAACGAGATACCAATGGCATAAGGTTCGGGCGACCCTTGGGGTGCAACCCCGTTCGTTTCGTCACTCATGGCTCGATTCCAGCAGGGCGCAACTCGAAGAGAGGGGTTCGCGTGTTGGTGAGACACTGTATGTACACGAGTATCCTGAAAGACTCCTGGTCCTGGGAACCAACCACAGTTTTGCGAATCTGAATTGACAAAAACCCTTGGGAACTTTTTTTTTGAGCCTTGCGGCGGGTATTCGCGGCTCGAGGAAGGTTAAGCGAGTTTGGCCTCAGCCTCGTCGTCATCTGAGCCTCTTTTTTCCAGCCTCGTCTTTGGGCTGCTCATCCGCGAACCATTTGAAGAGACATTTTGATATTGAGGGCTCCAGACGGGTATTGCATACCATGTCTGTGACATCCACTATACCAGTATTTCTGCCCGGGGATCTGCTTCCCATCAGCCAGATACCAACGTCACAGAAGCGCAAAATCGGCCACGGACTCCAACAAGATACAGAGACCGAATTCGTCGCAACCATTGGAGGACTCTTGGAAATTGACTATCGCAAGAAGACTGCACAAATATCCACGCCAGATGCGCGCTACATACCAACAGCGGGAGATCTCGTGATCGCGCAAGTACGAATCTCAACCGCAGACTTTTTCCATGTCTACATCAACCCTTACTCGCCCCAGGCATTCTTACCCCAGTTGGCCTTTGAAGGTGCAACCAAGAAGACGAGACCTCAACTGAAGACCAACGATCTCGTCTACGCCAAAGTCGTCTCTGCCCAGAAGAACATGGAGATCGAGTTAAGTTGTGTGAATCCTTCCACGGGCAAGGCAGAACCGGATGGGCTGGGCCCCCTTAACGGTGGCATGGTATTCGACGTCAGCCCCGGTCTTGCCGAGAGGCTTCTCAAGAAGCAAGGCGTTGTAGCGCTGGAGGAATTGGGGTCGAAACTCCAGGGCGGGTTTGAGATTGCGGTCGGCAAGAATGGGAAAGTGTGGGTCGATTGCCCTGAGGCTGGTGTCAAGGGAATTTGTGCGGTAGGGCGGTGCCTGAGAGAGATGGACGAGAACGAGTTGAACGAGAAGGAACAGAAGAAGCTAGCGAACAGGATCATCGCCGAGCTGGAGCGTGGCTGATTCGGCAATGTCGTCGGATAAGAGACAAAAAAAACTCAGATCAAAGGCTGCTCCCTAGGAGAAACTTAACGGTAGCAGTTCACCCCAGACGATATCAACAACCCGCTCGCAGTCGCGGCGCAGGGACGTGCCTCTCAAGCCAGCAAGTGGCAAACTACGCCGCCGTTCATAGAACACCTACCAGCTGGTCAAGAGTGGGGACCTATCGTCAATCACGTCTGGCAAGCCAGGACATACGATAAGCAGCGAATCTACATTCATGCAGATATGCAGGTGCCTTGGATAGGCGCAGAGGAAGCGAATTGAGGGCAGCGGAAAAACACAGTTAGCGAGAAAACAGTCAATATGCTTTTCGAAGATTTTATTGTTTCGCCTTCTGTACTACGAGTACATGACTATCCACGTTTCCACCACCGTAACTGTGGGATCAGCCTGATGCAAGGTCAAAGGCCTTCCTCAACATCGGAACCCTGCCCTCCTCACGATACAACAATGAAGTGTATGTTCATGCAGAATCCGGATGCCTCATGCCCGGTCATCCCATGCAAAAAAGACTTTTTCTCGCGAAAGGGTATTCCCCATTCGTAGCTTGACAAAAAAGATTCGACGCCGGTTTCGTTGCGAAAAAAGGAGGAAATGATCTGTCCGCCATGCTCTCATAAAGTCTTCTTTTTTTGCAAGATATCCGGAACTCCCTGTCGTGGTGGCATAGCTTCTGTGTGGAATCCATCTTCTATCGAGCAAAAATTCTCAATGCCATCCCATTTTCATTCCGTTTCTGTTTGTTGCTGTTTACTTTCTTCGGAAAGAGCAGCCCTCTGTGAGTCGGGCTTTGCCACCGGTGGGTTGGCAAAGCACAGTCGAGCAGCCTGCGCAGATAACGACAGTCTGGGCGTGCGAGAAAACGGTGGTGATGGTGAAGCAGCCGGGGCACTTGACGTCCATGAAGAATGATCGGGGTGCTGGGACGAGAGTCTAGAGTGATTGTTAGTTTCTGTGATGATTTTCGACCCAGTGACGGTGCGGGCATGTAAATCGTACCTTGAGCTTGTGCTTGCGAGCCTCAGCCTGAGGCGTTGGGTTTAGGAGATCAACTGCGAGAACCTGCAATCAAAGATGTCAGCGACTGATCGGGATGAAGATGATTGCGTTGGTGGTGGTCGATGGTGCAGTGCTCGTGTGCTTTGTAAAGCCGGGGGGAGAAATTTTGAGCACCATCGATTTGGCCCATCATTTTGCGCGGGTGTGCATACCATCTTGCTTGATTTTTGGAGGTATTCTGTGAAATCTGGTTGCTACTGAGCTGCCGTCTGAAGTTTTGAGGGTCGCGGCGAAGATGCAATGGATCAATTGATGTATTGCGATGGACGATAGACCAGTGTGGCGGTAGAAATCAACTTCGAGGAGTCGTCGTGGTTGTGCGGCCATTTGCCAAGACCGCTAAGAGCAGCGTCTCCACAGCGGCATCCTCTTCACTTGCCCCAGCCAATCACAGGCTTGTATTCACTTTCTCTGCCTTGTCCTTTGACTCACTGGCGCTGGCAGAGTCATTTAAACAATGTACAAAGGGTTCTAGCACATTGTATCTACTTCTAGACCGATCTATCGCTTCTATCAGGGATCAAGAGCAGGTCTCGACAGGGAAAAAAAAGACGCACCAAATGCCCTCAGAACGGCACATCCATATCTTCCACCTTCCCCTCGGTCCCTGTCGCCTCTCCCTGTGATGACAGATTCTGCTTGATGAACCCTGCAATCATGTCTAGATACTGCTTCCCGCCCGGCACAAAATGCCCTCCAGGATGTGTCACGACTTGCGTCTTTTCTGCACCACCAGTCGCATTGACCAATGCTTGGGTTCTCGACTCTTCCACCACACTATCAAGACTCCCAATGACGTGACAGACTGGGGTCTGAATATGGGGATCCTCGTAGAATCCACGATACCTTTCGCCAGGAGCCCGAAAGCCACAGCATGCGACACAAAATTTGAGTGGCGGGTGACTGAGTCTCTCGAAGGAAGCGGGATACGGAATCGCTAGTGGAGATCTTGCTCGTGCCTTTTCGAACGCTTGTTTTCTTGACTCTCCCTCCAGTAACGACGCAACCATGGCGGCGAGACATGCTCCCTGCGAGAATCCAATCACGCCATCGAAGGGCCCTTCTGACTCTAGAACTTTGGCGACTGTCTCCAGCCCTTTCTCCAGGCCAACATACTCAGGAGGATCGGAGGTGTCTGACCGCCTCCACCAGCCATAAGCTTCAATACTGTCCGGATCTTCAGTTGAACTTAGGTCAAAGCCCGGAACGTCGCTTGGCTTGAGCTGCAGAGGACCCGTCGGATAGCTTAACGATATGCCCGGGAACACCTTCTGCAGATGCTTTTCCATTGCTCTTGTTTTTGCGTGGAACAAATCCCCATTTTGAGTATAACCGTGAAGCATCAATACCCTGATGCCATTGCCGGGCTCTTTTACGGACGGCATAATGTACAGGTGCCTTGTTGTCTGTGGCCGCAAGGGTCTTGAGAAGCTAGCTCCAGACAACGCAGTGAAAATTGAGGAGGCTTTCTGGTTAAGTCGAAGGCTATTCATAAGATGATCGAGTGGCCAATGCAGCAAGCACGAATGAAGAGGCTCGAGGGCAAATGTCGAAGCGTTGGAGATGGTCGGGTCATCAAATGCCGGCCACTCATCACACGCATCTCCAGCCAAGCCCATGCCAAGCCTCCGCAAGTCCTCCGACACCGTCTTCCGCCTAAGCATCGACTAAGTTTTCATCTCTACCAGTATTTCAAATGTTTACTGCCTTCTGAATTCGGACGGACCAGATGGACGACGCGGATAAAGTATTCCCTTCCAGCTGGAGCACCGTTGATGGCCCCAGTTATCCTCCACGGGGAGTTGCCTTGACCTCCGCCTGGAGAAGCCGACTTAAGACAACAACTCTACTCCCCCTAGGTGAAGATGGGGGACGAGAGACCATGTCCCCGATAGAGGACTTTCCTAAGGGCCGTCCATGGGGGTGTGAGGACTATCGTCCAGTCTGTTTATCCCTGAGCCGGAATCAACAGATGGAGAAAAAAAAAAAATTAAGAACGGGCTTCCCATGGTGCTGGGACTGTCCTTGCATCGTGAATGGCTCACCATCAACACAGTTCACAATATATTGTTGGTCCGAGTGTTTACCTGCAGTCACGCACGAAAAAGTTTTTGGAGGTAGGTTTCTAGCCCAGAGACTGTGCATTCCCAGGTATATATAATTTCCTCTCCCCCAGCCTCCATGCTGTCTTTCGAACTGTCTCTCCTTCCACTTGATCTACCGTCCTCTCTATCCCATGGAAATATCCTCTCTGCAGCTCTTTCTATACAATCTCCCTCAAATCGCTCCAAAAATTCAACCTTCTGCCGTCTCAGAACACCCTCCTTGATTCTTCTCAGCATCTCGTGCATACATCCTATCCAAAATGGTCGACTTCCACCCCATTTTCGAGCGCATCAAGCGTCTCGATATTCAATACAATAGACCACAGAAAGAGATCCGTGGACGAGACACCATCCTCCCGATTTCCCTCACCTCCATCTTCATCTTCTTCATGTGGGGTCTCGCCTATGGCCTGCTCGACATCATGAACTACCACGTCAAGGTAGCCATGGGTATCGGCCGCCAGAAGGCCGCCATCTTGGCTGCAGGGTACTATGGTGCCTACATCCCGGGGGCGCTCTTGATCGGTGGTCCGCTGGTGAAGAAAGGCGGCTATCGAATCGCCATGACGGTGGGCCTGTTTGTCCTCGCGCTGGGCAACGAATTCATGTCCATCGGCGCGAGTAACTGCAGTCTTGCCGGCATGGTGGCTGCCCATTTTGTCATCGGCTTGGGCGTTTCGACCTTGGAACGATCAGCAAATCCGTACGCTGTCAACTGTGGTCCGCGTCGGCAAGCTGCTCTACGAATCTTGATGGCTCAAGCTTGGGCCGGTATCGGCACCGTCGTCGCTCCGTTTCTGGCCAACGCCTTCGTCTTCAACCCCGACACCTCTACAGCACGCCCCGCACCCGACCCTCTTCGCCCCGGCAGATGCGAGATGCCCACAGCCAAGACCGCCTCCTGCGCCAACCTAGGCAGCGTAATCACCTTCTACCGTGCTCTGGGCGCCTGCGTCTTTGCCCTAACGATCTTCGTGGCGATCCTCTTCTTCCGCACCAACTGGTTCCCCGAGGTCGAGGTCCCCGTCTCCACCCCCGTCGACTGTGGCTGGAAGAAGTGGAAGCACCCGCTCGTCTCGAGGCGGTTTGCTCGTATCTGGTGGGGCGTGGCGGCAAACTTTGTCAACCTTGGCTGCCAGGTGACATTTGCACAGTTCTTCATCGAGCATATGAAGGTCAACGCCTGTGCCAGCGATAGATGGGCGGCGTACTACATGTCGCTTGCACAGACAGCATTTGTCATCGGCCGCTTCGCTGCTGCAGGGCTCGTCACGTCGCCGAGAATCTTCAAGCCCCGGTATGTGCTGCTGTGCTTCATGGCCGGCGCCGTCGCGACGACTGCGGCGGGGACAGAAATCACAGCGACTGCGGCCATCGCCGTGGCCATCATGGTCATGTTCTTCGAGGCGCCTTCGTTCCCCATGATCTTTGAGAGCGCGACGGCCAGCTTCGAGGAGTGGACGCCCACGTGCGAGACGTTGATGATTGTCAGCATCTCGGGCGGCGCATTGCAGCCCGCCCTGATGGGCCAGCTTGTCGAGTCGGTGCGCATCTCGCACGCCTGGTGGTTAACCGCCTCGTGCTTCTTGCTCGTCTTCACCTACCCGGTCGCATGCAACTTGATCCCCTCGTTCAAGAGGGCCCTGGACAAGGCCGAGATCGGTCCCGACGCGGCGGCAGCCGACCAAGTCGCCGGCGCCGCGGACGAGGAGATCGGGATCCAGCACGAGTTGACGCGCAAGGAAAGCTTCGGCGTCAGGGTCGTCGAGAAAGCCGGCTCCAAGTGGAGCAAGTCTTCCGAGGCCGGGCCTTCTACTCCGCGGTCTGGCGAGGGGTCTGCGCAAGGCTCATAGGATACTATGGTGGGTTTTATATGTGTTTTTTTTTTGGTTTTCCGGGCGTTGGTGGTTTCGATCAGGGTCTGCTGAAGTTGCAAACGAGGGACAAAGGACACGTATTAGCACGGTGAGGGCGTTACTGGCTGGGACAAGGGAGTAACAGCCTGTGTATACTTGGGATGCGTTTTTGTTTTCCTACTGGGGGATCTTGAGACTTGAGTCCGCGCAAAAGTCTCTCGGCGCGAGATACATATCACAACGCGCCAACATCAGCAGTCATCAAGCTGATGGTAATACAATAACAGCACTTGAAAAATGGCACCATGGTCCCACTGCTCGCCGTCCTGCAAGAGGAGATCGAGACATGCCTAATCGACCCGACCGTCTCCTTCCTATGCCATGAGTTATTTGACGCAGACTCTTTGATTGAATGCTTCTTCGCTACCTAGCTACCTTCCTTCTCCCTGCGCCCCTGAGCTCTGTCTCGATATGAGTGATTTTATCTCCTTGCCTTCCCTCGCAGCCCCGTTCGTTACCAGACCCCAGCGTCCAACTCTCTTCAAAACTCAATTTTCATCATGATTTTAGGACGCCGTATCTCACCAGTGCTCTCCCTCTGTCTCTCCTTTCAATCTCACTTTTACCCTCCGAAATGTCCTTCTTCTGGAGGTCCCCCCAGCTACGAAACCTACTGATCTCAGTTGCACCCGTAGCCGTCCTCATTGCCCATACACACTTCCAAAGGGTTGAGATCAGAAACTGTCTCTCGGAAGTGAAGTCCGACATATCTCGACTCGAGTCCAAGCTATCTCAACTCGGGTCCAGAGTTACTCAGCAGGAGGAGCAGTTCGGTGTCTTGGAGCAGCACTTCAGCCTCCTCGTTCACGAAACTACATGTACGCAGCACCTATGTGGGACATCGTTCCCAAAGCCTCCGGTCAGTTTGAATCCCTCTTGTCGATAAATTCGTTCTAGAAAACACCCCTCATCCCAGACTCGTATTATCAACCATACCTCTGCTCCTGCGATATCCACACGTTGACAGATTGCAGAACCGAACCCCTGAATTTCCGAACGCCCTCGATGATCAGTGTGCTCTGGCGACGATGCAGGAGTCCTTGTGTTGGGATGGTACGAAATTGGTAGTTAAGAAATGATGGGTGGGACAAGGGGAAAATATTAAGGAAGTAACATGTCAAGTCAGCACTCAACTCAATATATACAAAATGGATGAGGAGTTCTATTGCTGGAGGGGAGCTGTTACCGATAGCAATGGGTTGTCCTAGTATTTGTCTGCTCGGTATCACCTCTTCTTCCTCGTCCTCATCGTTGTGGTCATTGTCGGCCTCTCCTCCTCCTTCTTCGGAGTCGACCTGAGTTTCCTCCCTCCCGACTTTCTGGGTTCAACCCCGTCAACTTGGTCTTCATTCGCAGCCTTGCTCTTTCTACCGTTGGGCTTCTTCGGCATAACCTCTTCTTCCTCTTCCTGGTCGTCGTCGTCATCCTCTTCCTCTTTTATAGCAGATTTGCGTTTCTTCGCCTTCGACTTCTTAGGCTCAACCTCGTCATCTTGGTCTTCTTTCGCACTCTTGCGTTTTCTATCTTTGGGCTTCTTCGCCGCATCCTCCTCATCCGGCATTTCAGCTTCACTCATTTCTTTCGCGACAGGCCCAGTCTTTTTTTGGACTGAGGGCACCACAGCGCTGGTCCGTCCACCCACGGTGAGAAATGCAATCTTCTCTCCATTCGGCAATGTATTCGAGGAGTCCTTCTTGCCCTTGCCCCATCGATGCTTGAACAGCCAGTCTTCGGGGAACTTCTCAGAGTCCGCTAGCAGTTCCACCGCGGTACCGCAGATGTAATGGATCGACCTGTGGAGTTGTGCGATTTGTGAGTCGTTCAGAGTATTGGCGTACTGTTCCGGGTGCATTTTGGCGTTGTACATGATCTCGTCGCCGACCCAGTTGCCGATCCCGCTGATGTTGGCTTGATCCAGCAGCATGGCCTTGATGGGGACCTTTTTGCTTTTGCATTTCTCCCGGAGCCACTCGACAGTCACTACATCCTTGTCGATAACGGGATCCGGTCCGTTCTCGACCAGCGGTGAGTGCTGTCGGATCTCATCGCCAGGACAGTCGACCAGTCTGACCCGGGCGAATCTCCTCATGTCCACGAACGCCGCCTCGATCGCCTCCTCCCCATCTTTTTCCTCAGTCTCGAGCATGAACTTCATGAATTTCGGCGGCCAGGTCTCATCCTTCTTCCCCTCCTGCGGCTGGTAGTAGTACGTGTGCTCCGACTTGAACTTCAACCACCCGGACATGCCGAAATGCATTACGGGATGAGGCGCGCTGGACATGATCATCCAAAAGTATTTGCCCTGTTGACCCGCGTCGACGATTTTCTTGCCGGCCATGTGTTTCTCGAATTCGGCCGCCGACGTGCCCACTTTGCCGTAGACGCTGGCATCGTCCGTGGCGGTGACTTTGGCGATGGTTTTGCCGACCAGCAGTTTGCGGATGTAGTGCACTATGCGCGCGACCTCGGCGATCTCAGGCATATTTTGAGCAAAAAACAGGAGCCTTTGTGACGGGCTATCTGGTGGAAAAAGCTCGTCTTAAGAGGCACCAAAAAACGGAGCCAAATCAACAACGTGAATGTTGGGAGGATGCCTTTGGGGTTCTGTTGCTTTTGAATTGACCAATCCACCCAACTTTTGATCGAATCGGTCTCAGAACAGGTAAAGAAAATAAGGGGGCCGCGATCTTAAGGTCGAGAGACACAATTGAATTGAAGCTTAGGCGGCGCCGTCGCAGGCAGCCATAGGCACACCGGGCTGATTATGTGTTAAGCTGGAGGTCACCACGCCCCCAACGCGTATCGATTACGAGACGCGTTCAGTGGCGTCATTGCTAGCGTCATTTCCGAACATCAAGCTGTCGGCGTCGCACCATTGAAGGCCCCAGCGGCCATGGCGTCCTGCCTAAATTTCGCCCCCGTAGGCGCGAGCTGGGTGAGCCACAACCCTCGCCTCGCCGGTATATGGGGACGAAATTTAGCCTGGCCACCATAATCACTGGGATGGAGCTTTCCTCGCCTATACAATAGGTAGTCACTGGAGCAGCTCCGGCTGGAAATATTGCGGACAAGCCGATTACATACCTAGGTATGCCCGTGGAGTTAGCAGGCAGTTAGAACAACTGGGTTCGCTCTTCTCTGCGAGGTATGAGGTCGAGATATCTAGTACAGACTTCTGGCTTACGGATGTTCATATCGAGAATCGGTCCAGTCCACGTCGCACTGCCGCATATACTATCCGTCACTCTCGTAACCTCTTGATCACGACTTAATATACGCATTACCGATTGGCGTTGAACTGCTTCCGCGCCATACTCGCATACCTCCTGGCCGTTCGCACTCGGAAACCCTTGCCCCAAACCATCATAGGGATGGTCGTCAGGAAAATGACCGCGGACACGACAGCACAGGTGATGAATACCACGGAAAGACCAGTGCCTTCGATCCAATTGGACAGTGACATGGCGACTGCTGTGGCAAGGGCGTTTCGTACAAATGTTACGGCGACAAGAGAGTCTCCGACAATCTGTTCGAGTGTAGCAGGAGATGTCAACGACAGCAACAAACGCTTCAAAAATATGCCAAGCAAAAGAAGGCTAATCAACGAGGAAATGGGGTTCGATTACTTACATCTCTGTAGGAATCGATAAGGTAGGTGAGCGCAACGTCGCTAAAGACATTAAGACCTGTGCCGAAAATGACCAGCGCAATGGCCAGAGAAATCCAGTGTAGACCCTGAAACGAGGTTTGTATGTCAGTCAGTATTGGCGAATCCTGGAATGATGTGAAACGTGTTCGGTTTTCGATATATTGGCAAGCAGTCGGGGCGGGAAGCGAAAAAAATCAACTCACATGGGCGAGGCAGAGACCGAACATGAGCAACGACAACGGAGTGACCACAGTCCAGGGCAAGGCGAGCCAGAACCGCATCTCAGGCTCATAGATTCCCTTGTTCTTTTGCGATAGGCGAAGGATGTGGAAATCAGACAGTGGCCCTCCGTAGGCACTACCCAGGAAACTGCCGATGAAAGGTGCCAGATTCATAAGCCCGACCGCGGAGGCGGAGAAGTTGTAAGGCGGATACGTCAAATCTATCGTGTCTTGGGTCAGTCGGTCCGGAATGAAGGACATGTTGGGAAGCAAAACAACTTTTGCACGGGCGAATGTGTGGGAGAAATGGGAGTTACTTACAGATTGAAAACACCGACAGAAGGACGGTAAACCAGGCGAGCAACGAGCCGTATATCAACGCCGTGTACGCGACAGCCGGGGTGGTGAATAGGATCACAAATGGCTGCCACGCATGTCGAATGAAGTCGTTGAACCCTCCAGGCGTGACGGTGAGGAGACCGAGTCGTTGGCAGTACGGCTTGGGCTGAATATCCATTCTGACGGTTCTGGTCGTGACCACGGTGAGGGCTTCGGTGGCGTAGTCTCTGACGCCTGATTCAAGGTCTTTGTCGCCTTCACACGCTTCTTTCGCATGTGCTGGAGGTGGAGTCAACTCGTCGGCAGCACCAGCACCAGTGGAAACGCCAGACTGGGGGTGTAGATCGATCAGAGGTATATACTTCGTCTCTTCGTACGAGAATACGAAAGCAACAAACCCAACTCCTAACAAGATAGCAGTCCACCACCAGATCCACCTCCATCCCTGTGAATCAGCAATGTACCCGGCAGCCACAGGTCCGAGGAAGGCCCCCGTGGTGACGGTCCCAAGATAGATGCCATTTGCCGTGGCGCGTTGATGCACGTAGAATAGATCCGAGATTGTCATTTGACAGATTGTTTCGGCGATACTTCCCCCTAGGCCAGACACGGCGTTTGCCCCGTATACGTCGCCCGCATTTCGCAGCTTGGCTTGCCAGATGGCCGTGGCAATTGACAAGGCGAAGCTGACCAAGTAGACGGGTCGTCGTCCAAACTTGAGAGCAAAGGGGATGAACAAAACGCAACCAACCGCCAGGCCGGCAGTGTTGGCGCCAAATCCATCATTAAGGACCTCGATGTCGAACCTGAATTCGACCATCAACGGGCCGTAGATGACGGTGGCAATATCGACCAGAACGAAAACCATCAGCGCGTAATAGCATGTGAGGCCGAAGTTGATGGATTTGCGCAACTTCGACCAGTTAAGGGGGTCGTTTGGATCCGCACTAGGTGTGGGATGAAGAATGATCTTGCCATCTTTGGCACCGCGGACTGTATGGAATTGGTCGATTAGCAACGGCAAATATTCTGTGAGATGGTCGGGTTCTCACGTGTCTCGATCTGGACTGTGCCGGGTGGCCAGGAGTGGATATCCAAATTCTCATTGATGGAAGAGGTTGCCATGGTCGTCATCCAGGGCCGATTGCTGGATAAGTGCGACAAAGTCCAATGGTCACATACTAGGGGCAGGACAGTGAAGTTGGACGGATGTGGCCATCCCGGTTCTATATCTCCATATATATGTATGTGTGTCTGTGTGTGTATGTCTCCGCGGTTCAACCAGTCCACCCACAAAGAGGTCTAGGAGATCCCGAAGTGTTTTTGATAGATCTGGAGCCAGAGTGATCATCCTGAATAATGGTTACTGCCAGGCCAATTAGCATCGATACTTGCTACTGTTTCCACTCGGTCGCTGAAAATCTCCCGGCAACGACATCCCATGAACAGAGCCACCTCACTCAAACTTCCACATTCACGCTAGTACAGTACCAACCTTTCTCCCCCGGTCTGCCGCACCCAAGGCGGGGAACCTGCGACTAGATAAGCGTGAATATAAGCTTTGGGTGAGGTGCGTTAAGATAAGAAATATCAGCCTGGCTCTCCTTGCAGTCCGGTCCTGCTCAGTCTCATGCCGATGAAGTCTTCAACGAAAAGCATCGTGTAGCGAGTTTACAAAGCCAATGAAGAGTAAGTCGTGTAAACTTCCGTGAACAGCCGGCACCAACCAATGTGATGTTGATATCGATGATATACGTGTATTGACATTACTCGATTTATTGATCTTGCACGTTTCTCACGCTGCACAAACTCGACAAAACACGTTCTTCTATCTTGTTGCAACATGTCGCGGCGTACCGAGAGTGGGCGAGGCCGCATTCGAGATATTATCCCCCAGCTCTACCTTGGAAGATGGATACCAGGGGCTCTCAACTCCATTACCGACGTTCCGGGAGTCTTGGTCCATACACCATCCATCGAGCCTGACAATGACGTCCATACCGGCGTTACCACCATTCTGCCGCGGAAAGACTGGCACAAGTACACGAGTCTCGCTGGCATGTTCCGGTTCAATGGCTGTGGTGAGATGACAGGCGCGCATTGGCTCAACGAGACCGGCCAACTTAGTTCACCCATCATTATTACAGCGACTTCCTCGGTCGGAGAAGGATACCGCGGGGTCACCGAGTATGTTTATCGATATCACCGCAACGACGACGCGGAATTGATGGGTTCATGTTCCCGCTTGTTGCAGAAACCTATGACGGCTACTTGAGCGATCCAGCGAGGTTCGTCGTCACCCCAGAGCATGTGATGGACGGTATCAAGAAGGCGACAGCCGATCCAGTTCCTGAGGGCAACACTGGCGGCGGCACGGGTATGATTTGCCACCGCGTCAAGGGCGGAACCGATTCCAGTAGCCGCATCCTCGAGGGCTACGATCTCGTTGGGCGGACTGTGAACTACACTGTGGGCGTCCTAGTTCAAGCCAACTACGGTGCAGTGGAAAGTCTTCGTATAGGTGGAGTGCCTGTTGGGCAGATCCTGGCGAGGGAAGGAAAGGCCCAAAAAGGGAAGTGCCGAAAGTGTCTCAACTAAAGAGCCTCGCAAGGACGGCAGCATAATCATCGTCATCGCCACAGGCGCTCCTCTCATTCCAATTCAGCTCCAGCGGCTCGCCACTCGTGCAACAGTCGGCCTGGCGAAGGTGGGCCGGTACGGAAACAATACCTCTGGAGACATATTTCTTGTCTTTTCAACCGCCAATAAGGTGCCGCGGGAGGAAATGTCCCTGAGCTCGGATTCTTCATATATGCCCCGTGCAAGAGTTGTCCAAACGTCGGACAACGACACAATTGACGGTCTATTTGAGGTGGCGGCTGATGCTACCGAAGAGGCCATTTACAATGCCATGTGCATGGCAGAATCCATTACGGGAATTCAAAGGAAGGCGGATCGAAGCACTGGATCTCGACGTTGTGAAAGCAATTGTTGAAAAGCGGCTGTAGAGTTCGGACAACGATGTCTGTCTCGTCCAAAATCGTAGAGTTGCGAATCAGGGCTTCAGCTCTGGATGAACCCGGTTGAGTAGAGTGGATGGCCATGGAAAAGCTCATTTGCTTCTTTTGTGGCCCGAAAATGTCAGTTGACTCAAGCTGGGCATCCTCAAGTGTCCCAGAAACTATACCACAGGTAAATATGGGCGGCTCAACAGTTGGAGGTCTGATTCAATCTCGTATCCCAGCTCTGGTACCTCATTATCATAGCTTACAGACCTCAGTCTCATAAAGAGAAACTCAGACCATGCAAAAATTGATGCCGTGCTTCTTCATAACCAGATACAACCCAAAGGGACCATACGCCCGGTCATCCGGGTCTTCCCAAAGCAGTTTCAACATCGTGATGCATGCCTCAGTGACTCTTAAATGCCATCTCGGAGCACGTAAGAAGCTACACAGGTCATTGCGCTGAGCAGGGTTCGTGAGACACGACCCGAGAATCATTGACGGCCACAAGATGATTGACCCAAAGGGAGAAGCCAGAACAGTAGGAAGAAACTGCCACACGATGTTGATGTGGCCTTGTATCTCGAGGAGGATTTCCGGGTTGTCCTTGACGGAAGCTCCATACATAGAAGACTTGAGATAGACAAGCAATGAGTATCGATAAGTTTCACCGGTACACCGATGCGCGACGACGTAATTTTCCGTATCTGAGCTCGGCGGGGGCGAGGTCCAACAGAGTAATTCTTGGAGAAGACCCTGATACATCTGTATGCTTTCTATGGAGCATTGACCCATCGTTGCATCTTCTGATAATCGCTGACGTGCAAGGACCGAGATGGTTGCTATTTTTTCGAAAAGCGACGGTCCGCAGCTCAGAACGGCGCCGAAATCCTCGTAGTCCTGAAGGAAGCCCAGGGATAAAAGAACGGGATCAAGCGGTATAGTCCGTTGATCGTCGAGAGCGTAGGGGGTGATGTTGGCAACGAGAGCCAAGTAGGCATAAAGCTCGAGGACGAAGCCTTCGATAGCTTTGTCACCAGCAGTTCCCTTGTCTCTGCCCTCCGAGATGAACTTTAACATCAATTGGCGACTGGCGCGTAAATGTGAGAATATCGAGCCTTGGGAATTACCAGATATGGCCTGGGGTTAGGCATCAGCCAAATCCATCAAATATCGGAATCACAAGGACCAACCTCGGCGTGGGCAAGGATCACGAGAATGAGAAGGAGGCGAAGATACTGTCGGCACGGATTGGTGGATAGGTTCTGAAAGGTGTGGCGAAGGTCACCTAGGACTTGAGCATAGTGGCCCCACGCAGTTTGGAGAATTGGATTAGATTTGTCGTATTTCAGATCCAACAAAGCACCTCCCAGAGCCAAGACGGCATGCATTAGAGTCTCATCGCATGCCGCACGTGGGAGAACCTGTGTAATGAATGGGTTGGACTGCATTGGCTTGGGAGAGAGCTTCGCTGCGCCTTCTTGCAAGTAATAGTGAAGGATCAACTGCGAAGTTGGAGGCATAGCTTCCGGTCGAAAAGGACTTGCACTGAGCGTCCTTAGCTGCCAGCTGGCTACCTTGCCAGGTAAAGTGGGCGGTGTCAAGGCATTCGAGGTTACGAGACCATCTGTGTTCAAGCTCGAGTTAGACTTTGCTCTGGATATGAGTGCTAGGTCTTCATTTGTGAGCTCGGATGCCTCCTGATCAGCAATGGCGCAGTTGTGGAGAGATCGGGGTGGGTTGGGGCCTGTAGAGGGAGAGGAAGAAGGCGAATTTGACAAGATTCCTGCTGTGTCTCGGTTGAGCTGGATCTCTGGCCAGACACATTCTAGTTCCCTGCTCACGCAAGCATTACAAGGAACGGATTCGTCACACTTCTTCCGTCGACGTCGGCAAGTGAGGCAGCCGGTCTTGGAGCGGTAGAAGCGCAAACGATGTCGTTTGGGAAACGGGGCGCCAGTCGAACTCATGACCAGGTAGACGCTAACACAAGAGAGCGTGTATCGAGAAACTGCGTTAAGATAAGGATTGAGGAGTAAAGGACAGTGGTGTGTGTAGAGAAAAGTCATAGGTGGTGTTCCTGTGGCCCTACATAAGTCCTGTGGAAACCTTTATTTGGCTAGGAAGAATTAAATCGGGGAATCGAAGTGGATAACGGCGATGCACCTTGAAACCCTCCAGCACGATTCTGTGCAGTAATTGCAAGGAGGGTTGCAAGCCGTGGAAACTCTATCCAGAAGAGCCCTGAGCGGTGCACTAGAATGAGGATTTTCTCTAGTCCGAAGTGGAAGCCATAGGATTCGCTTGGGGGAGTGTTGGCTTCTCCAGATGTTGCCATCAGCTTAAGGTTCTGCGTTTAGATATTAAGATAAGGACCAAGACGGGAAAGGTCACTATCCTGCGTTTTCCTGGAGCATCTCTCGACTGTCTAGCCTTACGCGAAAATACGAGGTGACGGGCGGAAATGTGGTGGCTTATGGACGGAGTATCTGGTGCCTCGCTAAGCTGAGACTCCCTTACTCGACAGAACATTAAGCCTACATCCGATTTCCCGCCCACCATGGTGACCAAATGGGCGGTCAAGGGTTTTTTCGTAGGGGGTGTTGGTCGTCGTTTAGATAACCGAGTTCGATACTCCCAGTCTTGAGACCACACGTCCCGATGAGAACACGGGGCCAACATCATGGCTCTCACTCCATTATCCAACGTACCCATCCGTTCTTTATTTTTCGTTGGCTCAAAATTCCTCGCCGCTAGACTTCAAGTACAAGAGGCCGGATGATACTTGAAGTACGGACACCGACCTCTTCTTACTGTTCGCCAAGTTCTAATTAGTTTCCCATTGCCCTATCTCTCAGCCGTTTTAGAATCGAGTACACGCTCAAGCAGCAACCAGAAACTTGACTAATTCCGAAAAATGGCCAAATCACGAGATGGGTGGCAATGGACTCGCCGTGAAGGAGTTAAGGCTGGCCTGCCCTGTATAGGAGTCATAAATCCTTCACAAAGTGTCAAGAACTTGGACAAGGTCTTTGATATTGTGATAATTGGAGCTGGATATACCGGCCTCACTGCCGCACGCGATCTGACTGTTGCCGGTTTGTTGCTCATACTCTCTCCCTCGAGCGTGAACATAGTGGCCCAGTTCTGACTTACATTTGCCCCAGGTTTCCAGACTCTATTGCTCGAAGGACGAGACCGAGTCGGAGGTCGTACATGGTCATCCGAAATCGACGGATACCAATTCGAACTGGGTGGAGCCTGGGTACACTGGTTCCAACCTCACGTTTATCGTGAGATCTCCCGTTATGGAATGAAAGCTGAACTGGTCTTTTCTCCCGACTATACTCGGGAGAAAAACTACTTCACCTTTGTTACCGAGCATGGGGCCAGGAAGATGAGCCACCAAGAAGAGGTAAGAAACCACAATGGTCCTGACTCGCGACCGAGCTTTCTGTCTTGACACACATTTAGATTGAGCTCTTCAGTCGCGCGCTCGAAAAGTTCGCCAACGTTGACGGAAATCTCGGCAAGAGCGTCGTGCCTCTCCCGTTCGACCAGTATTCGAACGAGACTCTCAATAACTACGCGAACATGTCAGTTGCAGATCGACTCGAGCAAATCAAAAACGATCTGACGGATGACGAACGGAACGCCGTTTCGGCCGTTGTCCTGGTTGCAGCGGTGGCACCCGAGACAATTCGTCGTTCTTGGACTTTCTTCGTTGGTGGGCTGCCGGCAACTACAACTACCCAACCTTGCTTGAGACAGTCTTGGCCATAAAACTAGAGTGCGGACAGTCTGCCTTTGCGCTTCGGTTCTTCCAAGAAGCACTGAGCTCAGGACGGCTATCTTACTCTTTTAACACAGTCATCACTCGAGTTGATTCCTCCTCGCGTGACATCGTCAAGGTTCTCAGTCGAGATGGTCTCACATTCCGCGCAAAGCGCGTGATATGCACAGCACCCCTGAATGTCTTGGACAAAGTCCGATTCCATCCCGCTCTGAGCCAGGCGAAGTTGGACGCAATAAGACATAAGCATGTAAATCAGTGCACCAAGCTTCATGCAGAGATCAAGGACCCCGAAATGCGGTCTTGGGGTGGAGTCACATACCCGAACAATAGACTCCTCTTGGGCGCTGCCGACGGTACCACACCATCTGGAAATACGCACTGCGTCTTCTTCGGGTGCTCTGAAAGCCACCTTCACGCGGAAGAAGAAATTGAGGAGACACTCAAAGCCGTCAATGCGTTTGCGGAAATGGAAGTCGAGCGCCTAGTAAGGTTTTCCCGTTCAACAAGACAATGACATTGGAGGGTTTGCTGACGGCTCTGATCCATATCATAGGTTTCGCATAATTGGTCAAAGGATCAGTTCGCAGAGGGAGCGTGGTGAGTTTTTCATTTCTGTCCTCTGTCGTGTTGGAAAACAAACTTGCCGACATCGAACTGATACTTTTCTGTGCAACGATAGGGTATGGTATCAACCTGGCGCAGAAGTCAAATACCTTGAGACCTTGAGGGAGAGGCATGGCCCCATTCTGTTTGCCAATTCCGACTGGGCTGATGGTGGATGGCGCTCTTTCATCGACGGTGCAATACAGTCCGGTACGGACGCCGCATTCACTGTTAAGAATGAACTCCAGGGTGCACAAAGGGAGAGTCATCTATAAGGTTGAGGGGTTGCGAGTGTCCCAAGGGCGGGATGCCTACAGAAGATAGCCAGAGAAAAGACTGGGACTTGATGTTTCAAATCCCTATCATAGCGGAGCACAACCTCATTCTTGTTGATCTCCGCTCAAGGTTTTGATCTCGATGCTACAAGGAATCAATCGCCATGTAAACTAGCCCCACTACAAGGAATTCTTACCGAAACATAATCGAAATCTGCTTACACTCTCACATAACGAAGGAAGAAGCGATCATCGAAAGAGCATCCGGCCACCCTGTCACATGTCGCGTATGCGATAACTTGTCCAACATCGCAAGGCCCATGGGGATATTTCGAGCCCCTGTCGCGGCGTAGATGTGTCGAAGTCTGCTTGTGAAAAAAGCACGATTCCCCTCTTCTGCTCCTGCTTCTCCTTCGTCATCATCGTCATTACCGCTCTCGGCCGCGGCGATAAAGTATACCCATACCAATGAGTGACCGCCGCAGACATCAGGTGGTATAGGATTGACTAGACGCCTTAACTGTTCGAGAGCGATCGTGTCCCTCCTACCACGGCCACAGGTATAAGGCGTGCGGTGATTCCTGTAGATACGGTGGCATATTTGGTATGCTTCAAAGACTGAACTGGCTGTTCGGCGATCTCTTGGATCTGGAAGGGATTGTGGTGAGATATCGACTTGCTGAAAAAGATGGCTTTCTGAGGGTACCGTGGTCATGCATTCAGATGTGCCTAGAAAGGGCTGGGCCAGCAGCATGAGACTGAAATGGTGCGTGGGTGGCATTCTCAGTAAAATGGTGGTCACTCGAAAGGTACGTGATGGGAGTCGTCATCATGTCAAAACTCACGTATCTGTCTGGGTCTCCAAGAATCCACGAGTCTCGGAACCTATATCGTCCACCCCGCTGGCCCTGACTAAGCCTATCATTCGAACAAGGTATCTGTAATCATCTCGTCCGGTAATCATCTCGCCCACGAGGAGTACTAGTAGTGTCGCCCAAGTGGAAACACTAAACACCCTCTGGCTGCATTGGTGGGATGAGGCCGCGGACTTGAGCATTTGAATCACTTTGATGCGCTCACTCTCGGCTTTATCGCGTAGTTCGGGGTCGTGTCGCCATAGGTGAGACGCAGCAGTCGATGATACGGCCGTCTGCACTAGTGCATCTGTCACCGCAAGAGGAAGGATCACCGTGCGATATCCGTTGTGTTCTCCATCGACGACTACCATGCCTGGGGCGATGACTTGCGAGACTTTTCATCGTCAACGTTTAGCATTTTCTGTCAGAATGGACGCGGCTGGAAATGAGACCTACAATGGTTCAAAAGTTGTCTTGATTTGCCGCTTATTGGCTGCAAGCCTGCTTGATATGAATTCAGCGTAAGATAATCGTGTGTGGAGACACCAGCAAGACATTGAATATCTGTAGAACGGCGCCTGTCCTGGATCGAGTTCGGCCTGAAAATATGATCGCTTTGGTGGCCTCCACTTCCTGTAATCGTCTTCGCTCTATTGCTTGCGTGGAGAGACTTCTTCACCTTCGGGTGAGAGCTCGGAATGACTGGGAAAGAGACACCCCTCAATTTTCCTCGGGATGCGATGCCGTCATTGAAACGATACCGAATGGTAATCCCGGGACACTGTAGCCCTTTCTTGGCGCATTTCACGCAATGTGGTTCCGTTTTGTCACAGACGATTCGCCGCTTGTTGCAGTTGTAGCAGCCATCGCGCACTCCCATGGCGCAAAAGTCAGTGATGCTGTTCTACAAATGGTGGGCTTGGAGGAAGAGAGTTGTGTGCAAGACCTGGTGGGATTAAAGAGGAGTCGAACTGGATCAACAGTGCGGAGGAAGCCTTTCCTAATGCGAAAGGTAGAGTGAGAGTCTCCACTATTTTCCGTATCTGTCAGACGCATCCGACCAACCACTCCACTACTTAATACGTAGGCAAATAGACCTCTATGCCTTGGGCTCCTTTGCCAACTCAGTCTTCACTGTAAACGCAGCTCGAGTGCCTTCTTCAATTGCTCCGTCAATAAATCCTCGCCATCCTAAAGCCCAGTCAGAACTTGCCAGTATCACTTTCCCACGAGATGCTCGTAGCTTGCCGAGATATTTCGTCGCCGCGGTCGCGGTATACGAGCACCAGCCTCCCTTGGAGTATTCGTCCTTGCTCCAGTCATGAAATACCATACTCTTCACATCAATGTCTTGGTGAAATATCTTGACGGCAGCCAGAGTTTCCTCGATATTATCTTCGGGATCGATGTGGTTGTACGACGCTCCGAAGCACACAAGATGAGAATCTCCCCACGATGTAGTGCCTTCCCCAGATGCGTGAACAAGCCTATTGTGAGGATACGTCAAGCCGTCCCAGGAACTCAAAGCGCCCGAAGAGGTTATTACATGCAGCTTGGTGCTTTGATTGCTGTTGATTCCAGCAAGAACATCATCAGACAATTCCCGGACAGGTGGATCAAAATAAATGCTGGAAAGAACATTGAGTGGAACTGTGCAGATCACCCTCTTCGTCCAAAAGTGCAAGCCATCTTTCGTGATCACTTCAATTTGACCCACGCGATCTTTGACCGATGCGACAGGGCAATTGAAAGCATACGACAGCTTTTGTGAATCCAGAGCTTCCTGGAAGAACCGTCGTGCAAAATCGGATTGGCCACGTCGAAGCTTGAAGGCCGCAGCTGCCCTAACAAGGCAGTCCAAGGAGTAAGCGCACAAGGCCCAGAGGACCAACACGCCGAAAAATCCAGTCGTTTCAAGCTTGCCCCCGGTCAGGGATAGAAGCAAGCCTTCGAGAATTGTTCGCTCGAGCGGCTCCAGATCCTGCTGGATTTGATTGATACGGTCTTTCAGAGTGAGCTCGTCCAAATGAACGGCTTCTGATACAAGAGTCGGATCATATGGAAGTGGCATAATCGATTTACCCAAGTCACCGTCAATGTTGATGAATTTCTGGAAGGCCGAATCCATAATTGCTGCCTGGAAGGAACAGGTATATTAGCAATCTCCACTGTGCTCTAATCAGTCTTAGCAACTGCTTACGTTTTCTTCCTTGCTCATTGATTTCAACCCCTCTTTAGTCAGAACCGTGGAGATGTTGGGTCCACCAGTGGGATCAAGGCATGCGTCGATGTCTTGCTGCATGGAGTACCGAGACAGCTCTCGCCACAAATTTGGCTGACCCCAATGGACATATTGTCCACCAAGTTCGTACTGATGTCCGTTGATAGTGGAGGTCCAGGTTCGTCCGCCAATACGGTCGCGTGCTTCCAGAAGGAGCACACTAAGTCCAGAGGTAGTGAGGTCTCGGGCAGCAGTGAGACCTGTATATCCAGCACCAATGATGGTCGTATCGTAGACGTTGTTGTGTGCCTGAAGGTTTGTCCCGGGCTGGATGACACTAGAGCTTGGAAGGCCCCGCTTCAAGCCATCTTTCTTAGTCCAGTGAAAGCCTTCTCGGCTGTCATGCTTGATTGAGTCATTCATCGAAGAAGACATAACTGAAAAGCGACACAGAGGAAAAACCAACGATGAGAGACTGGGTAGAATGGTTGAGGATCGGTTAGGTTCAAGTAGGCACGCTTTATACCTTTGCTGAGTGGAGTCGTACAGAGCTGAATCCGCTCAGTACCTATGTAGATGGTCTCCGAAAAGGGCAGGTAGAGTGAGTTCATATTTTATGCAGTCACCATGTGTCGATGGAGCCTGTTCAAGTGGGCTTGGGAAAGAGTGAATAAAGTGCCTCTGTACTTGACGGTTGAAAAGCGTAGATCAGCTTATAACAGGACTATTCGTCCCCCCCTTAAGTGGGTTTGGCTCCTGGCCCAACAGTTGCCGAATTTTGGGAATAAGAAAAGGCCACAATAGTAATTTACAGTTTTGTATTTTGCACACGGACATAGTCCATTGCCAACCAAAAGACGGGAAAATTACAAGGAAATAAAGACTGGAATTGCGACAAGATGCATTGCCTGGATCGGCGCCACAGGGTGTCCAACTATGCTTCAGGATTGCCCTTGTTTCGATCGAGGAGAAATACAGCGCATATTTGTGGTGGACTTGTTCCAACTCGTCCTGAGAGTACCCTGTAGCTCTGTTTATGGAAAGTCCTTCATTCTGCTTATGATCTGCTCCATGCGAAATAAGGGCTGCTATCCAGTGACACGAGGGACGTTTTCCCAAAACCAGGAGATGTAAAATTCCGTTGGATGGCGCAGTCAGGCTCGGTAGAAGCCTGCCCAGCAACTCGGCCTCCTTTCGATCTCGCTCAACCGGCTAGATCGACATTCGTATGATATGCAGTTTCAGCTCCGTTTGAGGAGGTTGAAACGAGTCATCGCGATCATGATCAGAACGTCGAATCCCATCATATTCACAGACTACGCGTGAAGTAATTGATGATAGAGCTAACAGTACTTCGATAGACAGCTCTCCGTACAAGACCTATGCGATAATCCATTTCTCGAGGCAGAAGAGAGCCTTAAAAGAGTCGAGCAAATATTTGAGCTGTTAAGTTATCAGGAGAGAGAACACCTCAGCATCACTTGGCAGGCTAATGCCATTTTGTTACGCAGTGAAGCTGAGGATTATTTGACTTACCTAGTCCAATTTGGAGTTCTTGGTTTTGTCAAATGCTTACCTTCTCCTCGTACTTCGGCGTCATACGAGGACCTCATCTTATTTGGTACGGCCTAATTGCTTCACGCGTTTGCTTCGATAGGAAACCCATCAAACTCGCACTGTCTCATTCGAAAATTAATCTTCATGCTCGATTTAGCAAAACCCAAGCTCCAAATATACAACAGTCTCTGCCACAAAATAACCGTATGGGACCCAGCTCCCAACTCTCCACCCTTCGCTGACCTCTGGCTGTCCGAACCCCACTACATCAACGGAACATGGTACATGTACTTCTGCGCCGCACACCTGGGCCACGAAACCCATCTCACCGAACCGTCCTCTTGCGCTCGTCAAGCCAAGATCCCATGGACGCTCGGAGTGCAACGTTTCTAGGCCCGCCCCAAGGTCTGCCGGATCATTGGAACATCGACGAGACGGCGTTCCCCCTTCATGGTAGGTTGTTCTGCTCCTACAGTGGCTGGCCGCTAGGCGACTCTTCCGACAGTCAACAGCATCTGTTCCTGATCGAGCTCGCCCACCCGGAGCACACACACTCGGACACACATTGACGTGTATCTCGCACGCCGAATTACGTGGGAACGACCCGATGGCTCCCGCGGCCGAGTCGCCGGCAGGGACCTTGGGTGGGCAGTCCAATCAACGAGGGATTCTGGGAACAATGCGACAATCTATCAATTATCAGGGTATCCTACCAATAGGCCGAAAACAGTCTATCCCAGCCTGCCTAGTCAGCTGACGCACTCGTACTCCCTCTAGACCTCTCTAACCGTTCCAAACTCTCGTCGACCCCCCAGCCGTTCTTCAACAACTCGCCGACTTCTTCCAACCTCAATCCCATTGTCTCTGGGTAAATCGACCATACAACCACCCAGCCCAGCGCACAAATGCCCGCGTACGTGACGAACGTCCACTGCGCGCCCAGAAAATCCATCATGGGCAGAAAGGTCAGGCCGACGACGGTGTTGCAGAACCAATTGGTTGCGGTCGCCAGCGAGGAGCCTAGGGAACGGACGGAGAGCGGGAAAAGCTCGGATTGTTGCCAGGGGACAGGGCCGAGGCCCATAGCGTAGGTTGAGACGTAGAGAAGCATGGCGACCAGGATGGCTATCGCGGGGAGAGGCGGAACCGGGTTTCCAGAAGGACTATTCACTGTGGTTTCTATCCTATCGCCTGAGTGCAAAGGAACGAATGAGAACGCTCCAGCACACAGGAGAAGGGCCAGGACCATGACCGGAATAGTGAGCAGCAAAATCCGCCTCCTGCCCAACCGGTCAATCAGATGAAACGCCGCAATGGTGAACAAAAAGTTCGTCCCGGCGACACTGAGTGATGTCAAGGTGGGCGATTGAAAGCCCAAGAGTTGAAAGATGGTAGCCGAGAAGTACATGAGGCTGTTGAACCCACACAGTTGCTGGAGGCCTTGTAATGTGCAGGTGATTGTGAGCGCTCGAGCATGCGGAGGGTGGAGGAGGAGAGACTGTAAGGTTGGGGAGATCAAGAACCCAGATTTGGACTGTGCCGAGTGACGGAGCTGGACGTGGGCCTCTTCTTCGTCAAGCAGCTCCTTGTTAATGGCGTGTATAGTCTCGTCGACAAGGTCGGTGGTATTGTCTGCCATCCCGTGATAGACTCTCTTCAAGACCGCTCGAGCTTCCGTTTCTCTCTGCACTTTGGCCAGATAGCGAGGCGTCTCGGGCATGAATGCTAACATGACAAGCTGTGCAAGTGCCGGAGCACAGCCTAAGCCGACCATCCACCGCCATCCGCCCTTCATGGTGGAAAAGGCCCATCCGATCAAGTAAGCAATGACTTGTCCGCCAGTGATGAAGAGAAGAGACACCGTAACGAGTCTGCCCCTTAGATGACTGGGTGCTAATTCAGAGATATACAAAGGCACGATGAGACTGGCTCCTCCGATGGCTAGTCCCACAACACCTCGGCCCAGTATCATCCCCCAAACAGACGTTGTGACGGCCTGCCATAAAGCGCCCAGTGTGAAAAGGGCGTCTGCGAATAAGATGATGTTTTTCCTCCCAATCTTATCCGCCAAGACGCCGGCAATGGGACTGGCAGCGAGCGCAAACAGACTGGTGCAAGAAGTTATAAGTCCTTTGTCGAGGGTCGTCAAATGGCGAGAGGACAGGTCGGTACTGATCGAGACCAAGGTACTGCTTATGACTCCCGTGTCATAGCCAAAGAGCAGTCCTGATACGCAAGCAGAAACCGTCAAAGCCCATATGAAGGCATTTGCAGAGGACTGTGCCGTTGTCGTCGAGGGAGCGTGGTTGCCGCCTTGTCCGCGGTCTGCGATGAGAGGGGCATCTGGAGACGCATCATCGTGTATATGGGGCATGTCTCGAAGTTCCACCTCTTCTGTTTTTCCTGCTGTTCGGTCGCTGAGCATGAAGTGTCATAATAAAAGCATGGTTCGTGGTGGTTTGCTGGTCGCGTGCACATGGTCGAGTGCCTACGGTGTGCAAGTTTCCGGCCGACGCCGGTTCGTACTACATTGGGTGAGCAGTCACGTGGCTGTATGGCTGTGTGGCTGTTTACCTAAGTTCTTAGTCACTCACCCACCCTCGCCACTACGTCAAGTCCCGCTGTACTAGGCTAGTCGGTACCTCGTAGAACTTTAGATTTTCGAGGCCGACGATCGGAGTTATGCACCCATCGTGCCATCCACCATCCACCATCCACCATCTCGCCATTAATAATTCTTCCGGCGTCCAACCATCAAGATAGCGATTTTGATACAACTCTCAACAAGATTGACGACGACCTATGCGCTGCAACATTTCCTCTTTCGAAACGGACGTTGAGAGTGCCTCTACCTCCTTCCGACCCCAATCCTTCGCCTCTGCCGTGGTCGCCACCCACTGGCAACCATGAGCGCCATCCTCTCCGCAGACGACCTCAACGACTTCATTTCGCCTGGTGTCGCCTGCATAAAACCGGTCGAGACACTTCCGAAAGACGACGACGTCAACCCTTACGAAGTGACCACCGAAGATAAGCTCCAGACCAAGAACCCAGCCCCAGCTTCGATTTCCCTAACCGATTGCCTCGCCTGCTCCGGATGTGTTACCTCTGCAGAGGCTGTTCTCGTTTCGTTACAGTCGCATACTGAAGTTCTAAATACACTCGATTCATATCCGTCGCTGGATGTTCGGTATCTTATCAACAGGCAAAATGGCCTTACGAATGGACACGTATCCCCACCTTCAAATGCGAAACTCTTCGTTGCCAGCGTGAGCCCGCAGGTTCGGGCCAGTCTAGCTGCGACTTATGGCATCTCCGAACGAAGAGCTGGATTCATGATTGAACAGTTCCTTAGCGGTTCACAAGGCTTGCGGATAGGCGGTCCGCACAATAGCGGATTTACTTATGTGGTGGACACCAACCATGCCCGGGAAGCGTGCCTGGTCCTAGGAGCCGAAGAGGTGGCGGACTCAATAACAGCAAGGTCGAAGCCTAAGCCGATACTGACTTCAGCGTGTCCGGGTTGGATATGTTACGCAGAGAAGACACACCCTCACATCCTTCCGCACCTCTCGGCATTGAAATCTCCACAGGCGTTGTCGGGCACACTGCTCAAGTCAGTGCTGAGCAAGACGTTGGACATCCACCCCTCGCAGATATGGCATTTGGCCATAATGCCCTGTTTTGACAAGAAACTTGAAGCCAGCAGAGAAGAACTCACAGATCGCTGGTGGCGACATTCCGATCCAATGGACACTGGCTCGCCTCCAATACGAGACGTCGATTGTGTGATCACTTCCCGTGAACTTCTCTCCCTCGCCTCGGCTCGCGGTATCCAACTCTCCAACCTTCCACTCAGACCTCTCTCATCCGCCGAACGCACTCCGTTTCCAGACGCAGACGTCTCGCGCTTCCTCTTCCCCAAACAACGCCGACAGCACAACCAAGAGCAAAGTGTGACTGCCGGCTCTTCAGGCGGTTACCTTTACCACATTCTCTCAACGGAACAATCCCGCCACCCAGGCTCTACCATTTCCGTTCAACGGGGTCGCAACGCTGATGTGGTGGAATACTCCCTCGTTGCCCCCACAGGCCAAGCTCTTATGAAGTGTGCACGATATTACGGTTTTCGAAACATTCAAAATCTCGTCAGGAAATTGAAACCCGCACGACAGAGCAAGTTGCCTGGCGCTGCGAGACGAATGAATCCGACAGGCGGAAGCGGTGCTGCAAGTGACTACGCTTATGTGGAAGTCATGGCTTGCCCTGGGGGTTGTACGAACGGCGGCGGCCAAATCAAGGTTGACGACGTGGTGGACACACTGCCCCAGACACGGAGCGATGATGTGGTCAACAGTGTGAGTGGGCCGCAGAGTCAGAAGGAATGGCTGAGACTCGTGGATGAGGCTTATTACTCGGCTGATTCTTCGGAGGACATCAACACAAGCGAGGAAGAAGGAGAGGACATAACGATGACGAATGGCATCAGCTATCTGAGCGGGCACGAGAAGAGCGAACGAACAATCATCAACGGAATCAACACCACCGAAGTCCACGAGTTTCTGTACCATTGGTCCCGCCTCGTCAACGTACCACTCTCAAAGCTGGCATACACAACTTTCCGAGAAGTCGAGAGCGACGTGGGCAAGAACAAGCCCGCCAGCAAGATGAGCGATACGGAGCGCATCGCGAGTATTGCCGGGTTAAGCGGCGGTGGATGGTGAAGGTGGTCTAGAAACATATGGTCAAGAACTAGACGTGCTTTGATTTTGTGGAGTTGACGCTATATCTTGCTAGTGCACAGCGTACAAAGACGAAACGAGATCAAGGGGTAGATGTGATTCTGATACCCTGGCTGTTTGAGTCCTGGGATATACAGTGGATAGATGTCTGTACATGACCCGGCCCAGGAACGATCTATATGACAATGCTCAGACCGTGAGATGGCTTTTTTGACTAGAGTTTCTTTTTTCCCCCTCTTTGATATGGCGCTTTGCCTTCCCTGCTTCCTTCCACTGGGCGAATATAACGTGCACAGAAGGCATCATGTTGTCGTCCAGACTCGAGGTTCCGAATCAGTTGCCCGGCTTGAGTATTGTCGACGAAGAAAGGCCTTTTCGTATAGACAGGGTTTGATGCCCGTCTGGAGGTGGCCCTTGGAGGTGCCCATCAACCAACCGACTTTGACCTCTCTGCGCTCTGTCCGTTCATCTATACTATCAGCTATACCTAGGTACTCTGACAGAGCGGCCGCTTTGGTATGGTATAGTCGAGCACTCTCCCGTTAGCGCCCAGGTATGTTAGAACGGCGCAAGTTGGAGGTTTTCACCTGGCTCGCATCCATTCTGCCCCGGCATCTTATACCACAAGCCGGGGCCGGCTGCAGGGTGGCGTCGCGTTCGACAAGACCCAGTTATACCCGAGATATAGTTTTGTCGTTCATCAGGGCTTCTTATAAACCGATGTATGTGGTTATCTCTTTCCTTCCCTCCACCCATTCACCGCCTCCTCCCAACTCGCTTCCTCGACCCCCTCGCACCGTTCCTGCACAATCCCCCACGTCCTGCTCCTCACAATCTTCTCGACCGCATTCTCATTCCGCAGCACGTCGGCCAGCATCTCGGCGCGGGACTCTCGGGGGAAAAACCTCCCCGAGTACGGGTCCAGACGCTCGTTGACGATGCGCTCGGCGTCCCGTCTATTCAGGGCCTCGCGCTCGATGAGGTCCGGGTCGTTTGGGTCCGGAGACGTGGCGATGCTGGTGCAGTACGAGATCACGTCCGAGCGGACGTTCCATGACGGGAAGAGCACCGAGTGCAGGAATGTGCGGGTTGTTTCGCGCGGGATGGGTGCGCGAGTGAGGGACGAGGGTAGTGAGGGATTGCGGATGGAGGTGGAATTCGGGTCAAAGGGTGAGGTGGAAGAGGGCGTTATTAATGCGTTGAGGTTGGTGGAGATGCTGTCGTCGATGCTGGCGCGGGAGAGGCGCAGGAAGTCTCGTAGAACGCGGGTGTTGAAGCAGAATTGCGGCGTGAGGTTCGGTGGCGGTGCGGTCGGTTTGGACATTATCAGACCGGGACGCCGGCGGCCCTGAGCTCCGGTAGTCCGGGCTGGAGGACCTCGAGATGGGTCGGGGGTAGAGGAGGGTGGGAGGGATGGGGGAGCAGCAGCACTCTGGTTGGGGGGTTGCGAGCTGGAGATTTTATTACTCGGAGGAGAGTGCGAAGTCGTCTCAGAAGCAGGTGGTGAAATCCAGAACCACGCCAGCTTGATCGATTGTCAGGTGATTTCAAATAAGGTGGGAGGTGGAATAGACATTAATTAAATTACAAGGGCCTATGGCTTAACCTCAGAAGCCAATGCAAGATCCCGATACTGAATAATTAGCTGTAGCTGTAGATACAAGATAAAGTTGCTATATCAAAGCAGCTTGCGGAGAGGGCAGAGGGAACAAGGCTGCGGCCACATTATGTCATCGCCACTTCAGGAAATGTGACCATACAACAGTCAATGACGCCTATTGACCTTGGTGCCTGTTTGCAATTATGATCGATGCACAGAAGCGATTGCTCGTCTCATGTTCAGATTCAATGAGGACAGTTATTTGGCGTGGACTGGAGTTTTCATAGAAAGCCAGAAGAAACGCTACTGACAGCCTCAGCGCGCTCTTCAAGGGCCAAGTCATCACTCGTCGCCTGCTTCCGCGCGATCCTCCTTGCATGCTTCCGCTCTCTCCTCTCCATTTCCTTCAACGCTCTCTCCTTCAGTATCACCTGCCAATACTTGTCCCCCAGCTCCGCGTACTGACGTCCGCGCGCCTGCACGGCCAGCTCGAGTTGTCGGTCAACCTGGCGGAGCGCCAGTGTCCATGATCCTCCCGGAGTGGCGGCGGGACTGGAGCGGGCTAGCGGCTGGTAGATGTCTTTCTCATCCTTGGTGTAGGCTCGGTCGAGACTGGCGAAACGGATATTGTGCTCCGACGAGGACCGGATGAAGTCCGCTTCCACCAATTCGCCGCCCCGTCCTTGCTGTTCATTCGCAGTTGCGCCCTCGCATGTCTCCATGATGCCATGCTTTCGGGCCAGGATGGAATCCCATTCGTCTTCCCATTCGCCGAGCTGAATCTTCTCCCCAATGTCCAGATGCTGTGCCCACTTCCGAACTCCCCACTTGATCTTACTGGTTAAAACCCGATTCAACAACACCGGAGTAGGGCCAGGATATTTCAAGAGTGGGATCCCCTGGGCCAAGATCAGATTGGGCACTTTGCGGACACCCGATTTCACCTCAGATATTGGTCTCGGGTGCTGAAAGATGCGCGGGTTGTCAGGAGTGGAGATGTGGTTTGCCTTGTTGGCCACGCGGCGCAGGTTCTCCAGATGGGGACGTCTTGAGGGCGGAGGAGGTTTCCATCGCGAGGCGAGTTCGGCGCGATATTTGGCTGTAGATTCTGCTTGTAGAGCTACATGCTCGAGGGTTTGGCTCAGCCTGTTCAAGGCATCGCTGGATTTCCTGGCGCATGCGCGGAGGAGCGAGAGGGCGCCATGGCCTGCCTCTAGCCCGTTGGCAACCTGTGAAGGGGAGAGCAACTTGCGGTCTCGATCAAAGCGGAAACGAATCAAGGATTGAAGAGTTCTGGCTACGGCAGGGTTATCAATCGCCGCGCCGACTCGCGTGCTCTCCCGGAGGAGAGCTTTGTATAGTGAAAAACCTGCAGTATCGCGTTAGTAACCCTCCATGTAGATCACGAATTCCGCACCTACATGCTAGTCGATGAAGCCCCGATTTGTGAGGAGCAAGGAGACGTGGCATCCGCACATCTCAGATGCAGATGGGATATTTTAAAGGTATATGGACTCTGGCAGCGAAGAATTGAAATACCAATGAGCCAGCCTTGCGAGACACCAACGAATAGTTCTCAGGCAGGTGTGCCGAGCCTGAGTTTGAGGGGAAGTCGAATGCCCAGGCACGGGGTGATTTGTTGCTATCGCAATACATCCAAGATCCAGAGGGAAAGTCGAATTGCAAGGGACTGATGGACACTGCAAGCCATGTGTCACTTTGCTATCACCTCTCTGCCGGCAGCTACAATGATGCTATGAACAATACCCGACGCCAAGTATGCATTCATAAGAGCTCATGATCCATCGCTGTACGTTTGCAAGCCCAACTCCATAAAACCATGCTCCCAACTGAATGACTTAGAAAGTGGTGCCTTCTTGGGGTTGTGGAAGCTTCTTGTGTTGTGGCAGAGCCATGTACCTGCAGAAATCAGTCACCCTGCTCGCACGAGGATGTATCCCAACATACCTTCTGAGTTCGATCAGAATGGTCTCCATAGTGTAGTCTCGTTTCCAGTTCGCCAAGCAAGGGAGTTTTGATGGATCAACCTGATCCCCAGTTGTTTAGAATGTGCAGGAATCTTTCCGGAATGTTATCCTCTCACCTTCCCAGTCTTTTGATCGACACAGGGCAGATTTACCCTAGACACGAACTGAATGGTAGGTGGGAGGTCAGGATATTGTTCGCCGCAGTGGATGTTGACGCTGTAGATGCGATTCTCGTGGACGCTCTGGGTCGCAAAGAGTCAGCTCAATCTGCCCGCCAATGGAAACAACGGGGGACATGGGCGCCATACGTGAGGAGGTCCGAGGATGGTGCCGTTCCAGTTGGTCATCATCAAATCATCACTGTCGGCCAGTCCATACGAGCACGCCTCTGTACGAGTGTAAGAACCACTGTCCCTTGAGAACCATACGCAGGCAGTCGCATACCTGCACCCAGCCCTTTCTCGCCCTTTTCCAACTCCTCCAGGAGCCGGAAATTTCGTGGCATTTTAGCACCCATGATGAAGAGATGTCGAAGGTGTACTATCAACTTTGCGTCCAAATGTGAATCGTTCTTCGTCGGATCAGTAGTGGTGGCAGGGAAAGATACTTGAGGGGTGGATGGAGAAAGAAACTTGAGAAGGCGGGCACGCGCCGCAGCCTCGTGAGAACCAGAAGTCGTCACTCGGGGACGCAGCCTTGGCGGCTGTAATAATACCCCGTAGAGAGCATCTACGTACCATGTACCTACTAGGTACCAGATACCTACTAGGTACCTAGTAGATAGGTAACTACTACTACTAGTACCTCGTACCTCGTACGTATTGCACCCACTGCATATGACCTACTAGTAAGTCCCGAGGTCACTGCATGATGCCGTCCGTGCTGTCCGTGCCTACGAGGTACTTCTTAGTAACTCTATAATATCCACTGTCACCGAAATCACCCTAGGGAGCTAGTCTACTGTACCTTTTTTAAACGGACCTCGAACGCCTTGGGCGTGAGATACGCACCCGTTATTAAACAACCTACTCGTCCGGTACCTACTCCCATCTCAAATCGTTGGCGTTGACCCCTCTCTCGCGTGTTATCAGCCAGGTATCTTCCCATCAGATCCTGTTGGGGCTTTATCTTTTGTCAGCCCTCAACGTCTCCCGGAACAGCTTTCCACGAAGTGCCCGTCCCCCAAAGCCGCGATGAATGTGCATTCTCCTCCTGGGTCTCTACCATCCCTGCCTGAGACTGTTTCCTCTGCCGCACGCGGAGATCAATCCACATGATTACTCCCACCAGGACAGTGATGCAAAGCAGCACAATTGCACCAACCTCGTACCACTTCAACTTCGTTCTTCTTGGCCGGAAAACAGCAAGTGACTCTTTCAACTCAGGAAGGTCGGCCGTAGAGCCATAGAACACACCTTCCAACGTCCCTTTCTCGGCCAACGCTTTACTGATGCCGCACTGGGCCATTAGCCAGTGCTGGATGGCGATGGTCTCGCTCTCCTTGTGGCAGTTCGACTGGCAATTGAACAGACTACCTTGGATGCAGAAGCAGTTGCGGCCTTCGGTGACGCAGCCATAATAGACGAGCTGCTCATGTAGACAACCCTGCGCGCAGGCCGGCAGCCCGTCGTACGAAAGCCTGTCAGAGTTTGGCCCGCATTCTTTCACGAACCAGTCCTCTGTGAACATCCATTCCCACCAAGTGCATTCCCATGCGCAGTAGAGCGGATCCTTGAGGGCGCAATAGCAGCTCCTGTTGTATAGCTGTGTCGACGCAGTTACAGGCGTGCACCCGTTGGGAGATATGCTTCCTAACGGATCGGATTTGCAGGTTGCGGTGGGACACGTCGGGATTTTGGAGACATCGATCGGCTGGGTGTAGTTGATTGTCTGGCGTTGAGACAATTGCATGTTCGCATGTGTAAGGTCCGTGAGGATGTGCAAAACGGGCAAAAGCGCGGAGATTCTCAAGCTGGTTGTCATTCTGCTGAGTGTTCTCCAGACCTTTGGGAGTCGAGCAAAAATAAGAAGAGGCTCAAGCGAATGAATCCCAGATGAGCATCTTGTACATGGTGAGCGAAGGAAGGGGGGCAGTCAGGCTGAGAATGCATATCCTTTCAGCAACCACCTCCTCCGGTCCTCTTTTCCACCCCCGGCATGATCCGACCCGAGAACAGCAAACTGAGACTCCAAAGGTCCAAGTTACGCGACGTTGTAAACGGTCGAGCGAATAAGACGCTGCCACAACGCGCCAGGAATGGTGACCGACGATGCAAGATGCCGCATTCGTGTTCCTGCAGCCGAAGCGCAGCCCCAATCCGGGCATGTGCCCTGCTCCTGTTAGTTCCAGTGGTCGCCACAAGCACACTTGTGCGAGACCACTGCCTTTGCTCCGTCAATCTGGAGGCGTAGCGGCCACACATCACAGGAGACGGAGCTTTTCCACCTCGTTAGTGGAAAGAAATGTCAAGCTACCCAGTCCATGGTGTGCCGAAGGGTCCGATTCAGCCTCATCACAGACAAACAGAACTGTGGGCGACACATAAGGACTTTCGTTCTTCTTTGCACGAGTCCGAACAGCAACGAGGCAAATGGATGTTGCGACGAACTTTGCTGTTCCTTGACTTACCCGTTCAATTCCCAACACGGTGTTCGCAAAAAGAATGACTCTTCCAGCTCTCCGAGCACCCCTACCAACGTTTCGAGCAGCAGGTGCAGGGATGTTGCTCATCTTGGCCTGCATGGCAGCTTCGGCCTTAGCCTACGATGGCAACATTTGTTGCATGAAGGCCGCCCGAATGCCTCAGATACGAATACCCCTTTACAAGAACCCGTGGGATGCCTGCGCCCTGAACGACACAGACACTTACGCTCAAGGAACCACGTTCCCGTCGGTGAATGTCACCATGGGATGGTGCAAAGCAAACTGTCCCGGTAGCCAGCCGAGCGATCTATCACAGTGGCTGCAGCCTCTGACTAGTTGGGTTGCACCTTATATTGGCCTTCTCTTGCTGTGTCCGTTTGGCGAAATCAGAAAGCTGAAAACAGATCCAAGGTTGAGCAAGCCTGCCGACGCCTGCCGACGCTTCTGGCACTTTGTGCGAAGTTATACGCAGGAATGGATCAATCTGCTAGGCGACCCAGCAAGTGCCATTTTTGGTGCCTTTTCAGAGATACGGTCCGATGCTACAATGTTGCGTGAAATCGGCATAAAGCGTCGTGAAGCTAAACGTGGTGAAGCCAAAAGAAAGCATTTGCGCTATAACCGCTGGCTTGAGCTTCTGAAATGGGTGGTCATTCTGGTTGGCGACACCGATTTTGACGACACCGAATTCACGCAAGGACACCATGCACAAAGAGCTGAAAGAGAGATGGGCCATGTACAAAACGTACAAACCGATCAAAACGATCAAAACGATATTGCTATGCCCCTGAGGAAGATGCCCAGTGAACTCAACATAGCAGTCTCGCCAGAGTCAGATAAAGGAGTGGATGACACATTCGAAGTCCAAGCATCGGTTGAAAACGCCATCAGGACTCTCATCGAAGCCCGGACGGACTTCTTCAAGGCCGTCTTCTTGCCTACGATCCTCTTCCTTGCTGTGACAGCATCAGTCTTTTATAATGCTTACACCATGCTTGGCGACAACGACACTGCCAACGGGCTGGCTTTCGGCATCTGGTACTCTTGGCTGGTGATTCTCTCTGTGGCTGCAAATTGCTTCGCCAGCAGTGTTAATGCCGGCTTGACAAAGACCACACTGGGCCAATATATTAGACTCTCCGATCGAAGTCTTCCGCTCCGCGAGCGCTACTTCAACGAGAAGCTATGGGATAAATGGTTGGCGGACATCCAGAACACGCCAGATAAGACCCTCTCCGAGTTAAGCTCGAGCCAAGTCTTGTTACTCCAGCTAAAGAAGGCTGAGCATGGCGTTGACTGGGAAAGACGCCCTCAAGTTAAATACCCATCCCTCAGTTTAGAGAAGGTGCTCATTTACCACTCCTCTGCATGGATTTGCGTCGCGATACCAACGGCGTGCGCCATTATTGTCTCATATGTAAGTTAGCATGGTCCTGAAAGCCCGAATTGGTCCCAAACGGAACTCTGTTTAGCACTGCTGCCTCAAACTAACTCTTCATGATCTACAGAACACTCCTACTGTCGGTTTAGATTGCTTGTCATTCAATTTCCTCCTCTACGGGATTCTTGCATTGGTGGCTCCGGCCCTGCACGTTACCTATCAGTGGATGCTACGCAAAGAAGGATACCAATATCTGAAAGCAGGACTGAAGATGACTTACTGGCTTTTCGTCTGTGCCAATGCAGCTGTGCTCACCATTGGCACTATTTTACAACTAGCTGGAGTCTATAGGAGCTGCAGATGTCAACTCCTTTTCGCCTCGGATTCCGAACACGTCGAACTGAATCGCCTTACCCCGCTTGCGGTTGAGAATGCAAACAAATACTGGCTCCCAGTGGGATATTTAGCATTTGGATTTGTTTGGGTGGTTTGCGGGCTCGTGACGGCAGCGAGGGCGTATATTACTATCCACCTTGTCGATTTTGACGGGCAGGACGGGCAGGACGGACAGGACGGACAGACTGAGATCAGTGGTCCTATGGACTAGGCGAAAACAAAGTCGGGTGGATGCAGAATTTGGTCCATATTAGTACATACGCTGTTCCCTCCAGGGTTCGAGGCGGTCCAGGTCATTGATATTGTGCTCTCACGGGTCTCTTGCTCCGAACAGCGCTGTATACGCCAATTAATGTAGAACCTGGGAGGTCCAATGGCAAAGAGTTCTGGTCAGGTAGTAAGGACGTGCCATGATGGTGACGAACTACCTAGGTAGTCAGGCGAAACTTCCGCGAAAGGAGCCAGACTAGGCTCTCTGCACTTGGCACAGGGAGGCTCAGGAAGTTGCTCAGCCACACTCACCATAGGCAAACGTCGAACACGCAAATACTGTACTTCCCCCAAGTTATCAACTATACCTAAACTATCTGCGGTATTGCACGGCGTGTTTCCGGCAAGGAACAGTTGCAAGAAGAGCAGTCCGTGAATGCTCACAACGTGTTGATAAGAGACAGTCACAGACAGACAGTCAATCAGATAATCGAATCCTCATGAACTGGAACCCCAGAGTTCAATAATGACACCCTCTTCAAATACTACCATAACGAGTATCAACTTTGTGAGGGGAGACCAGTCTCTGCTTGTACGTCGGAAGAGCATCGACCGAGATCGTAGAAGATTTGAATGTACCAACGCGCGGTTTTGGTTCTACGTCCGTACATCTTCTAGCAATGCTAATCTGCATCATCATTCTCGTCGTCAGATTCATCCGGGCGATCCAAGGGTTGGCCAATAAGCTGAATTTCGAACAGCACTTGATTGTCATCGATCGTCTCAAGGATAATATCACCCTCGTGAGATTCAGCACTTCTGTGTGCAAAAGGACCGCTCGTGAATTCTGAACTTTCGTGAAGCTGATTCTGCGTTTTTATCAGTTATTGGCTCCTCCCTTGTATAGAAGGACCTACCGCAAACGGATTTCTTGACTTGTGGTATCGAAGGCCGGCTATGAAGACCACCTGCTCCTCTTCCAATGCCTCGCCGCCATACACAGACCAGCCTGAGGCGCTGTTACCCGTGAACCACCCGCAATTTGCTTGCAGCGATCCTACACCAAGAGTCCCAGAGCTGAAGCCGACGTAGGCCCCATGACCAGACCTGCCCCAGGCGGTAATGCCGGCTTTCTTCGTACTAAAGGTTTGAGTTACAACAACGATACCATACTTTGCGATATCAGTCCCTCTGGGACCCTCAAGCAAGGCTTTGCTGTTCGCTTTGATCCATGTTCTAAATGGTGAGTCGAAGTAGTAACCTTCCCGCGTGATGGGACTGCTAGTAAGGAGAATCGCCCCAAAACCCGAGTCGGATAGGTATTCGACTTTCACACTCGCCTCAACAGGAAGCCCAGCATTGGTACTTCAAACGCAGAGTCGATGTCAGCTTATACACGTCTGGAAAGAGCGTTGTATAATTTAACAATGTGACCTACAGTTCGACACCGCCATCAAGCACGTTCCTCTTGACCGATTCAGTTGTTCTTGGGCCCCAGCCAGCTATCTTGAGAGAAGGTGCTCGCTCCAGGGGCTCAGTCGGACTTTGCAGGTTCAACAAAGTTAGGGAAGCTGGATCACTGAGACTAGCGAGCGGGTTCCACCGAGCCGTAGAGTCAAAATAGCCAACATCTCCAGGCTGGAGACTCTCCGAGATCTCTGGCTTATATAACGCGTGTCCGTCCCCGAATATTCTCATGCCTTCAGCATACTGTCGACTGAAGCTCATTGTGATCTTCGAGGTATTTAAAGTAAGACAGTGTCAGTCTTTCGCAAGGACAGAGCAATACTCACGATAGAAGAGACGTTCAGACGCGTAGGTGAGGATGTTCGAGTTCAGCTGCCAAGAATCCTCTCTTTGAGGCAAGCGGAATGGGCGGAAATAATAACATTCGCATTCTCCAGCTTTGAACGCAAGTCACGCCTGATTTGCACAGATACGCGAAATTAAGAAATAGACAAAGCCCTCATATTTCAATGAGTATGGTCTTTGCGACATTCGCATAACCACTCTGATGAGCGACGCGGCATATCCAGAAGAACGGGGCATGTCAAGCAGATTGATCTTGCAAAATGAGGCTCAACGTGCAACAGTTCAAGGTCTGACAGTGTCGCGTCAAGAACGAGTTGATCGTATCTACGCTCTTAAAGACCCTGCGCCGTTTGACACAGAAGTCGAACATGCTCTTGCTGCCCTTGAGGGGGTGAAATCAAATGCTGGATCTCCCGAACACGTGGATTACTCGATAGCCGCTGCGCGTGCGTATCTGGACCGATATCGCCATGGCTCAGATTTGGCCGCAAAAGACTCTGAGCTGGCTTTAGATGTCCTTGAGAAAGCCACTACCTCCGAGCCGAGAGATCATTCCTTGGGCGCTCGTTATCATTACACGAAGGGGAAGATACTGTACGAAAAATGCTTGCGGCATCGAAGACTTGAAGATATCAAGCAGGCATACGCGCAGCATCAGCTGGCTTTTTCGCGCTGTTGTGAAGAGCTTGCTACCTTTCAAGAGTCTGAACAAGAGCCACCAGATGATCTCGTGGACATATATATACTCTGTGTCATCTCATGTTGCCATGTCGCTTTTGTCCTGTACGGAGTGACCGAAGACAAGGAATTGCTTGAAGACTCAATCGAGCTCGCAGAAATGTGCGTCATTGCCATCGAAGATGACCACCCCCGGATGTCGACTGTACTGGCATGCTGTGCCCAAGCACTTCTCATTCGACTGATTGATTTTGGCGAGCACTCGGACCTCGACATAGCCCTTGAGCTTTTTAAAGCCGCCCTCAACTCACCCACCTTCGACCAGCTGGAAGGTTTCCAGATTCGCCTAAGGTACGCGACTGCTCTTAGCATGAAGTTCTCCGCCACTGAAGACTGGAAGTTTCTCAATCTCGCGCGAAACGAAGTCGATTGTGTTCTCGTGATGCAGCATCAGCTCCTGCGCCATGAACTATTTCAATGCTTCGACGTACGCTTCGAAATAGAGTACCTCCAAGCCATGCGGGATCCTCACTACGACCTTCCTAGGTTGAACTCGCATCAGCTGGACGTGAATCTTCTTCTCCAAGGGTTTGAGTCGAGCCCATTTGTTGTGACGTACTACACCCAGAAAAGCAAGCTAGACTCCTTACTTTTTCGCAGGTATGGCGAGAAGAAGGCCCTCGCACAGGCTACCTCACACATTGCCCGGGCGACCACTCTTGCAGTTAATGGAAGCTGTGGTGTGATCTCAAAGCAAGAGCAGTTGGAGACTGCATACTGGAATAGTATCATTCAGTATGACAATTTCAGCAAGTATCACAGCCTTGAAGCCCTCAGAGAAGGCATATCATTCGCCAGGGAGGCTGTGGATGGTACAAAGCAAAGCTCCATCAAGTTTGTCCCTCGAGTCGTTGCGCTGTGCTATGGACTCCGGCTCCAGCATGAGAATGCGTCATTCGCCGGCTCAAATCTCGAGGAAGCCTCCATATGGTTGAATCTGGCCGCTTCAGCTGCGCGTCCTCTCGCCCCCAGAGAAGCATCCTCTCTTCACTCTGAGTTTGGAGAAATCGAATGGATGCGTCAACGACATCGTCATGCTGCGCCAGATTTTGATCGAGCCATTATGCATTTTCAAAAGGCTATTGAGGCCAGCACCATAGGAATTGAGATCGACAGCATACCACAAATTAGATTGGCTAACGTTCTTGTCGAGAAAGCCGTTCGCACATCGCATAAGAATTGTTTCAAAGAAGCTCAGACACAACTGGACAACTACCGAAAGTCTCTCGAAACTCGGAATATCGGTGATGGTGGTCTGTTTGTTCAAGCATGCGCCTGGTTAGTCAGGTCACAATACAACTTTGATCCAAAGCCTGGATATGCAAAAGCATGGCTACGCTTTGCACACCTTGTACTCAAGAAAGACTTTCCACCTCTCGTCAAGATCAACTACGCGGTGGAGGTTGCTGACTGGGAGCTTGAATTCAACCAAGACATCAATGCAAGCGTGACAGCGTGGAGGTTTGCTTTGGACGAAATGGTTCGTCTACTATCGGAGGCTCTTCAGCGACACGAGCAGCTGCCGATCATTCGAAAGTTTCGCTACCTTCCCGCAGCGACTGGCATTGCAATGTTCCAGCAGGGTGCTGCAGCTCTCGAGATCATTCAGATTGTTGAATCTGGTCGAAGTAGCATCTGGGCCACTGTCCTCAACCGGCAGGCTGATTTAGAGCGCCTTCAAACCTCACACCGGGAGCTGGCGCACCGATATCAGCGAATTCGATCTCAAATAGTCTCGAGCCAGCAGCAAACATTCTCCGAAAGGGCCAATGAACCCACACTTATCGAGCTTAGCGATGCGCTTGCAGAAGTCACACAAGAGATACGCAAAGAACCCGGCTTGGAAGATTTTCTACTCCCGCCATTCGACGATTCCAAGTTACGAGAGATTGCGAAACCAGGTCCTGTTGTGATGCTTTTATCAGGTCCCGACTTTGGCGTCGCATTGGTGATCTGTAAACTGAAAATTTTCGCCTTGAAGCTGCCCGAGTTTGGCAGTGAGCCGTGCGAGGAGCAAACAAAAAGATTGCAAACAGTCTTGGGAATGGCAAGCGCCTCTACAGAACCAAAACTTCGTTCGGAACTCGAAGATGTGTTTGAGTGGATGTGGCACGCTGCTGCCGAACCGGTCCTACGTTCTCTCTTCGGCATCCGCCAACCTGGACAAAACGACGAGAACATCTCAGGCTATCTGCGGGCAGACTTCGAAAAGACGACACCTGAAAACAGGCCCCGTCTCTGGTGGATAACGGTCGGCTGGGTGAATTTACTACCAATACACGCAGCTGGCGCCAAACGAAGGTCTGGCGACGATTCGGCTGACAGCCTCGATTCGGTCATGGATTGGGTGGTATCGTCATATGCTCCTTCTCTGCGATCACTGATGGCTTTCAGAAGACGGTTAGAGGTGCTTCAAGAGCCTCGAGGTGTCGAAGAGAACATTGGGAGCTTTGTCACCGTTGCCATGCCCACGACTCCCCCAGATTATAAGAACAATCTTCATTTCGCCCCCCTCCCACACGCCGCCGATGAGGTCAAGAAAGTCAGTGGTTTCCTCTCAAAGCACTTCAACCCGAACAAGATCTCTTCAACACCCTCGACAAGGAAGGAAGTCCTCATGAGCCTTCGCCGTTGCTCGATTGTGCACCTAGCGTGCCACGGCTACGCCGATCCCTTTGAGCCACTAAATAGTCGCTTCCTACTCAGGGACCACGAACGGAAGCCCTTGACCGCCGCGCACTTGATGAGACTGCGAATGGACAATTGTCAACTTGCATATCTTTCCGCCTGTGAGACAGCTGTCAACAAAGACATCGAATTGCGCGACGAAGGTTTACATCTGTGCGGTGCTTTACTGATGGCGGGCTGTCCGATAGTCGTTGCTTCACTATGGCAGATTTTGGACAAGCCAGCAGTCGAAATGGCATCCAGCTTCTACCAAAATCTGCAGACAGACAGTGGGAAGTTGGATTTGGGTCTGGCTGCAATCGCTTTGCATAATGTGTGTAAGCAAGCGAGGAATGCAGGAATACACCCTTATGTGTGGGCGGCCTACGTACACTTCGGATCCTGAGAATAATGTTAATTTTTGGTGGGCAGTTTAGGCCAGCGTAAGGACACGGGAATTTGCCAGGTCGAAGGGTGGCTTTCCGAGATTCATGCCTAGCTAGGAAGCAAGTTGAGGCGACCGCGAAGGGCTAAATTTGGCCCCTGGTGTACGAGGTACTTCAGGTTGCTGCTCAGGGACGCCTCAGGGACGCTCAGGGAGGGCTCAGTCGAGGCTCAGGTAAAGCTCAGGTTAAAGCGGTCTTCGCTCACGCTCTAGGATCAAACCGTGTATGGCAATGAGGTTTTTGTTCTCGAGTATCTACCTAGGTAGGTATTGTACTCGGTACCTCGTACTTCGACCTGAGATGTGGTTGAACTTCCCGCCATGCCGCTATTAGGCTTGTCAGTCCCCTTTGCATGCGGCTTTGCACTTCGGTCCATGGATGCTCTCCTTTTAGATGGGTCATGCCTCCTCCAAGTGGTTGCAGACTATCCACCCAGAATTGGTCTGCTCTACACAAGGTACTTACCCAGGTAGGTACCTAGTGGACACACATAGAGTCTATCACCATGGATTGGATAAAGCGGCATCATCATCATCCTAAAAGGGGCTGAGCCTTGGCAGCATCCTATTCGTCGCCGTCGAAAGGCCACTTCAGCCACTCCTTCTCTGGCACTATCGACCAGCAGCCCAACGAAGCCTTCTCTCTGCTCATAATGAGGCGAAGCAGGCATGACACATGCATTTCTCCAGTCGGAATTGGCGAGCCTCATATCAGACTCGAAACGAAGACACAATGACGTGCGCGCCGCTGCCGAGCAGTCGCTCACTGACCTCAGATCGATCTCAGTGACATCTGAAACTCAGCTGGCTGGCGACCTTTGCCGACGGCCACAATTCATTGAACCCTTTATTCTTGCTTGCCGATCCAAAAACACCAAGCTAGCAACCACCGGAACCGCCTGTATCCAGAGACTGACTGCAAGCAATGCACTCGCTCGGACGAGGCTTCTCGACATCCTAGACGCTTTCCGCGATGGACTTGCTGCAGGCTATGAGCCTCAACTGAAAACTCTGCAGACTCTGCCTTCTTTGCTGCAGCTCTATGCCGAAGAGATCCACGGCGACCTTCTTGCAACTGTTCTAGAACTATGTGCATCTCTCCAATCCAGCCGGACCGCCGCTGTGAGCAATACAGCTGCGGCAACCTTCCAACAGTTAGTCTCGGCGGTGTTTGAAAAGGCTGTGCACAGAGGAAGTCTTGGGTTGTCGCGTGACCGCGACGGTGAGGACGTCTCAAATGAAGATCTAAGAACTCCTGCTGTGGACGACGCAATCAGGCTCTTCGAGGACTTTTGTCTGCTACTCGATCACCAGAAACCCCAATACTTAAAAGTGGAAAGTCTTCCTCCTGGCTTTCTGCTCGAAACTCTACAGACTATCCTGACAGCTTACGACTCGCTTCTCACATCTGAAAAACTTCGCGATCAGAAATGGCCCGAGAACCTCATGCACGGCCTGTCGCGTGTCTTGGCCAGAAAGGATGCTTTTGGCATGACCTCGCGTGCTCTGTCTATTTTGCTCCTGGTAATACAAGCTCGCGCCGAGGACCTCCGAGATCAAGTGGCACAGATGACCCCCCTGCTCATTGGCACATTGGAGAAGGACGGCAACCCACAATGGAAACGTGCTCTTTTCCTCGAGTTCTTCCGTTCCCTCTGTTCCGACTTCAGCGTTTTCCGGGAAACATTCCGCCTGTTTGACAAGGGAAAAGACTCAGTCAAGCTAGTAGGCCAACTCATGTCCACATTAGTCCGTATCGCAGCAGAAGATCCGTCATTGATCGGGCTTGGGCGGCAGTCTACCGTCCCTGTGCAGCGTGTAACCGACCCAAAGAGTGAAGAGGCAGCATCAATTGAAGCGCAGGGTCTGGGCGGTGCCATCACCTCCGTGACCTCGAGTGATGCAAGCGTTACTGGGATAAGCACCGATTGGAGTGTGGTGGCTGTCCCGCTCATGGATCAACCCGAAAAGCACAGCCCGCCCACGATCCCGAGCACTTACATATACACTCTCGTTCTGGGTTGTATCTCACATTTATGTGATGGTCTGTCAAAGTTCATCATGCCACTTAGTGTCCCGAGTCGAGCTTCGCAACGAGAGTCTTCAGAAATGGGCCGCAGAGATAGCTCTGCCACGGATCGAACAGACGACGAAACAGCACGGAGATCCGTTCGACCAACATCGTCCTCTCAGAAATACCAACGACTCATAAATCCTCTGACCTTGACAAACCATCGACTCTTCGCCCAGATTCGCACCTCCGCAGAACTCATCGAAGCCTGCTGGCCTGCGGCGCTTGCCACTTGCTCAACATTCCTCAATGCCGCCCTGGACTCTGAGTTCTACCACATGTTAATCCGATCTGTTCAGAAACTAGCTCAGGTCTCCGGCGTGCTCGAGCTCTCCACACCCAGAGATGCTTTGCTCACGACTTTGGCAAAAGCCTCCATCCCGTCCAATGCGAGCAGTTTCATAGCGGCCTCTCAAAACATCAAGTCGACTCGAATTGCAAATGCTGAACATGGGATTCTCAATGACGCGCTAAAATCCCCAACTGAAGCACCACCGACACCTACCTTCCAGGTCAGCAGTTCACCGCTCAATGTCAGGCATCTGCTTTGTCTTCGAGCTTTGTTGAACCTGGGTATCGCCCTTGGCCCGACGCTGGAGGAAGATGCTTGGTTCATCCTTATCGAAACCATGCAAACGGTTGACGCTCTGATCGCAATGCCGAATGCAATGGCGCCGACCTCACAGGCAGGAAGTCCGAGAATGAGTGTTTCTGGTAATGACGGTCAGACAACGCTTTCTACCGAAATAGCTGCTGTTCAGGCTGCAACAAAGAGGATGCTTGAGAGCACACGAAGTTTCAGCACCGATTCCTTTGCCGTGATCGTGCACGCCTTGTTCCGCTTGCTTGGGCAGAGTGAGACAGAGAGCGATTCACAATCTCCAGAGCAAAGTCTTGCTGCTCCCATTTCACCCACTCATCTGGGGGCTCCAAGGCCAGCACAACACGTTTCCCGGAGTGTATCCGGTTTATGGACAAAGTCAAAAACTCTGGATCTCGAGATCGGGTTCGTTCTCAACAAACTCAGTGACTTGTCGCGCATCAATATATACCGGTTCGCATCCTCCTCAGATCAATCTTGTTCCTGGGATCTAATTGCAAACCGTTTGCTGCGGGTCTCTCAGGATACAAGCGTTGCTGGTAATCATCGAATACAATCTGCCAGTATTCTGGACTTGATCTCTATGGAGACGGTGAAGCTCCTGGATGACACGCGGTTCGAAGTCGGCGAAGCAGACACCATTAGATCCCGTTGCTTGCGATCGCTCCTCCAGCAGTTAGAGTCCTTTGGTGAGACTCCGGGTCGGAGGTATGATGGTGTCGAGCTGGAAATCCATAAAAGACTTCTCGATGCTCTAGAAAGCATGCTCAGTCACAGCGGAGAGTCTTTGAACAACTGCTGGCCTATAGCACTCGAAATACTGTCAATATCATTCGCAAAAAGGGGCCAGGCACAGCCACTGCCTGCTGAGGCATCAACGGAACAAGCCGACATGCATATACAGACTGCCCAGATACTAAGGGTTGCATTCAGATCTATACAACTAATCACCTCGGACTTCCTCGGTGTTCTCGATCCCAATTCACTTGCAAAGTTGGCCCAACTTCTGCGACAGTTTGGCTCTCAAGATTATGACTTGAACGTGGCACTGACAAGCACGACTGTTCTGTGGAGTCTCGCGTCTCAGGCTTTGTCAAGGATTGAGACCATCGATCTCACTTCCATGCCCACACTGGAGAGCCGGACAGAATTAATCGCCTTAGACTCCAAGTCCTCTTCTGGCACTATCTGGAGCGTTATCCTGCTGCAGATGATCGAATTGTGCAAAGATGAGCGTGCAGATGTTCGAAATGCAGCCATTAAAGTCCTCTTAAAGATGCTTGATGCGTCGGGCGAGGCTCTAAGCCCAAATACATGGGCAATTATGCTCGAAGCTGGTCTATTGGACACCATTCGATTTTGCATTACGCAGTATGCTGCAGACAAGAGTGACCAGAGCGAATGGATGGCTTCAGTGGCGCAACTGACCCAGGGCATCATTCAAATCATATCTCAGAATCTAACAGTGATCGCCAGACATGATGACTTCAGAAACACATGGCTTCGCACTATGGACGTTTTGAAGTCTCTGTTAAGCACAAGCTCGCTGGCTGCGTCTTGGTTGGCTTTCTCGAATCTGTCGAAAGTTCTTTCAGCGCTATCGGTTTTAGAGAATGCCGACGAAGAGCTGATTGTGTCTCCAATGCAACTATGGGCAGACTACCATCCTGCTAAGATCGGTCGAGGCTCTCAATCTCATCGCACGCCCGGTGAAGAATCGCCAAATCAACAAGCCCTCACCTCCCATGCCAATGTCTTTGTTGAAGCGTACAGGACCAGGCCTGTCGCCGTTTCGAATTATATGCAAGGTCAAGCTCCTGTGCTAATGGATTCCATCGAGTCAGGGGTACTGTTGTGTATGCATCCTCCCTACACGAATGATATTAAAGCTCTGGCACCGGAACAAAAGGAGGCTTTGCAGTGCACGGCCATACTGAAATCTCTCTTGCAAGACCAAGTGTCGGAATATTCTCAATTCTTACTTAGAATGCTGAGTCTCACTCTAAACGTCCAGGGAGGAAAAGTCGGTTCCCAGCAGAAAAAGTCGGCTATATCGAAATCCGCGCAGAAGCCAACGTTCATTGCCTTTGCGTCCACATGTTTGGATAACTTCCGGAATTTGATTCTGGAGTATGCAGAGGATGGAGATTTCGTCCACACCCTAGCCGTGCAAAAGGCATGCCAAGTACTCTCCGCTATCATCAACACGAAATACACGAAGATCCCCACAAACAGTCAAGCACCGTTATGGAGAAATGCTACCGTCACCACAGTGGTCATGCTCGAAGCCTTGCAGAAGCATGTGCGCCACAGTTGGTTACGGTCGGTGGGTGCTTCTCATCTGGATGGTTTAGCATCAGACATCACCTCGACCGCCGTCAATATCCTCAGCTCTGGTGGTCTGTCCAATCCTCCCGGCCCAGAGAACACCGAAGAAACAATCCTCGATGACGAAACGTTCGACATCAATCACTTCCAACTCCTACATGAGGCCATCGTCCCCATTTTCCAGTATTCACAAGAAGTCAAAGAGGACGCCTGCAGGGGATATGCAACTGTCCTCTTCGAGGCTTCACTGCTCGCGAAACCCTGGTTCTACGATATGCCAGACGATCTCAAGAATGAACCCTTGAAGGGCTTGTTACAGACGAGACCTGGCAGTGTCCACCGACCTGTCTTTGCCGTGAGACGGAGGATTTGCTACACAGCGCTGGATGCGCTGTTTGGGCTCGTATCGTGGCAGCAGGAATCTACCCAAACAGGCGGTGACCGAAGGGATATTAATACCAAGGACGATGATTCCAAGTTGGCATGTGCAGCAGCTCCTTACCTCATCCTGCGCGTGGCGCACCCATGCAAGACGTTTCTAGCGGACCAGCGACTGCGAGGTCTCACTCCGCCGCCAGAGGCCCGGCAAGTGGAATTGCAGGTCGTACTCTCCAAATTTGTCGAGTTGAGAAGCGACGGCCGGGCCATCGCCAGAATAATGACGCCGGTTGACGATGGGAGCGAGAAACCTCCTCCAACAAACGGACCTCCAGTACCTTCTAATGGAAGTGTCATGCCTATGCGGAGCTCCGGGGTGGATGACGACGGCAAATCCCACCTCCGCATCCTCTACGGCTTAATGCTGCGTCTCCACAAGTTCTGGCAGGGTCTGCCGAGATTAAAAGGTCCCGGGGCGCGGGCGTGGCAGGACGATGAGCCGGGAAAGGCGATCGAAGCGGCTCTGGAGAGCTGGGCGAGAATCGTGGGCGAGGAGTGGGGTTTCCGGTCAGGGGTTTTGAATAAATAGAAGGAAGATGGAAGACGGGAGAGGGGTTACGAGAGGACGGGGCCGGGGACTAAGCACTGCGAATGACCCTACTAAGATAATGACGGGGCAAGGGCCTAGATACCCGAGTGTGTATCACTGATGTTCGAGAATGAGAAAGATGATGAGAGTGAAACTGGAATCTTGCTTGGCGCACGGAACAAGAATGCATCTGATATGATAGATCTAGGTTCAGATCCTTGGAGAGCGCATTGCCATCAATTGAATCTGTGGGATACTCCGCCAGTCAAGCGTAATTCGGGCAGTTATCGCCATCTGAGTAGTCGAGCGGGAAACGCATGGCACAAGGACCATCGATCGAGGGCCCCCATACTACCAGACGACAAGGGCCTCAAATCCCAGCTTATGTTGACAGGGTATCCGATGCCCGCAGGTGACCATGCCACTAGTATGAGGTAGCCTCGCACCGACATGAGGTTCAGAGTTGGCCTCGTCGAATTCTGCCACTTTTGGAAAAACAGGAGCCCGACGCGGACCATCCCGGGTATACGGGTATACCTTGCCGGGCAAAATTGCCCGATGTGAATCGAGTTCCATTCGCGCACTGTAACGCCTATCCACTGGCAGGCCCGCCTTCATGACTGGGGAGGAATCTTTCCCCGAAGAACGATCCCCCCGCGGGCGAATGGGAAAAGTTTTGGGGGATGCCCTCGTGGATGAATTAGGCAGGTGTCGGCGGAGAATGGATGGGCAGCTTGCCTCCGATGCCAGGCTGGTCTGTCGCTAGTGCGGGAAGCGCGTCGGGCGCTTGTCGGTAGAGGACGATTTCGGACTGCTTGAAGTAGCGGCGGGCGTCTATATTATTTGCAACGTAACAATGTCAGTCCAGATCAATAAGGTGGAATCGCGCGCTTCTGTAGAACGGGTATTGAGAAAGCCGGACACCAGGCCTAGCGTGGGGACATGCGGGTGTTCGAACGGGCGAAGTTTGCCACGTGTCGGCAATTGAAAATGCGCCTCGAGTGTGGGACAGCCAGTGTATAGGCGTTTGCATGAGCAACGCTGACGCAGACCAAGTCTCTCGCTCTCTCACCGACATCCAGTCCACAGTGGCCCGTTCAGAAGCGGAAGCTTATCGTAGGAACGTACCTTCGTCAATCAACACCAGACTGAGGTAGTATCTGGTGGAATATTTTTTGTTCACCTCTCGGAAGGTGGGTGTCAGGTCAAATCCTCCCAGGAACAGTCGGATAGGGATAGTTTCGCCTAGACTCTCATCAGTATATCATTTCATCTCTTACTTGGCGTCCAAATCTGAGGGTCATCCAATACCCCTGGGGGTTCTCGAGACGCCATCCAAACACAAGGCGTGGCAATACGGGAATTCGTACCTCGTGATGGTGATCCATCCATAATCTGAAACAACGTGAGCAGCCAGAAGATGCACAATCACAAAATACGTACCTCGAATCGCACCAACGTTTCGCTCTCATTGTATTGGTTGGGGGCGACACCGGTCGTCTCTCGTCGGATAATGGACAGCTCCATATGTTTGATCTTCAATCTGACCAGCAAGAAATAGATCCTTCCCACGATGACGTCCTTCAGGTGGTATTTACTCTTGGAGTACTCGAATTCGATGTGCAGACAGTCTTCAATCCCAACGTCCATCTTGATCGAGCTGTTTGTCTCTGGGGGTATCCGGTAGGAGTAGACCCAGATATCCTTTTCCCGGATGACATCGGCCATCCTTCTTGAGACTGTGACGCGCACAAAGTATCGTAGCTTGACGTTGATGCCATTATATGACTCGTATTGCTTTTCGACGTTCTTGAAGTTGAAAGGGAAGGTCTGAGGATGTTGCAGTTCTCCCGGCGCAGCAAGTTCTTGTCCCAGCGACAAGAATTCGTAATGGTTCCCTCGGTCAAAGAACATTTCTAGACAAGCTAGAGTTAGATTCCCAGCCAAACCTCTGTTTTATTTGCGGCGTACCTATCAGTCCGATGAATTGAACCTTGATACCAGTATGTTCCAGTCTTTTCCCGTCCTTAGGTCTTATTGTGACTGCGCCTTTGACGGATTCGCCATCGAGATATAAAGGAGCCTTTTCCCGTCTGTTCTTGTCGAGCTTGACATCGACAGTTTGCCGCTCGTCGGCATCTTCGAGGACAATGTCGATATCCACCGGTGTTGAGAAGAAGAAAGCTGACATGGTAGGAAAGGTGGGACGAAGGGATGCTACGGCTTAGTGATCTAGCGTATGGATGCTGCAAGGAGGATGTCGTCTGTGTATATGGGAGATGCTGCAGAGATGTTGCCGCAGTCGAAAGATGAGCTGCGCTACACTGCTCGGTGACTACGAGCTGCGCTCACTTCCCCGGATGAGCGCCAAGCCCCAGCCAGGCTTAAGCGACAAGCGGCTTGACATTTGGTTTCGCCTGCATTTTGAACCTCCTCACACAATCCAACGCCAGACCCTGTTAATGCCATCGACAGAGACCCGGACAACACAGATTAGGCATGATATATGCCAGAGGATGCCGAGTTACGCATCTGTGGTGTTACGAGACGATGGTCAGCCACCGCTCACCCTATCCCCAACCATGGCCCAGGCCTACCTCGACGTGCTGCCTCAAATTCATTTCACTTTACATCAGACACGTGGTTGCCTCGAGACGACCTCCATGATACCTGATCCATATGCAACGCAATGCAAGGCTGTGACACTCCCCGCCGTTGGGCCAAAGGGAGACAGTCCAACGCTGAGAAGAGTGCTGGACGGAGTCAAGAGAAAGGATTCTGCACAATAAACAAGTGACCGCTGTTGAGTCTGAGCCTATGTCGTCCTTGATCCAGAATCTCCCAGCTCTTTGGGACGTCCTCGTCGTCACCTACCAGCTACGAGGTACATATCTTCGTTGGAGACGGCTATTGACGGGCCGCCCCTCTGGCGTCGAAGCTGGTGGTTCAATTGCCGATCCCTTGGATGCTGTTCCGTCTCCCCGCAGGCCGTACATTCTCCAAACTCTCACACCATTCATTCCCTGTCAGTGCTCTTCCAAGATTTCGATCGATACGAGGACTGCGTCTCCGAGGGGCTCAATTCCACCCAATTCACCAGTTCTCAAGCCACAGACGGCCATCTCGGTACCGCAGTCCAACCTGAACCTGATTTGCTTCTGCCACCCGGCCAACATCGCCAGGATTTTTATCCGGCAGCCCTCCGCCCTGGTGGATTTCTGCGTGTGGGGTAAGACCGGGCAACAGTCACCCTGGATTCATTCCAGCTCTGTGCGACGTTCATTGTGCTTTCCCGGCTCGAGTCTCTGATTCTTTCCTATCCAATATTCCAGCACTGACCGCCACCCAAAAGAGCAATTCTAGTGAGCCTAACGGCAATCTTCACCCTACGGCCCCTTAATGAGTTACATCTTTATATCTCACCCTTCCTCTCTCCCAGTAAGTGACCGGTTCTCTTCTTCCCTTTTGTTATACTTAATTTTCTTTACCCCACGCTCTTAACCTTTCGCTCGCTGCTTCTTGTTTGCTCGCGTGTCTCGGCGGCTCTAAGCTCCGCATCTCGTGTTCGCTTCAGTCGCGACCTCGTCCGTTTGCCTTGCCTAACATAAGCCGCCATGCTGTCGACAGAACGAACTCCCAGACCTCATCCCTTTCGGCACCTGCACCGACCTATTTTTTCAAACTACGGCACCTCCGCACGCGTCATGCAAAACAGTGCCGACCACCTCGAACACATCTGGATCATTACCGGTCCTGCAGGATGTGGGAAGACGACGGTCGCACAGCACCTTGCTGCCGAGTTGTCGCTACCCTACATCGAGGGTGATGATGTACGCTGCTCTACACTTGTCCTGTTGTCGTCTAGGCTAAACGCAAGCACAGTATCATCCCTTAGCCAACAAGCAAAAAATGGCCTCCGGAATTCCCCTTACGGATGCCGACCGCTGGGATTGGCTGATCACCCTCCGAGAAGAAGCAGTCAAGAAGCTCCAAACGTCCAACTCGGTTATCGTCACATGCTCGGCTCTTAAGCGCAAATATCGCGACGTCATGCGAGTCGCCAACTACGAACACCCTTCCGTCCAAGTCCATTTTATCTACCTCAAGGTCGATGAAGCAACGCTGCAAGCGAGAGTGGCTGCGCGAGTGGGCCACTATATGAAAGAAGGAATGGTGCACAGCCAGATGGCCACGTTGGAAGAGCCAGAGGAAGAACTTGAATGGGATGTCATGCAAGTGGATGTGAGGGAAGACAAGGAATTAGTCAAGCGACATGCACTCGAGCTGGTGCAGCGCAAGCTGAGAGAGTATAACGAGCTGGCGGTGCAGCAACAAGTCTAGTGACGGCGTCACGGGTGCAGGCAGAGTTTCGGATGGCTTGGGTACTCCGAGGATCATACACCGAAGAAAATGATTTGAGCAAGGGCGCAGGGCGTTAAGTGATGGTTTGGAGTCGGGCAAGAGGGCTGGCAAGAAGAAGCCAGCATCCTGACAGTGTACGTGTAAGGGACGGCAAATGAGGATATAAATGGAGGAAAGGAATAGCAAAGTCGGTGCTTTGGGCGCCATTCCTGTGAGCAGGATGCCCTCAGGTTAGGGGACCGCAGCGCAGGATCTTGAGTGAAAGCCACCACAGGATAAGGCGGCGAAATTCTCAAAATGAAATCCATGCCTTCAGAACTGCCCCAAAGGAAACCACTTGCAATGATGTCCGTACGCTGTGGACTTTGAGCCACCAAGGACCGATTTTTGCCCTGCAAGAAAGTTAAGTCTATTTACCCATTATGTTTCGGTCCTCAATCGACCCTGAGCCCCCGGGGTCATCAAGTGAAATGATTTCTGTTCTGATCGTCTTCCCTGGCCAAAAAATTGTGCAGGAATGTGTGTGTGTGCCATTGTTTGTCCAGAAGGGGAACAACAAGAGTTCGGGTGTACCATAATAATGTGACGAGAAGAAGTTCTCCGCGCTTTCTCCGTCCCTCAAGCACCGTCAAATGAACCTGAAGCGCGCAGGAGCAGGGTTTGCTTTCATGGAGAAAATCAAAACACCAGGAGCCATACGCCCATTGATACGACCCAATATACACCGACCCAGAAATGCTGCTGCTTCCTTTGGCTTGCTGCCGCGGCATTCGGCGCCTCCTTGCCCACGCCCTTTCCTCCGCCACCGGTCACACTCGCAGGGACGGCACAGCTCGTCGCGCCGCAGACATAGCCGCTGGGACAGCACCCGCCGCCGACGCTGGGCGCGCAGGTGGACCAGCCGTGGGCGCAGTTCCCCGTCAGTTGCGTGCCAGGGGCAGTGATCCCGGACCCCGTCGGGGCGACGATGGTCAGCGTGTTTCCGGACACCAGCGTCGTGGATGACACGGCTGGGCAGGATGTGGAATCGCAATTGCGCCCGATCTGGCAGCAGCCGCCTGGGTAGTAGGCCGAGCAGGCGTAGAAGCCTGTCGGACAGCCCGTGACTGGATAGGATGGAGATGTGGAGTGGGTGGCGGTGGTGGTTGTGGTTTCGACGGTCGTGGTGAGGGAGGTTGGGCGTACGGGTGGTTCAGGAGTCGCCGAGGAGGAGGAGGAAGAGGATGTGGTGGAGGAGAGGGCAGGACAGTTCGAGGACCCGCATTGCCGGTCTGTCGGACAGCATCCGCCTCCCAGAGAGGCTGGGCAGGAGCGGAAGCCCGAGGAGCAGGTGAGCGGGAGGGTTGTGGCGGATGTGACTGTGACGGTGAGGGTGACGGTTGAAATGACTGGAGGGAGCGGAGTCACGCTTGAAGTAGTCCTGGTTGATGATGTTGGGCTGGTCGTGATGGTCGTGGATGTGTGCGTCGTTGGTGTAGGCGTCGAGGGCGAAGGCGTTACCGTCGTATAGCTCGTCACGGTCGTCGTCGATGGCGTAGCTGGATTCGTCAAAACCGTCGCCGTCGACGTCTGCACGCATCCGACATCGTAGCACGCGTATCCCGCTAGACAGCACCCACCGCCTGGGTTGTTCGGGCACGAGGTCTGCCCACTGGCGCACGATGTCGACAGCGTATTCCCACAAACCTCACCATCGGGACAGCATGCGACATCTCCCAAACCGTTCCCGGTGTCCTGGACCAATTGGCACGTGTAGCCGGTCGCGCAGCAGCTGTTGGGTCGATCGATCGAGGTGCACGCTGATGTCCCCGTCGGACACTGGAAATCTCTCTCGGCGAAGAGATGCCAGCCCGGTAGCAGTCTCCGGAAGAGCCGTGGTGGACTCTGGTAGCTGTCGTGGACTCGGACTGGTTGATCGAAGGATGTGAACAAGGTGGTCGTATTCGCCCAGTCTAGCGAGCAACCGTCATATTCCTCCTCCTGCTCCTCAAAGCCCCAGTATTGCAGATAGAACTTTTCTCCAGGATCTCCGCTCATTTTCCTCACTCCGGTCGGGTCGCTCTTTTGCAGCTTCCGCTGTGCGTCTAAGTCTCGTTTGATCATCACTTCATCTTCCGGGTAGTACTTGGAATCTGCGGGGAGATTGTATGGCCACTGCAGGTTCAGATCTTGGGGTGTCACTGGCGGAATCGAGCTGGCGATAAGGACCAGGAGCGAGGAGGGTAATGCTGCCAGTTGCAGCCATGGTGCCATAGGCAATGTGGAAGAAAGGACCGCTGTCTAGTTACGAGGATGAGAGGCGCTGGAGGTGAATGCGAGGACGATGTGAGGACGACGCGAGAGGGAGAGCAGGTGAGGTAGACTGGCAGAACGAGATTCCCGACAAGACAGGAGTTAGTGATGCAAAACCCTTACAGTGACATTTACGGCAGAAGTCTAGAGACATGATGAAGCATCAGAACTTGATGGCATTTGTTGGCATTGTTGGCACAACGGGATGGCTGGGATGATGGTTTCCTGCGCCTTTAGGCCTTTAGAGACATGGAGTGAGACGCGACCATTCGGCTGGACGCATTTTGGTGTGGATCCTGTTTGGTGTCCCACTGCTGCACTTCCGCTTCCCATGTCCGCACCTTTGACCATACCGAGTATTTGCCCAGCCTTGCGACCTTGGTCAGCCTCGCATGTGGTGGTCTTCATTGGGCACATGTCCTGTATCCTGCATTTCGCATACACCGACATCTGCTTTTTCCTTTCCACGGCTCTGCTGCCAATCCTCAAGGCCAGACCGGGGGTATCGCCAGTACTGCTGGCGCTCCACGGCCTCTTAGTTTCCCCAGATCCATGGTCTAGTAAGTGCCTGCCTTCAGACCCTTCAGTGATCCCAGACTCAAAGCCAGTCCTTGTGACCGTGACCGAATCCGAATAAATCCCACAATCGAGTTGTCCGCCGTCTTTTCTATGCTCAGGTTCGCCAATGCGTCCTCACCTAGATCCAGAGTCAGTCACACTGAGCACTTCGCACGCAGAGCCTAGCCACTTACCAAAAACACTCCTTGCGTAGAGATTTGCACTCAGGAATTGACAGTCACCTTTGAGGCTGGCTTCTGGAGTCAGACACGTCATATTCGTGCTCTTCATGAGTTGATCCAAGAACTCTCGTAGTGTCTTCGTCGTTGCTTTGCTGTTGATATTCACCTTGTTCTCCCATTCAAACTCGGTCCACATCGTCCTGAATGCTGATTCTGAGCATGTAGCTGGCTGAATATAGTCCATGATGTCTGCATGCACATCATTGAGGATGACAACATGCGTATCTGTCCCCGAAGGCGAGTCATATACGACATTACCGAAAATCACTCCGGTATCCGTGCTTGACACTTTGATGGTCGATTGCACATTGAGGAAGTCATGCGGTCCCAAGTTGTGGGTAGTCGGTCGTTCCACCACCTTCAAATCACCTAGTGTAGCAAACTCCACCGACAGGTTCTGGAGAGTCTCGGTCGTTTGATTGACCAGGAGGACGTCGAGGATGATGTCAAACTGGTGCACCTTGACATACGCCTCAGCGTAGACAGGATCCGAAAAGCCAGTGAGCTGCACCACACGACTCAGCTTGGACGACAGATCTTCGAACGAAGCATCGGCACCGGTTGCTTTCTCCAGGTCAAGTTCCATTTCATCTGTGCCATCGCCAGTATTCTTCTTCGACAATTGGCGTATTGAAAGAACGTCGTCAACTTGGACGGCTGTCTTTGCCTTTTCCACTGCTTCCTTCGCCGCCCGCTTCTTCTCCTCGGCCTGAACCATGGCCCGGAAGGCCTTCCTCGTGTCGTCCAGGAAGGAGACCTCTAATTCTTTGCGTTCCGTGAATTCGGCCAGGGATCGTACACAAGACATAATTCGATCAACAGAATCCTCGTCAATGGGCGCCTTCACAAACTGCGACTGCCCAACTCGGACAATCGAGATCATTATCAGCATGGCCTCAGCACGCAAGGCATTCGTGCGAGCCTGGTCTGTCGAGATCTCCGAATGTCGCATAACTAATTTTGTCAAGGTTGAAGACAGCACCGTCGCCAGGTAATAGTCACCATCAAGAATGAGTTGTCTCAGGGGAGGTTTCTGCGCCGCCTTCACTGCTTCCAGTCTCGCCTTTGCGGCGGAATCGCTGGTTAGGGCGCTCTCAGTCGCGTATGTACCATCAGCAAGGATTTTCCGTGATCCACTAGAGGCTGGTTTGGGTGCCGAATGACCATTGACCTGGTCCTTCGGCTCGCCATCCTCGTTCGACTGCTCATCTAACAGCCGTTGCTCCGAAGCAAGTATAGGGATCTCACCCAAGCTCGCCCGAATCCGTTTCCAAGCCTCCTTTATGTCGTTCTCTTGTAAGGAGTATTCGCCGATCACCCAGAGCGAGCCACGATATACCTTTCCTGCACGGACCTCGCCCAGTATCGACACCAGGCGCTCCACGATGGATGATCTGAGCTTAGGGAACTTTTCGACCACCTCTTTGACAAAGGAGATGACGTCCACTGCGGAGCTGTTGTTGAAGTCGGCAATGAAGTCCATCAAGACATCGACGACGCTTGCCGCGATCTCTGAGAACTTGATGGCGCAGTGGTGGATAGACTGGATCAGGAGTTGTCGGTATTCCGAGTTCTTTTCGTATTGCTCAATCACAGTCTTGCTCAATTCTTTCTTCAGTAGCATGACAATCTCTTGGACGTTCTTGCTTGAAACCATCTCCAAGGCGATCGCCAAAGCCTTCCGACGGACGTCCAAATCAGGGCTAGAAAGAACTCGCAGGATCTCCATGGTGAGATCGTCCAGGACACCCTCATTCCGTCTCCGCAGTTGGTCAACGCGATCAAGCACGATAAGCTTGACGTTGTTGTCCGCTTCTTTAATGCTCAGCTCGATCAGTTTACCAGCCGCCGCCTTAACAGCCACCGGATTGTTTGTCAGAGCCGTCAATGAAGTCGCAGCTTCATAGACAACTGTGCTTGTGTTCGCTTCCAGCAGATCAAAGATCAACCGCAAATAGCGCGCCTTATTTGCTTGGTTTTGCACAGCGTCTTTCCGGATAAATTCAAGTTCAACCAACTGGAGCAGCTCATCGGCGTTGGGCACTCCGTCTAAGACTCCGGTGAGATATTCCAACGCTTTTTCATGGCTTATAGTCATCAAAGCCGCAAAAGCATTTCTTTTGCAGGTTGTGTCGCTCTCGCCGGCGAGGAACGTATGGAGCATCTCAGGAGCGTCCGGAATCAGGTGCTGAGCGTTCTGGTATACGGAGGCCAGGGCCCATACCGCGTTCTTTCTCACGTAGGCATGCCTGTGGTCAAGGCAAGTTTGTGCGGCAGAGAGGAGGGGTTCGATCAATTCGGGTTCTCGAAGTTTGGAAAGGAATCGCAGCGTATTCCCCCGAACGAACTCGTTGGGATGTTGGAGATCGTTCCGAATCCCATTACTAGCAGCTATCAGTCTCAATTCTCTCATGTATGAAGAGACAGCCGAGCACACCAGACAAGAATCATCTCCTGCTTTAACTTCCCATTGGCGTCCAGCTTGGGGCAGATCTCGTAGTAAAAGTACAGCAGCTTCTTTAGAGATTTGCTTTTCGACGGCATGACAAAACGGATAATGTGCATTAATAGGTTGGGCATGGGATCGCCATTGAGCATGATTTGGAGTATCCTCCGCATGGTTTCCAGCTTGGTCTCATCTGTACCCTTTTCCAGTTGCGTCTTGAGGTCCTGCTGACTTGGCTGGTCCGCTGTGTTGTCAAGGTGCACGAGGCTGTACGAGTTCTCGAGAAAGGTCGCCATGGTCGCGGGAATGCTTTCAGCGCAGCCGAGCGTGATCAGGCAAGGGTCCTAATGGCGATTGAAAGTTGTCGATACAAGTTGCGCGGAGGTAGGAGGGCTACGGTAGGAAACAATCAGAGCATGGTGGTAACTCTCTGAAGGCCGTTCCGGAAGCGTCCCAGAGATCGTAAGACAGAGCAATGGTAGAGAGCAAGAGAATGCACTTCCTGAAGCCGTTGACAAGTTGTCGTGGGGGAGACGGCGACCGCCAGAAGATGCATACATAGTGATCTGTCCAAATGTGGATGGACTTGGCGGCCTGCTTGTAGCGGCCAGAGATTGTCCTGAACTAGCTATAGATAGCATGGGATGTCGCTGCTTTGTATCAGTATGTAGAGTAGACGAAACGAGTTTAGTTGAGCTTGGCATTATTCCAAAATCGAGTAGAGGGGAAATCGACTCACACATCACATGGGAGTTCGCACACGGTGATCAATCTGCGCATGCAGGACGCTTCAATGGCAGCAGGCGAGGGTCCCACAAGCTGCGGTGGCGCAAGTTGGACCGACTGTAAGCTTCCGGGATGCGACTGTCGAGGATTGTCCAGCTGAGGGGTTATCTCCCCGGGCTCGGTTGATGATACCGAGCGAGCGACTTTCGACATTTTAGACGTTTGCCATCATGGACCAATGGAAAAAGTGTACCATGTGCACCACCTCAGACGACAGCATCAGCTATTGACGTCTGATACGAAGTTGCTATCCCCCAGTTAAGTGGACGTTATTCTTTGTTTGTCGGTATCCTCGTTCAGGGACTTCGGAGTCTGTTAGTTGGGCCATCTTCGTTGAGTCCTCAATTCAGTACGACATTACCATAGCTGGATGCAGCTGTGATGACCTCCGTCGATCCTGTTACAGACCTTTCAGAGGTCTCTCCTGTCTTGCTGCGGAAGTATATCGACGGTTGTCACATGCTCCATCAACATGATCTCGTGGACGCGTATGGCCATCTTTCCGTCCGTCTGTCCGGTTCGACCTTCCTGATGTCCCGGTATCTCGCACCGGCTCTGGTCGCGTCTGTTGAAGACCTTGTCATATACAATATCGAAGATGCACAGCCCGTGAAGCCGGACGCCCCAAGAGGTAAGTGAAGGTCAAGAGGTGCTCCGTTAACATCGCGAGTTTGCCTCCATTGAATTCTTTGAATGCTATTGTAACTCACACAAAACAGGATTCTCAGAGCGTTTCATTCACTCGGAAGTTTACAAAGCCTATCCATCTGTCCAGTCAGTGGTTCATTCGCACAGTCTGGACGTTGTGCCATTTTCAATCTCGACAGTGCCGTTGTCTGCGTGTTTTCACATGGCCGGGTTTCTGGGGACCGCTGTTCCTGTGTGGGATGCAGCTTCGGTGTACAAAGACCATCCATCCGACAATCAGGACATGCTAGTCAGGAACATCAAACTTGCTTCCTCACTCGCAAAGGCGCTGGGGAAAAATGGTCAGGTCAATCATCCCGTTGTGCTCATGAGAGGTCACGGTATGGTGGTGACATCAGAGAGCCTGGAAATGTGCATCTTCAACTGTATTTACACGCAACAAAATGCAAGGGTTCAACGCAGTGCGATGGGGCTTGGTGGCGAGGTGAAGTACTTCACCGAGCGTGAGGCACATGATACAGGAACGACTACCGGGATGGGAGCTGTAAAACCATGGCCATTGTGGGAGAAGGAGGTCTCCAACGAAACCATGTATCGAAACCTATTACCTAGCCCCGAGGCTGGACATGGCTGACTTGGGGTGAATCTGTCAGACCAATCAAATACTCCTAAATAGCAGACTATCCTTGTGATTCAGTAGAACCTACGGCATTGAATGAGAAGATACTAGAGTTTAGCAAGTATTTCTACCAGCACCTCGGCCTCGGCAACCAACTGTCCATCAATAATAATTGATAACGAAGGACACGGAACGGGAGGTTGATGCCAAGCCCGGCCCCCACTCCACCCTCATTATTTCCCCGGCCATCCCGGACACAACCCGGCCCGACTATCCGAGGGCGGAAACGAAGATATCTCCCCTTCCAAAATCATCCCCTACTCCGCGTTTTCCAACCTGGTCAGGAGACAATAGTATCACACAACCAACAGACCTGAGTTCATGCAGGATGATAGCCGAGTCTGCTACTGCTTCCCCTGCGGACAATGAGCAAGATGCCACTAAGCAACCCTCCAAGAGACGTCGGATTGGCTACGCATGCGACCTTTGCAGGTGGGACTTGTGACCCCAGACTCCACCTGGAGCGTTGGCAGGGCTGTGACGACTGACGAACGTCCTCCAGACTGAAGAAGAATAGATGCGATGGCGAGCGGCCGTCTTGCCAGCAATGTCGACAACGTCGGCAAGAATGTGTTTATTCACCACAGCGGGCGCGAGTGAGTGTCACACAAGAGTAGGTAGCATTGCATTGCGCATTCTGTGGTCTTCCGTATTTCCACAATCCAACTGTTGAAATGCTAACACCGACATTCCAAAGCTATGTTGAAGAGCTCAAGATGCGAAATGAGATGCTCGAGAGACAACTTGCGGCTACCCAACGGGCCCATGGAAGCCGTTTGTAAGTGCTAACATCCTGCCATAACTTTATCTTACAACGGCTCATGCATGAGAAGCAACGTTCCTACATTACCTGGAGAGATGGATGGCTCTACCACGATCCCCAGCGATGACGGCCAAGTGATCAATCCTGGGAATCAATACGTCTCCCGTTCACAGAGCCAGATACCAGATCGCCCTCGCGCGACCGATCAACAGCAGGTCATACGAATGCCTAGCGAAAGCCACACCGCCGCATCTGATCCAGCAACTGTATTGAGCGAGGCGAACAAGGGTACTCCAACTGAGTACTTCGGCGAGTCTTCGACATTCGATTTCATGGCCAAAGTCAGCTCTCCAGAGAAGGATGCATCAACTGGGCGGTCGGGTGGTCCGAGCGGTGGATCTGCTCTGAGAGATCCTAATACGTCCCTCGCAACCTCTTCTCCATCAGTCCCGTTGTTTGAGCTTTTGAGTGCCGAATCTGATGATCCATTTGGTCTACCTTCCCGGTTCGTCGCTGACCGTCTAGTTGACGCATACTTCAAGCATCGGCATCCGCTCAACCCTTACCTGCACGAGGGAACATTTCGACAGAGATATCGGCGGCTGTGGCTAAGTCAAGATCTAGGTGGAGAAGAGGCCACACAGCAGAGTCTCGCCTGGTATGGACTTGTTAACCTGGTATTTGCGTTCGGAAGCGATCATGCCAATGTCACTGGCCGTTCAGCTGGTGATCGGTCTCGGTATTTCAAAAGGGCAAAGACACTGCTTGTGTCTGGAATGTTACAAGTCAGTACCATCGAGCTTGTTCAAGCTTTGCTTTTGATGGGTCAGTACCTCCATGGGGCTCTCGAACTCAACAACTGCTGGACGGTTATCGGACTTGCAATACGTACGGCACAGGGATTAGGGCTGCACCTCAATCCCGCCACCTTCACTTCAGACAAGATTGAGCAAGAAGTCCGCAAGCGGGTGTGGTGGGGCTGCTTCGTGCTCGACCGAGTGTTAAGCATGAAGGTTGGTCGCCCCACGATCCCGGACGGCCCAGGAATAGAAGTGGGAATGCCGCTGGCAGTAGACGATGAGTTCCTGTCCAACGAAGACGGACAGTCCGTTCAGCCTCAAGGGGTGCCGTCCAAGCTGGAATACTTCAACCAGGTCATTCCACAGTGCCGGTTGATGGAAAAGATCCTAAAGACCCTGTACAGCGGTGACGGACCGGGAGAGAATGCGCAGAAAGCGAGGCCAGTGATGGACACTACTCAGTTCTTGGCCTTGTCGATCCAGCTCGATGGGGAGTTGACCACATGGCAAGAAAATCTCCCGAGTCATCTCAAGCCAGGAGCAGAGGGCTTGGAGTGGCACTTTGAGAGGCAGAGAAATGTGCTGCTGATGAGGTGGGCACCATCTGTTCTGGAGGGTTCACAATGAGGCTAACCGAGAGTTCTCTCAGATATCTTCACGCGCGACATTTGATCCACCGTCAGACTCTGCTCCTTTATATCACGCGGCGGGTCACCGACCATTTCCAGCGCGAGATTATGCTCAAATGTGTTAAGCGCTGTGTGACCGCAGCTTACGACTCGATCACCCAGATGGGGAGTTTGCATCATCAGAACAAGCTATCATCGTTCTGGCACAATTCACACTGTACGATGCTCTCTGATCGTTGTTCTGATCGGCCTTGACTGATTCATCTCTAGATGTCTTTGCCGCCCTCGGTGTCCTCCTGGTATATCAAACGGTCGAACCTCAATCTAAGGCTGATATCGCTTTGCCTCCAAATGTGGACGTTGACCACGCTGTGAGGATAGGTCTCGAGCTGCTTCAACGCGTGGGGGGTCAAATGCATCCACTTGCATCTCGATATGTCCAAGCCATTCAACAATTGCGAGCAAGGCTGCAGGCCCTGCCCACCTCCAGGAGCAAGCCTCCGTCGAGAGAGGCAAGCAGCTCTCAGTTAGGGGTTGCGTCTTCTGGCAATAATGCCAACCAATCACAAGCGCCTGCGAATGGTATGGGATATCAGTATTCGCATCAACCATCGCATCAGCAAGCTGCGAATACCCTGTACCCTGCCTATGCACAGGATGCCTATCAGTCGACGCCGGGCGAAGTATCTCTGCGGGCCGGATTTGAGGACGAGTTTGCAAATATTGAGAGCATGCTCATGGACAGCACGGGCTGGACGGGTCTGATGGATGATTGGAGTGACAATCCGGTATATGCCCGCTTCAAGCCCCCTTTGATACCACTGAAGAAGGCCTGACTAATTCTCGTTCCCAAATTCCTAGACCTACGCGAGATTCACATACAATGGATTTGCCTGAACCTCCCGGCTCCATGCTGTCCACGGTCTGAGGACCGTCTTGACGTTGATCCCCGTGCAGTCGGCGACCTCGTCGTCATCGAGGAATGTCAGGTCTTGCTCTTGATCGTGACTGTGCTCGTGGCTGGCCTCAGACGACCCCAGCGTCAACGAGCTTCTCAACATGACCGCCGTGGTCTGGATAATGGCATTGTTTCTTGTATAGATTGAACGAAAGACGCAATGCTCGATCGACGCCGCAGCCACAGTCATCCCGTGTCCTCGCATCAATACCACGCTGCGGTCTAGTCGGCCGCCACTGTCAGCTGTGGCCGTATTGGTGAACAATGCTGCAAGAGCCGCGCCGAGGTGCTCGGACCGGATCAGGAGGTCTTTGATGTCCCCTGGCCGGAAGTGCGGACGGGGTTCGAAGACGGGGGTTTTCTTTCCTGCCAGCAAACTCAGCTTTGGTGAGTTCGACCTCCTCGCATTCTTTCATCTTCCACAATGGCCCCCTAATGGTGACATTGGACAGGCCGTAAAGACGGCGCGGATTCTCTGGAGTTGGAAAAGACGGCCAGTTTAGAGAACTCACCCAAGAACCCACTCGTGTTGACACAGGCCTTCAGCCCGCATCCCTCCTTCGAAGCAGGCAGGAGACCCCAAGGAATGACTTCCCGCGCATGGCTATGGCAGACACTCCTGACCTCGGTAAACCGCTTATACAGCTCCGAGTGGATGAACCGCTCCGTATAGCCCTTGGGTGCGTGCATGTCCACAGGCTCGGCGTCCTCGACGCGGTACTCGACAATGTCGTCGGGCGAGGCGAGCAGCGCGGCGGGCACGTAGCGCGCCATCAGGAAAACTGATGGATTGGCCGGGTGCCGGACGCTGATGTGGCCGTAGGCGTCGAGCACTTGGCCTTGGTGGTGCAGGATGTGATTCGCGGTGATGAGCGTGCGTTTGGTCGTTTGGATATCCATTCTTCCTCTGGTGTTTTTTCAGCTACACCGTAGAGAACGATTCTTTTGTTGTTGAACTGTGGACGAGGATTGACAATGACGACGACGATGATAATGACAGCGACCACAGAAAGAACAACCCCCTTTTTCTTCTTTTCTCAAGAGGATTAATACTCCACACTGCTTCAAAGTGGTGCTCACTAGTCGTTCCAAAATATATATACACATAATATGCCCCGAACTGTGCATTATCCATTACCATTTGGGTTCACGAAGAGGGAGCGAGGCCGCTTTAATCGGGGACATAACGGAGCATCGAGGAGGCCCGGCCGAGCACGGCACCGTCGTGGGAGCTACGGCAGATTGCGCCCGAGCGCTGGGCGTGACGCTCAGCTGATCACTACTCCCTGAGCAAACTTTCTGGGGGCCTTACCTCTCACCTGTTCGATAATGATTTCTTCTCCTGCGCCAGACTAGGATAACGCCTCCGGTGAACCAAACGGGTGTCCCATTCGTGAACATCTCTCTCCACTGGATGACAAGGGCAGTTTAACGGTCGTGGCTCTTTGAACATGGTGTTGTACGCTTCATTCAATGCCGGTTGCCTAAAGATGGTGCTGGCACGGCTATCGTCGTTGCGCATGTCGGGTCAGAAAGACTCTGACAACTCGCATCAGGCTGCACCATCGCTTTGATCACAGAGCCGCGCGTGTGGAACGTGTACCAGGAAAGCCTCGGTCGAGGACATCAAGGCCTCATACAACATGTCATATGTGTTTTTCCCACCTAGATATATTCTTACCGTGGCGACGCCGCGGGGCCCCGGGACGATGCCAATCTCGCTTCGCATTACTTATCATAGCCTCCGACTTCCAGCCATTCCATGGACCACGAAGGGACAGTAGATGAGGCCTCCCGCAGTGCATTCCCTCGCCAATCACATGTATGAGCTCTCTTCAATTGCATGTTCTCTGGCAATGCCTTGTTCTCGAGGTCCGGCATGGTTGGCAACGCGGGGTCAGAAGGCTGAGAGGGAGGGTCTCAAGGTATGACAGGTCTCTTGTTAGCCGGCCGCCACCAGGCGACTGCGACTTGTTTCTCGAGGCTTGATTGAACAGGGCAGCCCTTGTCGTGACGACCATCCTAAGATCGAGCACGTCAGAATCAACGGCGCCGCATTGACTTACCTTCTGAAACTTCCGCTAGCCATCTCGTGCGCCGTTCTCGACGTGTCGTCTCAGAGTGCAGATAAGAGGGGATGCCCTATCCAGTCGATCCCGTCCGTGGTCAGGTCTCCCCCATTCCCATTAGCTGCTGCAAGGACGGCGTGTCTAGATGGTGATTGTTCGCGCATTGGGAAATGGAGCACGAAGAATGAAGCCGAGCACCAGCCGAAACTGAATCGGGCCTGCCAAGCCTGACACTCCCGCCCGGAGATCTTTTATCATGAAAAGCAGATAAAGGCACCACCCTCGGTATCACCTGCGCAGATATGGATCTCAAGGACGCTGTCGCGATTCTGAACATTTTCTCATGCATGTACACAGCATTCCTGGCCTCTACGGCACGATAGGCCGTGTCTGCCCACACTGACGCTGAGCAATCACAAACAGGCGCCATGTCGATGCGAGAAGGCCGCACTTCGCTTGCACCGCCAGGTGACGCGAACGTGGTCATGACTTTACGAATGGTGAAATCTGACATCTCGTTCGACACTTCGGAGCGCAGTTCGACTGGTATCCTTCAAGCTCCGATTCTTGGAAAACCATACGACCCTGTGGCTGACCCCTCCTTTCCCTCTAGATTGCAAAACGTGTTGGAAAAGGCGTGTGGTATGCGATCGGACAATGCCCTCTTGCTGGAAATGCAAGAAGAAGGAGATGAAGTGCCCAGGTTATCGGCCATCCGCCAATTTCAATTGGACCATGCCTCTTACTCCCAAGACGTTGTTGAACCGCAAAGACATGAGGTCTGGTGCCATCCCTGCAAAGGACCAGCAACCCAAGAAGGAGACCCGCCGTGGCCAGTCAAAGGGAGCAAGACCCGAATCAGCTGCGCGGGAGTTTGGAGAAGTTACCAGTGTGATCCCTTGGTCCGGGCCCTCCTACCTTTCAACGTCGCCAGGTGCAGGGTCCGTAATCAAATCGCGAGATGCTCGCCGCTTGTTGGACTACTATTGTAATGCTCTTTCGGTGAAACTGCCTTGGGTCGATCTCAAGGACAATCCCTGGAGGACTACAATCGTTCCGGCCGCTCTAAACTCTGACTTTCTCCTCAACACGATCCTTTCCATGGCAACTGAAGAATTCGTGTGGGCTACATCAGGGCAGCTTTCAGCCGCGGTGCTCAAGCAGCAAGCGAAGAGCTACCAGACGCGGGCTTTGGAGCTGCTTTCGCACCAGCTGGCGTTGGACATCGCGCACGAGAACGCCCGGGTACTGCACTCCGAAAAAACAATCCAGATCCTGGCTACGGTGCTCCTGTTGTGCAACTTGGAAATGAGAAAGCCGGACTCGAGTATCTGGAGAGTGCACCTCAAAGCTGCTCATACGTTGATTCGGTCATGTTCTTTCACAGAGGGAGACCCAGCGTCCGGAATGGCCCGTTTCCTCATCACAAAATGTGCCTCCCTCAGCGTATTTGGTTGTATGTCCAACTTTCGGGATGGTTCCGATGACCTGATGGAGTACGTCTCGATCTCGGATGGCTCTGAATTCCTTCCATTCCTGCGGATCCTACAGAGGATCACACTGAAAAATAGACGGCAGAAGACCGTGGCAGCCTTGCCACCTGCTGACCCGGCATGTTCTCGGGAGGGCTGTGTCACACTGAGAGGGGACTTGATCCAGGCACTGCAAGAGACTTCCAGCTGGGTGTCAAGCATGGCTCATGTCTCGGCCTCGATGCGACATGATCTTGAGCAGGTGGGCCATATGTTTTATCTTGCCGGGCTGATCTATGGCCACCAAGCGCTACAATTCAGCTGCTGTTCCCGAGAATGCGAGATTTGGGGTTCCCAGATCATCGACGATTGTGGAGCGTTTCACCAGCTACCTCTCTTCTCGCAGGACATTCTCTGGCCCCTCTTCATTGCAGGCACAACGTTTGGCAGCCGTAACGAGCTGCAAGAGATTTTGACGACCAAAATTCAAGGTGTCGCGACGCACTCCGGCCATCGGAATGCACTGCCCGCTCTGAGCTTCTTGAAACAATTCTGGGCCTGTCAGACTAGAAGCCGAGATAGCTGGATCAGTTTCGCGGCGGACTGGACACAGAACGGTGGTGACTTTGTCATCATCTAACCCAACCTGGGGTGAGACGACGTGTTCTCGCTGACCTTCGTTGCAACTGTTCTCGACCCTCTGAGCCTTATCACCACCTACGGTCTCGAGTCGACGTATCGCGACGAGGAATGCGGTACGTATCGTTACCATCTGTGACAAGGACGAAGCTGTCTATGTCCTTCTACCTAAGCCCAATATGGCTAGATTTTCTCAAGTCCCTGCCATATTCGGTAAGAAGGCGCGCTAGCAAGATCTCGGCGTTGCAGCCAATCCGCATCCTTGTATAGGAAATCGACAGTTCTGCTCGACAAAGAAGTCACCATTTGGAACTCTGGCGGCAGTCCATCCTCGTTTGCAGACAAAAGATCCCCGATAAGAAGTCTGTAATGCGGACCAGACGCAAGACCTTATCTGCTGTGTATCTTTTTGCCGGAAGGGGACGTTTCTTCCACGATGGCGATGCAAAATTGGCAGACACGGAGGTTCGAGACACTGCAGCTCATAAGCGAGGGCTCCTCCACTGCATCTAGAACCGCAAGGGTGCAGTTACCATCATAATCGTCAGTATGAAATCAGCAGTGCAGCCCGCGCTTGTGCCCGGAATCTATGCAGCCATCCCAACTTTTTTTGGGCAGGACGAGACTCTGGACTTGGAAACACTAGAGGCACATGTCACTCGTTTGGTCCAAGCCGGTATCGCTGGAGTTGTGACCCTGGGCTCCAATGGCGAGGCTGTCCATCTCACGTCTGAAGAGAAGAAGCTCGTCACAAGCAGGACTAGGCAAGTGATGGTTTCGGCGGGGCGTGGTGATATGCCGGTGGTCGTCGGCTCGTCGGCTCAGTCCGTCGCCGAGACTGTTCAGCTGTGTCGTGATGCGGCAGAAGCGGGAGGAAGTCATGTTCTCGTCCTGCCTCCATCCTATTACAAGGCTGCCATGACCCCCAAGGCAATCCACGACTTTTACATCAAGGTCGCTGATGCGTCTCCTCTGCCGCTGGTGGTGTATAGTTACCCAGCCGTCGTATCAGACATCAACCTCAGCTCGGATCAGATCATTGCCATTTCCCAACACCCGAACATTGTGGGCACAAAGTTCACTTGTGGCGACACGGGGAAGCTGGCGCGTGTTGCTCGAGCCATGTCCGCGTGCAATGGCGGGAACAGCCCGAGCTACTGGGCCGTCGGTGGGCTTGCAGATTTTATTCTCCAGGCTATGCTGGTCGGAGGATCAGGGGTCATTGCTGGCACGGCCAACTTGTTCCCTAAGGTCTGCATTGAGGTGTTCCGGCTTACCGAGAAAGGCATGTACAAAGAAGCCATGGCTCTTCAGGCAGATCTGGCAGAGGCGGACTGGGCTCATACAGTCCTGGGGATCGGAGCCACCAAGGCAGCCTTGCAACATTTCTATGGCTATGGAGGCGCCCCTCGTTTGCCGCTGGTCGCGCCACCTACAGTTGTTGTGCAGGAGCTGAGTGAAAAGTTGGCGCGGATTGTCGCGCTGGAAAACTCTCTGTGAGATGTGTATAGCCACTCGTCCACGAGAAGAAGAACAAACTTTCTCATTTCAGCTGAACTTGACTATCACGTTTCTCTGTCGAGTCCTGCCTAAGCCTTTGCCGACTTTATCAATTCAATGTGAAACAAATGCACAGAAATTTACCATTGGTTCAATGCAATGCGATATCCGCAACCGCGCAAGAGTGGTCGGCGATCTCCAAACTGCACGCAAAGGAAAAAAGTCCTCAATGCACGTTCTTGTTCATGCCGTACGGCACACCTTCGTCCATCTCACGACAGGTGGTCTCCAGGTATTTGGTTTGAATCTCGACCCAAGCCCTCATATGCACCTTGATCTCGTCCGCTGTCAGGTTACCCTTCTCTATTCTGTCCCTGATATCTTTCGCTCGAGCAGCCAACACTTCCATGCGATACACAGTCCACTGCAGGAAAAGCTCGTCCAGCCGGCTGCTCTTGTTGGTGATGAACAAAGTGCTCATGTCCGTCGTCAGGGGATCCCTGGCCTTGAATGAGGTGACCATGGTGATGCGCTCCTTTGCTCCAAACGCCCTCAGAGCGATATGGTTGATGCACCCTCCCTGCATCATCACCGCCCAACCGATATCTGGGCCGAGCATCTTCACGACGGAGCCGTCTCCCTTCTCCAGTCCAGTCTCACCTCCCACCATTCCCTGGGGATCTGAGAGCATGCACACGCACACCCACGGATAGGAGTCTACGTGCCAGTCACGAACGGAGGACAGTTGCTCCTTCTCGGAAGGGATCGACGACCTCTCTATCGTGGTGCTGTTCTTGGGTGGATAAGCCGGTGGAAGGACGTCCCACAGATTTTCCTTGTCCGCCAACTCATCCAGCTGGACGTTGACATGTCCGATCTCATAGTCGAAAATCACCTGCAAGTCGATGCCCGCGGCCTGGGAGCACGCCGCGATGACCTCGGGGCTGCGCCACACTGAGTCGACGAAGGGAGTATCTCGTGAATAGCCTCGCATCTTGTACGTGTCCTGTTTGATTTTCTGGCCGTGCTTGCGGATGACCGACTCACGGAAGACGTCCTTGCGCATCTCGACAACACCTTCGAGGCTGAAAAGGGGAAACGGCTTGGTGATGGCGATGGGCGAGCAGGCATTTTCCTCGGAGAGGAGCAGTTCTCGCAGGGTGACGACTGACTCTGGAGGTTGGAATGCCATGTGACGAGCCGGATTGAAAGTGGTAGACGGCATTGCCTTTGCTTCCGACTGCAGCATCGTCTGTGTCTTGGGGTCCAGGAGCGCCGGAGCAGGCTGCGGCATGATTGCTGTGGCCATGATTACAGAGAGGACCTTCACGACCAACTACCTAGTATTCAGGGGTATTCCTAGATAAGGAGATAAGGTCTGAAAGCTGCCGTGGAATACTGCTCGTCGCGGATACTCGGGTCGCTTTAAATCAGACTGTATTCGTATTGTCATGCCTGGTATAGTCATTCTATCCTGTGTGGGTCACTGGAGCCAGTGTTAATCTAAGGTTCAAACCTACGGGATAATATGGCAAATGCGGGCAAGCTCCATTTGTTTATGTGGATTCATGCTGCCTCCGACCTTATCTCCTCAAGTCCTCCCTCCTGCTGAAACGTAGCCGGGGAGAAGCCCCACCGAGACTGAAAAACTTGTAAGAACTTGTATATAAAAGCAAACATTGGTCCGGCATGTCGTCAGGTTCCTCACACCTCCAGGGGATCAAAGGGACCGAACTGCCCTTCCACTCTACCTCCGCTTCACCCGCATCCTTACACCTCTCGACGGTCTCAGCGCGTGTGGCGCCATATATACCATGGAGCATGAAAAGCAGCTCAAAACAGACGGCGCCGTCGACGTCGATGTCGACGTCCTGGATCGCACCACTTCCGGCATCCAACAAGGAGTTCTCTACGAAAATGCTGACAACTTACACCGCCGCCTGGGCAACAGACAGATTCAGCTGATGGCCATGGGAGGAAGCATTGGAACCGCCATCTTCATCAGCATTGGGAATGCCCTCGCTGCCGGCGGCCCGGGGAGCTTGTTGATCGCGTATACCCTCTACACGCTGGTCTTGATCTGTATCAACAACTGCGCTGCTGAAATGACCATCCAACATCCTGTGTCTGGAGGCTTCATCCGTCTTGCCGGCAAATGGGTCGATGATGCACTTGGATTTATGGTTGGATGGAACTTTTTCATCTACGAGGCACTCCTGATACCTTTTGAGATCACGGCGCTCAACCTCGTGATACATTTTTGGACCGACAAGATCCCAGTCGCGGCAATTTGCGTGATCTGTATCGTTTGCTACGGGTATGTGCCCCAACGCAACTACTTATTGCCTGGCCCGTGCCCAATTGCAGCAAACCGGGCTGAGCTCTCAGCCCGCGAGTTCCCTATGCAGTTCCCTCCAATGCCTCAATATGACCACTAGCTAACCTCTCTCGTATGGCATACAGTGCTCTCAATATCTTGGCCGTCCGGGTCTACGGAGAAGCCGAGTTCTGGCTGTGTAGCGGCAAAGTACTCCTGCTTATCATGATGTTCTTCTTCACCTTCATTACCGTAAGTTCCCCGGTGCCTTTCGGACTGCATTAGGAAGACGGGGAGTCTGCCCAAGCCAGGAAGATGTCCTGGTGCCCGTCTCTTGGTGTTCTTTCTCCCCGGATTCTCTAGTTAGAGTAACACAGTCGTTGACGTGTTTCCAGATGGTCGGCGGCAACCCGCAAGGCCACGCGTACGGATTCCACAGCTGGAAGGTCGCAGGTGCCTTCGCGGAGCATCGAACGACCGGCTCCTTAGGCCGCTTCGAGGGCTTTTTAGCCTGTCTGTGGTCCGCGTCCTTTACGATTGTTGGACCCGAGTACGTCTCGATGGCGGCGGCGGAAGCGAAACGACCGCGCATCGTCGTTAAGAACGCTTTCAAGATGGTCTACTGGCGCTACTTCTGCTTCTTCGTTCTTGGGGCGCTCTGTGTCGGGATCGTGGTTCCATGGAACGACCCGACACTACAAGCTATCCTCGCTGGGACGAGCTTGAAATCCGGCGCCGCGGCGTCGCCCTACGTTATTGCTATGACGAACATGGGCATCGGCGTCTTGCCACACTTCGTCACCGCGCTGATCTTGACCTCCATCTTCTCGGCAGGGAACACCCTCACCTACTGTGGGACGCGGTCGCTCTACGGTCTCGCCCTAGAAGGTCGTGCGCCTTCGATCCTACGCCGGACCACGAAATCGGGCGTGCCTATCTATGCCCTTGCCGTCACTATGTGCTTCCCATTCCTCTCCTTCCTACAAACGTCCAACAGCTCCTCTACCGTCCTGACCTGGCTGATCGACCTAATCACCGCAGGCGCCCTGATCGACTACCTCGTCGTGTGCATCACTTTCCTCTGTTTCTACCGCGCCTGTAAGGTCCAGGGTCTCGACCGTAGGAGCCTGCACTATTTTGGCTGGTTCCAGCCATACTGCGCCTGGATTGGCGTTGTCACTATGATCATTGTCCTCTTATTCTACGGATACACCGCCTTCGCGCCCCCGACCGTCGCCGCCTTTTTCCAAAACTACACCATGCAGCTCGTCGCCCCGATCCTCTACCTCGGCTGGAAGCTGCTTAAGCGTACCAAGATGATCAAGCCCGAGGAAGTCGATCTGGTCTGGGAAAGCCCGGTCATCGATGCCTATGAGGAGGGTTTTCAGGGCGAGGTCGTTGGATTCTGGACCGAGATGGCGCAGATATTCAGGTTCAGGAGACATAAGAAGAATAGCCAGAAGGACTGAGCCTAGATGGAATGAACTCTGTGGCAGAGGCAAGAACTCTGGCAGCCTGAGAAGTGCGGTTGAAATAGAGAGAAGTTCCACTTGAAGCTGGTCCTTTTTCTTTTCTTTTCTTTTTTTTTGTACCACCTCTACTTCTTCGCACTTTATTCTGCGGGAAGGTGTAACTTAAAAAAAGGGTTCCACTTTCGTAAGCAAGCACTTATTTCAACCGTACTGTGCCCGCACCTAAGGAGCCAAGCCGTTAGTTGAGTGAAGCCACTGCTCCTGTTTAGTAGTAGCCATCGACTTATTGCATTGTGACATCAAAACAGCTTCCCGCGTTTGCCATGCAACACCCACTCAGTAGCGGCCTGCCCGATCGGGCATTGCAATCTTTCAAAGTTTGAGGCCGCCCTCCCCACCTCCAAGTCTGCGGCTGGGACAGGAGCACGACCGGTATGGAAAAGTACATTGTGCGAGCACAACCAGGGTTCTATCAAGGTGGCCTTATATATATCATGACGATTTTTAATATTTTTGCATACGGCATTGATTAGTGCGGGTGTTAAAGCGGGCATTGCTACGGCGTCAAAGCTGTGTCTGATGCACCTCGAGACGCTATCCTGAGACTCGAGCTGGTTAGGTATGCTCGTCAAAGATACCTTATGACGAATATATGCCGCCGCTCCCTGAGTACTCTATCCAATCTCGTCGTACATGGAAAGTTATGTTTTGTACCTTACAACTAGGCACGTACATACCTCAACGAGATCCAAGTTTGTGGCGGACACTACAGTAGTGAGTACTGACTTTTGCTCTCTAAAAATTGTGAATTCTTTACCAATCGTCGCGATAGTTTTGTCCGAGGAGGAGCAATACCATACCATCAACCTCTGAGGCCTTTAAACCTTTGCTGAAGGCGTTCCCATCCTTGATGGCCTGAGCCACGTGGCAAGCGATTGACCACTGAAGCCAAACACCACAGAAATATGGAATTAAATCTGTACCATTTGCGAACTTGCGTGTTATAAATGTATTTACACCGTGGGAATCTTGGGAGGCTTGTGATCTGGACGCTCGTTGTTTGATTGTAGAACTAAGCTCTGGAAGGTACAGTAGTCAACCCTTAGACGGCATATTATGAGGTCTTAACAATGCAAAAGCTTTAGGGGTGGTTATGGAAGGCGTAGGAGACGTGAGCGAGGTAACAGCAAGGTTTGAAGTGGTGGAACAGCGTGCGGGCGAGTGCAGTACAGGCTTTTGAGTCGGACGACAAGAGTGGGGTGTGACCTCAGCAGGGAGACACAGGATATGGTGAGGGAATATCTGTCTGAGGAGGACCTTGCAGACTTTACGCTCTCCCGTGTGTGAGGGAAATGTTGTTTGGTTAAGACTGCCTGGGGGAGAGAAGGAGGGCATTTCAGGTCACGTAGGATTCGGCCTACCGTGCCTAGCTCGCTGAGAGCATGAGTTTCTGTCCAAGTCTTGAGGGGTGAATTGTTGGGTGCTGTACGTTGATATCGCCGAGAGACGTACAGGGAGCAGTGTTGGTTTCTGTGACTTTCGGCGAAATGCCCATCTACAGGGGTGAGGAGGTAGCAAGCCATGTCGAAGGAGGATAAAGGAGTGATATCTTCTCCACATCGACCCTCCATTAACCTTTTTGGGTTAGCTTGAGTCGCCAGGCCAGCATATGCCGATTGAGGGCATGTCACCAAACGAGGCCGGACCATAATCGTATACCGAGTAAGGATACTTTGACCATCCCCTGTTCACCTTTGTTGATCTTTGTCTTAGGAATGGCAGTTGATGCGATCTCAAGATCATCCTCCCAGCATTTGAAAGCGGATCTAGGAAGCAGGATTCAAGAGGGGTCTTCTGCTCACAGCTATTCTTTGAATCAAGATTTGTCTGTGACTGTGTGGATCATGATGTGTAAGTCTTGAGACGCTTACGGTGTTCACTGTCCAGTATAGATCGATGGCAGGGTGCACTAACGATTATCACAGAAGCGACCCCCTTCCCTTCTATTTGTGCATCCGGTGCTTCCGCAAACGTCTTTTAAGACACCTCAGCGAACGCACAGAGGCATTCTATATATCTTCAAGGATAGATAACACGTACGCCTTCTGCAACATGGCGAATTTGCAATTGCTTGAAAGTCGCAACCCTGCTGTCCACATCTAGGCATCTTGGAAGGACACCGGCGGGGTGAAGGACAAGAGATTCGATTATCTCAATATAAGGAGGTCCGTCTGTTTCTGAGGAGGAGTGTAAGCCTGAGGATGAAGTTCTGTGATAAGATCCCCGCTCCGGCCTTCGCAATAAGGCAGACTAAGAACGGATGAGCGGATGTTTCCTAGCGTTGCCGAGCTTCCGAAAGGCTGTACCTGGCTAGGTACTCGGTAGGTAGTAGACCAGTCACGTCTTTGACATTGCGGTGCAAAGACCGGCCCCTCTCGCCCTCTACGAGTATAGTATCCTAGGTAGGTCAGCTGATGCACCACCTATTTAGGTACCTTCCTAGGAAGATACCTAGTAGGTAACGTCCCGCTGGAAAACGTGAGATACGAAACAGAAGGGGAAGATGCAGGCTGAAAATCCAACCAGGGCAGGATGCCATATTTCGATTCTAGAAATCTCGCCCACCGGCTGTATCTCTTTGACACCTCCGAACCGGCACAGTGCCCCCCAGTCCTTGTAAATTTTTTCTCTGTGCTCACAATCCATAACGCCATGCTACGCCAACTAGCACCCACTGTTCAGACAAAGAAGGAAAACGACAACTCCGAGTCTCCGACCAACAATCAACTGCAAACGAGCCCCACAGTCGTCACAGCCCACAGGGGAGATCTCTGCGCTGATAGCGAATATACAGCCCGTGAGGATGCTGCCCCAATACGCGAACCTTGTTCCTTGGCTGAAGATGAGGAAGAGCCGTCAACTCTGGACATGAGAAGACGATGACACGGTGATTCAAGCCTCGACCTCCTGGACGTTGATTCCAGGCTGAGTGGCACCGATCTTGCCGGTGGTTGACCCGTTGACGACTCCATTCACAACTCCACTCGTCTTGGGCACTGCTTTCGACTGCGTCTGCACGGCCAACCCGGCCTCCTCGCGACCCTTCTGATAATCGGCTTCGAGGTCATGACCCCAAACCCACTTCATCCGGCCGCCGAGTTTCGCGCGCACGATCGGCAAACAGTCTTCGTAAGAGGTGATACCTTCGAACTCCTTGCCCTGCATCTCGTACACGTCGCCCGCCTGCCGGCTGGTGATTTGGGCCTTCTGAGCGCGGGGCCGCCGGACGGCTTGATACAAGGCGGTGTATGCAGCAACGCCTGGAGCGGGATTGGAGAAGTAGTCCCTGACGACAAGGCCTAGGATGTAGGCGTCTTCGATGGCGTGGCCAGCGCCGGAGCCTAGAGACACCACGAGTCAATGGAAATGAAACTTAAGGTGGCGGTGGGCACAGTGGAGTTAGGGAGCACACGAACCTTGATGTGGCAGCATAGCGTGGGCAGCATCACCAGCCAGCACGACCTTGCCATTGAGATACGTCCACTGCTCCAGCAGTTCGCGGTCGTTGAGGCGCCACTTTCCTGGGCGGGCCTCCATCTTGCTAATTACCGCTCCGACGGTAGGTTCCCAGCCTGCATACTCGCGCTCGAGCTCCTCGCGAGGAGCACTGCTGGTCCAGCTCTCCTTCAAGTCGCCAAGCTCGCTCTCTGGCTTGGTCACAAAAGCTACAACATTGAGCGTCTTGTTTTGCGAGATCGGAAAGACCAGGAAGTGTTTGTCCGGCGCCAACCAGCTGACTGCGTAGCTGGGATAAGGCCACTTGTCGCTGATGGCGCTGAGCGGGAGCAGACCTCGGTAGGCGATACGGCCGCTGTATCGAGGCTTGTCGAGTACAAACTGTGATCGAATGCTGCTGTGGATGCCATCACAGGCGATCACCAGGTTGGCCGTCTCCGTCGGGTTTGTCTCGTTAGCAAAGTGCATTGTCACTTCATCGCCACAATCCTGGAGGAGAGATCAAAGGTGAGTAACGAGGTGAGAACAGTAGATGGGGATGGAAGCCCGCTGGTAAGATAGCATCAAGTTCCTGGATTCCACTTACCTCGACTTTAGTAGCCTTCATATCCGTCTTCAGCGTAACGCGACCGGCATAATTTCGTTTCAGTTCCTGGTACAAGACATCCAGAATTTCTGCACGATGCACGCTCAATTGCCTGACACCACCCTCGGTGTCCTCGTCCATCGCGCCGACTGCCACGATCTCCTCGCCGGTGTCGTATCGCCGATTGCTCCGGTGCACGCCATTGCGTTCGCCGGAGATGGCGTTGGCCGCTTGCCAAACGCCCAGTTTCTTCAAGATACGGGCCGCGTTGACGCCGATGCCAATGCCGGCGCCGATCTCCTTGTACGCTGGAGCCTGTTCATAGACCGTGATGTGTTGGAGAGTGGGATTTTGATAGGCGATGCTGAGCGCTGTTGTAAGACCACCAATCCCACCACCGATAACGGCGACTTTGAAGGTTGCTGGGTCGGTGGCTGCACCGTTGTTAAGCGTTGCTGACGGCATGTTTACAAGAATTGAAAACTGTATCGTGACTAGCTACCAGAGACCCAAGATTGTCGTTGTGGATTGCTGGCCACTACCTGAGAAAGGGTCAAGAATTCAAGCCTTCTCTCAGTTATATACCCTCTTGGCAGATCTTGAACCAGGATTTTCGAAGGCGAATTCGTTCAAGTGCAATTAGGAATTAAAACAAACTTGGGAAGCGAGGCAACACCGAACCGTTTGACAAGCTTGATCGGCCGGGCGGTATGGTTGGGTCGAGCACCGTAGGGTTCGGGAAAGTCTCCATGTCTCTTGCACTACTCAGAGGTCCTCCGCGGTGAGACTAGAGCAGCCCACGGGACGTTGAGTGAGGCTTGGAACGGCTCGGGTTGTCATTCACAAGGGAAAAGAGGTTTGCCGAACAACAGGTTTGTTGCAAATTTGGTGATCCGGAATTCGTCCCCGGCCGGGGAGAACTAAAGGTCCACTAATATACAACGGCTGGCCGGGGAGATAAAATACTCACCAAGTGTTAAAACCTATCGAGCTACGTGAGAATCTTATTTCCCTTCCTGCCGGAAGAAGGACCCTTTTGCTTGAAAACCACTTGAACCGGCTGTCGGCATCTCAGGGCCCAAATCAGCGGTTCGACGTTCTTGCGGGAGGACGAGACCTCGCTTACATCCCGGTTTCCTGCGGGGCGCGGAGAGACGCCGGATTGCATTTTGATCATGCTGGCAGAGGCAGTGGCGATGGCATTTCCCTCCGCAAGCAAGGTCACCGGGCCTCTTGAACTCTTCTGTGGGTTCACTCACCATCGCCACGTTTTTCGTGGCTGGGGGAGCTCAATCACATCGAGGCCGCCTGCTTCGGCCCAGCTTATGCGGTACGAAGTCCATAGAGTACGTCGCAAGGTCTGTTGCTCTTAAGAAACTAGGTACAGCAGATAGACATTTCATGCAGATGACTGGTGAGAGACGCTGTAATTGACTAGATAACTGTACTATGTTCACCGTATTGTGGCCAAAGAGACGGGGTGGGACTATATCCAGTCAAGATCCCGAAATGTTGCCTCCCAAGTCCCAATCCGTCTCTGTGCCTGTAATAGACTCCCCCCAAACGGTACCGTTTGCAGCCGGTACAAAAACTCCCAAACTGAGAGGCAGATGCAGATCCATCATCACAAATCCTTGTGAAGATTCGGCTCACCCTGGGCCTTCCTGATACCTTCACCCTTCCAGATGAGGAACAGCAGACCCAACCAAGTCACGAAGTTGATGGCGGCGAAGGTTCCCCAAGCAGCTCCAAAACTGACACTCTGGCCGAAGGGGAGGGCGTAGAAGCCGATGGTGAAGGCAAAGATCTGACGGAATAGGTTGATGATGGTTGACACCTCGGCGGCTTGGGGTTTGTAGCAGTCGGTGCAGTAAGCGTAGGTCAGGGTGGTGCCGGCCTGCACGCCGACGCTGGCGACCGTCATTCCCACGGCGAGACCGATCCAGGGGGTCTTGTTGTTGACGCACAGGCCGTGGATGATCAGGCCGACGGGTAAGAAGAGGCCCAGGAAGCACAGATACAGACGCGCCTCGGGCTTGCGGTATCCGTCGTGGCGGCGCGCGTAGCGGTTGATCAACTGGTCCGAGATCCATCCGGTGCAGGACTCGCCGATCAGACAGCCCAGCGTGAGCGGAATACCCAGCAAAAGACCATTCTGTGCCGTGTTGAAGTCGTAGAGCTTCTCGCTGATGGAGGACGCCGTGAGGACGAACACGATGGACCCGTACGTGTTGGTCGTCATGTAGTAGATGCATGGGATCCAGATCGCCACGTACTTGAGCATCTTGAAGTTTGCCGAGAAGTCGGACAGGGTCAGCTTGCGGTCCAGGACCTTGCCGCGGAACGCCATCTTGTGCCAGTAAGTCTGGTTCTCGAGCTTGCTGAAGTCGGTGCGCGAGAAGAGCGTCTCCGGGAACGAGACCAAGAAGATGGCCAGGACGGCTCCGAAGATGATGGCGTTGATCTAGCAGCCGATCCGTCAGTCACATGTGTGATATATCACTTGATGTGTCGTAATACATACAAAGAAGATCCATCTCCACCCAAGATTCAATGCGATGTAGCCGCCAGCGATGGGACCGAAATGGGGCTATAGAACAGATTTGTCAGTGCGCTGGTCTACATTCCAGGATGCTTGTGTCCACTCACTCCATTGGTGACAGCCAGAGCGTAAAAGCCCATATACTTTCCACGTTCACCCTGAAAGAACATGTCGCAAATCTGGTGCGTGTGAGCTTGAATTCAGATTATAACCACAAGTGCGCTTTTGCTTACCGTGGCGCCACCAATAGCCAACGCAACACTAGCACCAATACCCACGAAGCATCGGCTGACAATCTCGCCAGCATATGTCGAAGCGTATCCGGACCCAACATTCGAACCGATGGCGATCAAAGTAAAGATCTGCGGTGGTGGTTGTTGTCAGAGAAACCTTCATCCATGGCGCATATAACGAGGAGTTTTACTCACAAGATAGGCAGGTCTCCGACCATACAGATTGACGTACGGCGTCAATAGCAGAGGGGTGACACCACCAAGGAGCGTGTAGGATGTCGTCAGGTAGCTGGCTTGCTGGTGCGTAACCTTGAAGTCCTTTGCAATCACTCCGAATGCCGCAGGAACCATGCCAGCCCCAACTGTATCGCGCACAATCAGCAACCACTCGCGTATCAGCCACCTCAAACGCCCAACGACGGCAACTCACATTGAACGCAGAAAGCGAGGAGACACAGTAAGGAGAGCACATAGTACTTGTACCACTTGGGCCAGTTCTGTTGTAGGAGTCAGTTTCAGATTCTTGATTCTTGTACTTGGCTGACGGCAACGAGTTCTGGTGAAGAACATACAAGTGGATCGGCCTTGTGATCGGTAGGCTGGGGCACAAGAGGAAGGCCGTGCTCATCAAGCTTCAACGCCGGCCTTGCTCCGTTCTTTTCGAGCTCGATGTCGATGCCATCATTATCCTCCACGTGTGACAGGACACGCAGGTTTTTCTCCTTGCCAACAGTTTCGGCGGCCATGGCGGCACACAGTAGAGAGACGAAAATTGCTCAAGCAAAGACTCCCAAAGGGAAAGGATTCAAGGTGATAGCAGAGACAGGGTCGTAATGTACAAGGGTCCAGCTAGGTCGTGCAATCAGCCGGGGTAAGCGAACACTCCGAACAGGAAGGGGAATGAAAACAGAAAGAGCGAGAAAGAGCTCATCCAGCTTCGAACGAAAGAAAGTCGTTTATCTTTATTTATCACCCTCTTCCGCGTCGCGACGCCATGGCTCTAACGACCACTAATGCCAACAGTCCCGGATCGAGGGAGGAGTTCTGAGCTTCCCAGCAAAGCGGTCCAGGTGAGAGCGAGGCCGGGGTGGTGGACATACGCCCTAACAATAGGAACTAGACTAGTGTCTGGGGAACAGTAGGGGATTTTTCTCACAAGGTGGGGATGCAAGTCCCGGGACAAATTCACGGGGAGAAAACATTTGCGGGGAAAAGGGGCCGAAACAACGTGTCTCCCCGGGCGAAGCATTCCCCGGCTGGGACTGTCCGATCAACACCTATTAAGGCTTTACTTGCTTAGATTATATCTCAGTATAGTCCGAATTTGATGATCAATTTTATATTACTCAGAACCATTGCAGCAACGGAAGAGGATTTCAACACCATGAGAATGCCCTCTCTGTCTATCAGCCTATCCTGAAATTGATCTTCCTCACCGGTGCAAAGAGTTCCTCAATAGGCACCTTCTTCTCAATCATCGATTGGTCATACAGATACTGCACGAGCGCTTCCAGAGTCTTCCGGTTCTCCTCGATACCGTAGGGCCAGCAGTCTTCTCCAAAAACCTCATGGATCTCATCAAGCTCTTGAGGAAGCCATGGGAGCATGTATCTCAGCGCGCCCGTACTCTCCATCCGCTTTCTGGCTAGCTCCTTGCTGTCATTAAGGGCGTTGTACAGGGCCGATGCCGCGAACTTGTTTTGCTCGTAGTAATCTCGGCGCATGGCAACTAGATGCATGATGGGGAAAATCCCTGTCCGCTTGTAGTACTCCATCTCCACTTTCTTGAAGTCTGGGAAGAGACGGTCGATGTGTGGTGCTTTGCCGAGGCAGGCAGGAATATCAGCACCGATTGTGGCGTCAATCTCGCCTGTCTCGAGGAGATCGGAAAGAGACTTGGTGGGATTGGTGTTCTGCGTGATCTTGATCGGCTTCAGGGGCGGCAAGGCCGAGGGCTTGCCGTGAGAGCCTGGTCCTTCCATTTTGCCTTCCACCCATTCAATTGACGAAATGTCGACTCCGTATTCATGTTGAAGTAGACCTCGAATGAAGACGGCAGCAGTCATCGTGTACAACTGCACACCAACCCTCTTCCCATTGAGGTCCTTCGGTTCCTTGATCCTGTCTTTGTTGACGACGATGAAGCTGTGCCGGAACACCCGAGATGCGAAAACCGGTAATGCAATGAAAGTGCGGTCTCCAGCGATGTGGCGGGTGATGTATTCCGAACTGGACAACTCTGAAGCATCGAACTCCTGGTTCGCTATCATCCGGTCGAAGATGTCACGCGGATGATGGACGTCGATGAAGTTGACCGACAGACCTGCTGGCTGCACCTCGCCGACCGCAAGAGGTACCATGCGGTCATAGAGTGCTGAGGCAAAGTTGCACCGTACGGGAGGCATGGCAAAAAAGCAGTATGCTTGTCAGTAAGGAAAGTGATCAGATCCGATTCGAAGAAGAATCGTTAGAATTCTGCTTTTGTAATAGGCACAAGGATTCCCCAGATGCTTCTCGTAATTCTGTTCCAGACCTCTACCGTTCGAAGGTAAGTAGATTCGCCAAAACGGGGAGTTTTACTTTGACACAGCCTGGTGAACTGGACTCGATTTTGCAGAACTCAGAGCCTCATAACATATATCGAAGAGCATGAACATCAGCAATTATGTCCATTGATTCGGGGAGAAGTTAGTATTGGAGGAAAGTAATTCGGCAACTAAAAGGCGAATATCAGCAGCGTTGCGTGCTCCCCGGCCGGTCCAACCACTCCGGAGGACTAACCAAAACGAGCTTGTCGAAACGCGACTTTCTGCTGCGATATAACCGCGACTGAGTGTTGCCTCATTATTTATTTCTTCGCTTCTCCTTCTGCTCCTGTCATATTTGCTGGGACATATCGTTTTCGCAGCGTCATCGCATGTGCGTTTACGACAGGAATATATGGGAAAGATCCAAGTGCTCAAAGTAACTTGGAATATACGAGTAGAAGTCTCAATGCCGCTCTAAGAAGGATCGTCAAAGCGCTGCCCTAAGAGGCGCCAGAGAGTCGTCCACGCAGAGAGCAAGACGCTAAGCTACTTTCAGCCGTAGAGAGAGAGAGAGTAGAGCGGCATCACTGAATTGCCCAAATGAGGTCACTTGCATGTGCATAATACTAGTCGATTTTCCGCTTGGCTTGGCAGCGGTTTTGGAGATGCGCAGCCTCGACTCGAAGCGGGCAATCTTCGACACAAGGTGGACGCTCAAGGGCGACCATCGCATGACATTGTCTACTCTTAGTTGTGACATCCCTTGAACTTCTGTTACAACGGACTAACTTTCTACCATGGCGAACTTGAAGGACTCAAATGAGCCATTCTACGTGCGATACTAGTACGGATTTCCCCCTCTACTTGCATTCTTAGAAGGCTACTGACCATGCGCAGCTCTGGCCATTCCGGCAGATTCGGCCATGAATTTCTAGGTACGAAGGGCTCAGGTCTCCAATGTGTGGCTTTCACTGACGGTCGGACAGAATTTGACTTCAGAGTGATTGGAGACGGTCGAAGCGCAACAGCGAGATATGCAAACAATTCCAATTATCGCAATGACTCCCTCATTCGCAAAGAGAGTATGCATTATACCATCGGTATTGCGCCTGGCTCCTGACGTGTGTCTAGTGTGTGTCAGCTCTCTCCTCGTCGCAGAAATCAAGCGCATCATCAAAGACAGTGAGATCATGAAGGAAGACGATTCCCGGTGGCCACAAAAGAACAAGGATGGAAGACAAGAGCTTGAGATCAGGTTGGGAAACGAACACATTCAATTTGAGGTGGGTGACACATTCTACATTGGCTGCGAACTGGACTGACGGTGCGCAGACCGCAAAGATTGGGTCTCTGGGAGACGTGACGGACTCAGCCGACCCGGAAGGACTGCGAGTCTTCTACTACCTGGTGCAGGATCTCAAAGCGTTGGTGTTCTCTCTGATATCCCTGCACTTCAAGGTAAGCTTCTCTAACAGGGGGTTTAAAAGACATGCTAAGCCAATGAACCGCAGATTAAGCCCATCTAAAATCAACCTGTTTGTGGCCTATATCCTCGATACCTCACAGAACCGAGTCCACCAACCGAAGCCGCTTGAGCATCAGTCTCAGTCGAAGGAGACGTCCTTGGAATTTGACCGCAGAAGCATTCATGATCTGAAAGGGACATTGTACAATGGCTTCTCGAAGCGGTGTTGATTGGCGACAGCCGTAGGCGGTTGGCTGCGTGCAGAACATCTAGGGCCGACAGTGATCACCTCTGGTCAGTCTGGATGCCTCGAGCCATTGTATCTGGCACATAGACAGCAGCAGTGACAAGAGTACGCAACGACAATGTTTGTGATGCGAGGCCCACGGCTTCATGAGTTGTACCCCGCAAAAGGCAAGGAACCTCCGAAAGCCGGGGCGGGAGTTTTAGTTCAACGAAAATTGGGTCATAATAGATGGGCTGATGAGCGAATGCGTCTCCAATCAATCAGATTCCCGCTGCCATCCACCCGTCCAGCGTCCACTGTTCTCCATCCATCTCATCATTCTCCTCCCCATGTATCTCGTGCTCTGACGAACGGGCTTGGATTCCTTCGTCTTGCGATTTCCCTAGCAATCCATCCCACCCCTCCGTGCCTCTATCCTTACGTTCCGCCATTTCCATCATTCCTCTCTCCATATGATAACCTTCCGGTCTCTCACCTTTCAATGCCAACCCATGCGCCCGATACGTCGTTTGATGCCCACGACTCCGAGATAACTCAACCCAATGTCGCGTGCCCTGCTCCATTGACCCCACCTCCCGAGAATGACGGGAATGATGCCACAAGGCGTCTAGTCGTGTCGCAGAGTCTTGATGGCGGAGATGGACTCGACCGGCGATCCGTCAGCGACAACACTGCTGCCGGCATGGCGCAGATGCAAGAGGAGACTTTGTATACCACCCCGCCAAGTTTCGATGAGAAAATCCATGCCGATGGCTCCAGCGAGACTCCTCTCCTAGATGGTGTTGATGATGACATGGGCTTAAGCGAGCGCATTGAAGACGATGGCGCGCGGCGGACCGGTCAATTTGATGCGACGGCCACCACACCAGTCATATCGACAGGCAATACCCGGCAAGATATGTCTGACATGGGAGCCACGGCGGATGAGACAGGACTAGACGGCAATGGTGACCTGGGCACATCGTCGCCCCCGCTGAGATCGTCTGCGAACAACCGGCCCGGAGGCTTCCCTCGAGCTGGGGATCCTCCCGGCAACCCAGCGATCGACCAAGAACTAGACTGGTCGAGCAACGATCTGAGAGGATGGGAATTTTCTCAACGGCGAATTCGACCACAGTACCCATCGGCAACATTCCAGCCCTATTCCAAGTTCAAAGGCACTCAGCAGTCGGACCGGCAGATCTATAACGTCGAAGTGACCATTTTGACCGTGGACATCGAGCAGTGCAGCATGTCGGGATACCTTCAGATCTGTGGCCTGACGCCGGATCATCCAACCTTGACAACCTTCTTCACCGGCGAGATCATCGGCGGACCAAACCAAAAGTATAGTTTCAGGACCCGGGATCCCACATGGGGTGCGAGCGATAAGACCGACCTGACGCACTGGGCTCGGTTCCCTGCATGGAGACCGCTCAGTCTGCATGCGAAGCGCAACATCAATTTTGTATACCCCATGAACCACGAGAACTGGTGGCAGCAAGACTACATCTTCATGAGGTGGAAGGAACATTTTCTGGTCCCTGACTACAAGTTGAAATCCATCCAGGGAGCCAGCTTCGAAGGGTTCTACTATATCTGCTTTAATCAGATTGAGGGGAGAGTGAGTGGCATCTATTTCCACTCCAAAAGCGAAAAGTGAGTCTCCTACCCTTTGCTCCGAGACACATAATGGCTAATGCTCCAGCAACAGGTACCAACAACTCGAATTGAAGCACGAGGGACAGCCAGGCGTCTGGAGGATGGGTGTCTGTCCGGCCGTCGAGTTCCGGTGAAAGGACGAATTCAGCCTTGTGTCACTGCTCATTGAGGAGGATCCCAACACCTTTTCTTGTGTATACTTTACACCTGTAGATGATCATATTGCTGAGGGTGTCTTGTTTTCCCTTTTTTGCTGGAAAGGATAGATTTTTGATAATGGCCAGATCACGAACTTCAGACGTAGCCGGGTTGGGGCAACATGGCGCCTTTCTTTGTGGTGGGAGAGGAGAATATCTAAATATCTTTTATTATTTGGAATTGTCTCTTCCTCCAGAAATCGGTCACTCGATATCAGGCACAGGCATGTGAGAGTGATCCGTCATCGTGCAGGGGGCAGGAAGCTTGAATTTTGCGGAACTGTGCGAATTTGAAGCTAAAGGGGACGGAAGGATGCACATGGCTCTTCAGCTAATCGCAAGGAAGACAAGCCCTGATGACAATTAATTTTGGGATCAGCGCGATGCATGATGGCATGATGTTGGGGCACCGCCTCCGTGAAGAACAAGGAGAAACACCGAGGCATCGTGCCTGTTTGATTTGGAGGTGAGAAGAGACTCGGAGGCACTGGCATTTACGATGGTGACGAGTCCGGGGATTATTTTTGGGGGGTACCCAGGGGACCAAGACCTCGAGTACGAAGGGGCGAGGGGGGTGGTCACTGGTTGGTTGTAGGCTTCGTTACACTAGCCCGATCGATAAAGGGACTTCTAGGCTTCTGGGGTGGCTGCAGGTGCCCCCAGGTGGCTCTGGCCGTCGTCGTCGCCTTCTCCGCGCTGGCCACCTCCAGGCCTAAGTGCCTATAACGCTTGCCCAACTGTAAGCCTGGTTCCGTCCTACCGCTTATCCACCTGCAGGGCTCGCCTTGTGGCCACCGTCCATTTGCCGCACGCACCATGTCCGAGTCGGTTGACCAACGTTCATTCATGCATCTAGCCACCACAGTTTCAGTTAGAAAAACTATTATACCACCCCCTCTCTTCTGTCTGCATCTATGGCATCTGTGCTCTAGTAATTCGAAACGCTCGCTGCTGGCCGTGCGCTCGTTTGCAGCCTCGCGTCTTCTCATTTGCTTTTTTGCATGTTGCTGTGCGAACCCTCATCTTGCGTATCCCAATACGCTTCACGTGAAATTGGCCTCGGATGACACTTACCACTCCCAGTTCGACAGTTCAGATCATTTGATGACGGCTGGGCCAGGGCCAGGGCCAGATATGAACTGACCTGCACTATGGTATTGCCACATCTCTACCCCTCTGCGACTTTTCGTGCTTGCTTCCCGCCTGTCGTATCGCTCAATGACTGATTCCCGCGCTCTAGGGTTGCTGTTCATCGAGACCGACAGACTCGCGTGATCCAGACCATGGCCACTCAGAAGCCCCTCCTCAGACCCAACACTCTCACGCGATAACGTCGCAGACGGCGATTAATGGTGCATCCCACGATCCAGACTCACGCAATTTCGGGGCCCCTTCAGGTCTGTCGATCCATCAGAGTGAAACTTCCAGGTCGGCGCTGTCCACGCCCAGAGACTCGGTCAACCAGAACACGAGATCACGGCAACGCCGGCAATTGGACCTAGCAGATCACTATAACCTGCCGCTTCAGCCGCCGAAGGCGTGGAAGAGCAAAGACAGGACATGGACACACTCTCAGTTACAGAGGGAGAGGTATGAGTTCTTCGAGACCCGAGTCACGGGAGTCCCAGAGGTCTGGAGTGGCTTGAAACAGGTGATTCAATGTTTGCATGAAGGTGATCTGGCCGACGCGCAAGGGATACTGGATGCTCTCTCCGTGACACTCCCGACAGGGAAGCTCGAGGAGGGGGCCTACGATGAACATGGAAATCTGTATAAAATACCACAAGCCGTCATTTCAGATCCCATCGACGTTATCGGGGACAACACGGACATGGACTCCCAAACAGTCACCGGTACTAGTGATATCGATGCGATCGCAGCGAAACTAGAGGCAGCAGAGGGTGGTAACCTTGACGGCAGCAAAGAGACCTCTAATGAAGAAAAGGTCAAGGAAGCCAAGGGCAAAGCCCCTGTTCCCAAGGATGCTGTGAAAGTCCGATGCCGCCTCAGCGATCGCGGCGATCCTGATGTGATCGTTCTGCTGGGCAGAAGCCAGAGAGTGAGCGCCCTCGCTCAACGGATCCGGGACGAAACAGACGTGAGAGTTTCAGACGTTGGCCCATTGATGTCTTCACTAACATGTCGCGCAGGTCCCCAGCAAAGCCAAGATCCGGATCGCATACCTTGGCAAGATTTTGGACGAGAAATTGACCTTGGAAGAACAAGGCTGGAAGGAAGGGCATGTGATCAACGCCCTCGTGGTGGGAATATACAGCTGACCTGCCTTTCTCCGATAACGAGTGCTGCGAGAAAACCAGGAGTTTGTCAGAGGGTGGCGCAGTGTCCAAGCCAGCGATGATTGATTTCAGATACCCAGCACAGTGTATATCTATCTACTGAAGATGTACAAAAGGCTTGAAGGCGTCAAATTTCCATGAGGGAACCACTGCAGAGAGCACAGAGAATCTGTGGGCAAAGTTGCTTTGATAGTATTCTAATTACATTCACGAGACTGTCCAACGAGCTATGAAGATGAGATGTTCTTTTGGTTCCAGCGCATTGAGTTCTTAGATGTGGTAGACTCGACTACTCGACGGAACTGTGAGGTTGTCTGTTCTCGACATTGGACGACATGTCGTGCCCAGGTCTACATTTGATTCTTCTCTAAGTCGATAGAGGAGTGAGACCTACCACGCTACACCGGACACATGTATATCATCAGGCGTGTCGACGGTGGACGGGTTGGAGGAGGGAGTGACAGCGCGAGGCTGAAACACATAAAAGGAGACGGTCCCAACACAATGACCCGGGGATACATCACACAGAAGCAACAAGGGACAGCGGAAAAGTTTTCGATACAGGGAAAGGTCTTTTCGATGGATGTCATGCCTCTGTATCGGATCCACGACACAGTGCATGTGATTTCGTGTACTCGGTAGACGTTTGGCTAGTGTTGGTGCATCGGCAGAGGGCAGGGAATTACAAGCGGGTGGTGTGATGTGATGGTGTTCCCCGGTCAGAGTCCAAGGGCGAGCAACCCCAAGGTAGAAAAGAAGCACTTGTTTCTCCTGCTCGAGAGGAAACATTGAGATTGAGACGTAACGAAGACAGCCATCGAAAGTAGCGCCCAAACAACCCAGAAGCTCACAAGTGTGGAAGTCCTATTATTAATATAAGTCTGGGAAATGGGAAAATGGCCACACGCGCGTCCATTTATCTGTCCATCCTCTTCTTCTCCATGATCCTGGGCCTGAGACGTGTTCTGGTGCTTGTTCAGACACTTCTCGCGCGCACGGTGGTCGGGGAACGCACTGCTGAGTTGATGCAGCTTTTTCTGGACGATCAGCAGAATTGTTGGGATTTTTTGTGAGATCGGGATAGAGACTTGGGGAGGAAGATGGTGTTTTGAAGATGGTGGTGAAGAATCCGGAAGGTGAGCCGCGCTCAGATCTCCATTACCATCACCATCACCATCACCATCACAATCACACTGTCTGACAGAAAAACACATTTCAGACTTCGACTCAGCCTCAACGTCGCCCAACTCGCACGACGAACCCAAGGGGCTGCTGATGGCAGGTCAATAAGTGTCTCACATCGAAAAGATCATGAAAAACAGTGGCAGTGGCACGATTATACGCTGAGCGTGTGTATTTGGATCATGGCTCCCACCACACCCACACCACCAACCGCCTCGGCTCTCTCGGCACTAATCGACCATTCATCAGCCAAATCCGCCTCGGAGTTTCTGGCGATCACAATCCTGCATAACCTGCAGTATCAGCACGAGTGGACGGATCTGAAACTCCATCTCGCTTGCCTCAGCCAGGGCCCTAGCGCTCAAAATGGTGCAGCAGCAGGAGGAGGAGGTGGTCTGATGGCCCTGGACGGGATCAAATTCGGTGGGCATTCGAATCCTTCTTCAAGATCGACCTCGCCATCAAGATCAGCTTCTCCGTCAAGATCTGGGTCATCCACCCCTACGGGAAACGGATCGACTCCTCCTGCTGGCGGGACAGTCACAGTTCCGATAATATCCGGCCTCCCTCCACAGCACAGCTACCTACATCCCGACCTGCAGACGTACCTGATCAAGCACAAGATCAAGGAAACCGAAATCCCCGTGCAAAGGGAGTTTGTGCTGCCGCTGGCCCTGGGCGAGAAATGGAGTTTGGGGAGGTTCTGTGCCGTGTTTGACCAGTTGCCGGAGAGGGAGGTTGTCAGGGTTCGTCATCCTCGCGGGTCCGCGGGTGCAGTATACGAACACAAAGACACCAAACGTCTTCTCTGTGGCATGCGTGCGCGCGAAGGCGGCGGCGGCGACGGCACGGTGGTGTACTACATCATGCAAGAAGGGGAGGTCAAGCCCCGGCAGAACGGATGAGAAGTTGAAGACTCGATCATGAACACATACATACACACAGAGAGAGAGCCCATGGACCGAGCACCACCTACCTGCAAGACTAGAACCATTTCTCTCACCATGTGCGTGCGACAAGCAGGCCCGAGACAAAAACACCACGAAAAGAACCACATTTGCCAAGAAAGACAAAAATAAAATGGTTGGCCTCAAACCAGACCCGACTCGAGCGAGACAGATAGACGAAGTCCAACACGACGCAATGTTCGTCTGTGTGTCAATTCCTCCCGCATCAGTGGCTGGCTTAACGCAGTCATGAAGATCTCCTACCTCGTATGCACAAGGCTGCAAGCCAAACACTCACTCCAACCGCCGACGGTGCAGCTACCAATCAATCAGTCAATCACCCACCCACCATCCATTCAGCCTGCATGTAATTATTACCCAGGGGGAAATCGCATACGCAGTACTTGTACCCATACACTGTGCATTCCCCAGCCTCTCTGCCAGGGAACGGTCCTCCTGACAACCACCCAATCCCAGACATCCACTTCAAGAAACCGACAAAGGCCAATGGGGAAGGAAGAGTTGCAGAGAATAATTCGGAGGGCACTCTTCAGAGTCGACACCATTCAAAGCACCGGGGCCAACACCACAGGACAAGGGGGAACGGTGCAGATGAAGGACACACAGGAACAGAGACGAGACGGGGGGTATCTTCTGCCTCTGCTCTGCAGCGTAGGCGGCGGCGGTGGATTATCAACACGCAGTACCGAGTAGGTGGAAGGGAATCAATGAATGAATGAGAAAGGAAACGGGACAGGCTAGTCTAGGTAGGCTAGGACAACAAGAGAGAAGACAGCAGAAAGGACCAGACCAGATTACTACTAGCCAGATTACCTCGTACACACTCCAGGGTTTTAATTATTATGTAGAGTGAGCGCTGCACTGATACGGGATCCTCCTCCTCGCATGCTAGACTTCTGCGAGAGGGAGAGCATTTCACCTTCGTCTTGCACCCAATGAGCCCCGTGCACGCCCAAAAGCATCACCAGGTCAAGGGTATGGAACGCGGCCCTTTATTATATCGAGCTCGTTCCCTTCATTATGCCGCCCTGGGACATCCAGGAATCCCAAAGCGCTTGCTTCGAAACTTGTCCAAAAAGATCTCCAGGACCCCACGAACCAGACACGCTCAAGAGTGCTCGCTGGTGCTCGCTCTTATGCAGCCCATCCGAGATGCTAATGTCGGGTGAACCACTGATGGCCCTTCAACTTCTCCGACCTCACGACCTTGTGGCTCTCCTCGTGCCTGAAATGGCGATGATGTTCGTGCCTGGCCAACTTTTTGGCCTCCTTTGCATCTTCCTTGGCCTTTCGCTCCTGATAATCTTCAATCGATTCGAGCACGTCGTATTCCTGGACCGGAATGCCTTCGATCTTTTTAACCTTGGACCCTTCGATGAAGACGCACAAGCCAGCCGCGATGGCGACTAGACAGCCAAACGTGATCCAAACACCCGTGCCCCACGAGGGCCGGGTGAAGCGGTTCCAATGCCACATCCAGACACACAGGAGAACCTGGAAAAAGGTGTTGAGAATGTACATCCACACGACGAAATCAATGGTCCAGGATTTTGTCGTCGGAGCGCGGAGACCTGTTAGCGGTGGCTCGGGCATGGACGTTGCAGGGATCGGGATAGCAGGATTCTCCTCCAGTTTTTCAATTTCGTCTTCTGTATAGGGCGGCGGCGCTTCTGGAGTGCGTGGGTGGGCACTGTTGTACACAGGGGGAGGGCCAAGATGTTCCTCCAACTGCTGAGAGCCAGGGAGACGGTACCAACCCCGATATATGCCTGCGAGGCGGCGGTGGTAGCGTTCGTTGCCGCCGAGACGCCAACGCATGAGATAGTACCAATCTCGTGCTCGCCAGGGCAACAGACCAAAGGCGGTCACACAGAAGAGACCGTTCAGAATCTGCGAATCGATTTCGATCCACTTCTTTCGGGCGCTGCTGTCGGCGTCGCAGGACGGGTGGCACATGGCCGGCGCAGCTTTGAGGAGGACGAAAAAGATCATGGCGCCCCATCCGACAACGTTGAGGCCGTAGATGGTGACAATAAAACCAAAAGGGGTGAGGAAGAACTTCCAAAACGCGCGGAGACCAATCATGGTCGATTGGCTCCAGGTGTGCTTCTTGGGGAAGCGGTAGCCATTGGGATATGTGCCTGTTTCGTCGGGACCGCTTTGTATCCGTACCGCTTGCGGTCCACTGGTGGCTTTCGAGGGGGTCATTGAGGAATCTCTCTCTTGAGTCGCAGCAGTCTCGGTGTGCTTCTCCGAGCTAAAATGAAGAGGATTAGCAAATGCTGTGCGTGATAAGAATGGAGACCAGGGAGAAGAGCTCACGTTGCGACCTGCTGAATTTGTTCTGGCTGGCCATGAGCCGGCTGCTGGGCTTCAAGTTGAGGAGCCGCTGCCTCTTCAAACAAGGGCTCCTCCTGCATCAAGGTCGGCGCTCTTTTGGGAAAGTATTCATGTCTCTCTTCTACAATGGCCGGCGGAGCATTTGCCGCGAGCGAGCTCTTTCTCGTCCGTGTACTGGCAGAACTCGTCCTGGCCACCCTTCGAGCGTGGATTTCGTGCGGATTCGTCCCTCGACGTTCCATCTGGCCTTCGTGCGTCCACCCTTCCGCTGCAAACGCGCCATTCCTGATCTCTGGCAATGTAGGGATCTTGGAGCCGATTTCACCTGTAGCCTGCCACATACCAAGAGGAGGATTGCTCTCGAGGAAGGACTGTGTTAGGGAGCCCGTCCGCGTGCGAGACCGGAGAGACGAGGGGGCTTTGGAGAGGCGAGAGACAACGGAGGGTCTCCGACTTGGATCCCTTATGCTGTTGCCCACTCTTTTGAAAGACACGCTGGAGACATCGTTGGCATCTGGAACGTAGGAAGGGAATGGTTCTGATTCTGTCGGAGGAGTCGCCATGGTGGCTACGAGGGCCCAAGTGGGCAAGAAACGCAGTTGGGACGAAGAACACTCAGGCTTTTGGGGGGTTGCAGGAGGTCACTCCGTCAAGTCAAGTGATGGTCAAAGACAGTGCAGCGAGGGCAGGCAGCATTATAAGAGAGAAAGCTGAAACCTGCGTGGCGCGGTGCCATGGTGATTCGTATCCAAGGTTGACGATCGCATTGGAACCCTAGGACTGGGCGCTGGAGAACGGACACTGCTGCTGCTGCGGCTGCTGCTACGGGCGCATCTTTAGTGGAGCTTAAGCCCGTGACACCCAATGATTGCCACGCCGGACCCTCGTCTACCCCCCAAATCGAGCATCTTCTCCCCCTCAGGTCCCACCTGGGTGCCACCTGTATCGGCCTGGAGACTGCCTCAGACTGCTGACCTCAGCATATCTGCCCTGACCACCGTCCGACATAGAGCCCGTTCCGGAAAAGGGCCAAGGGCCTGCGATGAGTGTCGAGTTAGTCATGCATCTATGTCTTGACCCTTTCTTCTGCCCTTGTCCAATGGCTGATTTAACCAGGCCCCTTTTATGCACCTTGCTCAGCACACTCGTCGCCTACGCAAGGGGGCTGGAAGTCCTGGAACCACGCGTCAAAGTCCCGCGCCCAAAGTCGCCACTGAGATGAAGTTATCATTCCAGGATGAAGCCTATATCGAAGCCAGCCTAGTCGCAGAGCCAATGACCCGTAAGCTAAGGCCTCCAGGGATGAATAACATGCTTTGTCCGGTCTGCTGAAAGACTTTTTGCCTTGACTGGGCAAAGTCCTGGACTATGCAGTGTCAATCAATGTGGGAACAGTTTGGAAGATTTTTATTTCTGAAGACAGGGGTATAGGATGCGTGCTATTCATAAGTACATTCGAGGAAGTCACTCTTGTGACTGAAATCCTCTATAAGAATATCTTCCCAAGACAGTGCGTGGCTCTCCCCCAGGTTCCTTCTGACTACACAGGACGATCATTGTGAGAACATGCATCTCAATATCCACCACTTGTCTTCACTCTGGGATCCAGCTTGTTGAGGAGCTCGCTGTTGTGCACCGGGGTACCCTGTGTACCAGCTGTTGCTCCATGACCAGTAGTTCCCGTAGTGCCCGTCACTCCTCCTGGCTGTGCAGTCGTACCATATCCTGAGGTTGAGGTCGTGCCAGCACCGCCGTAGGTGCCTTGAGTCTCCCCATAGCCGCCAACACGGCTAGCAGGGTTGTTGCGGTTATCGGCATCGCTGTCCACTCGAGGATCAAGCTTGTTTGCCATGTTGGAAGAATGAGGACCCGCTGTAGTGTTTGCTGTTGTTCCATACCCTGAATTGCCATATCCTGAGTTGCCGTATCCTCCCACCGTGCTGGTTGGATTGGCGCGGTGGTCCAGGTCACTGTCGACGCGAGGATCAGCCTTGTTGGCGAGATTGGACGAGTGAGGTCCCGCCGTGGTACCAGAGGCCGGTCCGTAGCCCGAGCTACCATATCCTCCAACAGTGCTGGTTGGATTGGCGCGGTGATCAAAGTCGCTGTCGACGCGAGGATCAGCCTTGTTGGCAAGATTAGACGAGTGAGGGCCTGCGGTGGTGGTGGTGGAGGTCGGTCCGTAGCCCGAGCTACCATATCCTCCAACATTGCTGTTTGGATTGGCACGGTGATCCCGGTCGGAGTCTACACGGGGATCGAGTTTGTTGGCAAGATTGGACGTGTGTGGCCCTGCGGCGCCGGTAGACGTCCCCGTGCGACTGTCGACTGTGGGGTCCACGCGGTTGGCAGTGACGGAATCATGATAACCGGCTCCTGTGGTGCCATATGCGGAAGAAGTGTTGGTTGTAGTCGTGTCATGGCCTTTGTTGCCAGACAGAGCATCCTTGGCCTTGTTGATGAGATTCGACATTGCGGCTGGGGTACGAGGAAGATTGATTTCAGTACTGGGTTTGAATGGTGATACAGGCAAAATCACAATGAATGTTGGATTGGAGGTAAGCTCTCTGAATGATGATAATGAGAAGTTAAAGCTGGGGATGGATGGAATGCCCGTCTTATATAGGCGGTACGTTCCTTGGGCATATTTGGTCAATCCTTCCGCAGATGAGAGTGTGACAACCCAAGGAAGTCGCCAGATTGCGTCACGTATTGGCATTTCCTTTCCTTTCCAGCGATTTAAGAAACTGCGATCACTCGAAAAGGGCATCACGCTTGACGCACCCACGCCGATGCTCTTGCCTGAAGCATCCAGATCTGGGGCTCTTTCTCATGAACTGTGGCTGACTTCTTTGTGATTGGACGTCTGGAAATACCAGCCACAGTCGGAGCCACTGCTCTCGCGTCATTTGTGCGTCATGGGTGTCACGGTGGCCGTCAGATCGGGACAGCAACTGTGGCGTCGAATTTTCCGATTTGCTGACTTGATGTTATTCGTGCTCGTGGTGGCTCTTTTGCGGATTCTGGGGCAGCGAGGACAGCCGACCAGGGTCCCTAGAGAGCCCACATGACAGTGCTCAGTGGTCAGAAGAATCTGGGCGTTCTGTCAGTGGGACCCATCGCTGCGAAAATACTTCTGCAGGGCTTCCTGGCCAAGGCTGAGTTGGAGTTGCGTGCTCTGAACCTCCTGTGACAACTTTCACTCGGCCCCTCCATTGACGACGTATTTCGTCACTGCGTCCTTCAAAACCTGAATCTCACGCTGTGTCTTGACAAACACTTCACGGTACTGCTCCAAACTCTCTTGGACAACCTCACTCCGACTTTTCCGACCCTCGCAGATCGCTTTCATCTTCAGCTCCAGCTCCTTGCGGAGGAAAGGTTTGCTGACACTGACGTCGAGGCCCACGTTGTCGTACCCCTCAATCAAGGCAACGCCGAGTGTAGTGGGAATAAATTCCGGGACAGAATTGCGACCGCCTCTAGACTGTCTTGTGTCGACATACGATCGATCCTTGATCTTGGCAATGTGCTCGGCCATTGTCGCGTCTGTTCCAATGCCATTCGCATCCATCAAAGCGATCAGTTCAGGCTCGGTAAGATACCCGGGCGCTGTGGTCTTTCCATCCACCATATTTGCCTCTGATGGCTCAAAGGTCTCGCCGAGGGTGAATTCAGGAAGCTGCTGGCTGCTTTCCCATTTGTCGTAAACGTAGACATCGAGGTAATTCCTCTCCAGGACCAGCAGACCATGAGTATGGAACGTCTCAGAGCCCCACAGGATTTCAATGTCGGTCGCCTCCCCCTTGGCATCCTCTGAACAACACGCCAAGAATCTTCGGGTGACGAACTCGTACACCTTTTTTTCCAAAGCGTCCAGAGCATTGCTGGCAACATAGTTGACTGGGTGGATAGGTGGGTGAGCTTGGTCGTTGTTGCGGCCCGAACGCGGAGTCCTGAAATCACCGTCCAGTAGTCGTTGTGCATATTGCCCCCAGTTGTTGTCTTGGGTTTGCCGTTGAATTATGGCGTTGAAATCGAACTCTCGTGGGAACTGATCTGTCTCGGTTCGGGGATAGCTGATGAAACCCTTTTGGTAGAGCTTCTCCGCGACGGACATGACTTGCTGACTGGTCATGCGAAGAAAGCGGCTGCCTTGCATTTGCAACTCCACCGTTGTCAAAGGCAACGGTCTCCATTTCGAGGTGGGCTTCTTCTGGACCTTTGTAACCTTGGCATATTTCGCTTCAAGACACGCCTCAAATATAATGGTCACCGCTGCTCGGTCGAAGAGAGAGACCCTCCGCCAGTTGAAATTGACCTTGATTCTGTTCCTTACGTGGACCAACTTGATGAGCCAGAAGGTCTCTGGCTTGAAATTCCTGACTCGGTTGTATCGATCCACCACGAAGCCCAGGGTGGGGAATTGGCAGGAACCATAGGAGATAGTTTGGTCTCGAAGGTTGTCGCTCAAACGCTGGAGTTCGAGACTCTGAAGCCTAGTAAAAGAGGCGCCTATCCGCAGGTCAAGCTCGATCCTGGCTGCGACCGCACTGACTTGCCGCTCGTCCATATCAATCGGAGAATGGGCCGCATGGACAACATGGCTGGAGCGATTAGGCTTGGGGAACCAAGGGAGAGAAGGACACTTACGCTCTTTCAGTATTGCTGAACTTGGCTCGCTTCACCACAATGGCCGGGTTGCCCTTTTTGGCCTGGTCCCGTACTTCGCCGCCAATGTGTTCTCCCTCCCGGTCACAATCGGTCCAAATAAAGAGGACTCTGGCATAGCGAGCCTGCCGTTGAATGTTTTCAGCGATAGACTGCTTGTCTCTGTCAATGGTAATCTTTGTTTCGGCTTCAAACAGTTGACTCGGAGGACACGATTTCCAGCTTTTATACTTTGGGTCAAAGTCCAAGCCTGTCAGATGGCCCAGCACGCTGGTCATGGTTACCGAGCAGTTGCCCCATTGTTGGAAGTGGAAGTCAAACTCGTAATTCTTGACATATTGATTGCCGTTAACCGGGCGCTAGGGGTCTATGAGATAACCGGCCAAAGAGTAAGGGCCTGGGAATTAAAACTGGCTTACTGTGGTGACTCGGCCACCTGCTAGGTGTTGGGCGACTGCCTTGGCTATTGCCGGTTTCTCTGCGACGCAGAGGATCTTTTGGCCGGGCATAGTTCATTTTGGAGGAGTCTCATAGTCGGCGAGGGAGGATTCACTGGCCTTGATGGTCGAAGGGACGGGAGCAGGCAAAGGAGGATGAAGCGACGCGTCTGAAAAATATGAGCGATGGCGGCTGAACGCGCCACCAGGTGATCAATTGGTCAAATAGGCGGTGGGAGCAGAACCGAGTAGTGGCGCCACAGGGGCACTTGCGAGTACGCAGTGAGCCAGTAACTAGGGCGATGGTGGTGGGGTGAGATCTGGAGCCTTAGGGGTGTTTGGCCGGAGGCATAGGTGACGAGATCTTAACTGGGAAGCTTAGCTCACCTCCACCTGTACGCCTGGCCAGTACCGGTAGTCCCCCGACGGTGGCGCCCCAGAAGATATTGACAAATAATAATGATTGCGTCATTACATTTTACTGTGAGGCTTGGGTGAGGCTTCATAAACCATCTCCCCTGCCTCTTGCCTCTCTTCTCTCTACAATTGCTATTGAATCCTTCACAAGGCACTGTGTTTCTTTCAAGTGCTGCGCAATGGCTCTCCCTGTCGTACTCAGCCTGGTTGACTGTGCCGATTACAGCAACACAGTCGTCCCCTACCTCTACCAGCTGGCGTCTCTCCCAAATGTCTTCTTTTCTTCCATCACCAACACTGCAGCCTTGAAGCAGTTGTACCTTGACACGAACCCTCTCATTACCGCTATTGCCTTTGCGGTTGCTCTGTCTCCCATCTTCCTGCTGCTCTCCGAAATCAACAGGAACTACTCCCAAGTAGACCGCGTTTGGTCAATACTCCCGGCCGTCTACAACCTGCACTATGCGGTTTATTCTCACCTTGCCGGCGTGCATACAGCGAGACTAGATGTTCTTTGCGTTGTTAGCACGCTATGGAGTGTAAGTCCCAGTCTGACTGCTTATGTGTGGCGCTGATTTTGTGGTAGGCTCGACTGACCTACAATTACTATCGAAAAGGAGGCTATTCGATTGGCAGCGAGGATTACCGCTGGGCCACCATCAAGGAATATGTTGGGCCAGCGTTGATGTTCCTCTTCAACATCCTGTTCATCTCGCTAGCGCAGTCCCTGCTATTGTTTCTCATCACCACTCCAGCCTACATTCTCCTGCTAACAGAACGCTTGGCGACCTACGACGGACCAATTCAATCCTGGAATACGGTTGATACTGTCGCATCTGCCATCATGTTGGCCTTGATTGCCATCTCGTCCGTGGCAGATCAGCAGCAGTGGAATTACCATGCTGCCAAATCTCAATATCGCGAAACAGCCAAAGTACCACACGGCTGGGAACGAGCAGACCTGGACCGAGGCTTCCTCGCCAAAGGCTTGTTTGCTTATTCGCGACATCCAAATTTCGCAGCAGAGCAAGGCGTTTGGGTTACATTGTACCTGTGGTCGTGTCTGGCCACGGAGACTTGGTACAATTGGAGCGGGATCGGAGCAGCATCCTACCTCATGCTTTTCCAGTCCAGCACCTGGCTTACAGAGCTCCTCTCATCGGGCAAATATCCTCAATACAAGCAGTACCAGGAACAAGTGGGAAGGTTTTTGCCCAGCCCCGGTCGCGGCCCGCCGAGCTTTCGAGAACATAACACAGCTCGGACGAATGGTAGGGAGTTGAAGGAAAGACACGTGACAAAGACAAGATAGATATTCGGCCCAAGGCAATATACATACATACTGGGGAACTGCGTTGGATCATCCACTTGTTTGTACTATCAAGTTTGCTAAACTCCCGCCCCAGTCTGCAGGGAACACGGAGACTTGTTCCTTGGTGTCTGCTTCGGTCAAGTCCGCCAATAATCCCTGCCTGGGCCCAAAAGTCATGACGAGCAGGACTTCCATCCCTTTGCAATGTATGACCCCCACATCTCTATTTTGGTGGCTATCAGAGCCGTGCAGCGTGGTCCAATATGGAGTTGCGCCCTGCATGAAAAGCCTCTGTGCAGGTTGATGTGCTGGATCGCGTCGGGCTGCAGCAGATCGCCATCTGGCATTCGCAACTTGTTCCCTCGTCATCGGGCTGCCTTCGCGAATCGGAGATGCAGCTATGAAGCTAGGACTGACTCCTCAGACCACCACCTCCACCACATCTACATTTCGCCTCCCGGCAACCCGCTGCTAGTCGTGATGGTATTCATTCTCTAGGATGTACATCTCTCCGGTCCTTGTCTCTTTGCCATCCTCCTCATGGTCTATTCAGCGTTGGATAAGCAGGACACGCCCAACCTGACGCAAGTTCCAACGCCATGGACCTGGAGCGAATTAAGCAAACCCTCCGCCTTCGTTCCGGCCGATCCAAGAAAACTCGCAAGCAGTCCACCGAGCAGTCAAACGCGGCTGCTCACCCTGGCCAGTTGGCTCAGAAGAACATTGCCAACGGAGCGGTGAAGGAGCCTCTTCGAGTGCTCACCAAACCCAAGCCAAGTCCTTCCACAGAAGTGCCCGCTGTTCGCAAGTCACAGCCCGGACCGGAGCTTAGTGAAGCCCCAGCTCTCAAACTACGAGACAGACCAGTGTATCGACCCGAGCTCCCGCACGCATCGACCGACTTGGAGCTGAAAGCATCTGCCTCAGTTCCAAATCCACGCATAGAACGTCCTCGCCAGAACCCTGGACAGCAACCGGGCTCGAACCCACCCTCTCTGCTGCGCACTATGTCTGAGGTACACAATTCCGAGTCCTCATCTGCTCTAGATTTCGACCTGCACCCACCTCCTCCGCCTTCCAGGCCCAAGCCACCTTCAGTCGAGGCGCTTTCAGAGTCGCTCTTTTCTTCGGGCCATCTCAATACTCTCCTCCGCGATCCTCAATACCTGGCCCGCTTCACTTCCTTTCTGACGAGGTATAGACCGCAGTACCATCCTATTCTTTTACGATACCTCGAAACCCAGAAGGCCATCAAGGCCATTGAGTATGCCAATGCTGTTGCTGAAGGAATCCCTCCCTCTTCGGATGATGGTGACCCAACCAATGCAAAGGTTTCTGTTGCAGCGATCCTCGACAGGGCTTTCGAGGAACTGAGCAATGGCGCCTTTCGCCTTATGGTCAACTCTGCTCTCCCCATGTACGTCACGTACAATCTGGTAAAACTGGTGACCGAGTGTCTCATAGACGAGATTACGGGTAATCGAACTTCCTCTACTAGAGATCTGGTAGGAGGCCTGTCTGAAGTATTTTGTCTCACCGATCCAAGACAAGAGGATAATCCAATTGTTTTTGCCAGTGAAGAGTTCTACCGACAAACTGGATACGAGCCTGACTACGTTATTGGGCGGAATTGTCGCTTTCTACAAGGCTCCAAAACTAACCGAGAGTCGGTCGCGCGGTTGAGAGAAAGCATTGTAAAAGGCGAAGATATATGCGAAACCTTGCTAAACTACCGGAGAGATGGCAGAGCCTTCATGAACCTACTGATGATAGCCCCTCTCCACGACGATAAAGGCAATGTTAAATATCACATTGGCGCTCAGGTTGACGTCACAGGAATGGTCGAACGAGGGAAGGAATTCGAAGGATTGAAACGGTATCTGACCACAAGAGAGATGGAGAGACGTGAGAAAGAAGTCCGCCGAAATCGAATAAATGGAGATGATCAAGACGTCCAAAAGCCAAAGGCATTGGCAAAGTTGCGTGATCTAAGTGAGATGTTTGATCTGGAGGAATCCATCGTGGTCCGGTCAAGCGGGAGGACTACTCCGAAATCAAGGGAAGATGACGAGCGCAGTGTCGCAAGCAGTCGTAAAGTCCCTCGACGAGTGTTCGGTGATGGCGATGCGACTTCTGAAAACGATGATGAAGACCCTGCCGAGGAGGAGGATAAGGCCTGGGAACTCGGTCAGTCAGGCCAATCTGGTTTGTCAGGAAAGCTGCCCGGCGTTTACGACAGCTACATGCTGGTCCGACCGGCCCCTTCGCTCCGAGTCGTCTTTGTGTCCTCCGTCCTACGACGACGCGTGGGCAATATAATTCAGCATCCATTCTTATCACATGTTGCTGCTTCTGCAAATACGTTGAAAGGACTCAAGGAGAGCTTCAGCGTAGGTGTTCCCATGTCGGCGAAGATCAACTTGCTGCTTGAAGCTGGAGATCGAAAGGATGGCACAGTGACCCGCGGTGGAAACAAAATTCAAGATGCAGGACTGGGCAGGGTCTGCTGGATCTCAGCAACGCCGTTGCTTGGAAGTGACGACAAGATTGGGGTCTGGATGGTCGTGATTGTCGAGAACGCAAAAGTACCGAAAAGGGCCAAACCTGATACCCTGGTTCGTGCAGTTGAAGACCAGGCTCTGAAACAGCCTGAGTCTAGGGAAGTAACACAGATCGGTACCTCTGCCAAGGCCAAGTCACAGAAACAAACTCCGTCCGGCCGAATTGAACCCTCAATGGGCGGCTCAAAGGCCCCAGGCGAACCAACTGAACCCAAAGATCATTACAACACGCCGGACCACAGTCAAAACACTCGATCACCTCCAGCACCCGCTGAAGAAGGCAACCTGAAAGAAGAGAAGCCGGAGGAGCAAGACCACCAGCAAGGTCTGCCTGAGGACGAAACACTTGTCGAACCGGAAGGAGAGAAGCCTGTCCCGAGCCACACGGGCAATGCTCAGCGTGAACTCCTCGATGATGAAACGGATGATTTTATGCCCACAAATGAAGGTCTCTCCGACTCGTCGAGCCCGCATCAAGTGCATGGTCAATTGAAAGACCATGAAGAGCCCCATACGCCGAAGGCCACAGATATGAACGATTCCCTTGAACGCGCTTTGTCAGGGACGAAAGCAACCGAGGACTGGAAAGAGCCAGTATCACCAGAAGACAATGGTCTCACGAACGGGCTGAACGGGCCCCATGGCTTATCCGACGAGGAAAAAACACCCGTCAATCCGCGAAAGGTTCGGCTTGGAGATGATACGCCTTCTCCCTCGAGGCCGGGAACCAGTGGTGCGGATTCTTCCACCGGAAAATCAAACAGCAAACATTATATGGACTATATCCGTCACCCTGGAAGCCGGCCGTCATCCGAATACAACCGTGGAATGTCAGGAAGCTTCATGTCTGCCAAGTACTATACAGAAGATGAGCCTCAAGAAGAAGAGGACGACTTCAATGACCCCGAATGCGCAAGGTCACCGTACAGTGTGGATTAACGTCGCAGAGGGAATACGGGTGGTGGGTTTGCACAGATTTTGGTGGATGATCCGTCCTTTGTGTATATAGATGCTTTTCTGAACGGGGTACTAGAGTTTCCTTTTACTGGTTATGGCTTGAGAAAAGGATAATTATTTCAATAGTTGGATACAAAAGTGGATTGATGAATGAGGATTTTCAGCCTTGTCCAGCCTTGTCCAGCCTCGTCAACGCAGCCTTGGATCCGAGCGCCAAGGCTCCACTTCCCCCCGATTCGCTCTTTGAGATCAACTTTTTCATCACCCAGTTGGATTTCTGTCTCTATCAACATATCACTACATTGGCTCCGACAACAAACCTACGGTCTATTGAGCCCGTGCAGCTGTCTTTACGACTACTTCCATCATAGACATAATCGAACATCCTTTCACGGTGAGACGTTTCACCACGAAGCAGGCATGGCCCAGCACGCCGAAGCGTCGACCATTCCTTCGGTCAAAGATCTTGCCAGTAGCGGTATGTTACCCATCGTTCAGAGGAGATTGCACGAATTTTGGGATTGGAGTTTTGCAAGACTGTAGCGAACTTGCCTTCGCACCAAATCAAAAGCAATCCCATCCCATTGGATTTCGTCCTGGTCCGTCCACTGACTCTCCAAACCGAGTAGAAGCATCCAAGCGCCGCGCGTGTCTCAACACCATCATATCATTCCTCAATGATCAGAACACCTCGTCACCAGTAACACTAACCGAAAGCCTCCAACTCTGGCGTGGCTTCTACGTGGCGCTCTACATGCACGACAGCAAGAACGCGCTCTCGGTTCAGAGACTCGCCGCCGAACTGGCCGCCACGCTGAGGATCATGGACGAAAAGGACCACGAATCCCCAGCAGCTTCGGCCCCGGGATCAGACGCTCAGAGCCACCCGTGGCTCGACGTGTGGACCACCGCCTTTTGGGAAACCGTGTGCAGGGAATGGTCCTCGATCGACCAGTGGCGCATGAACAAAGTCCTGCTGCTGGTGCGGTTCTTTGTGCGAGAACTGTTCAGCCTCGCATTCGGTTGGGCCACCAACACGGACGCATCGGCATCGACATCGACACCGCAAAGTCTAGTAGCGAGTCAACTCCAGATCCTGGAAAATTGGCCTCTCAGTCCGCGCGAGCGCAAGGTGCCCGATGGCCTGAGACTCCACGTCCTGGACGTCTGGGTGGACGAGCTCGCCGGCCAATTCGACGCAGCCCAAAGGGACGTGGCCGTGGCCGAGTCCGAGCAGCAGAGTGACGATGGCGACGCCGTAGCCGACGCTCAGAAAGTGAAAACGGTCCTCCTCGACACAGCCAAGGCTTTCATGGCCCCTGTGGAAAAGTTGAGCAAAGAAGCTCTCAGCAGGGGGGTCAAGGTCAGGGCGAAGGAGGCTATCCAGCTGGCCGAGGAGAAATTTTCATGATGAGAGGCGCTGGGCACCGCACGACACCGGTTCATCCTTCCCACCTCCTCAAACTATCTACTCCTTGCCCGCGGCGCAGCGTTGTTGGGCAATGAGCTGTGCCAGATCAAAGGAGGATATCGCATCGCTTTTTCAACAGTCCTGTGAACTGTATCTGGCTAACGAGCTGATCTGGAGATAACGCCAGACACAGAGACCGAATGCCATCAGCTAATTACCCCCCTTTTTGAATCAATACCCATGCGCGTACAGAGGTTCCCAACACCTGCAACAACAGAGTTTGTTTTCCCCCAAGGGAAAAGAACAGTCCAGGATCTCAGGCCTGAAACACAAAGAGCCGACCCACGCCGAAATCTCTGTATCAAGGAGATGCCACAGGGCTTACCTCGTACTCTTGAGGAGGGTGATTTTGTGGTCCGCGAGATCGTCGACTCAGCGATCACCAATAGCCAAAACAGCCATGCCTTCGAGTGTTAGGTTCCATCAAGACCTGACGACAATGACTCCATATACCCGCTCAACAGCGATGAAGATCCATCCACTCACTTTTGAAGCGCATCCAAAAATGGGTTCCCAGATTGAAGAATGGAAAAAGATTTCCCGGAATCAAAAATTTATGCGCAAATTGTATCAAACACATCAACGGCAACCCAAGAAAGAAGGTCATGTCCACAGACTCCACGCCTGCCTACCTGCCTGCCTGCCAGCCAACCATATGAACGCAAATAAACAAACAAATCAAGAAAAGAGCTTGCAGGTGGTCCTTTGGAAAATCAAATGTTCAAAAATGTCCAAATTCCTTCTCAGCTGGAAAACACAGCCGGCTGCCACCAATTCCCACTCCCACTCCCACTCCCACTCGCCTTGTTGTCCTTGTCCTCCCGCCGTTCATCCTTGTCGCGTTCGCGCTCGTCGCTCGTCGCGTCCTTTCTGGACGCGCCCTCGGTGGTTGCTTCAGCGTCGGCAATGGGAGAGGAATCTATCAGATACAGAATCGCAGAAAATCAGCAGCCAAGCCCACAAACACTTAGAAATAGATCAAAGGTTGAATCGGAATTTTGGGGGTCGAATTACAAAATGTAGTAGAAAGGCCAATAATCATCAACCAGTCTCACTCATAGAGTCACGGAAAAAAGACATACCAAGTCCCTTGTCGCCTCCTTCGCCGCCTTTGTCAACTCCAATCTCTGGCAGCTGTGGTGCCTCTGCAGAAGATGAGGCGACAGCATCATCCGTCACCGGCGCAAGGGCCGGCTCTGACGAGGTCGCTTCATTGGGCGATTGGACATCCTCCTCTTTCGCGTCATGAAAAGCTGCTTCCACTTCTTGCGAGTGATCCTGCTCCGAGTTTTGCTGTATAGTGCCGTTCGGCTCAGCTGAAGGTTCTCCTGCTGCTGCTGCTGCTGCCGCCGCCGCCGCCTCGGCCGCCCTTTTCCTTTCCAGCTCAGCCGCTCTGGCTTGTTGGCGCTCCCAGTTCTCCTTCCTCGCTTGCTCATCTTTCAACTTTCTCCTTCGTTCCACCTCATCCATGCCGCCCGTCTTCTTCAACTTTCCTTCTTCAACAAACTTTTCGACCTCACGTTGGAATTCGCCGACCTTTCGACTTTCCAATTCGCGCTGCCGAACCTTCTCCGCTCTCTCTATTGCTTCCAGGCGGCTTTCGTGATTCGGCTGCAAAGCCCGGACTTCATCCAGCATACCACTTTTGGCTTCGTGAGGGTCGACGTCCGTATCAAAGGCAAGGCTTTTCGAAGCTTGGCGACCACTGTTTGCGCTCTGCAGATTCTGCTGCTTCGTGGCTTCCTCCACGAGCTTAAAGACATTCGTGATATCTTCAAGATCACCGTCGAGATCATTCATCAACTCATCTTGCTGTGTCAAATCGTCTCTCTCCGTCATGACGACTTGAAGCTCTTGCTCCCATATCTTGGTCCAGATAGGCTTCTCGCGCTTGACAAAGTCTTTGACCTTGCCGAGTTGTTTGGCAGTTGTACTGATCTCCTTACTGATATCCTCCAGTTGTCGAGGAAGAGGCCTGACTCCTCTGGTCACAACGTCCTTGCGCAGCTCTTCGACAATATCTGAAAGATCGTCGACACGGTTGACAAGCGCCTCGGAGTCGTCAGATAATTGCTTCTTGCCTTCATTGATATGGGCTCGACCGGCGTCTCCTTTGTATGTAGCATTGGCAGCCTCTGCAGCAACGGCCTTGACGTTGGCTGCCTTGGCTTTAATGTCGCCCATGGCTGCAGTGAAGTCCGAAGACATTGTGGAATACGTCTGGCGTAAAACTGCAATCTCCCGACGAAGGTCCTGGATTTCTTGCAGAGTGGACTCGGAGGACGGGGGAGCGGCGAATTTTCCGGTAGCCAATGTCGGAGTTCGTGCAGGGTGCTGCGCAGGGACAGCAGACATTCTTGCCATCTCCTTGGAGGTTTCGAGCTGTCGATCCGCAAATCGCTGCATCATTGTACCTTGTCCTTCGAGCAGTGACCGGACTCCGTCCAGAGTTCTCTGAAGCCCGCCCATGCCTTCATCGATATGCTTTTTGACTTCATCCAGAGCTTCGACATTCAGCACAAGTACACATCGGTCCTTGACATCCGAAAGGTCTTCTAATTCGTGCCTGACGCCCGAGACAGGATCTTGCACATAAATCTCAGGGAGGTCGACTCCGTTATGCTGAGTGTTCCACGCGAATTTTTCAATGAAAGCAAGCTGCAATCTAGCAAGAGTGAGTTCATCGTAGCCGTCTGCGAGCACAAACTTCTTAATTTTGCTTCTATACTGCAAGAAAAGAGTCAACTCCTTGCCTTGTGGAGGTGATGATTCTGACACGGGAGCTCGCGATCGTGGTGGTGTGAGGTTCTCAGATGATCTTCGTTGAACCGTCTCTGGTGTCTTGACTGGTTCTACATCCACATAGGCCTTGGGTTCGGGTAGCTGTGGCGCCAATTGTGAGTCAAGTGAGATTGTTTCTTGCAACTCTTCTGGCGGTGGACTGAGGGGACCGTTGACAGTTGCTCCCATCAGCAAGTTATCTCCGCTACCAGAGTCGGATTTCGGGGCTGGCAAGTACTCATCCGGGGTCTTCACCGTTGGGCTATCAAAATTCCCGGCCTCCTCAGGCTGTTTCATTGGTGGCACTTCCTGCAGAGTCAGGACCGGGGTCTCCTCTCTCTCCTCCGAAATGCGTTGGGGCGCCTTGATGGTGCCGCTCCTGCTGGGCGACGCATCTCCCTGACGAAGAGACTTTGATCTTGATTGTTGGTAGGAACTTCTTGACCGAACCGCGGTCAAAGATTCGCGCACTTCCTTTCCCCTGTTTGGTATGGGGGAATTTTGAGCTGCAGGAATAACCGGCACACCATTAGGAGAAGCACCTAGATGCTTTTGAATTTGGTAGGCCGAAAATCTCCTTGAGGCTCGCCTCTCCAGATCTCCGCCACGTTGTAATCGAGTGAGGGCATCTGCTTGCTTCGGCGGCGGCGGGGGAGGATGTGGAAAATTGATCTGAGGAACGGAAGGAGACCGGTCAATGTCCTGATAAAGCGGTAGGCTAGGAGGATTTTGTGGTGTCCCCGAAGAAATTGTCGAGCCGGAATCAGACTGAGGTATTTGGGGGGCCACGTCCCTTCGCATCGAGTGTCTATTTATAGAGGATCGGCCTGGCTGTTGCACGGCCGACGTGTTTGCGGCAGTCCATGACTGGTCAGTTGTTGCGCTGCTTTGAGGAGGCGATTGAGCGCGCATACTTGCAGAGGCACTCGGTACCTCATCAAGCATGTTCGTCAAACCAGTCTCATTGCTTCCTGTTGTCGATATGCTAGGCTGTCTTGCTGGAGTAGTAGGCTGTCTCGATTGCGTTGTCCCAGAGGCTTCCTTGGGATTTCGACCACGTAGTCGGCTTTGCTTCCTCTTGAGGCCATGTAGGAGGTTAATAATGATGTCGCGGATGCGAGGCAGGTAGTTGTCAAGAGCTTGAGGAGATGCGGGCTGGCTCAGAGTATCCTCGAGGATGTTTCGCAAGAGATCAGGGACAGGACCAAGGTCGGAGGTTTCGACACCTATTGAATTGAAGGCACGGCATGCCAGATTGAACTCGTATCCCAGCCGAACGTAGACATCAGAGACCTCCTCTTCCTGCGCCTGTCCACGCGACCACTGCGTCAGAGTCTCGAGCAATTGTTTCGTGGCGACTAGTAGATGAGTTACGCTCTTCTCTATTTGCGATATCTGCTTGTCGGGCTGCACAATGCTTTGGTCAGAGCAAAGATTCAAAGCGGAAAATACAAACACTCACATTGGCGCTTCTTTGCGAGCGGCCCGAGCCTGAAGACGACCTCGCTTGAGAGGCAGAGCTCGTTGCAGGATTCATGGCCGGGGCCTGGGCCTGGGAATACGTTGCGTCGGGCATATCTTGCTGCCGCCGCTGAGACTGCGAAGGCCGTTGGGCTCCAGGGACGGCGGATGACTGCATCGTGTCGTTATTGAACAGGTGTTGATTCCCTCCGACAGGACATGGTTGAGAGGAGTTTCGGCGGGTCACTTGATTTGAGAAGATTACATGGTGAAGGAGACAACGGGTCCTCTGTTAGTAAAGGGGACAGGGACGAAGAAGCTGATGGGGGATTATGTACCGAGTAGAATTGGGATTGTGATGCAGATGGAGACTAGAGATGGGTGCGCAATGGTGCGTTGGAGAGCCATCGGCCTTGGTTCCTTTTCCCCCTTCCTTTTCCCTTTTGGTGCCCGAAAACGCAATGGGCGGCGTTTTGGGGGGGCCACCAACGACTGGCTAGGCGCAGTCATACCTAAAATACCTAACCTACTAAGTACCTAGGTACCTCCTACCAGTCCTAGCCCGCCTGTCTGCTGCACGTCGCCAAGCCCTCGCCGCTTTGAAGTTGTTCGGCTCACCTTCTGTTCCTCTTCGGTCTCCTGAAGGTCTCCTGAGCCTTGGCATTTCTCTTCATTGATAACCTCAGCTGTGGTCACCCTATCTGCAGACGATGATAAATGAGCCAGTTTCAAGATATTCAGTAATTGTGCGTCTTAGGATGTAGGCTACGGCCATTCAACCTCCCCACGAATGATCATACTGCACCGGGACCACTTATTGCTACCGCCTAACTCCTCCCATCGCTCATATCGGCCCATGGAATCCTCCGTCCGACCCAATGCCACCACTTCCTCTGGTCCATAGGACATCACACTCTCTCGCTCTTCAAAGGCGGGCCATGGATCGCCGCCGTTCATAAAGGTTATCCAGTGCCTTCCCATCTGTTCTGCTGCCTTTGCTAGCTTGTCTGGTAAGAGGTGGTTGTACGTCTGGAAGAGAAAAAGCAAGTCCACAGCGTGATGTGCCATATTCTGGAACGGGCCCGGAAATGGATTGCCGTAACGCATGTGATAGCAGAACGCCTTCTCACCGCTAAAAGTCTTTGCAATCTCATGGATGTCGCGGCCGAACTCTGCGTCGGTGCAGAAAGGCTCCAAGGTGGATACTGCTTGCTCATGGGAGAAGTCTGTAAGATTGTAGGAAGCAGTCATATACTCGAGCTCTTGGGCAGAGAAGAAGGAAGAGAGTAAAGAGCGGATCTTGTCTGGTGTCCAGTCGAGTTTGGCGATACGCGGAGCCCAGATAATGCCCTGTCGTAGAGGTCAGACGTGGTAAGTAAATGCTGGTTACGAGAGAGGGCTTACTTCTTTCTCACAGTCACCAATGATGATCCTGCGTACATACGAGTCGTATGGCTGGTTCCCTATCGTCGATGGCAATGGAAGTCGATTCAGGAGGAAGCCATCGACCGTGGCTTGCCAATTTGGTAGTGGAGATCCAGTGGCGATGTAAGCGTTCAACAGCTCATTCACCGGTACGTCTCGCAAGCGTTGGATTTTATCCAGAGCATCTATATCGGAGGGAATCTGCAGGTGTGCAAGAACCTTCTGGTAAATGCCTTCTTGATGTTCGAGGCTGCGAGATGTAAGGACTGCATTGCCTGACATGATCACCGCCTGGCTGAATAACTCTAGGTGCGCAGCCCAGGGCGACAGCATCTGAATCTGGATGTCACCTGCTCTCCATGGTAAGTCCTTTGTTTCAATAGAGAGCTCAAGGCCTGGACAAGAACTGCGGAAAGCAAAGTGTCGAAGTACTTACTTCCACCAGCACTCTGACCTACTACCGTCACCTGCTTCGGATCCCCACCGAACGCGCCGATATACCTCTTCACCCACTGCAGCGCCACAATCTGATCGTGGATCCCATAGTTACCGACGCCGACATCGCCTGCCTTGCGGTTATCCAGCTCAAGATCATCCGATGCCAGAAATCCAAAAGCTCCCAGTCTGAAGTTTATGGTGACCACCACTATCGGCTGCTCCATGTCCAGAGAGAGGTGAACGAGAGGTGCCCCGTTATACTGGGCTGCAGACCCGGCGCCCATGCAGTTTGCGCCGCCATGGATGAAGACCAAGACTGGCAGTTTCGTGCCAGCAAGATTGTACGTAGGTGTCGTGATGTTGAGGTTGAGACATTGGAATTCGTTGACAGGCGGTATGGGGTCCTCGGCAGGGATGCTAGCGCCAACGAGGTTGAGAGAGGCTGCGAGGGCTGGTGAAGGCGAGATAGGACTGTTGTGGCTGTGTAAGCACTCGACACATTCTGCACCTGGCTTACAGCACACAGAAACCGAGACTCAAGGACGTATCAGACGCAGCGGAATTATGCACGCACCCGAAATGGCTGGCGTCGAGAGTCTCTGAGGACCACTTGTCCACGATCTTGGACCTCTGGAACCGCCGCGCGACAGCACCGTATGGTATACCCCGGAATTGTGCTACGGTGCCTTCAAAGAATGTCTTGTTCGTGCTGACGGTGCCGAGACCTGGGATGGTGCGAGTAACTTGCATGGTTGTTCTCCCATCTCGGTCCAGATCGCTTCAGCTATTTTTCGTTGCCAACATTGCCTTTTACCTAAGACAGTGCTTGTGGTTACATGCCACTGTGGTCAGAAGAGAATTACTCCGTGGAGACCCATGTTTCCGCCCAAAGCTCTGGACCCTTGGGGACGACGCCAACTGCCGGTCATCGCAGTCGCGTATCGAGCTCATGGGGGAGCAACGTCTGGCCAGCGAGTAGCTCAACCCGGCAATAGAGGTATTCCCGTCTGTAGAGGGTATCCAACTTGTCACGCCTTATCGTATCACTGAGACTAGTCAACGGGAACAAATGGCGGAGCAGACGAAATGGCGGGGTCGGCGGGGGTGTGGAATCCGGGGATATGCCCTCCGTGCGCCTGGAGTTTCTAATGTTTGGCCGACTCGCCTGGAACGTCTTCAACAGAGACTTGCCATCGGCACAGTCTTGCCCCGTGCCAATCATGCGGAAAGTGACCGCCGGGCTGACACGCGGATGGATGCAGGACGCGAGTTACATGTATACGTCCTTCGACTCGGAAGTGGTCCTGGGGACTGCCACACTGCCTTGAGACAGAACAGCACTGTCTACGGGTGAACTCGACAGCGTCGACAAGATGCCCGGAACCGTTGAAGAGCCACTTCCAACCTCCAAGAAGGTGCAGGAACCCATTGACATCGAGAAAATCTTCCATTACACCGACCTCGACACCCCCAGGGCCACGCGCGTCGAGGACCCCTACGACTACCAATGGGGCTGGGGTAATCGCTTCCAGAGCGAAATCATCCCAGGCACGCTGCCCGTTGCGCAAAATCACCCACAGGTCCCGCGTTTCAACCTGTACACCGAAGGCCTCACGTCTTCCGCCTTCGCCGCAAGCAGAGCCGCGAATGCGAGCACGTACATGTACCGCTGCCGGCCCTCGGTCGCGAATCATGGCTTCCAGGATGGCGTGTTCGCGTCCAGAGCGCATGTGGAAAGCTGCTTTCTGTCCGTCAACTCAAAGGTCAAGATGAACCCGGCACAGATCGAATGGGCGCCTTTTGACCTTCCTCAAGAAGGTGAAGAGGTTGATTTTGTGGACGGCCTGCACACTTTGGGTGGATCTGGGGATGCCAGCATACGGGATGGACTTGCGCTGCATGTTTTTATGATCAACGCCCGGATGACGCGGAGGGCGTTCTTGAATGGAGACGGAGAGTTCTTGATTGTCGCCCAGCTGGGCAACCTCGACATCCAGACGGAGATGGGCAAAATCTACCTCCAGCCTGGCGAGATCTGTGTGATTCCGCGCGGCATCAAGTTCTGTCTGAACCCAGCTGACGGCACGAGAGAGGCGCGAGGCTACATCCTGGAGGTTTGGGGCTCACGATTCGAGTTGCCCGATCTTGGCCCTATTGGAGGATATGGAAACGCCAATGTACGGGACTTTGCATACCCCGTTGCGTATATGGACGATCCAGAGGACCTACATCAGCAGTGGCATATCGTCGAGAAGATCAACGGCGAGTACCATGTCTTGATGCAGGACCACAGCCCGTTCGATGTTGCGGCGTGGCACGGCAATTGCTTGCCTTACAAGGTAATACCATTCTTTCCCCCGAATCTTGCCCCGATACCCTAGACTCCCAGCACGCGGGACTTGCTGATCGTGTGTCCCAATTGCAGTACGACATGACCAAGTTCGTCGCACAAGGCAGCACGTCCGTCGATCATACAGATCCTTCGGTGTGGACCCTTCTGACTGCACGCTCCCGTGACCCCAATGTGCCGCTCGTCGACTTCATCTGGTTCGGGCCGCGCTGGGACGTCGCCATGAACAGTTTCCGGCTGCCGTATTTCCACCGCAACAGCGCGAGCGAATTCATTGCGAACATCTATGGTGCGTCGGGTGGGCGGAGTGCCAACTTTAGACCAGGAGGAGGCGTCTATGAGGCTGGCCACACGGCACATGGCGGGTTCGGGGACATCTATGTCATGGAGCGGAGAAAGAAGAGGAATGAGCCGAGAATCTTGTTCCAGGGTAAGTTTGGACATGCGCCTTCTGCCCTCCACGCCTGTCAAGTTGAGCAGGCTTCCACAAGAACCCTCCACGTCTAACAGGCTCGCAGGCATGATGACATTCATGATCGAGTCGTCACGGTCACTCCTCTTCACCGAATGGAGCCGCGAGCACAGCACCAACGACGCCACTCCGCCAGAAGTCTGGGACACGGTGCCGGACCAGTTCTCCACTGATCCCAAGGTGCGGGCCCTTCTGCAGCGGGTGAAGAAGCAAAAGGCCGAGAGGAAAGCAGAAGACGAGGCCTACTATGATGACGAGCGGATACAACAGCTCCTGAGCAAAGTCACTGTAGTTGAGCAGAATGGGACTGGGGCGGTAAACGGCACTTCCGAACATGAGTCTGCACCTGAGCAGAATGGGACCGGGGCGATCAACGGGGCTTCTGAACACGAGGCTGCACAGGCGATTCCTCTTGGGATCGAGGTGTAGAACAGCGTTGGAATTCGAGTTTGCAAGTGCTCTAGTCGAAAGTACAAGATCAAAGATAGTGGCTCAGTACCATTTCAAGATAGCATGACTATACGGCCTGTTTCACTAAAAGTCGTCCAGCATCATGTTCTCTGAAATACTCCTCGCATTCAATCTTCGAATCATACCCAAACAGTCCGTCGCTCCAGCTCTTGGTCGGCTTGCCCGCCACCGGCTCCCACTGCCACGCCCTTACCTGAGTCGGGTCCTTGAGCCTTTCGTCCCGCGCTTGCTGTTCTGGCCCATCCGGGTAGTGGTTCTCGGTCTTCTGCTTGCGGGCCAGCTGCTGAATCTGCGTGGCACGAGAAAACCGCAAGTCCTGAAAGGCGCGACCAACGCGGTCGAGCGGCAGATGGGCGAGACATTGGGCTAGCACAGCACCGTCCTCTATCGCTTGAGATGCGCCTTGGGCAAGGTATGGCCTGGTTGAAAACATCAGATCTGAATTTTCCCGGGACAAACAAGGGAGAGGGAGAACTTACAGCATGGGATGGCAAGCGTCACCAATGAGGACGGCGTGTCCGCGGTGCCAGGACTCGAGCGGATCAAGATCTTGAAGCTTCCATTTGACGATGGAGCTGGGGTCTGCATGGAAGAGAATGGTGCGGACACTAAACAAGGAAGGTCATTCAGTCAGAGGTTTTCGACGAGGGTGAGATGAGGTCGATGGCGAGGCTGAGCGAGAAAAAAGAAGAAAGGGAATTTGACATACGCTGGACACCAGTCACTGAAATTCCGGCGCAGTTCATCGACGTCTGCTCCCAGTTGCTTGTGCTCGTCGCCGAGAGAGCCGTCATCGGGGAAGACTGCGACACAATTGAAGAGCTTCTCGCCGCGGCTAGCAATTGGGATCAGCTATTGTTTCTTGTGTCACTCTCGACTCACGCAGCTTACAGAAGCGTCCCGATGACATGCCTGCCCGGCCCCCACCAAGCAGTGGCCGCATGGCCTTCCACCAACGGCGCAATCACCGGATCATTCTTGTACTTTTCGATTTCCAAAGCGAATTGGAAGGCGTAGTCTCCGGTCGGCAGGGCGGGAACGGGCTTCAGCGAGATGATATCCCGCATCTTGCTCCTGACACCGTCCGCTCCGACGATGAAGTCACAGTCCAACACCTCCCCCGAGGCGAGAGTCACGCTGGCCTTGTCCACGTCGGCTTCGACTACTCTAGACGCCAGCTTGATCTCAATCCCCAAGCTCTTCACCTTCTTCAGCATTGCTGTGTGAAGGTCTGCGCGATGGATCATCCACACTGGTGCATCGTACTTCTTGAGTGCAAAACTCGGATCCATGTGGACCTCGCTGAGCACCTTTCCATCGTCCCATCTCAGCACCCTCGAGACCCTGCTCTGGACAATGACATCTCTCAGGTCGTCTTCGAGGCCCCAGCGGATGAGTTCGCGTGTCGCGTTGCTGGAGATCAAGACCCCGGCGCCAATCTCTCGTAGGACAGACGCGCCTTCGACAATGGTAACGTGGTGACCGGCGTCGTGGATGGCGAGCGCCGCGGCGAGACCAGCAATACCAGCGCCTACGATGATCACCTCAATCACTTGGGTGTTGACAGCGTGGGGAGACATCGTGAATGTGAAGCTTGGCCACACCGAGCTTCGACAGCTGCCAGGCTCACGAACTATCAGTTTACATAGCCTTGTGGCTATGCCACTACGCCGCCCATTCTGTCACAAGTCCCGATCCGGACGGATCCTTCTAAGAAACTGCACGGTACCATTGTGTCGAGTACCTTTACTATGGTGGAGGACGCCCATCGGGGCATTGTTACGGACGTTTTGCTTGTGGGGTTAAAATTATGCCGGCAGTACGCCACCAGAATCCAGGCCGTAGTTTGTACAACGTACCGAGTACTGCGTTACGTTACGACATCCGTAGAGCACTATTCTACGGTGGACTCAACGCCAGCATTGCAGCACAGGTGTCCAGCAGAGCATCGGGCGGCAAACTCGTCTCGATCCTGGACAAGTCGGGTCGCAGCGAAACGAAGCAACGCAGCTCTGCTGTCATGTCACCATCGCGCACAGAAGCAGCCGACCGTCTTCGCGTCGTTGTCGTCGGCGCAGGACTGGGCGGTCTCGCCGCTGCTATTGCGATTCACCGGACTGGGATTGCCGACGTACAAGTGCTCGAAGCTGCGTCCAAGCTCGGTGAGCTGGGGGCCGGGATCCAAGTCAGCCCGAATTGCTCGCGCCTCTTGATCCGATGGGGCGTCGGCAAGTACCTCGACGACAAGGTGGTTTTGCCCAGGTACGGCAGAGTCGTCCGATGGCAGAACGGCGAAGTGCTGAGCCAGGCGCCTATGATGCCGCAGATTCAGGAGAAATACGGCTTTCCGCACTGGCATGTGCACCGTGCGGATCTACACGAAGCGTTGAGGAAGACAGTGGAGGATTTAAAAATCCCTATTCTGATCAATGCCAAGGTCGTCGCTGCAGATGTCGACGAGGCCAGCGTCTCGTTGCATACTGGCGAGAAAATTGACTGTGATTTCATTGTTGGTGCTGATGGGCTACGGTCGACGATGCGCGAGGTGGTGCTGCAGGGCGAGGAAGCAGCGCCGCCTTTTGTGACTGGCGACTATGCCTATCGATTTACCGTGCCTACAGAAGACATGGCGGATGACCCTGTGCTAGCGGACTGCGTCAAGGTGCCCATGGCCATTGGGTGGTGGGGGCCGCGAATGCATGTTGTGGGATACAAGTTGCGGAGTGAAACCATCTTCAACGTCGTCGCTGTCTTCCCCGACGACGGAACCATGGACAATACCTACAAGATGGAAGGTGAGATCGAGCACTTGAAGGAATTGTATGATGGGTGGTGCCCACAGGTCAAGGCTTTGATCGAACGCGCAAGACCGGGCACAGTCACGAAATGGAAATTGATGGATTTACCCCCATTGTCGAGATGGCATCGAGGCAAGTTGGTGTTGATAGGAGGTCCGTACTCACCCTTTCGTCAATATCGCGGCAGGTTTGAGTAGACCCGACTGATGGAATGCAGATGCTTGTCACCCAATGTTGCCTTATCAGGCCCAAGGAGCTTCACAAGCCATCGAGGACGCCGCTGCCCTGGCACAGTGTCTACGACAGTTGCCTCTCTCAGACGTGGGTTCCGTATTCCAACAGCTCAGATACTCACGTGCCACTCAAATACAAAAGTACGCTCGGGAACAGCGGGGCAAGAATCATATGCTTGATGGCCCGGAGCAAGAAGCTCGCGATGCCGCCATGAAGGATGCCAGTGGAGGAGCCAGGGCTGCGTATGCTTGGAGTTGGGCGGCTGAGGATGGCGAACCCGCAAAACCTTGGAATGAAGGATTGTTCGGGTACGACGCAGAGGAGGAGGCCTTGAAAAGGATCAGGAAACTTTGATGCTCTGTTACGGCCAAGTAGAAACTCGCCTCGGACTCGTTAGCCCAATTCAAGACGCTTCGTATTATCTTCGGGCGAGGTTGATGAAGGGGACGCCATAAACAAGACAGTATCGTAACGACACGAGGGCGACAAGTCTAAGCGGAAGTACATCTTCCTCCGAATCAGTCAATAGTCGCCATGTGGAGCATATGTAAAAAGGTTGCAGGGGCGGGCCAATTCTGCATCTAATATTGCGCCGCATGTGGCAGGTCGAGAACAACAATATTGTGCCGGGGACTGGATCCAACCATTCTGGAGAGCATCTGGAGTACATGTACCCCAGATTCCACCCCGCCTTCAAAACAGGTGGATCAACAGTCTACTGATCCTTCTCCTGTCTATCTCATCTTTGTAGAGGAAGTGGACGCTTGGGCTTTCTCGACAATACCTAATACCATCAGAAACAACGATGGCGTCCTCACAGAACGAGAGCCTGGCGGCGAACTGGAAATGCTTGCTGGCTTGCCTGCTCATTGCAATGGGACGTGAGTTAACCGCTTCGTTATTGTCGACCAAGCTGTGAAGAGCTGTGATGCTGACGCCGGAGAAGCGTTTCAATATGGTGTCGACTTCGGTCTTATTGCTGGTATTCAAGCCATGGTGGGCTTCAACCAGGTGAGTCGCTTCCCGACTTCTGTCGATATGTCTAGTGAAGAATATCCTGACTCTTTCTCTCAGGTCTTCGGCCACAAAGATCCGCTGTCTCCGACCGGATGGAACCTGAGTCCGGTTACCCAACAACTAATCTCGTCTTTCATGACCATCGGTGCGGTCCTTGGTTGTGGTTTCGTTGGTGCGTGACATTCCCTGTCTCCAAACTTTTCTGTGGCTTGTGAGGGGGCAAGATATAGATGGCGTACTGATGTGCACCTAGGCCCTCTGTCGACCAAATTAGGAAGAAAGCAATGTGTCTGGCTCGCAGTTGTATGGTGCTACGTGAGCGATGCCATCATGATGGGCACCACCAACGTTGCCGCTCTATACGTTGGACGTATCTTGATCGGTATTGGTACGTACACACTGGGACAACGCCGACATGTAGCATGCACTGACAGACAAAAGCAAATGGCTGGTTCATGACCTTCCCCCAGCTGTACCTTCAAGAAGTCGCCCCAGCACACCTTCGTGGGTTTGTCTACGTCTTCTTCCAGTTTTGGGTCGCACTGGGCTCCCTGATTGGCAATATCGTTGGTACGTATCCCAGCAGAGATCATCCACATCCCAGCTGACCTCCTGCCAACAAGACAACTTCACCGAGACCAAGCCCGGCAGACAGTCCTACCTCATACCGCTGGGCATCATCTACATCGTCCCACTCATCCTCGGAGTTGGTATCATCTTTATACCGGAGTCGCCACGTTGGCTATTGACCCATGGCCGAAGAGAAGAAGCCCGCAAGGCCCTCTTGTGGCTAAGGCCCGAGGGCACCAACGTCGATGCCGAACTGTTGGCCGTCGAGACTGCGCATAATCTCGAGATGGAGAGCAACAGCAATGCATCGTGGACCGACATCTTCACCAACAAGATCGAGCGGCGTCGGACTCTACTCTCGCTCGGCTCCCTCACTCTCCTGTCCGCCCCTGGCGCCATGTGTAAGCCCCATTGCCCCGGACCTCCACCAAAAGCGAGTATAACCAAATGCTGACGGCTCACAGTTATGATCATGTACGGAACCTACTTCTTCCAAATGGCCGGAGTCGGCAAGCCCTTCGAGGACAGCTGCATCCTTTCTGCCTTGTCCGTGGTCGGAATTCTTGCCTCTTCCCTCGTCGTGACTCGCCTGGGCCGGAGGACCATCCTGATGTCCGGCATGGTCATCTGCGGGATCATGCAGCTCATCCAAGCCTGCGTGTACAAGGCTCAGCCCACCGCCTCCTCGACAGGTAAGGTCATTGTCGCCATGAACATCATCTACATGTTCTTCTACAACGCTTGCTTGGCCGCCTACGCGTGGCTGGTCGGCGGCGAGATGCCCAGCCTGCGATTGAGGTCCTTTGTCTTTGGCCTGGCTGGCGTCGTGGGTTTCTTCTGGCCGTGGCTCAGCGTCTTCACCGCGCCGTACTTCATCAACCCAGACAGTCTGAACTGGGGTCCCAAATATGGGTTCATTTGGTTCCCAAGCGCGATGGTAGCCACCGTTTGGATCTATTTTTTCCTTCCCGAGGTCAAGGACCGTACTCTCGAAGAAATCGACGAGATGGTGAGCATTTCATTTCTCTGTTTTCTCTCTTTTCCGACCGTTCGACAGAGTCATTTACTAACAAGACTTTTCCTCATAGTTCCAAGCCAATCTCGCCGCCCGCAAGTTCAAAGGCTACGTCTGTACCAGCACCACTTTTGGTGTACAGCAGAAATTTGTGGGGGAGAAGGGTGATCTTGAGGTTTCGGCGATAGAGGTGGAGGCGGTTGAGCATGCTGCTCCGCCGCATACGTGGGAGTAGAAGGGGAGAGCTGGTTGGGTGGATGGGTGGCTCAGGGCCCGTGTCTTTTATACATACCTAGGTATCTAAGTATTCAATGCCTTGTTTGATCTCGGCAGCCTATCTCATCGTCTTCCCACAGTGGGACGCCAGCGATCGGCGGCTAATGATGAGCAACTGGGTATCAAGTGCGGAGAAGTACAGGCAGATGAGATAGACACGGAGCATGTCTCCGCTGTAATATATGCAACGTTCGGCCCGTAGGAGACGCATGATGGGAAAACGCGGGGTTGGGGCATAATCTAAGGTAGATCCAAGTATGCCTCCATCAAGCTACCTAGGTACCTAGGTATACAGCCCTGACTCTATCGGGAGGGTTAGGGGCACGCTCGGGAACGAAGGGGTATCCAAGGACAGTGGTGATTGCCCCATTTGTCCCACCTGTGTAGTTCAATACCTAGGTATTAGAGAGATCAATTCAAGACGTTGGTCTGGCCCCCACAAATTGCACCCCTTCTCTTCTCCTCCCACGGTACTGTTAGCAATTGCATGCATGATCCTGACCCAGTAATCCTAATTGCCCACCTCCCTGGGACCGATGCAGCCTTCTCCCTCGCCCGTCATTCAAGAGATCGCTCCACAGCAGGCGGTTCGACCACCGGCTTCCCGACGACGGTCATCACAGGCCGGACACAGGCCCACGACAATCGCTTGTGCAGAATGCCGCAGGAAGAAGGTCAAATGTGACTCCCGGAGACCATCCTGCTCTCAATGCCTGGAAGATGGCCACACGTCGTGCGAGTATGTGGGGTGGAAGAAGACCGGGTTGCCTCGAGGCTACGTCCGAGACCTAGAAGCTCAGATACGTATGAACGCATCTACAGATCTTCTTCTGAGTTTCTCTTTGTCGCACTGACTGGGGTTGCAGAAGCCCTCAAGGCTGAAAATGATGAACTCCGCAACCTCCAAGGCAAGCCGCAAAGTGACAGCCAGACTATTTCCCACCCTCAGACCACAGCCCAATACGAGTTTCCCTCGGACGACATCTTGCCGTCCGGGTTCCTGGGTCAGACGTCGCCTTACGCACCCTCGGACCATGATATCTTGATGCAGGATCCTTTCGATGTCGCTAGACTTGCAATATCGGAACTACTTACCGCAGAAGATCGAAATAATCTGTAGGTTAGCCAGTCCTGTTTGCCTGCCTTTTGCTTGCAATCACTGGATCATCTGCTTATGAGAGTCCAGCTGCACGATCTACTTCACACGATGCCATCCCTTCGTGCCTGTTTTGCATAGGCCCAGCTTCAGCGTCGATAAAGACGCACACGTGTCTCTGTCCGTCTTCGCACTTGCTTCGCGCCACGAATCTTCCCTCGCATCCAAATCCGAAATCTTCTACAGCCTGGCCAAGCAATCAACTCAAGCTACCTTCATTAATCCGGACATGAGTACCCTCACTGCATTGATCCTGCAAGCCATCTACGAGATTGGGATGCCCAACTCCTCGGTGCACGCCCTGACGACCGTCGGGTCCGCTCTTTCACTTGCGAGTGCCTTCAGATTGCTGAGGATGGAGGAACAGGACGAGGGGGAGAGCAAGCCTAACCCATGGATGGTCCGACCGGTGGACTGGGTGGAGGAGGAAGGTCGAAGGAGGGCGTTCCTGATGGTTCTGAGCCTGAGCCGTTGGATGGCCACGATCCAAGACCGCGAGATGGGCTTTCCAGTAAAGCGGGAGATCAACGTGATGCTGCCCATCAGTGATGAGATATGGTTTGCCGACGTAAGTTCTTTCCGACGCAGCAGTTTCATAGAATGTGCTGATGACGACCGCTGGATGCAGCCTGCTTCACAGCCAACAACAAGGCCAGTTACAGCCTCGATTACCTCACTCCACAACGCGAGCGACGCAGGCCCGTTTGCCAGGTTTGTCCAGGCGCTCGGCTTATTCGCAAAGGTCAACGACTTCAATCAGGCATACCGACTGCGAAGCAGCGGCCAGAACGGTGAAGAGTTGTCCAGGATAGACAACATCATTCAGGCATATATAGGCTCATTCCCCTTAAGCTGGCGGAGTTCCCAGCTCGAAGGCGAACACCTGCTCGACCCGACCACACTCGCACTTGCCCACAGGTCAGTCATGGCTGCTTTATCTCCTTCTCTCAAAGCCTTTGTTCTACATGGATCGACTGTCGGGGAACGATGGAGCCGCAAGGGAAATGTCTTGATGTAAATCACCTACTGATTGCGCTTTTAACAGCGCCCTCCTTCTTCTTCACCATCCTGTAGCGCGCAGGGAATCACACGGCTACTCTAAATCCCAATGTCTGGCCTCGGCGGAAGAGATTCTTGACGTCGTCTACGTGATCCAGGACGTGCCCAATGCTGGGAATTACCTCCTCCCTCACCCGCTCGTGCTGGCCGCTCGAGTCCGACTCTTGGAGCTGTCCCAGCGGAAAGGCCACTACAGAGGCCGGGACATGGACCTGATCGTCAAGGCCCTGCTGACCTTTGGGAAGTACTGGGGCATGCAAGGTCCGTCCGTCCGTCCGTCCATTCCCCATGTTGGCTGTGTAATTTCAGTTTGCACACCCCCACAGTTACATAGTAAACTGGTCCGGGGGCACTACTGACAGATTGATCGTGCTGCGAGATATAGAGAAACTCAGCGAACACGCAGGCAAGATTGAAGCCAACACGGTGCCGTTCAGCGAGCCCTTGACGCACGTCATCCCAGCCACGAAACATCCCGTGTCAAGACAGAAGACGGCGCAGTTCGTCCCCAGCGCTGTTCCACGACGGCCCGGCGTGGAAAGAAACAACAGCGGTTATCCGGCCACCCCTGGAGGAGGAGGAATCATTGCCGCTGCCCCTGGGGAGGATCAAGGTAGGATGGCGGGAGGAGTAGTTCAGAGCCCTGGCAACAACAACACGAACATGAGCCTGGGTAATTACGACGCGAGTCCGCCGCTGAATCATGACGCCATGGACACCGCCATCTTTTCCAGCGACATCTTCGACTGGGCCATGGGCCATGGGTCGGAGGCGCTGGAATCGCCGAACCAATCCAATCGTGTTTGGCAAACAGGTTTCTACCGCGAGTGATGGACCTGGGCAAGCCCCTTGGTGTATACCTAGCAAGCCGGCTTCGGTAATGAACGGCACAGCATGACGCAGGATGCTCAATAACGACGAGGTAGCTAATAAGTATAGGGATCCCGCTGTGTCTCAGAGCGGATAGATACCCTTATAAAGGAAGATAACCTTATACCTGGGGGTTAATCACTCTTCTTCACAGCCACCGAACCCCCTTTTCATCAAACGCGTGCCATTATTTCTGAAGTCGGGCTACTAAGCAATAAGCAGGGAGTGCATCGACGTGAGCTTCTCCGGGTTACACTCTACCTTGTAGACCATGCTAGCCGCTGTGCACCCTTCCCGTGATACTGTACATATGTTATGTTGTTCCGCAAATACCAGAGGACAAAAATGATATAGTCCACCCCGCGTGACCGGTAACCGACAATAGATGCTTTTATATTTCCCGTCGACACATCCGCCCCTTGTTCGCCCTGCCATCTCTGTAAAAGATTTCCCCACCTACCGACTACCTCAGGCCAGCGCCTGTTGTGCTGGGTATCTCGCGAACGTCGTCAAGACACTCACAGAGAAAAGCAATCAATTTCCGCCTGACCGACCCACAGCAGACCATGAGAAGCTTCAAAGCGCAGACGGCATCGACCATCATGTCGACCTGGTTCGCGTGCGTGACTTCTTTGTCACCAAAGGACTCGTAGACCTCCAATGCCGCTTTCACCACGACCCAGGAAAACCCCTCGAGATTGAGCAGGTACTTGCCGGAAGACGGGTCCTGGGCGCTGCTCATGACGAAAATGCGATGCACCCGGTCGAGGAAGAATTGTTGCAGGAGCGCAGTCCGACGTAGTTTCCACAGTGTTGATACCATGATGAACAAGGCCTGGAAGTGCGAGGAGATCTTGATGTACCGTGGATAGTCCCACGTGTCGGGCTGGAGGAACGGTTCGAGTGCCCGTGACACCACGGGGGGATCATATACGTCCTCGTCGTCCAACGTCAGCTTTAATGATGAGGAAGATTCTAGCCGAGAAGACGAGCGCGGACCTTGAGTTGTTGCTGTGGTGGTGGTGCTGAAGATCAACTTTGAAGGGTCGACGTTGTTTTCTCCCCGGGCGAGAAATTGGAGGACCTCGATCGCTTGGTCAGCGTGGTCTTTCCGAAAGACCAGTTCGCTGGGCGGGAGTTCGCTGACGATATACGGCATGAAATGGCACGTGGACGGAATCGGACCAGCGGAAGAAGCGAGAATGATGCTCCTGAGACCTCCTCTTCCAGCCACGACTGCTTCATAGGCCTTGAGATGGACGTTTGAGACGCCAGGTGGCGATATCCGCGACTCTGCCACGGTCGCCATGATAATGCCCATGATAAAGTCATCAGGGAGTGATTCCCCACGGCTCCCCTCCAGCCGGTCCTTCAGGGTGAGGTATGCGAGTGCCTTTCGGCGGAAAAAGGACACGGGCTCTTGCCCGCCCCTCAAGGATATCAGGAGACCTTGTGCGTTGACCACCATCCATTGCAGAACGAAGGGCGACGTCAAGCTGTTAACCATGCTGACATCTCGAACGGAGCTGAATAGGGCGTCGGATCGAGTCCCATACAGGATTTGGGGCAGATAAGAGACGTCTTCCTCCGTCCATCGTTAGCAAAAACCACCACTGTCTGTGGACGGACGGAAGGGACTCAAAATGGGACTGACAGAATTGAACCAATTCTTGATCCTCACGGGGAATGTCGGATGGCAGCGCAAAGAAGGGATCTAATATGGACCCGATCTCGCTGATGGGGGAATCGGACGATTCTCTTGAGAGCCGTACGGCGGTGGACCATTCTGTTGATGGCCTTCGATGCTGGGGAGACTGAGGCTGTTCGTGAGTCTCAGAGTCGGATTCGTCCCGTCGCCATGGCGACCTTTGATCTTTGAGGTCGGCAGCAGGCTTGTCCTTGTGAGGAAAGAGTCAGGCTGGGTCCTGGAAAGGATAAAATACAAATCAAATAACAAGACGCCAACACAGAACACCAGCGCCAACAAGGTAAATGCCTCGGGATGGACTCTGCCATACGCACCTTCGACCTTTTGGGAGGCGCATTGGAAACGCGCCACGCAGCCAGCGTCTCGTAGCGACGACTGCGAATAGATCGCGATGTCTTGGATGGTGAAGTCGGCTTGGGGGAGGTTTCATCCATGGTTTTTGTTTGCAAAGCACGGAAAGCGCACGAATTGACCCATTTCCGCGCATCCACCCAGTATTTGCACCACGACGGACGAATTCAGCCAAACAACAGGACCTCTTCTGGCCCAGTATCCGAGAGACTTTATCCAGAAATTTCGTCGCTCCAGCTGGGTGGGTTGAATCGCGCCCAAACCGTTTGAGTAAGAATGCAGAATTGGCATTTGCCGTGTGGGAATTGCGCTGCAGATACATAACGCCGAAGAAAGGGAAGCCCCCCGGGCCCTTGGCGACGCTTCAGCTCCATGGCTGGCAGCTGGCAGCTGAACCCCTCCCCGCTGGATGCTTTGGGAGGAGGAGGTTGGAGCCTAGACAGAACCCTAAGAGTCCAATTGCGGTATCCATCATGAGAGCCAAATCGGGGCAATGGGGCCTGCTTGTCAGCCCTGTCACTCCGTCACATTGTCAGCTTCCGATGTGGCAAGAAGATGGGGAATTCGAATTCGCATTCATCTTGCGTCTAAGATGCTGACTCGGTAATTACACGAACAGCATGTTCCCGTGTGATCGTCGCAGAGGTCTTGCAGCAATCTGATCGGCGAAAGGGCGCCTGCGCCTCACGCAAAAGTACCTAGGTAAGTACTAAGCACGATACCCAACCATCCATACCTGGTACTCAATCCTCATGCTGGATCTACCGAGACCTCAAGGCCCATACGTGCGGCTCACCCAAGCTCCCTTTTTACTAACATTAGTCCTTGCACACAATGTCGCGCCCATGAGTTGTACCGACCAGCAAGGAACGATGGTAGAGCAAATTGCTGCTGGCCCGCAGTGTGCCAATAGCTGGCAGTGTAGAGCCCTGAGAGACTTTCGAGTTTTCTGACAACAGTGCGAGTATCCGTGGAGAGTAAGACCTGCTGGCTTATATCTCTGCAAAATCTCTCTCAGCTACATAAAGTCTTCAGGATCTCGGTCTTGCCCAAGACCCTATGTCAACCCGGAGTTGAAGTTGAAGACAGCCTCAGAAACCATGAGTCTTCATTCTGCAGTGTTATTCGCGATGGATACGATGTCCTCGGTGATGCTGGCCAACTTGAGTGGCGAGGCTCCTGCTTGAAGACATTACTGGAGGTGTTGATCAGGCGATTCTGGGAAGGTGTACTTGGTTGACGGGTCTGAGCCACCTAAAGACGATCCCTTGTGTGCGGCGATGGATCTGTAACGAGTGTAGATGGAGAGTGAATGCGCTCTGGCTCGGTACGTCGCTTCCTACTACCTAGATATGTAGATACCCAGGTAGATACCTAGCGAGCTAGGTAGGTAGCCTCGTCGGTAGTAAATCAGTGACAAGGCTGACAAGGCTGAAAAGATGACAACGCCAAGCCCCGACGAGGCTGTGAATTGCAAGCCGCCGCAATTGACTCCAGATTTTGTGCGGGCCATATCCCGCTTCACAATATCCGCCCTTCATCGTGTCTTCTGGTGCCTTGTCGCTGGGGCAAAGTGGTGGACGATTGCCCGATTCCCTTCTCTTTGAACATGCTTTAGCCTTGTACACTCTTTGGAACGCCCGTCTTCTGCATATTGTACAGCGTCGAGCCTAAGCACACTTTTTGCCTGTTGCAGACCATCGCAGGCATAACTAAGTCCGCCGACCCTAACATTCACCATGGCGCAATCCCAGCAACAACTGGGTCACAAGGATGCGGCCTTGTTCAGGCAAGTTGTCCGCAACTTTGAAAACAAACAATACAAAAAAGGTAGGAGTCTTGTACCGTGCGGTTCAGACAAACCAAAGCTCATTTCCACCTAGGTCTCAAGGCTGCCGAACAAATCCTACGGAAAACACCCAACCATGGGGACACGCAAGCGATGAAGGCCCTGATCATGAGCCACCAAGGCCACACCGAAGAAGCGTTTGCCCTGGCCAAGATCGCCCTCAACAACAACATGAAGTCGCAGGTTTGCTGGCACGTGTACGGCTTATTATACCGCGGTGTGAAGAACTATGAAGAGGCTATCAAGGCATACAAGTTCGCGTTGCGGTTAGACCCCGATTCAGTGCCTATACAGAGAGATTTGGCACATCTTCAGGTCCAGATGCGAGATTATGAAGGCTACGTCCAGAGCCGGAAAATTATGCTGCAGCAGAAACCAGGAATACGACAAAATTGGACAGCCCTAGCAATCGCACACCACCTGGCGGGAAACTACGAGGACGCAGAGAATGTTCTCACCACGTATGAGGAGACGCTCAAGGCAAAGCCGAACAGGTCAGACACTGAACACTGGGAAGCTGTGCTCTACAAGAACTACATTATTGCAGAATCGGGCGAGCTTGAGAAGGCGCTCGATCATCTGGAGGCAGTAGGGAAGAAGAGCCCTGATGTTCTTGCGGTGATGGAAATGAAAGCAGATTATCTCGCCAGGTTGGGTCGGAAATCAGAAGCCGAGGCGGCGTATGCTGCCTTGCTCGAGCGCAATCCGGATGACTCCGGTTACTACGATGGATATATCGCTGCTAAAGGCCTAACGGATGGTCCTGCAGCGGAGATCAACAACGCATACCAAGAGCTTGCGGCAAGGCACCCCAAAGCCGACCTTCCCAGAAGGAGACCGTTGGACGTTCTATCTGGGGAGGAGTTCAAGCAAGCTGCAGACCAATATCTGCAGAGAATGCTGCGAAAAGGAGTTCCTTCGACCTTTGCAAACATCAAACACCTTTACACTGACGAGTCCAAGCGGGACACTATCCAGGGATTGGTGGAGGAGTACGCCTCCGGGAATCTACAGTCACAAACCAATGGAGCCAAGGAAAATGGCGACAAAGAAGAAACACGCTTCAGATCCTCAGTCCTCTACTTCCTCGCCCAACATTATAACTACAAATTAAGTCGCAACCTCGACAAAGCTCTCGAATACGCCGAAAAATGCATAACCCTGGACCCACAATCTGTCGACTTTCACTCGGTTAAGGCCCGTACTTATAAGCACAAAGGGGAGCTGACCAAAGCTGCCGAGATCATGGACTACGCCCGCTCACTGGATGAGAAGGACCGGGCGATCAACACCAAGTGTGCAAAATACCAACTTCGTTGCGATCAAAATGACAAAGCCCTGGAGACGGCAAGTAAATTCACCCAGAACCGCACCGGAGGCCCGCTGGGGGATCTTGTCGATATGCAATGTGTTTGGTATCTCACAGAAGATGGACAGTCTTATTTGCGCCAACGGAAACTCGGTCTTGCGTTGAAACGTTTCCACCAGATCCTCGGTGTCTTTGACCTGTGGCAGGAAGATCAGTTTGACTTTCACAGCTTCTCCCTGCGCAAGGGCATGATCCGAGTATACATTGACATGCTGCGGTGGGAGGACCGCTTGAGGGAACACCCTTTCTTCTCCACTATGGCCGTCTCTGCGGTGAAGGCGTATCTGCTACTGTTTGACAATCCGGATCTGGTACATGGACCGATTATGGATACTGTCAATGGTACAAACAACCCAGGAGGGATGAGTGCTGCAGATCGCAAGAAGGCGCTCAAGAAGGCCAAAAGGGAACAGGAGAAAATGGAGAAAGCCGAGGCAGAGAAGAAGGCGGCGCTGAAGGCGAGCAAACCCACGCCGAAAGCTGAAGAAGGCGAAACCAAGAAGGAAGACCCCGACCCTTTCGGCAAGACTCTTGTCGAGACAAAGGAGCCTCTGAAGGACGCGATGAAGTTTCTGAGTCCGCTGTTGGAGTTCTGCCCTGACGTCGTAGGGGCGCAGGAGGTCGGGTTCGAGGTGTATCTGAGGAGAAAGAAGTATCTGCTTGCGTTGAAGTGTCTGCTGGAGATGAAGCGCCTGGGTGCCAAAGAAAGCGAGGTGAAAGAACTGGGGGCGAGGCTGAGAAAAGCATTCGAGGCGAGTGAGAAAGACGTGCCAGAGCAGGTCCGTGAGATTGTCAAGGCGGAAACAGGGAAGCTCGTCCAGTGACAACCAAAGTGCCGAACATCCCCAGCATGATGTGACCGAACCAAGTTGGTATTTCTGTTCCACAACGCTGCTAGCGATTCAAAACAACCTCGATCCTATATTACGGCGGGGTCAACTCTCACTGGGACGATGAGACTATTTTCGGAAGGGCTGAACAAAAGTTTCTTACGCTCCTCCGTTCCTGTTACAGATATGACGGAGGAAACTGAATGTTTGAGACGAGGGATCCATCTTCCTATTCACACGTTTCCCTCGTCGACTTGATCATGGTTTTCATGGCAAAATGATGGCGGTACGTTCAATAGGTTTACCTAAGTCGACAAGGCGAGCAAGAGACCCCCTCAAAACCCACTCTCTTCCAAGTCCTGGATCGTGTTGTCTGCCTTCGTAGTACCAGGCATTCTCCTTCATTACCTAGGTCCTTAATGAGGTATGTGCATGGACATGCTACTGGTTTTCCTCTAGACCTAATGCGCGCCGTTTTAACACCGTCCCAATTTGGAACTGTGGCTGTGCAAGGCTGCGCAAGGCTGAGCGGGCGCTGAGGCGGCACAGACTGTGGCACGTGCCGGCCTCGCTTGACATCCCAACTTCTTGTAAGGAGCTCCTATCCGTGGCATCGCCTGCACCGTCTCATATCTAGCCCGACCCGGACTTCAAACAACGGTGACCAGACAAGGAGCCGCATCGTGCCGTCGGCGTGGTGTGGCGATTCGATGGCATGGTTTTCTCGCCCTGGGAGACCTTGTGATGCCTGCCGCAAGCGGAAGATAAGGTGTCTGGTGTCTGATTCAACCCGCGATTGCGTCCTGTGCCGGTCTCAGGGCCAGCAATGCGCCTTCGTGGAGGCGCCTCCCAAGAAGAAACGGAAGCAGACCGATGTGGAGTCCCCGGAGGAGGCTGCTGTCTCCTCGGTATCGCCAGCAGGGACCCAGAAGGAACCATTGCACGATTACTCGAAATTCCCAGAAGCGTCTTTGCTAAGTCAGACGCTTGGACATCAACCCTTTCGAACCAACTCATACATTGGCGCCACGTCTTCTCCAAGCCGTCTACTACTTGAACTTCCGGGTACCTCTGAGCTAGGCAAATATCGAGCATCAGTCTCTGGTTCCGAAGTCCGTCGCGTCAGCCAGGATGGCTATTTCCTGATGCTGCAGGACGATCAGAGTGCTATCAAAGAGCAGCTTGAGGTCCTCGACAAAATCGAGGCTGCAATATCACCACATGGTCCAGCTCTGGTGGAACTGTACTTTCGTATCGTCCACCCTAGCTTCCCGATTCTGCACAAAGATGTGTTTCTGGTGAAGTACGGTCGCTCATATCGGGAACTTACACCGGCATGTTTAGCCGCCGTTTACATGTTGGCATTGAACTGGTGGTCCTATAGCGTTGACCTTGCTGATTTTGTGAGGCCTGATGTCTCGGACCTTGAACAGCTTGTCCCATGCCTCATGGCGTTCGATAAGGCCGCAAAAGTGTCTGATATACAGGCTGGCTTACTGTTCCTGCAGCGACCCAGACGCGATTCTTGGAGATTGACTGCTCAACTAGTTGCTACGGCCGAAGAAGTTGGTTTGCACCGCGATTGCACCGCTTGGCAAATCCCCGACTGGGAGAAGGGCGTCCGCAGACGCCTGGCCTGGGCTCTTTTCATGCAGGACAAGTGGGGAGCTCTCGTTCATGGACGTCCCTCGCACATCAAGGCGGATAATTGGGAAGTCTTCCCCCTCGAACACGAAGACTTCCCAGAGAATGTTGAAGAGGACCACGTCGAACAGGGGAGCTCCGAGGTAGAGAAAGGCATTCTGATCTTCATACATCTCTCGACACTAACACAAATACTCTCCGATGTTATTGACGAGCTGTTTACCGTGCAAGCCAGCAAGAGACATGACAGTACAGTTGCTCTACTGCAAACAGCGAAGCCTATCCAACTACGACTGAAGTCTTGGTACAACAGTCTTCCTTCTTGTTTAGAACTCGGCACTACCACATCAAGAAAACTGTCAGCCACAGGTATGTAGAGCCTGGGTCAGGCGTCGTATTCCGGATTAACCACTGTACAGGTCAGCTTTATCTTGCCTATCTAACGGTGGAAGTGACTCTCCACCGAGCGATCGTCGAGTCGGAGGTGAAGAAACCACTAGATGCTGGTCTGCGGCAGATCACACGAGAAGCCGCAATCATGAGATTCAAATCCGTTGTCGACTTTTTGAAACGGCTCAAGCCTGAGCATATGCAAGGATTCTGGCATTTCGCATCGGGGTCTTGCTTGGCCATTATCGGCACATTTTCGCTGGTGCTTCTTGCAACAAGCACTGATCCGGGCGAGTCAAAAGCTATCTATTCTCAGATTGCTGAGTTTCGATGGTTGCTCAATATCAATGGACCCGGCGCTGGCTTCACAAAACCCGCGGTGGATCTCCTCCAGTCGAATGCGGGTTTCCTCGCAACATATCGCCCTCAAGCTCCTACCAAGGTCATCCCCGGGAACATTTCAGATCGAGCAGATCAATCCGCGGATGAGATCCTCACGACCGCCCTGTCAAACACTGGAAGGCAGGATGAGGGTGAGAGCAACTCAGCAAATACGCAAGCATTCGAAAACATCTCTGAAGACTTCCAGGCCTTACCGTCAGGCATTAGTTTTAGCCCGAACCAGGCATGGCTCTACGACTTCGATGATCTTGTCTCCCAGGCCTGTTCTACGTAGGGCTCAGGTATCACATTCAGGATCCGAAGCACGGTTTACGAGAGCTGTCGTTGGTAACAAGACATGTACACTCGTAGCGGGTCTCAGCTGAGCGTCGACATATTCCACTCGATAGTAGTCGGATTCAGGATAGTCGCGGGGAGTCTCGAACAAAGAGGCTCACAACCTGTGGTCTGGGCCTGTGGACTTGTCCGATAACATGCCCAAATCTCAGGATCTGCCCGCGGGCATTCGCAAGGGCGCCACGGGCCCGCCAAGCAGCGCCCGTGTCACATGCCGAGAAATCACTCTACCAATCTCAATACCCGGCCCTTCAATTTACAGAGGTCGTTACTATTCCCTGAAGACTTCAGCTTCAGTCCTGCTTTATCATGGCCTTGCAAACTGTCGACCACGTCGCTGTCAGCCTTGATGCTCCTAACGTCGACCCTCTACAAGGAACCAAGTACGATTTTAAGAGAGACCTTGTGGGCTACGGGAGAGAGTCTATTCATCCGCGCTGGCCGAACGATGCAAAGATCGCCCTTTCTTTTGTTATCAATTATGAAGAAGGCGCTGAGAGGTCACTATTGAATGGCGACGGGCAGACTGAGAATGTCCTATGGGAACAGCCTCATGTTGCAGAGCGGGTTGGATCAAGGGACCCTAAGATCGAAAGCGACTATGACTATGGCGCTCGTGTGGGGGTCTGGCGTCTTCTGAACATGTTCGAGGAGAACAACATTCGAACCACCATCTACGCTGTCGGCCAAGCTCTTGAGAAAAACATACCACTAGCCCGCAGTCTGGTCGAAGGTGGCCATGAGATCGCTAGTCACGGCTATCGCTGGATTCCTTATCACAACATGACCCCCGAAGAAGAGAAACGGTACATGTTGCGGCAAATGCAATCCTTGAAAGCTACGACTGGGACATTTCCCTCGGGATGGTTTGTTGGGCGCTGTTCACCTCATTCAAAAGCGCTGATCCACGAGGTCCATGAAGAGCTTGGCGTGCCCTTACTCTATGAATCGGACTGCTTTTCAGACGACCTGCCCTACTGGGCCGATGTGCCTGCTGAGAAAAATAGGGAAGAGCCCAAGGGAATGTTGATGCTCCCTTACAGCTACGACAACAACGACCTAAAATATCAGATCGCTCCAGGCACGTGGGGGTCCTCGGGCGCTTTCCTAGAATATCTGAAGAGTTCTTTTGACGTCCTCTATTCTGAAGGACTGAGAGGTCGACCTAAGATGATGACGATCGGCTTGCATTGCAGGATCAGCGGCAAGCCTGGCAGGTTTGCGGCGGTCCAGTCTTTTGTCCAATATGTTCAACAGCAGCCTGATGTTTGGATTACGACCAGGAAAGATATCGCGCTGCATTGGCACGAAACCTTCCCCTATGTTAGGAACAATGCGCCACTCGATGATAGCACGGCGGAGGGTCTCAAGACAGGTCCTTCAAAAGTCGAGAATCTTGTCTATGCTCGAATTTAACAAGGCATGAAATCCTCAAAATCAAACAAAATAAATTCCATTATTTGTTTTCGAGGGCATTTCGCACCATAACGGCACCTGCCTCAAATTGGTCGACAACGATTATCTCCCGGCCAGCTTCCCTTCCCAGTTCTTCTTGACATGCTTCTCTGATAAGAGGTTCCATTCCGAATAAGATCACACCACCTATACAAATAGCTGCAATGTCACACTTGCCGAGTAACTTCTTCACCCCTGCTTTCATCTTCGCTTTGATTGTTCCTTGCGACTCTTTGGCCAGGTCATGTATGCCTATGCTGGTTGCGACCACCCCAGCAAAAAAAGAATTTGCTCGAGATTTGCCGATTAGGCGTAGCACACCATCTTCCAAGTGCTTCTCATATGCTTCTCCCGTTGTTAGGATTGCAAAGTGTTTAGTGGGTTGGAGGTCACGCAGAGCAGCGCATATGCTTGCTTCAAAAATACCCACGACCGGTTTAGGGCCGACTCGAGCTTGCAATAGCGTGACAAGTGGGTGGACTGCATAGCACGCCAACAAGAAGGCGTCATAATCTCCAATGATATCGAGCAGGAGAGAAAAACATTGATCCGCGTTTTCGTCGATATCGTGGCTTTGCAAAACCGGAGGCCCATCAGGGCACGTCCAATATGTGGTTAGTGTCTAAGAGGTGTTCAGCTTCCATCCGCAATACGTCGCAATCAGAAGCATACCTCTGGATCCAAATGGTGGTCGATCCCCGATTTGATCAATTGGGTAATCGCACTCGACCCGTTGGGATTGATTATCAGCAGTCTCGAGGGCATCGTGCTGCCCGCTTCGACGCGATCGAGTGAGGGCAGAGGGAGAGTCCATGAGGGGATAGTTCCCCCACCACCCATGCACAGCTCCGGGAAATATGTCTTTCTCGAAATCATGGTTGGTTAAGTCATTGAATCTCGTTATCGCGCGGAGCCCGCGGGCCCTGCATGATAAGCCCGCTTGCAGCTCCAAAGTCTAGATGTGGCTAGGGGCGATAGCCTTGCGGAGGTGCTCGAGGTGGTTTGCGATTTTGGGTGTACATTACATCTATTTATGAGGTGTTTGGTTCCCACGTGGCAAGAACTTTCATTGTATAGGGATTAATGCCTGCAGATACGATTGAAACGGCTGAGAGGACTATATCAGCACGCAGGAATCGCAAGTCGACTTCAACAGTTTCACCCTCCAAGTCATAGCCTCGAGTACTGTGCTCGTCCCCAATGGCCACGCTTCGTCGATTCCACGACAAGCACCTCGTGCTACATCCTCACGCAGGAGCCTTCACTTCAGAGCCAGACTCGGCACGATGGAGCAACAAAGATCTTGATCCAGTGCCTCAAGAGAAGAAAACATGGGAATGGTGGCAGTAAGTCCTGCTATTCCTGCTGTCGCTTCGCAACCCTGGACGACCGCAGGGCTAACCACTGGTCCCTAGCGTCGGAGGCTTTTGGATTGCTGAAGGCTTCAATCCTGCACAAATGCAAGTTCCTTCCAGTGCTGTGGCACTTGGACTGAACCCAGGTCTCGCGATGGTGGCTTGCTTGGTCGGCAACCTTCTCGTTACTGGACCAGTTTGCATTGTAGGCTGGCTTGGAAGCAAGGTGAGGCAATGCTGGACTCAATGTTGCTCTGCTAACCTTCGCATAGTACTCAATTCCGTTTCCGGTCATTGCTCGAGCGTAAGCAGGGACACTTCCCTCGTACAGCAGACACTAAGAACAATTTAGGTCATATGGGATGATTGGCGCATACTGGGCAATGGTAAATATCTTTGCACTTTGGCGAACTTATGACTGATGCTGTCAGATCATCCGTGGGATATTCTGTGTCATTCTATACGGTGTTCAAGCGACCCTCGGTGGGAACGCTGTTCGATGCATGCTTGAAGCCATCTGGCCGTCCTTTGCCCACTGGCACTTGAACAGCCTTCCTAAAAGTGCAGACATCACGGCCCCAGACCTACTTTGCTTCGCTCTCTTCTGGATCGCCTCGTTCCCACTCCTCTTCGTGCCCATGTCCTCACTGCGTTGGCTGTTCGCAGTCAAAATTGCAATCATGCCATTCTTCTATGTGGCCTTGTTCACGTGGGCGTTGACGGCAGGCCACGGCGTTGGACCTTTGTTTTCGATTCCCAACAAGATCACCAGCGGATGGTCGATCGGATATGTCTTTTGTTCCACCATCCTAGCCACCATCGGAGGCAATGCTAGTAGGTATGCCCGGCTCAAGAGAGAATTTTGCTAATGATGATACCAGCTTTTGCGGTCAACATGGCGGACATCACTCGCTACGCCAAAAATCCTCGGAGCTCAGCTATTGCGCAGGCATTTGCGCTGCCAATCTGTATCACGATGAGTAAGTAAAGCTCAGTGCAACTCAAGATTCAGGACTAACGTCTGCTAGTTGAACTGCTCGGAGGTGAGGAACAAGATTGGATGTTAATTCGCGTGGCTAACACCTCTTCAAGCACTCATGGCGGCCACGGCTCAAGTTGTGTACGGCCAGGTTCTCTGGAACCCCTTGACAATCATTCTTCTCTGGAACAACAGGACTGCGAAATTCTTTGCCGGCCTGCTCTTCGCGTTCGCGACCATCGCAACAAGTGAGCAATCCGACTTCCTATTGAGCTACCTTTCCTAACGCTGAGACTATTTCAGACATCACCGGGAACAGTATTCCCTTTGCTCATGATATTGCCGGTATTTTCCCAAGATATATGAACGTTCGGTGAGCATCCAGCGTCCAAGTGCTGCCCATCCGGTGTCACAGCAAACTGACAGTCCATAGACGCGGCCAAGTGCTATGTGCTATTCTCGGGTTTGCAATGAACCCTTGGGTCATCCAGGTTCGGGCTTCTCGCTTCTTCAATTTCGTCGGAGGATATTCGATCTTTCTGGGGCCGCTGGTTGGAGGTAAGCCACGTCCACTTCACGCTTTGGCCTTCATAGCCCTCACAGATCGCTAACCAGCTGCCTAGTCATCTTGTGCGACTACCTGATCATCCGCAAGGCTAGACCATACAATATATACCAGCTTTACCGACCGGAAGGCCTGTACTGGTACTGGAAAGGGTGCAACTTCCGAGCTCTGACGGCGTGGCTGGTCGGTGTCGTCCCGCTTCTGCCAGGTCTGATCTACAACATCAACTCCAACATCAAAATGGACAAAGGCATCTTGGAGTTCTACACGCTCGGGTGGCTGGATGGACTGGTCATTGCATCGTAAGTCATTTCTCTTCCTCACACACAGATCTGGCCAAGGAAAGTCGCTAAGAGAGAAACCCCAATGTCGTCTCTAGGCTCACGTATTATCTGCTCTGTCTGGCATTTCCGTTTGCGACAGAGGTTGAAGACGGGACTGTGGTTGTGGTCGAGACAAAGGACGTCGAGTCTCTTCCCGAGGAATCTCGTCATGCGCAGGACGAGAAGTAGTCGGCTCAAAGAGTTCTGCCCCACGAGATGGATACTAGGGGTTAGTAGCAAGTACTTGAGACGCAACCAGGAACCATGATAGCTTTGGTCTTCTATCTTCACGCCTTTTCTTTACACTGCATCGCAGTCCGGGACTTTGACAATATGTCGAATGTCAAAGCGTGAGGGTACCCGGCACAAGGCTGCGTACCCCGCAAAAGGCTACCGGACCATTACTGAGAACTCAGTAGTTTGTTTCTCTGTCTCAGAATTCATATCATAGTTGCACCCTTAACAGTAAAGATTCTTACTTCTAGGCTACGCCATGGTATAGCGAATCGAGGTCATTGGCGATATACCTTTTTCAGGACGAACAATGTTGAGCTGCTCGGTCAGGCTGTGCTGTCGATACGGCTACCGCCACGTGAGCTGCCTGGATACCAGGCAACCAAAAGTACCTCGTATTATTCTAGCCGATGAGACAATCAAACCATTCGCAGACTACAACTTCCTGTCGTCCACGAAACTTGAGCTACGTCTCTTTTACATCACAACAGTGGACATTCTCTTTGCCGCTGATCCCAACCGGCAAAATTGCATCTGTTGCTTGTAAAAAAAGCTCTTTGTCATCCGGTCCACAGATTGCTTGTGCCTCAGCCTTACGCCGCCAACGGCTGGAGCCCAACCATGCGCCTGCTCAATACCAAGACTCTGAATCTGGAGGAATTCTTAAACGAAGACCAAGTCAGCTATGTCATACTGTCTCATCGATGGGAGAAGGACGAGATCTCTCTACAGCAGCTGGTCGCCGGCGGTGTCGAGGACATGTTGGGCTACCAGAAAATCCAGCAATATTGTCGCATCGCGGCAGAAGCCGGCTTCCAATACGCGTGGATCGACACCTGTTGCATCGATAAGACAAGCAGTGCGGAGCTCAGCGAGGCCATCAATTCAATGTACAGATGGTACCAGAAAGCCGATATGTGCTACACCTACCTGTCCGATGTCGAGTCGGTCAATGACATTGAGACCAGTGTTTGGTTCACTCGCGGCTGGACTTTACAGGAGCTTCTGGTATTGTCTGCTCAAACTTCTAAGAATGTTCCTGTTGTTAACCATAGTTGTGTAGGCACCCAAGTATATGACCCTTTTCAATCGCCGCTGGAAACCTCTCTGTTCAAAAGAACAACTTGCACAGAAACTTTCCGAGATTACAGGCGTGCCGTATGGTGCTCTCTGTGGTACCGTGCCTCTCAGCAGTTGTTCTACTGCTCAAAGGATGGCCTGGGCTTCTAAGCGCGTGACGACTCGTCCCGAAGATCGAGCCTACTGCCTCATGGGTATCTTCGACGTCAATATGCCTTTATTATACGGCGAAGGCGAAAAGGCATTCCGAAGACTCCAGGAAGAGATAATAAGAACGACCCACGATCACTCTATATTCGCATGGAGCTGCAAGGACGCCACGGGGCCTCGGGACCTGTTGGCTACATCACCAGAGCTATTTGTTAACTGCTCTGAGGTCACTTTGCGATCTGACGCGTCAAGGCCAGAACAATACTTCATGACAAATTCCGGCCTCTCGATATCGCTCCAGATGCTGCCCTGGGCCGTGGATATCTATCTTGCGGTCCTCGAATGTACAGCCGATGCGCCCCAGCTGAAGCTCGAGCGTGCTTTAACACCCGACACTACTCGACTGGCAATTTTTCTTCATCAAACCAAACGCACTGGAGAATTCTTCCGCATGGCTATTTCGGGCCGAGAGATCTTCACCTGTAAACGAAGTGGGGTGAGGCATTGGCTGAAGACGCGCCGGATTCTGATTCTTCCATGCGCCCCGCAAGAGGCTGTTCCTTCCTCCTTGAGTCGGCTGCTGCCATATGGGTTTGTTTTTCGATCGACTCCCACTAGGATTGATCCAACAAAACCTGAAGACGGCCCTGTTGTCCTCCGTGGCAGGAATCCACCTGAATTTTGGGCCAACTCTGATCATTGGATGGTCAAACTACATCCCGGCCAGTGTGGTACCGTCGCAACGCTTGATCTGAGAGGGTTCGGACCGATGAATTGTTTGCTCAAGTTTGGCTTCGACTTTGAATTCCATCCAGTCTGCATGGTGGATACGCGTACACGAGAGCCAGAAGAACATGACGTAACAAGCGTCCTCAACAACGATGACTGGATTGACAACGGCGTTGCATTACATGGTATTGATGCCCCATTGCAGGACCTAGATATTTGGGAACGACGAGAAAGTTACGCCTTCAGGGCCCACAGGCATTTCTTCTCTTCGGTATGGATTTTCCCACTGCAGCTTCGCATCGAGTTCAGCTCGCAGTCTACTCACGTTGGACTTGACCTTCATAATGTGTATGTGAGATATTTTCCGCAAAAAGAGGTGGCCAAAGTCCAGAAAGCAAAAACAACTAAACCTAAATTTTCCTACCCATGCTTATCGAAAGAAGACGTCCTATATGAGCACGATTGAAGAGACGCACATATTGACAGGCGTTACTGTCTTCATAGGGGGGCACTTTTGCCCCTTATGACAACATGCAAGCAGCAACACGCGAAATTTTGGAGGTATATCAGGCACATATTTGATTTTCTATGAAGAAAGCATGAACCAGGAGACTTATTAGGCAGAAGGGCTCATGGCAAGCGTCCCCAAGCCCTCTAAGACATGGGTATTTCCATTTCATTACTATTGAGTAACCATGCCCAGCAAACACGGATACTTCGACACTCGCTATTATCAAACCACGTTTTCCTGACGAATTCCTTCGGACGAGAGTTTGGGCCACTTGTCTTGTCCTCCCAACACAGCAAGTTCGCTGACACAATTGCCAATGTAATCGACGGGGCATAGCCAGCAGATGCAATGACCAGAATAGAAAAGACTACGACATGGAACGAGTGACATTTGATACTCCTTTGGCAAGTGACAAGCGTCAAACGCAACCACTCAAGTCGTTCACTAAGCTCAAGAACGAAGATCAGGACTCGTAATTCATCATCCTTGATCCTCTGCTGCTTCTTATAACCTTGGATCTGTCCGGTCGAAGCTAGTGGATCTTGCACGGTTTGTCTACTTAAACCGTGAAGTCAAAGAGGTCGACTTGTAGGCCTGGAGGTCCTTGATGAAGTGTAGACGTGATACGTCTTGTCACACTGCTTGACAGTGGTAACTTGATAGAAAAAGGGGAAGCATGGGCACGATGGGGTAAAAGAACATCCCTGCGTTCAAGGTTGAAAAGCATGGAATCTCGCCGATGCAGGTGCTTTGCCCAGCCTGATCATGATTGGCGGCTGCAGTGCCAGTGATTATTGTTCTCAACCTCGTCCTTGGCTTCAGCCTCAGGCGATATCAACGACCACGGTCATTAGTTGATTCGGACGCCGCTTCTTAGCTTCACGAGAAAGCGAGACTTCTCTCCAGCATCATCTGACCGTGAGGTTTGAGAAGCCATTAGGCAAGAGATTCCCGGAAATGTTGTCCTCACGCTATGCTTCCCCGAACGGAACCTTTCCACAGACAGGGGAGCTACAGATCCCAGATAGGATCGTCAAGCGGCCGCCATAACGGGAGCGGGCAGTGGACCCCTTCCAGCCAGGCGTCTACTACAAGGTGCATCTGTTCATTTTGAAGTTCCTCGGCCTCTGCAGGCTACATTACTGACACGATGTCCCCACCTGAAGCAGTCGAGCTCCCAGTTCACGGACCTGCGAACCAACCCAATGGCAGAATGGGCAACATCGTTTCGACTCTCCAACGCCTCCTTTCAACAATCTCAACGGAGTATGGTCGCCTCAGCCTCCATTCGACGAGCGAGAGAAGGTCAAGATCGCCATAATCTGTGCTCTACCAAAAGAGGCGGATGAAGTTCTCGCTGTCTTTGACAGACCGCGCGATGGTAGGAGATGGTTCCAGAAGACAGCCCGCGATAAGCTCGCATGCACCATCCGCTTCGTCAGGAGTCACCCTGTCGTGGTGGTCCATATGCCCGGTGCAGGCAAAATCAATGCGGCGCGCGTGGCGGAACATCTCAGTACCAGCTTCTGCAATATCCAGCTTGCTTTGTTGGTCGGTATCTGTGGAGGTGTCCCAGGCGGTCCTGACGGCTCGGGAGACGTTCGTCTCGGTGACGTGATAATAAGCCAGTCGATTATTCCGTACGATGACGGCAAGCAATATCCGGGAGCATTCGAGCGGAAGCCGTCAGCCACGAGCACCTCATGGGAAGTTCGGACTGCCCTTACACAGTTAGAAATTGGGGAATATCGCGAACTCTTACAAAACAGGCTCAACGATCTACTACGTGACCTCCAGGTCCGGCATCGAAGGGTGGCATATCCTGGCATAGGACTCGACCGGCTTTTCGAACCACCCTACCTGCACAAACATCGAGATACAAGTTGCAAGACTTGTAATGCTCTATCCGATTCTGTTGCCTGTTCGGAAGCGCGCAGCTCGCCATGTTCTAGACTTGGCTGCGAAGATTGGCGTCTGGTTCGACGTCCGCCTCGATTCCTATTCCCCGACGGAAAAGAAGCACCCTCTATCCACATTGGTACCATAGGCTCGGGAGATCTGGTCATGAAGTCAGGCATTCACCGCGATGCCATTGCACAGAAGGAAGGCATCATTGCTTTCGAGATGGAAGGCGCCGGATTGATTGACCATAAATTCCCCTGTCTCGTGATCAAGGGCGTTGCCGACTACGCCGATAGCCACAAGAACGACGTTTGGCACCACTATGCAGCTGCTGCCGCCGCCTGCTGCGCCAGAGCTTTCCTGGAGAGTTTTTGGACCGAACAACCAATGGAATATCCCGGGCATGGCTTCGATCAGTGGCCTTTTCACGGCTCGCCAGAGTCAACGATGGCCTCCCATGCGTCCGAACTTCCATCGTCAGAAGATCGCACTCATCAATCGGCGGTTTGGTGTGTACCACTGCGTCGAAAGCCCGGGTTTTCAGGAAGGATCAACGAGCTTGCAGCCTTGGGGTCCATGTTCAACAACCCCGACTGCTCATCCATCTCTTTGTATGGATTGGGCGGCGTTGGCAAGACCAATCTTGCCCTAGAGTTTGCCTGGTCCCTCAGAGCGAAATCCCCTGATGTTTCTATCTTTTGGGTCCACGCGTCAGATGCCATCAATTTTGAAAATGGCTATGCAGAGATCGCTCGCCACTTAGAGATCTCTTCAATGGCAGAACTGCAAACCGACCTGAAGCATTTGGTAAAGCAACGCCTAAGTCAGGAGAACTTTGGTCCCTGGCTCCTCATCATCGATAATGTAGACGATTTTGGACGCTTTTTTGGCGACAAAGCCACCGACGCCTCCAATCGACTCTACTCCTTCGTTCCACAAAGCTCTCAAGGCTGTACCCTCATCACCACACGCTCCAAAAAGGTGGCTCTCAAGTTCAGTCGCAGCTACCATGTCGAAATCCCTTGCTTGGATCAGGAGGGCGCTCTTACGCTCCTGGAAACCTTGCTTGAGCCTTTGCCTTCTGCTCTGGACAGAACTCTCGCCTGCTCCCTTATGGATCGTCTGGATCATCTCCCTCTTGCGATTGCGCAAGCTACAGCATACATCAACCTCAACAGAATTGATGTGTCAGATTACGTGGCTTTGTTAGACGACAAGGAAGAAATGGTATTTGAATTATTGGACGAAGATTTCGAGGACGAAGTGCTAGCGCCGGAGGCCAAGAGATCCATTATTTCAACCTGGAGAATCACGTTTGAAAGCATTGCACGCCATAGTCCATTGGCTCAGGAGTACCTGGCGATAATTGCGTGCATCGACTCGAAGATTATTCCCGAGCGGCTTTTGCCACAGGGCGGTTCCCCGAAGCACAAAATAGATGCATTAGGTCTGCTAGCTGGATACTCCTTCTTGACACGAAGAGATTCGGATTCCGGTAGCAGCAAAACCTACGATATGCACAGCCTGGTCCATCTGGCGTGCCGGAGTTGGCTTCAAGATAAGTCGGCCTTGCAGACATGGGCTCCTAGGGCGCTCATTCACATGCTGGAGACCTTCCCAAAGCCCGAACACACCAACAGATCCGCCTGGTCATTGTACCTCCCCCACGCTTCTCGAATCCTGCGTTCGCCTCACATTGCTGACATGGAAAACCGCTTCGAGCTCGAGTACTTAGTTGGGCAATGTCTATTTCTAGAGGGCAAATACCGTGACGCCACAGACAAATTCAGAATTGTTGTGGGACATTGGGAGAAGATTCTCGAGCCTTTTCATCACGCCCTTCTACAGGCTTACATTCGCTTGTCTGTGGCCTTGGAACGCTGGAGTCAACTGAAAGAGTCATTGGAGTACGGCCAGAAAGCACTTCGCGGTTACACATCAACATTGCCTGCTGATGATCCCCTTATACTCAGTGCCTTTGCCAACATCGCTTCGTTGTGGCGAAGACAACACAATTGGGAAGATGCTCTCCAGTACGATCAGAAAATCATGATAGCAAGACAGAGAGTTCTCGGTGACAATCATCCAGACACATTGAGCAGTATGGCCGATTTAGCGTCGTCCTACAAAAGCATGGGCTCGCATGAAAAAGCAGAGGAACTTCTCCACCGCGTAGTGGAAGGGCAGAGATTGGCATTGGGAGGGGATGACCCAGTCTTTCTTACATCACTGGCGCGCCTCGCCTCGATTTATCGTTGTTTGGGTAAGCTTGCAGAGGCCGAGAAACTCGGATTAGACGTCCTGGAGCGGAGAAAACGAATCCTCGGGCTGTATCACCCTGAAACTCTTCGGAGCATGGCCAACTTGGGGTCCACGTGGCGCCAGCAAAAGCGATGGCAGGATGCCGAACGTATTGAAAGTGAAGTCTTGAAGTTGCGAACCAGTATTTTAGGGAGCGAAGATCCTCATACTTTGACGGCCATGGGAAACCTTGCAGCCACCTATCGCAGTCAAGGCAAATATGATAAAGCAGAAGAGCAGGACAGAAACAGGCTCGAGATTCAAAAACGGAGACTTGGGTTGTACGACCCTTCAACCCTCTCAACCTTGTGCAGCATAGCTTCGACGTACCGAAAGTCCAACCGGAGGGCCGAGGCGGACAAGATTAGCAAAGAAGTGTTGGATCACTGTCGACATGCACTGGGGGAAAAGCATCCTCAAACACTAGCATACATGGCTGAAGTTGCTTACATTCACAAGCGAGAGGGAAATATAAAAGAAGCCACTTCCCTCGCTCGACAGGTGTTAGCGGAGCGAGAACGCAAAATGGGCCCCCAAAACAAGCTGGTGCGGGAAATGAGGCATTTCCTGTCAACCTTACATCGGCAGCGTTATCAGCAGAGGGAGAGGAGAGAGTATCCGACAAGACGAGCCAATATCTCTGAGCCTATATTGCTTCAAAGGCAGGGTGCCATTACTCGACACGATCTGGTCAAAGAGACCTCAACGACAATACTGAATGTCCCAGGAAGGAGATCAGGAGTACTTCGTACGCGAACTCTCCAGTCAAAATGACAAAGTCTCTTCATTACACATTTCTGGACCATGTCTCGCTGGTTGAAGAAGCCGATCCACAAGAGATGGCGTTCAAAGAGTACGAAAGACGACTTGGCGCTTGTCTAAAGTCGCGAGCAAATAATTCAATTGCCCCTGTGCCGACATTGCCATTAATACGCTCACTACGCTATAAAAACAATTGTGTCCGCCGTTATCTAGTCCAGTTCAGCGAGGATTATTTCTAACCATATCAGGCGAGAGACGACCGGTGTCTCTAGGTCTAGTAAAGCAGGCATCCGGTCTCTGGTCGATGGTTTACCGTAGGTGCCCAAATTCGGGGCCTTTGCGATATGAACTGCGTCTATCGTCCGGGATTGACGGAATCCTCTAGCGTTCTAAGTGACGGTTTGCCGCCGCGACGAGGGCTGCTCCTGAAGCAATGGGCTCTGCTCGTGTGGCGCCAGGTGGGAATGTGTGTGCGAGACGACTGATGAGGTGCGAGAGCGAGTCCAAGTGTTCCACCCTTCGAAATCTGCAGGAGTCGCACAATGTTGTTTGCCTTGTTTGGCCAGCCTCTGGTCCCTAACCGCGAAACAGATGGCCATGACGATCAAGATGATCTGCATTGTCCCGACGAGCACGTAGACGATCCACGCACTCCAGCCCTTCAAACCGACTCGGATCATCATATTGATCCCGAAAATCCAAGTGTACTGGCCGATGATATCAAGTGGTCAGCTTGCAAAGCACATGGTGACGAGCAACAGCGAAGGAGAAGACCTACGGGAGCAGTGAGGCAGATAGACACTGGGCTGAGACTTCCCAGATGTCCTAAATGCCATGTGGTCCGAACCTGGGGGATCCACTGGATACATGCAAAGACTGCCACAGCGATGCCCAGAATGTCTGCCCACGCCTGAGCATGCCAAGGGAAGCGGTGCAAAATGATGGCCGACACCAGGAGGACGGCAAATGCGAAGCTGCAGGCGGCAATAAGGACCTTCCACGCCCGCTTCGCTCGCCGGAACGTACGGTCGGGCCCTGAGAGTGATGGTCTACGCCCGTGCAACTCTGCGTCGGCCTCTTCTTCCGAGTAGTAGACGTACATGAACATGCTAGACGGGGGGTCAGCCAAGCCCCGCAGCAGGAGGCAAGGAAGAATTGGTTTTGCGGGTATCAAGACTACTTACACGGTCCAAAAGCATGCGATGCCAAAGATGACCTGGAGCATCCCAAGCAAGCCACTGATACAGGCGAAGCGCGTGTTGGTTCTGCAGCAACCGATGTCGACTGCGCTAGAGGGAAGCATCATGATGTTACCGACGGCACACACGCCTGACAGGGAGCCAAGGAGGATATAGTATGTCGACAAGCCCTCTGCGGATCTGCGTGAGATGATACGGCCCCATTGAGGAATGTAACAGATGAGCAGCCATGCCATCAACGAGCTGAGAGGTATAGGGTTAGTATTGATTTACCTTGGATTTGCATCTCTCGACGAACAGACGGATAGACAAACATATAGAGCAGCATTGGGAAGCATACCAGGAAACGACGAATTGGGTGATGGAAGGCTTAGCGAGGTCCTTGCATTGGTCGGGTTCCACCATCCGAGTCGGTGGGGGATCCATCTTTACACAAATGGAGCTTCGAGTCGAAGGGGCTCGGAGCGACGGGGGCTAATTCAACAAAACACACTCGATAAGTCCACGGCCACAGCAGGGACTATAGACAAGCCAAAGATCCCCGGAACGAGGAATAAAAAGGGTGAGCAAAAGCAATCAACGTAAAATCCCCGAGAAACAGAGAGAGGTGTAGAAGGGGGAGGAAGCGAATAACCCTGATAAGAGAAGCTGGAAGCCTTGTGTGCCGCATCTGATCGACTATGACGAAAAGTGCTTTAGAAGCAGGTGGCGGTCCGGTTGGCTGGCATTCTTCGCGTGTGTTAATGGATGAATATACTAGGGTACCTAGGTATGCATATATCGTCATCGTGGTGATCTCCTGGTTTGAACACATGCGGTGTAGCTTGACTGAAGCCCGTATTTGTAGGGACATGCATCGAAGATCAATGTCCGCTATTGAACGGAAGGACTGCGGTCTGGAATTCAGGCCGAATAGCAGCATTCTGTGGTCTTTCCAAGCTGTTGCAGTTAGAAAGGCCGGGCCTGGCAGCCTTAGGCGTCGTCGTCCTCCTACGCCGATCTGGTTTCTCGCTTCAGCGTGTGCCCCAGGTCAAGCCTGCTGTTGATTGGGTGTGACTATAGCACGAAGGAGCTGGACGGACAAGCGAAAAGTTGAAGGCGACTCTCTCTTGTGGCATTCACTGTGTAGCGCCCATCTGACTGTCTGGTAGTTCCGGGCTCTCGCATATCCTAGTATGGCTCACATGGTGTATGCTTGGTTACTTGCCGTGGTGATTTTGTAAGAAGAAAGCAGTTGATGGATGCAGGACGAAGGGGATATTATTATGGACTTCGCCGGCCTTTTGGGCTAGTAACCAACTGGCCTGCGGATGTCAATCCCCCGTCATTTTCTGTACTAAGGTACCTACCTACTGTAAGTAGTCAGCTAGGTAGGTACAACGTCACTGGTAACTTGTACCTTGTAACTATTATTTTGTCTTGGGACTGCCAGTGCGCTGTGACTTTTTTGTCTTCCTAATCTGCAACCCGATTGCGCTGCTGCTTCTCCTAACCATGAGAGAAGGCAGTCTTCTTCAATCTTGGTCCCGATGATTCCAATGCCCTCCTCAAGGAGGGGTGGCTTATACGAGCACGCCATCGAACCCCTTTTGGCGACATTCAACCTCAACCGCCGCACCCCCCTCCTGCTTCTTTCGCTCTTTTGCACCTTCGCCCTGTTCGCATGGTACAGATCGGCCCATGATGGATCAGTACCGCTTTTGCACAGCGACTACGGCGCGTACGGGCGCAAGAGGGGGTTTGACGGAACATGGGACTACCGCAGGGACGCCGAGAACTTGATGCTGGACGCGCAGCAATGCGACCAGGCCTTTCCCGGGCTGTTCGAGGAGGTCGAGAGGCCCGTCAACGAGAGGATGCATAATCCAATCACCATTGAAGAGATCGATGCGATGCCAATGCAGAATGGTTATGTCCGCGCCATGATCTATAATCAACAGGTATGTACCCTTTGGCGTGTTACCGTCACCAACTACTTCTGATGCTGGTACAGCTCTATATTATTGCGAAAGCAGGAGGCATCTACTCGCGCGAGATTGCCACCCTTCATGCCTTATACCGCGCCATTCTCACGTCCCCGGAGCCCCTACCCAACATCGAGTTCGCATTCAACACCGACGATCGGATACCCTCCGTCCCCTTGTGGGGCTACGCTCGCCGCGCAGAAGACACACACATCTGGCTCATTCCGGACTTTGGATACTGGTCCTGGCCCGAGACGAAAGTGGGCTCGATGCGCGAAGTGCAGATGAAGGCCGCCCTGACGGAGGAAGTCGAGGGATGGCGCTGGGGCAGGAAAGCCGGCAAACTTCTTTGGCGCGGCGCAACCATGGGGCTGGAACTTCGCGAAAGATTCATTCAGATGACGGCCGACAAACCCTGGGCGGATGTCAAGGCGCTGAACTGGCACGACACCGAGTCCATGACCCACGACCTCAAGTCTATGGCCGAGCACTGCCAGTACAAGTACCTCGCGCACACCGAGGGCAACTCGTACTCTGGACGTCTGAAGTACCTCCAGGCGTGCAAATCCGTCGTGGTCGCGCACAAGATGGACTGGATCCAACATCACCACCCGCTCATGCGGTCCAGTGGGCCGCAGCAGAACTATCTCGAGGTCGAGCGCAGCTTCGAGGACCTGGAGAAGAAGATATCCTGGCTGCAGAACCACGACAAGGAAGCGGAGCGCATCGCGGCCAACAGCGTCAAGACGTTCCGCGAGCAGTATCTCACCCCGGCGGCCGAGGTCTGCTATTGGCGCAAGGTCATCCATGGCTGGGCCCAGGTGAGTTTTGAGCCCGAGTTCTTCAAAGTCGTCAACGGCTCCTCGGTCTGGAGGGGTTTGCCCGTCGAGTCGTATCTGTTGGAGCGCAGGTTGGAGTGGGATCCCTATTAGAAGTGAGGGATTTACTTGTTACCCTTTTAGCCAGAATTGCGTGTTCCAGATGGGTGGGAGTCGAGAGACTGGCTGGTTTGACGACATCCAACGTTTTTTGAAGGATTTGTTCGCACCTCACGACACCCGGAGCATTTGTAATGTACATATAAATCTAGTCCGGTAGGACCATACTATGCTGAATATACTCGGCATATAAACAAGCATATTTATAGTAAACCTGGAAGCCTCTCACATTTTGAGGTCCCAGATTTTCGTGGAACTTTCTCGCACCTATAATCGGTGCTGGCAAGGACTGCTTCACCAGATCCGCAACGTGAAACTCGATACCGATTTCCAGTACCTAGCTCGCTAGGTAGCTAGCCCTGTAGGATCTGCACAGGAAAACATGATTAGAATGTCTTGTTTGTCTACCTTGACGATTTTCAATACAAACTATGTGCCGTGGGTTAGTATACATATTTACACTACTTGCCATGCCACCATGTTCTTGAGGAGATTTCGCGGCCCCCATATCTCCCCTTTCATGAACCGTTGGACTTCCACCTCGTCGGCATAACGATCAATCTCATTCACGTTCTCGCCTTGTATCTCTGGCCCTCCTGCACCATCCTTTGGCGTCACAGAATGCTTCTCGTCCAGCAGAATCCTCTCCTGCCTTCGTTCCCTTTCCCTCGCCATCCGTGCCTTCCACTTCAACTCGCCGACTTTCCATCCCCTGACCACCCACAAGCACAGTCCTGCACCGATGTACATGAAGGCTGTGAAGATCTGGGGCGGGAGGTAAATCCAACTCTCTGTGTTCTTCCGTCGAAGTTCCAAAGCGATTGCCTCCGCACATGTCGTGGGTGGCACCATGATCAGCCATGTCAGTGACAACCCAGCAGGGAGATCCTGGAGTCCCAGTACCTCGGCACCGACGGGGGCAATGGTCGTCCAGAAAGTCCCTGCTAAAGCCCCACCAACGATAGCGAAGAAACATAACAGACCCATCGGAGACGAGACGGTTTCGGCTGGGATCCAGAAGGCGAAGCAGAAAACGCCACACAGGAAACTGAGGAAGGCGGCAAGGTTGATGCGACCCCAGCGGTCGGAAGATAGACCGATGAAAGGCCGGCCAAGCATTTGGCCCAAGTTCAAGATTGCTCCAAGCACCGAGCCTTGTTTCGCACTCAGTCCGATGGATCGCGCGTAGGCGGGCAGTGAGAAGAGCAAGATTGTGTAACCGAACATGCTGAACCAAGACCAGCCTTGAACAAGCAGAAACTCGGGTTTGCCGAGGATTTTGGTGTCGAATCCCTTGTGGCGCGCTCCGGTTTGTTTGTTGCGGTCACGGATGAGGTTTGACGCTGTCAAATTGACCGCGAAAGAACAGATTCCCAAGATGCGAAAGGCCCAGGGAAGGCCCATTGTATCAATGATCTGCTGAGTGGCGAGAGAGTACATCAAGCCGCCGAGGCCGGAGCCTGCCGCAGCAATCGAATTTGCCACGCTGCGTTTCGTGGTGAACCATTGTGGTATGATCCCGACGGAGCCCACAAACAAAAAGCCCATGCCCCAGCCAAAGCAGAATCCCTGAGATAGGATGATCTGGTATTTCTGCTTGGCAAAGCTAGCGCCAATAAGGGAGAGAGTTTCAAAGAAGACGCCCAGATGTAGGCAAACTTTGGAGCCGTAGAGGTGGATGACGCGTGTGGCTAGAGGCGCAATGAACATGGCCTGGGAGATGGAGAGGCCGCCGATGAAGGCATAGGCCAGAGCGGATGTGTTCGGGAAATAGTCATGGTTTAGGTAGTAAGAGAGGAAAACGCCGTACGACGAGTTGATTCCCCAGGTGTGTGCTATTTACCAATATGTTAGCGATTGGTGTTATGGTGAGGTGGTTCGAGGTGGTAGAATGCTTTGACCCCGGATTGCGTGATGGTGCTAATCTCAGATCTCTCGTACTCGATACTTAGCCGCATACCCCAGATTTGATCTCAAAATTGAGTTTGACCAGCACACAGAGATTTGGGAGTTGAAAATCGGTCACATTAACAGGGAAAGAAGACATGCTCACCATTAATGAAGAAGTTACAAGCCACGCATACCCAGCCATATCCGCCGTCTGGAGGGGGTTCGTCTAACTTCGGGAGAGTGGAAGGGCTCTCCTCAATATCGACTGTCTTTTCGGATTCGTTTTCATCACGAGGGCGGATCTCTTGCGGACTGCCGCGAGGTTCAGCAACATCGATGGGCACCGTGTCTGCCATCTTCCCTCTCCTTTGTCAAGAAACATGAAAAGAAAAGGCAGAGACACAGAGAAAGGGAATTCGGAGGAGGGCCGGGCGAGGAGTCGATCACATTTTGCAGGGCACTGACAAACTTCTGCTGGAGGAAGCCTTCGAACAAGCCGAGCCATGTCCGGGGCATTTGCCGACTCTGTAAGGGGGTTTGTTTGTGTGCGAGATGCGACGTCGGGCTTGACTAAGAGATTCGATGATTGGGCGGAGGTCGAATTCCCATGTACATAATACGCCTTTGGATAGCGTCGGATGTACGCAGGGCGGAGTAGTCCGTACAGCGAGAGGCCGATCTTGGGGATACATGATGGTCACCACCAGTATCTCGTACCTAAGCACCTAGGCAGTTAACCGTCGTGCGGAGAATGAGAGCGGAGATGGAGGACCTGACCATGCCGCTTCTTCCGATCAAGATGGATATGGAGCTGATGTTGTTCCCTTTCGAACAGGTGTGCGCAGGTGCGGTCTTCTGGCAAAGAGACTGCACACTTCACAGGCATCCATCATCGTGGTATTGCCACGATTGTTCTCAAGTTTGGGGATTGATGAAGAAGAGATCGAGAGCAGCAGCGTGAGACTGGCGAAAGGGAGTTTTGTATTAATGGGATTGGTGTCTGGTGGTGTTGGTGGTGTCGGTGGTAGTACGGCGGTTGATGCCCAGCGCAGGTGGAGCCATGATCTGCGGTTGGTTGTCGTCTCAACCGCGCAGCCCAAACAAAAAAACCGGCTGCGGTCAGAGTCGCAATCGCACTCACTGTCGCTGATACCGCATCATCTATTGCTTTCGTCGCTGAAGTCTATCTGTTATATGTGCTTTAATGTCCTCGATGCTGATCCAGTCCTCATTTTGGTTATACTTTGACGCACACCTTTCCTGATACCGCAGTCTTGCTTAATAGATCAGTTGCAAAGTTGGGCATCAAGATCCCTACACCTGTCAAATCGATGCATATGCGGTGAACCCATCTCAGTTCGAACTTCAACAAAAAACACACAAAAATGTTTCACAAAAGAAGCAGCCTGGGCGGCAGAAAAGTCTCTCCGCCCCAACCTACATGCATGACTGCTGAACAGAAATGTAGGTGTCACTTTGAACTTCACCCGTTCCTTGCTGCAGTTGTTCTTCGAGCCCAAGAAGATGCCTCCACGAGAGCCTACCTTCGCATCAAAGTACTCACATAGACTTCCAGCTTCCTATCTCGACAGTCTCAGAAACAATCGGCCCGCGAGACCAACCGGTTCAAGACCTGCGCCATTCTCACCCAGAAATTATGGCTCCTCAACGTCCCAATCTTCGCTGGCGCGCTCCGACTCAGCTCCAACTACCGGCTCAAAGCATGGAGATATTCTAGATGATTGCGGAGACGAGCCTCCAACTGTACAAAAGTCCTTTTCTTTCTCTTCTACCTCCAAAGGCCGACCTCTTGCTCAACCTCCGGACAATGACCGACCAATCTTGAACGGAAGGAAAGTTTCCCCGACTGCTATTGTCCAAGTCCCCACAATTGCACACGAAGGAGGATATGTCGAATCTACTACGCGTAGGTTGGAAAAAGAGGAGGCACATAGTATACGGGAAGCGTTGGAGCGCATCGACCAAAAAGATGAAGAACGAAGGATTTACGAGGCCGCCAAAGACGAGGCTGCTGAATTGGTCTGGAAGCACCAATACCCCAAAGCTGCAGAAGAGGAAAAGGTAGCTCCATATCGAAACCCGGACCTGAAGGCTAGAGAGAAGCGGCAGAGTAGTGGACACCGTCAGGTCAGTGGTTCCAGGAAAGTCTCCTTTCCAACTCCGGACAACAAGATATACGAAGAACCAGAACCCGAGGAGGAAATCTCAAGAGTATCCATTCCGCCTCCGAGTGTCGACCTTCCTCTGAGGGCAAAGTCACGCAACAAACTCCCTTGGCTGAGAACGAAAGGTCCTGAAAAGGCAGATGATCCAGCCCAGGTTCCCCAGGGTAAGAAGTTCGACCGTTTCGAGATTCACAGAAATCCACCAACCCAGTCCCGTAAAGCCGAGTACACGGAGAACACACCACCGCGGACACCGGCCGTCGATGTGATTGAGGAAGTTGACACACCCAATTCCACCGGCACTTTGGAGATTCGCAGTGAAGAAATTCGAGCAGCTACAAGTATGAAGAGGAAAGACCGGAGTCCTAATCTTCCCACGCCTACCGCCGTCAGTGATCAACTTGGTCGACCTATTGTCAGCTTCAATCCGACATGGAAACGTCCTAGTGACTCACCGAGGACAAGCGAGGACGTCGAAAGACCGGTCGTGAAGCTGACAGAGTCACCTGCAATGCGACCGTTGCCGAAGCCATTTACCACCGTACCAGAAGTCTCGGTATCTGCTCCAGTCATACCTACGATCAATATCCCAGATGACGGGCCAGTGATCCCAGTCATCAATGTCCAGGAAGACGACGTCTCTCCCACAATCCCGATAATCAATCTCCCAAATCAATCACATGGTGCTCCGAAACCTTCCAGACCTTTACCAAAGCACTCATCATCTGCACCGACGAAATCCGGCAGCACCGTGGTTAAAACACCATCACAGCGTCTTCCTTGGCTTTCATCTCGACAATCCATGCCCACTGTGTCTTGTTCGAGCTGTGCGCTCCCCATTTCTGGTCGCATCGTGACAGCCTCGGGTTCCAATTCCCGCGATCTTAAGGCGCGCTTCCACCCCGAATGCTTCACTTGTCACCACTGTGCGACCCCCCTTGAATGTGTGTCCTTCTACCCGGAGCCAGACTCGTCGCGCCTCTCCCGTCTCGGCATCTCCTCCACATCCGACGCGGATCCCGCCAACCCTCCAGCTCTCACGCCAGATCAACTTACACTTCTCGAGAAAGACCCCTTGAGATTCTTCTGCCACCTCGACTTCCACGAGTTCTTCTCCCCGCGCTGCCGAAGCTGCAAAACCCCCATTGAAGGAGAAATCGTGATTGCGTGCGGCCAAAGTTATCACGTCGACCACTTTTTCTGTGCCGAATGCGGAGATCCGTTCTCGTCTAGCACACCCTTCGTGGAAGGCAATGACGGATATGCCTATTGTGTGCGGTGCCACACGAAACGCACGTCCGCCCGGTGCCGTGGCTGCAAACTCGCCATCCTGGACGAGATCACGGTCGAGGCATTGGGCGGCAAGTGGCATGGAGACTGTTTCGTGTGCTACGAATGTAGTGGTGGATTCGGCGACGAAGGGAGGTTCTTCGTCAGAGAAGTGCATGTCGAGCCCACGGACAAGGAGAAGAGGAAGGGCGTTATGAGGAAAGTGGAGGAACGCGCCGTTTGCGGCGGGTGCGAAGAGAGGAGGTTGAAGGCTTGAACCGGAATCGTGCATCTTCGTGACCCCAGGAGACAAGGAACGGAGGACTGAGGACGGAGCATTGGACAAAAAGGGGCAGGGAGGCTATCTTTTGCTGGAGATCCGGACGTTGATGTCGATGGAAAGGCGAAATGGTTAACTCGTGTTCAGGTGTGGATGGGGAGTGAGGAATCTTGACTACCTGGCCAGGTATTATTGTGCCCACGCTTCTACGCGGGACGAAGTGCAGGAATGCGAATCGGAGTTGTGACTTGATTCTCTCCCTTGATCTCTCCATGCACTGTAATGTAGCATGGATGGAGTTGACCAGCTCTCTCATAGTCATTTTCCCACAACACGCTCTGCCCTCAAATCGATCCCGAGCGGCCAGAGACGCAAGTGATAGTTTGTATCATTGAATTCTAGAGCAATAAGGGGTTCAATATGGTCTCCTGTCTGAAGCGTCCGTCTGTAAGGACGATCATCGGCATCTACATCAGTCTCAGCAGCTGTCTGTTACTGTGATATTCCGCTCCAGCCCATCAAGCAGGTAATTCCATATTCACCCCATACGGCTGTGTGCCCTCTCTGCATTTGCCTCCCACATCCCCCAAGCCGTCGTCATCCTTGAGAGTGTTACATGTCCGCGGCCGTTCCATCACATCACCATAGTTTCGTTCTCATTGATTGACCTTTTCCACCCCACGAGCAAGATTCAGTTATCCATCCCCCACAGGTCATGCTGGCCTTTTTCTTTCTTCCTCCCATAGAAAAAAAGTCTTTGTCTTCGTCTCTGAACTCCTGTACTCCTCGCTTGGGCAATCGCTGCATGTCGAATGACTTTTCTCCAATCCAATCCAACGCCGATCCTTCGTTGAATCCCGCAAAACAAGAACAAAAAATAAATCGTGGCAGCCTCGCGCTGGAAGCATAATAAACGATTTTCCTGTTCAATTCGCTGATCCGCTTCCTCTTCCCACGGACATCCTGAGCCAACATGTTGGTGGGGCTGCAGAGTTTCCTCCGTGTACCACACCGTTGATAACCTCGTCCGACTGTCCTCATCGTATAAGTAAAACTTGTTTAGCAATATTTTCTTTTGGAAGTGAAGTAAATGCCTTTTCCCATATGTGTTTCCTTTTGTAGATGCAAAATGCAAAACCCTGTCAAGTAGGCGGAATATTTTCTTGATACTCATATCTGCGTATCTTACAGCTGTAAACGCACCGCCCATCTGGGCATGCTCACGATACCTCCGCATCCTAACGCGGAGGTGAAGTCTGATAGCTTCCATTCGTCGCCCGACCGTCGACGTTACTGGATTCATCGTTGGGCGAGCCTTCACCTGCAAGCTTATTATCCGATGCAACGATCTTGCCGTGGATGTTTTGAAGCTCTTTGCCTTTAATGCCCTTGTTGGGCCAATATGTAGCGGCATAGTCCCTATGATGAATTAGCAAAATCCTTGCAGGACGCCCACGAACAAGACTTACCAGAAGCGCTTCTCCACAGATTCTTGATTGTCGTCGAGTTCGGCAACTTGGTCGGTTATAAAATTTCCTATCTGCTTGAGCAGGACTCGCAACTCGTTTGCTCGGGTTTGTCCATCCGGTATGGCGCTCTTTGTTGTAGCCTTGATCTTCCTCAAGCTTTCCCTGACAGGCTTGAACAACATGTCCAAGAGAGGATCGACTTCGGTCGGAGCGGCGTTGGCCGGATTTTCAGCTCGTCGGTGATCACTGCCGTGCCGATGGTGAGAGCTGTGAGCATGTTCATCACGGTGTCGGCGCTCTTTATGTTCTCTGCTCTCACTCTCATGCTTGACGTGACCATGGCGACCCTCTGATTTCGGGGTCCCATATCTTTCAGAGCCCTCGCGATGAGTCTGACTGACTGCTCTGTGTCGAGGTTTCTCGGAGTCGCGATGTCCTTTACGAGGTACAATCGAAGCGGGAGACCCGGCAGATTTCTCGGCGTGGTACTTCTTGTTGTTGCGGTGGTGGTTTTCAACGGCTCGCCTGGCGATTGGGTCATCTGCATACTTGCTCTTTAGAACGGAAATGAGATAGTCGGCGCGTCGAACAAGGTGGACTGCACCGGGAGATTTGGCGTTTTTGTCTTCCGTCCTCTCGCGTTCTGCTTTCTTGTCAACCCTATGCTCTTCCAGGAAAAACTTGTCTTTCAAGCCAAGGTCGGGATCGTCCCGGATCTTTTCCCAGGCACCATAGCCATGTCGGGCGATACCCACGCACAGCATGCCATCTTCTCTCGCGCCCCATGGACAGGAGTATCCCGCGGCTTTGGTCGCTTCTGGAATACGGAACGTTCTAAAGTCTACATCCTTTGACGTGACATCTCGGAGGAGACGCATCTCTCCAGGCCGTTCAAGAATAGTCTCAGCGTTGATTCGTTTGACTCCGTGTAACTCGAAAAGGACGGCTTTTTTGTCCTTCTTGGTGATTGGCCGGTTTGATGTCCGTTCGAGCTCCGCCATTCGTCTCTGCTCTTCTCTGAATAGCTCTTCCGACTTGTCCCAGACTTCTTTCATTGCAGCCTTGACAACGGAAAGGTCTCTACCTCGAAGACGAGCTTCCGTCAGAAATTCTTCTTGACGGTCCTCGATGGAGCCATAGCGGAGATGGCCTTTGATGAGATATCGATATTCACGCTCACTCAACGGACGTGCCGGATCCGCCTTCGGACCTTCGTCGGATTCACTCTCCGATTCAATATCTTTGTGGCGTTGTTCCTGGCGTCGAGCTTTGCGAGCCTCACGATCCTCCACCTGGTGATTCCGACTTCGAGGTTTGTTCTGCTCAATGACTTCCGCAAGAAACTTTTCGTCAGCCTTCCGCTGCTCCTCTTTCTTGATTTCCTCCAACTGCTCCTTGGGGATGATGTCGTCCCAAGAGAGTTCATCGACCTTGACATCGACGAAGTCGAAGCTGCGAAGAAACTCTTCTCCGCCGTCGGCGTCGGTGCCATCCGGTTGTTCAACCTTGTAGTCTTCGGCGTTATTGAGCACAGCGTCCAGATCCAACTCCTCGAGCTTCTTCTGGTTGTCCGTTTGTTCAAACATCTTCTGACCACGTTTCTTGAGAATTCTTGATATCTCACTAGAACTGCCCGGTTCCCCGACAAAGGCATTCCGTCTGGCCTGCGTCTCCTTGTCGGTAACACCACGTTGTATCGTCAAGAATTCAAGCATCAATTTGTTTCTAGCACGCTCGAGAATTTCTTCTTCTATGGTCTCCTTGGAAACCAGGCGGTACACGCTTACTGGCCTGACTTGGCCAATCCGGTGAGCTCGAGCCATTGCTTGCAGATCTGCCTGCGGGTTCCAATCGGAGTCGAAGATGATGACCGTGTCGGCGGTCATGAGATTGATTCCAAGGCCACCGGCTCGAGTGGAGAGCAGGAAGCAGAAATCGGTGCTGTCCGGGGCATTAAAATGATCGATGGCGATGCGGCGAGGAGCAGCGGCGATAGTGCCATCGAGACGCTGATAGGCATGGCCACGGTAATCCATATAGTCCCCAAGGATGTCGAGCATCCTGACCATTTGGCTGAAGATCAAGACACGGTGACCGTCACGTTTGAGCTTGGTGAGAAGTTGGTCAAGAAGCATCATCTTGCCGCTGCTTGTAACAAGAGCACGCAACACTTCCTCACGGCGAGCGCCTTCTGGGACAAGGCGTTCCTCAGCAGTGGGAAACATGAATGGATGATTACTGGCCTTCTTCAACTCCATCATAATATTTAGTAGAGATTGTTTCTGGCCTTTGGCACCTTGGTTGAGGGCGGCATAGTTCTTGGTCAGAATATTTTTATAATATTCAAGCTGGATGTCGGACAGTTCAACACGAATGATCTTCTCGGTCTTTGGCGGCAGGTCCTTCTCAACTTTCTGCTTGGTTCTTCGAAGCATGTAAGGCTTAATGTCCTCGGTGAGCTTAGCTATCTTAGCACTTGCTTCCTCGTTGGTCAGGTCCATGTTCTCATCGATATTGACAACACCAGGGTTCAAGAAGTCGAACAAGGCAGAAAGTTCTCCGAGATTGTTCTGTACAGGAGTGCCGGTGATAAGTAGTCGAGCAGGAGCTTTGAATTCTCGCAATCGGTCGTACAGCTGAGAATCACGATTCTTAAGACGGTGGGCTTCATCGACTGCCATAAACTGCCACTTAATCTGACTCAAGAATGGCGCATCTTGCAATACATACTCGTAAGTTGTGAGAAGAACATGAAAGCGTGGATGGCGAAAGTTTCCATCTGGTAGCAACTCGTAATCTTTGATGATATTCCGGGCCGTCTGGTTGCCGTTGTAGACCACGTAGTTGACATCTGGCGCCCATAGATCGAAAGTTTCTGCCCATGCCGGCATAGTTGACAGGGGAACAGTGACAAGGAAAGGGCCCTGTTGGTCGCGATCGTGTCTGAGCCAACTGAGGAACGCAACAGTTTGGACAGTCTTGCCGAGACCCATCTCGTCGGCGAGGACGACATTCTTCCCTTTGACCCAATTGTACGCCAGGAAGTTCAGGCCGGTCATCTGGAAATCTCTAAGTGTACCTCCCTTGATGTAAGATGGCTGTTCCCGGACTGGTTGAAACGATGAACGAGTCGAGGGATTGCTCTCAGTCGGATTGGACTTGAATTCTTCTCGTCTGCGGTTGATATATCTGTCGACCTCGTTCTGTGCAATCTGGCTGACCAGGCTTGATGCCTCCCAGGTGGTTTGGTCGTAGAAGAGGCCTTTCCACTTGACGTAGTATTCAGTGCCTTCCTCACCATCACGGTCTCCAATGACCCTTTCGACCTTCTTGTAGTCATCGAGGGCATCGATGTATTGCTCACGATCCAGAATCCACTTTTCTTTATCTTCCGGCGCGATGTTGGAGTCGGTTTGAATGCGAATATCCTCAATCAAGGTCTTCTTGATGTAGTTTTCCAATCGCCGGACGCTCCGGACGCCAGCAAGTGACTCGATCGTCTCCCATGTAGCATGGTAATAGGCTTTCTGCTGCCATTTAATGAGATACTCGTACTCATCCTTCGAATACGTCGGGGTGGTAACATCAGCCTTGAGACGGTGGTTCAAGACAATGTCAATGGCGGGTGAGTTGTCCTCTTGACCGTTCACCCAGTAGTTGGGTGTCATTGTCTCGGGATCGTCCTCTTCGAACATGTCATCATCATCGTCTTCGTTGTACGTAGAAACTTTGGCAGCTCGACGAGTGGAGAAGCGGATTTCAGCGTGTTGAGGTGTCAGGCTCTCGGCAGACTGCAATAACCTCCTGCGCTGCTTCTTAGACAACTTTGCGCGTCGACCGCCGTAAGCGTCGGAATCGTCGTCAGAATCGGTGGGAGACTCGACTATAGGGGTAGGCTGCTTTGACGAGCGTTGAGAAATGTGACGCGCCCGCTTCCGGGGAGGAGCAACAACGTCCGAGTCCGACTCATGCTCATCGGAGGATTCTGCCATATTTTGAATGTGTCGAGCTCTGCCACTTCGTCTCAGACCATACATTTCGGGGTTACTCCGAATGTAGTCATCTTCTTCCACTGGGTGCGTCTTCCTCTTAGCGGGTCTAATGGAATCATCCGAGGAAGAATGATCCTCATCCGCTTGTGTACCATTTACCCGCACGGGGCCATCCATCTCATAGTCGGCATCACCTTCAGCATCAGGCTCATCTGAGCTAGGTTCATCATGATCAGGCATGCGTTCGTCGACATCCTCGTTGTCGATATGTGACGGCGAGGCTTCGACAGCAGCAGGCTCTGCGGGCTCCGACAGCTCGCTCTCACTGTCCGAGTATTTGGCGCCGTTCTGCATGACGGTGTCAGGCGGTGACGGAGGAGGTTCAGAAGTCGGTGATGGTTGAGATATTGAGGGAGGTTGAGGTTCGGCGAGGACACCGGAGGCTGTAAGAAACAGAGCGTCAGCAAGGTCGGCCACACGGAAGAGACCGGCAGTAAAACAGCCGCGGGACCAGGTGATTTCGACTTCCGCGATTCCAAAAAGCTTCAAGAAAACAGGGTAGAGTGCTTGTGAGATGAACGATGGGCAATATAAGATGGATTCGATGAAGTTGGAGGACGACGAGATGATTTAGGGTGTGCAAAAGTCGGGTGACTCTTGCGCGGCTATCCCAGCCGAATCTCGGCCAAAGATGGTCCTGGAGAATACAGGAGAACAGGGTATAGCGTTTCCAACATATTGCTAGGATTTCTCCAAACGAAATATATTGCATATGACTGGGGAGCGCTGAAGGTGAAGGCGAGGCCGAGCAGCCGCCGATCAGAGTGACGGGACCCGAGTCTGGAAGATCGAACAAGCAAAATCAGCACGACAAGGGAATGACTTACACTCCATCATGAAAAGACAGAGCCCATCAGGCACCTGAAGATCGCTTGAGGTAATGACAGAAGCTGTATATAGAAGTGGTCTGGGAAGAGTGGTGTGGGTGTGGATGGAGAGAAATATGGGCTCACACGAGACGAGAGGGACGAGGCTTTGGGGTAAAAAGTAAGAGGAAGTGCAAGCGCAGTTTGACAGGGCAAGCGGCAGGGAACTTTGAAGCACCTGCTCCCGACGTAGCCAGTAAGCGAGCGCCCGGCGAGTACCTAGAAGGTTTAGGGGAGGACCTGCTCGCCGCCTGAACCGCCTTGCCGCCTTTGGGGATTTTTGGGCAGGTTAGGCGGGACATTGGCGCCCGGCCCAATCACGCCCCCAGGAATTTTGATTTCTGGGTAGGCCACTATTGTGTGTCATTCACTCAGGGCCCCATTCATCGAGGACCATTTCTGCCCGTCCACAATTCACAGCCCTCGTTCCATGAATTCATTCACTCACCGCACTCTTTACAAACCACAATAGCCACCTGGCCGGTTGTTTGGCTATTGTTATTGTTGGCGGTGACTCATTCACACAATTCACAAAAACCCCTCCGTTTACAATTCTATTCTCCCCGTAGCCTCGTTTATTTCAGTTCTCCGAAATCGATTCCTTCAATTCAAGACACGATGGCGGACAAATTGACCAGGTATGCTCCCATTCTGCGTCGACTCGATGATCTCCGGCTGATTCAATGTCCCCAGGATTGCCATTGTCAACAGTGACAAGGTAGGAAGAGCCTCTGCTTGTCTGCGCTTTTCTGTTTGTATGTTGCTAATGGCTCATTTTCTGCCCCGCAGTGCAAGCCAAAGGTGAGCCAAACCCACCAACAACCACCAAATCCTCCAGACACCAAGGGCTGACCCCGTCACCAGAAATGCCGTCAAGAATGCAAGAAATCATGCCCCGTCGTCCGAACCGGCAAACTCTGTATCGAAGTCACCCCCGAGTCCAAAATTGCATACATCTCGGAAATGCTTTGCATCGGTTGCGGTATCTGCCCTAAGAAATGCCCGTTTGGTGCCATTCACATCATCAACCTGCCAACAAATCTTGAAACCCAAGTCACCCACCGATATTCGGCAAACAGCTTCAAGTTGCACAGACTGCCCATGCCACGGCCTGGACAAGTTCTGGGATTGGTGGGGACAAACGGTATCGGAAAGAGTACAGCCTTGAAGATTCTCAGTGGCAAGTTGAAACCAAACTTGGGGCGATATGACAACCCTCCAGACTGGGAAGAGATTTTGAGATACTTCCGTGGATCTGAATTGCAGAGTGAGCAGCACCACGAGCCCTTGTTTAGAGGCGGACTTCTAATCCGGGGCACCAGACTATTTCACAAAAGTGCTTGAAGACAACCTCAAGGCCATTGTCAAGCCACAATATGTGGACCAACTTCCACGCGCCATCAAGGGTCCGGTGAAGACAGTGAAGCCACTTATTGAAGCCAAGTCGGAATTGGGCAATCTGAACCACATCATGGATGTGCTCGGTGCGTAACAAGTCTCCGTTACCAACGAAAGGAAGAGAGACTGACTGTTGTTACAGAGCTGAATGCTGTCGCCGATCGAGAAATTGGTCTTCTCTCTGGTGGAGAGTTGCAACGGTTTGCTATCGCCCTCGTTTGCGTCCAAAAGGCGGATGTGTACATGTTTGATGAACCCTCGTCATACCTCGACGTCAAACAACGTCTCAGCGCCGCCAGAACCATTCGCGAACTCCTCCGACCCGATGACTATGTTATTGTTGTTGAACACGATCTGTCAGTCCTCGACTATCTCTCCGACTTCATTTGTGTCCTCTACGGAAGGCCTGCTGTGTATGGAGTGGTTACTCTTCCAGCCTCGGTTCGGGAAGGCATCAACATCTTCCTTGACGGCAACATTCCCACTGAGAACTTGCGTTTCCGTGAGGAAAGCCTGACCTTCCGCATCGCCGAGGCTGGCGAAGACTATATGGTTGACAAAGCTCGTGCCTTTGAATACCCCTCGATGGAGAAGACCCTCGGCTCATTCCATTTAAAGATCGAAAAGGGAAAGTTCACCGACTCCGAAATCATTGTCATGATGGGCGAAAATGGTACTGGGAAGACGACCTTCTGTAAGATGCTTGCCGGCGTGGAGAAGCCCGATGGCACCCAGAAGGTCCCTGCCATGAACATTTCGATGAAACCGCAAAAGATCACTCCCAAGTTCCAGGGCACTGTCCGCCAGCTCTTTTTCAAGCGTATCAAGGCCTCCTTCTTGAACCCGCAGTTCCAGACCGATGTCTACAAGCCTCTCAAGATCGACGACTTCATCGATCAGGAAGTGCAGAACCTGTCTGGTGGTGAGTTGCAACGTGTCGCCATTGTCTTGGCGCTGGGTCTTCCCGCAGACATCTACTTGATCGACGAGCCTTCGGCATATCTGGATTCTGAGCAACGTATCATAGCCGCGCGCGTGATCAAGCGCTTCATCATGCACAGCAAGAAGACAGCCTTCATCGTCGAACATGACTTTATCATGGCCACCTACCTTGCCGATCGCGTCATCGTGTTTGACGGCAAACCATCCGTGGACGCCCGTGCCAACACCCCTGAATCGCTGCTGACCGGCTGTAACAAGTTCCTCAAGAACTTGGATGTCACCTTCCGCCGGGACCCTAACTCGTACCGTCCGCGTATCAACAAGTACCAGTCCCAGCTGGACCAAGAGCAGAAACTGGCTGGGAACTACTTCTTCCTGGAGGAAACGAGTTGAAATATTTACGAAGGGCATCTTCAAGAATGACCGCGATCATCGACGGAATGATCGTCATGACAAACACAACGAGCATGAACGCCAGCACCAGCGTCACGAGGATACGAATTACGAATGCAACGAACCTTTTGACGCCGGGACGGCCTCACGGCTGAAAAGCACGGGTAAAAGTGCAAAAAAGCGCCGAGGTGGAGTCGTCGTCTCGGACGACGATGAGGCCGAGGACCATGACAATGAGGACGAGACCGACGGCGTGTGCTTGTGGCGGTACAACTCGGCCTATTGGACTGTGTGCTCCTTTGAAGGACCCTTCAGCTGCTGTTGGGTCAAATTCCAGGTCGGAGTCCGTCATCAATGATGACAAGCACAGCTCCAAGTCCAGCCTAGGTCGACCACTGCTGATAGGACTAGCCATTGATATACGGCATACGCGGCCTCGTATACGGAGTCAACCTGGTATCCAGTCCAACGGTTCTGAAGGAGTTGTATTGGCTCCTATAAAAGATTGGAAGACTGAAAGGGTCAAGATGAAGCGGTCGGGTTACGGTGGTGAGACATCTCCTGTCAGCCGAAACAGAGGGAGGAAGCCATCTGGCTATCATTGGGAAACCGGGACAGAAACGATATTTGCATGGTCACATTCGTTTGAAACGCGAAGGGAAAGAACCGGTGCTGTGCGTGAAAGATGAAAGAATGAAGCACCGGTTTTATGTAGGTGGAGGGATTGACCCCATAGTCATTCATTCATTCACTTATTCAGATGGATACAATGGTCTACCATTGTCCAGATCACAATGTCTGATCTCAGAGCCCTCCCTGCCTTGGACCCTTTTTGCATTTCTGTGTTGTCGGTCCTAAGTTACGGTTACTCGATTAAATTGTTCTATATTGCAGACCACCTGCACCTACGAGGATAATGGTGGTATTGGTATTCTGGCAGTTCATTTATCCCATTCCACATGATCCTGCATCCCGAGACCCGTCGAGCCGTTACACTGGCCTGCTAGCCGGCCCGGGCCGATCCAGCCAACTGTTCTGAATTTAGAGAGCGAGATACGAGGTTTGTAGGTACCGAGTAGCGAGCAATTCCTTCCTTGACCAGCTTGACTTGAAAGTTGCCTACCTAGTCGGTGTGCTACTCAAGCAGAGATTTTGGTGCCAGAGGGGCTGAATGGAAAATGGACTTTTGTAGAAAAGCGACAACTTGGCCAAGATCGATCGTTCATGGCTGATGGTGGATTGGCGTTGACTGTGCAGTGGTCCCGACTAGAGCATGGGGACACCATCGTCAACCTTGACACAACCGTTTCAAATCTTGGATGGTTGGGCTCAGTGTAGTTTTCTGTTCTTCTCCTCTCTCGTCTACTTCGGGGTACATAGTTGAACCCACTCCCATCTTCACTATCTCTCCCTCCTTCAGGGCCCTCCGTCGCGCAGACTATGCCGCGCTTACGCACCTCACCCAAAGTGCCGCTATAGAGTCGCCGAAACACCAGCGTCGACCGACTATCATACTCCAAAAGAAATGCCAAACCCAAGGACAAAAGACGTATATCGACAAGACGAAACATCCTCTTCCAAAGTCAACCTATCCTCAGTGCCATCTCAGGTTCACCTCCTTGTCTGTCCGAGGTAGTTCTTCTTGTTCGTCCCTTCCGTCATTCCTTTCTTGGTTTCGCTTCGAGCGCTTCTGTC